CCTTCATAGGCCGTATGTCCTTTCGAGGTTTCCATCCAGTCGGGACGAGCACGACGGATCGCCCCCCTTGACCATCGCGCCCAGCCCGGCCGACCTCTTGCGTAAAGTCGATCAGCGTCCATGGGACCCCAACGTGAACCACCCACCGCACTCGGGGGTAATCGATTCCCATCCCAAATGCAGAGGTAGCCACGATATACGGCGGCTTGCCATCCCGCCACTGCTGGAGGACTGCCGCCTTGTCCTCGGTGCTACCAGAAGCAGAATGATAGACGCGCGCCCGGATGAGCTGGGCAACCTCTTCGGCCATATCCTTAGCGCAGCAGTAGATGATCATACGCTCGCCACTTCCGAGAAGCCCAATACCCTGCTGAATCCCCGGCACCGCAAACTCTCGCACCAAGTCCTGCTTTGGGGGACACATGCTGACTTGGTAGTATATGTCTTGCCGCGTCGTCGGGCCCCGGACCATACGTGCTCCGCGAAGTAACATGGCTTCTTCAAACTCCGGTACCCTACTAGGTGGCATCGTTCCGGTAAGAAATACCATCTGGCACGCAAGCTCCCGGATCCTGGGGAGCAAGGCCATCGCAGGTCGGTATTCCACGGCAGTCAGGATCATATGGCACTCATCGAAAACGACGCGGTCCAGTTCATTCGCAATATGCAATCGGTGGAGAAACTCTCGAAATCGTGGTCGAACCGCCTGTTCAACCGAGGCCACGATCAAGGGACAGGAGTGTAATCGACCAGGGACAGATCCCGGACCCCAGATATGAGCCTCGATCCCGGCCTCCGCGCACCGCCGTTGGATCTCCGTCTTCAACACCACAAGCGGTAAAATAAGGATCGTGGTACCGGCCGTGGGTAACTGGCAAGGAAGCAGGTAGAGTAAGCTCTTTCCCTCGCTGGTTCGCAGAACCGTTAGTACCTGGCCAGAACCTGCCAAGATGTGTTCCATCGCCTGTCGTTGTTTAGGGGAGCGGTACTCAGCATCCGCACCGTACATCCGCTGAAGAATCTCTTGGGCCTCGTCCATTCGCCACACTCGTCGATTCCGGGTGGGAGCCTTCCGCCGTGCAACACGCTGGATGATCGGGGACTCGGTATCCACCTCCCGGGGTCTCTTAGACGGTGTGCTAAATCCACTGCCAGCAGTCCGACGACTCCCACTAGGGGTATTGCTGGGCTGACAGCGCTCGCTTCGTGGCCCTTCAGCTACCTCCCATTCCCACGCGGTCGTGGCCTGGAAGCGTTGCGGGGTGGCGGAAGCCGGCTGGAAATTGATAGGGTTACGAACGAACCGATGCCAGACTTGACTAATGTGCCGAAACTCTTGCAGCCCAGCATCGGTAAGCCCACCACGGAAGTTCACTGTTCCTCCATAGGCCCGATTTCCCGTACGCGGCGTATGGCTGGCCTGCCAGTGAAGCGCATCGGACATGCTCCCCTGGACCGCATCCGTCTCATCACCATCCTCTCCGGCCGCTTCTTCGATCAGCAGATTTGCATCTATATCCGCGAATTTCCGCCGTGCAATACCGACTGTGATCTGCCGCCAAGCTTTGATATGGATATGCTTCCCCAGGACTAGCTTACCGGCCTCGACAATGACCCGGGTCATGGTATCAGCAGGCCACGGGTCAGTGCCCTGAGACCAGAGATAGTCGGACGGCTTGGGTCCCCCGGTCTCCTGCTGGAGGAACTCTCGGAAGGGATTCACGATGGCAAGATATTGCGTGATAAGCTGCCCAACCTCGGGCAGTAGGAATCGGACAGGCCAGCGGGAGGCGTTGGTCTGATTCCGTGACTTATAGTAGCTAAGGATGAAAAGCATCTGTCCATCGTGGAGGAAGAGATCGCGCGTGGTCAACGTGGTGTTCCGCCACCGAAGGCCAATGAACTCAGTACGACGTCCTTGCTGCCCTGAACCGAGAAAGAACGGGACCATAACCACCCGGAGAAACTGCTGGACAGCGTTCTCGTACTGCTGAGTCGCATCGGCGGACACAACCCAATGACCCTCGGCATTCTGCGACCAGAATGTGTGGAACAGGGCAGGCGTCCTACCAACCCGAGTGATCAGCCAGTCCTTGACCGGGTCCAGATGGCACGTATTGCGCGAATCGGTGATGAATGACTGGCCTGGCGCAGTGGCGTCCCAATTATCGACCAGCTCATCATACGCGATGGTCGGGATCTCCGATGCTGGGCTAGAGCGCCCACTGAGACAAAGCTCAACCTCGAGAATCCGCCGGGCCTCTGCAATCCGCTGAAAGATGATCTCGCGGATATCGGAGAGGTGAAAGACCACATCTGACCAGACCAGAGTCTGACCATCGGCATGCCAGCGGATCTGGGCCGGGGGGACCTCGGTCTGACTGATGCGGAACCCGAGCAGTCGGTTCTCGAGCAGCTCCGACAGAGGACCGTCGGTATCGTTCAACAACCATTCGTCCCGGATCGCAATGATCATAGTACTTATCTCCGCATCCTTACCCTCTGCCGTCTCTGCCAACACAGACGCAAGGATGACCATCTGACAGTCGTAGATCAACTGCGATAGTATAGATGTATAGTTCCCAATCGCGAGCCATGCTCCTTGCGTAGGGCTCCAGAAGCGAACCACGGCATAGGAAACAAGGACTGAATCAAACTTTCGACGAGAAACCGGGTGCTGGATGATAGCAAGGCTGAATTGAAGTACGGCATGATCTAGCCGGGCGCGCAGATCCTCCCCATGCGGACTATCGACCTCAGACCCACTAAGATCCACAATCTGACTTGCGATCTCGGTTACTTCGACCCATACCTCAAGCTGCCGCGTACTGGCTTGAAAGAGATTGTCCCGGAGTTGCTGCTGCTCTACGACGCGCTCCCAGTAGCATACCAGCTGCTGCCAGGTAGTGATGTATCTCTGTCGCGTACGTTCATTCTGGAGATCGGAGAGGGGGTCCTGGGATGTTTCTCCCCGGGCAAAAGTGTTGAGAAGCCGTGCGTTACGGCGACTAAGCTGGCGTACCTCTGTATCTTGGTCATGTACCAAGACCGCCATTGCTCCCTCGAGAACACGTTGGACGCTTTCGCAAATGACAAAAAGTAAAGCCTCCTGGTCCTGTCGTGGTGTTCGATAGCTAGGACCAAGATCTTTGACCTCGAGCCCTTCAAGGTGGATATGGATACCGGCCCGCTTCATAAAGGGAGTGACCTCGGATACATGGCGCGCTGCGGCGATGGACTTCCGCGATGATTGAGAGAGACTCTTCTGGTATCGGCCCATGATCTGTTTCCATGTATCGCCGGTGAGAGCTGACGAAGGGGGTGTCTCGGAACCAGATGGTGGTACATAAGTAGGAGCGTTGGCATGCCGATATATATATTGAGGGTTGGAGGTCGGAATCTGGTCGGCAAGAACCACAGCAAAGTACTGTTGGCTTTGTTTCTGGAGAAAGAGCGTCTGCATAAAGGCCTCATGCCATGGAATCGCCCCCTGCTGCGCGACCTGCCACTGATGATGCTTATTATAATGTTGGCGGATCCGGTCCTTGCTGGTAGAGCGAACGTCGCAATCGGGGAAGTGGCAGATGAACCCGAGCACGGTCGGCAACCCGCGAATCTCACAAATCCCATCTTGAGGCTGGATGACTCCAGTGCTGTATTGTGCCACGCAAGCTAATTCTCGTGCGGACTCGATGGTTTGCCGCTGTTGACTCTTAACATGATGTTTGTCACGAAGATGGCGAGAGAGACTGGTTCGAATGTAGCAGGAACCATGGGTTATGCATAGGACTACCCTAAGTTCCGGTAGCACTTGCAGATACGACGGCAAGGGGTTATCAGTCTTAATTTCAGGCTCCGTGGCAGAATTTATATGATCGTGATTAGATTGTGACATTGTAGAATCTAGTAAAAATAGTAGATGGTATGGATATATAAAATTTAATTAGAAGTAGAATGGTGGATATCAGTATGATTATGGGTTCCCCTGAATGTCACCGTACGCTAGTCTGTTTATGGATTAATGTGATAACACTGGTTAGAAATGTGAGCAATCCGATATTGTAAGACATTAAGGCACTGTAGTGATAGTATACAACTGCTTAATACAGGGTATCATATACTCAGAAAGGATAGGACCTGAATCTGTATTAACTTGGTACTAATATAATTCCTTAGTATTCTACTTGGATTGTGGTCAGAAATATATTTGAGTTGGGTGGTTGTAAGTATAGTCGGAAGGCTAGACATTCTACAGTCGGAAATAGCAGTCTTGAATAAAACCACTCAAATTTGAATACGGCGATTGCAAAACTTGCAGAGTTAGAATCAAGATTGTTGTGATTTCCATGCAGCCTTCAGAAAGTAAAAATAGTATGTGAGTGATAGGAGGAGAGTTCTGAATAACAGTGTCCGTTTTCCTGAATAACAGTGTACGCTAGTCGGTTTTCAGCCTAGCTCCCGCTCTCTTAACTATGGAGGGGTTCAGAATTACACTGTAGTTCAACGTAGAATAGTTATAGGCTTCCATATTATACACAGAGAAATTGATTCTGGAACCCCAAATTGAAACACACTACACTGGATACAGTTAGTGCAGGCGCAGGGGCTAGTCCGCCAAGCTTACACTGTTAGGTTTCTTTCAAAACGTCATTACGCCAGTTGTAAATTACATGTACTGAAAAACACGACCCATCAAGCATGAATGCAGATTCAACGGAATTATACGTAAACCGCGAAATTATACTCTTAGTAGAACGGTCCTCGACATCGCTGACGTCATGTCTAACGGGCTAGTGGGGCTGCTGTAGAAGCTCTGGTTGGCTGGAAATAGTCATTTCCGTCCACTCTGGACAAGATGAAAGTCGAACAAGTGAAGACGTTCAGTTCAAATTGAACCTGCAAAATATAGGAGCTGCTTCAGATCCTTCCCTTTAGCAGAGTCCCGCAAAACCTCAACTCACACTTCTCCAGTACATCATCACGCACCAGGAGAATCGATCATGGCCGATGAACCGCAAGCTTCTCGTGGGAAGAGACCGACAAAAGACGAGATTGCCCTGGAACGGACTGTTTATCTATTTGGACAGCCCATCGCTCACTCTGTCTCGCCTTTCTTCCACAATACCATCTTTCGAAATGTTGGTCTACCATGGCGCTACATAAGACTCGACTCGAAAGACCCTGAGGATTTATTCTTGCTGATGCATCGTGACGATTTCATCGGCGCAGCTGTGACAATGCCCAACAAGGTCCAGGCCATGGACCTTGTCGATATCGTGACTCCAGAGGCGCGGAAGATTGGCTGCATCAACACGATCTACGTGCAGCCTTCTGGCGTGGGGAGCACGAAGTCGCACGGATTCATCGGAACCAACACCGACTGGATAGGAATACAACGGGCACTTGTCAATGTGGATCCCGAAATCAGGACTCGACTCCAGAATCACCCGGCCCTGGTCATCGGTGGTGGTGCAACCTGCAGATCTGCGATATATGCTCTCACAGAGGGACTCGGGGCCAAGTTGGTTTACTTGGTCAATCGTGACCCGGAGGAAGCCAAGGCTGCTATCAGGGGAATGAAGCAGGAAGGGCTGCGACAAGAAATTCACTTCCTTGAAAATGTGGAAGCGGCGCTGTCTATCGCAAATTCCCCTATTGTCGCTATCAGTGCCGTGCCCGATCTTGCACCCAAGACCGACCTCGAGCAGACCGCACGCGACATCGCTGCAACCATGATTCAGGCCAAGCCGGAGCATATTTCTCCTCGGCTTTTTTTAGAAATGTGTTACGATCCCACCCCTATGACATGGCTGGCCACTTTGGCCCAGAAGTCAGACTGGGGAGTGATTGATGGATTGGATGTTATGGAGCATCAGGCTATTGAGCAAGCTGTCTTGTGGACTGGGAAGCCTATCCAAAGTCTACCCTCGGATCTTGCGAACCGAGCAATACGTGAAGCTCTTCATCGGTAATTCGAGATATTTTGTGTTGGTTGGGACAGAATAAATAGAACAGGAAATATAAGCTATTTAGATAGGATCTGTTGAACCTAGACAATATTAAATTCAAATTAGGACCGAAGAGTGCTATCTGATTTGGTTTTGGTCATACACTAAGTATTCGCACCATAACCATGTATCTGACTTTTCATCACACCTCGCGGGGCCTTTCTTCCTGTCATCAGCTCGAATTGATGGATTGCTTGGATTAGCAGCATTTCCAAACCATCCACTGTAACCCAAGGAATATTGGATTGTGCCCTTAGGCATCGAACTTGTTTCAGAAGCGGGGTTTCGAGAGGGCGATATGCAAGCTAAGATTAATTGGCGACGAATTTAGCAAAGCCTTTGTAAGATATGTACGGGGACTAAAGATTTGCTTACCTCAGCTACTACTCCCCCAGACTTGCTCCGAAGCCATTCGTTTGGAAGCGTAAGATTTGCCGGAAGTTGGCCGTCTATGCTGTGCGCCGGGATGCAGGATATAATAATTGTCGCTGGTTGAATATCGGCTGGCCAGGGGTCGCCGATGGATTGAATAACACTGACCGTACCAGGAATTTGGGGTTCATTCCGTTTCATCCAAGAGTTGAAGTGGGCGGCCACAGACTCAGCATGCTGTACTGTGCGATTGAATATAAAGATCCTGCGACATCCCATTTGAATCAAGGCATAAATGGCTGCTCGGGCGGCTCCGCCGGCTCCAATAACTAGCGCTGTCGTTTTCGAAGGTTTGATTGTATTTCTGGGGGAGAGGCTTTTGCTGACACACTCCAAGATCCCGAGCCAGTCCGTGTTGTCGCCATACCAGCCAGTCACCTTCCCTGCTCGATTTCGCTGAGATGCCTGCCATTCTAGCGATGTACCAAATTTGGCTGAACTTCTCAGGGGAAGAAGTGTATTGACAGCCCCAATGGCTGTAGCATGGGGGCTTCTCACATCTCTATTTGAAAACGTAATGGCAGATTTGAACGGCAGGCTGATACTTGCGCCTCCAAAATCTATGGAGTAAGCTACCGTGTCGATATCAAAAAGCGAGTTGGTTTCGTAAACTTGATACGAGTGCTTCAGACCAAGTTCGCGATAAGCGGCCTGGTGCATGGCAGGTGGGTATGGGCTCCATGACACGGAGGCACCGAAATGATAAAATTTGAGAGAATCGTACACGAAAGTCGCAAAAAGACCTTCCATTGCTTGCTTTGCGGTGAGGTAATGATCTTCTGTAGCTCTAGCCGATGTCGCAGGCCATACAGGAGTCAAAATCTGGTTGAATATTTGGGAGCGGCGGCCAAGTGATCCCGTATAGTAGGAAATTAGGGGACATCTAGCCACTTGGTCGGAAGGCAATGTGCCAGTAACCACTTGCACGTACTCGTCATCCCGCCCCGTCGCATCTTCAGTCAATCTTACGAGGTCACATCCCATGGCCTCGGCTTCCTGATGCTTATCACATAGATAATGATGTGCCGTGTTATGAGAACAACCAATGACCTTTGTTCGCCTTTTCCAGGAAATTATGCCCCGGCAGAGTTCAGGTGAAAGTTGGCCAATGTTGACAGTCGTATATTCAACGCAGTTCTGAAATCCATCAGAAATGAGTCTCAATAATTCGCCATCCAAGTTATATCTTGAAGTATCAATGTTCCACTTCGATTCTTCAACAACTTCGTAAACGATCGGTATCTTTGTAAGTCGTCGTATAACAGCTATCTGTTTGGTAATCGATTCTGTTGAGGGGCTGTCTTTCATATCGATCACCATCTGAATTGCATCAGCCCCGGATTCGAACCAGGCAGGGTCAAAGTTTCCATCCACAAATTCCGAGAGCTTTACGACAAGCGCATAGGTGTAATGGCGTTTTTCAACTGCGCTCGACAAAATTTGCGGTTGACTTAGAAATCCGGCGACTTGTTTGAGCTTAGAACCAGTGAGAAGGTCTAAGAAATGACAAAAATCGGCTTTCACTTCCTTGAGGTGATGAGGGGAACAAGAAGCCCCTGCAGCAGTAACCTCAGGGGTAGATCCAGGGTCTGCGAGGTTGAAATATTGGAAGCTTGCGCAGGTCGAGTGCATATGATCAAATTCCTGAAGTCGCCCTGCATCTGCTTCTCCCATTTGTAAAAGCGTCTTATTCTGGTGATGCTCACGCCTGATATGAATCACTGGGTGGGTTTCTTTGTATTTCACTAGGAATTCCTTGACATCTCGGTTGAACGTGCTCGTTCCGCACTCGATGATGCAGTCTGTTTCATTTTCGCGAAGCATTTTCAACACCAGTGAGATAGTTTGTTGTTGCAGGGCCGTTTTGCCATTTTTCTGGAGAAATTCGTTTCGTGACAGGCCGGTAGCAGTCTCAAAGTATCGTTCTGCAGTGACAAGCCTCTTTCCTAAGTGAAGAGCTCCAATAAATGCCAAGGTCTTCTTGCCGCATCCTGGTAAGCCGATCAAGACAATTGATGGGGTCGAGGTAGACCTGGAAGGGCTTGCTGCGTGATCATCCTCCATGGAGAAGGGGTTGAAAACACTGTTCGATTTCTAATGTCATAGAATAGCTGCTTGTCCGCTCTGGCTTGAGAAATAAGTTGACGCTGGCCCTCTGTCCGTCGGCCAAACGATGATGTAAGCAGAACGGGTATGACCATTTCCGTTCCTTTCGGGCCGTCTTCGACCTCCGCCACCTGCTGGACTGCCAGCATGCTGCATCCTTCGACCATATCATGCCGACGAGGGATTTTATCCCTTTTTAATTGATCCAGTCCGAAGCGGGCTCAACTAGGACCGAATGCGAGTCTTACCCACATTTTCAAGAGCGACTGAGCCAATCGAGAAAACTAGCGAGATTAGGACAGCGCTCGGAGATCACTTGATCTAATCCTCCTGCTTTCGATTTCTCTCTCTCCGGGTCTCAACGTGGATATTTTTGATGCGCTGGTATGGCTGGAAGCAAAGTACGAAAACGTGTGGCGCAGGCCTGCGAGCGATGCCGTCAACGGAAGTTCAAATGCGACGGAAAGAAACCAGATTGCGCAACATGTATACAGGCAGGTCAAATGTGCCTGTATGAGTCGCATATCAGAAGGCGCGGTCTCCCGGAAGGCTACGTTCGCGGCATGGAGCTCCTGGCGAGCTTGGCCATTCGTCATGTCGACAATTTTGAGGAGCTTCTTCTGTCTCGATTATTGCGGGAAAATAAAGAGCAACGATTTGTCTGGCATTCTCACTTCGACGAACTTCTTGACGTATGGAAGAAGAGCAAACTGTCAACCGAGTTGGAGAGACTATTGCCCTACTTACCATCGCCCAAGTCGCTTGCTCTCAAGCGAAAGTTCGAGGAAAACCAAGATGAAGAGAGTCTGAGGCGGCATTCTGCTCGTTTATTGACGTCGACCCCACGACGCACAACTTCTATTGACGACCATCTGTCTATCGACGATGGAAGCTTTCAAGGCCATTTGGACATCCCGCAATTAAACGAGCTGCTAGAGGGAGACGGTGTACCGGATCAGCTTCTTCGTGAGACGAACACGGCACTCCGACCCGGTCAATTGTCCAATTCTATATCGAAAGGTATCCAGCTACCTGCTCAATGGAGTAGCTTTCTGAAATTTTATTTCTTTCAGACTCACTGCTGGCTTCCTATTGTGGACAAACCTGAGGTTATGCGTTCGTCATATCAATTCATCAATAAAAATCCAATTACGGAACCTAAATGTGGCTCGCTCGCTCTTCTATGGGCGATAGTTGCATTGTCAAGCTCCAGATTGTTGAAGCTAGGCACTTCTACCGAGCTTCTTGGAACGGAAACAGTATCAGAGGACCTTGTCTTGTCATATTACTCGAAGGCGCGGGGGCTCATACCCTGCGAAGAAGAACTATTTGACCTTGACCATGTCCAGGCTCTGCTTCTCTTAAGCCTGATCAAAATCGATCAGTCTTCGTGGTCCGCTGCTCGGATTCTGATTGGAAAGGCTGCCCAGATTGCCATGGATTTAAAACCCATGTTGCAAACCAGTGGGTCTGACCCACAGATTATGGCACGATATGGCCGGACCTATCTGGGATGCTTTGTGCTGGATACCCTGGTTTCTTCACATTTGGCACAACTCCCGCACCTCCAACAACCTGATTCTTTTCAAATTTGCGAGATCGAGGAACATGGACTTGATGAATGGGATATTTGGTCAAATCCTTTCGATACAGCGCCTGTATTACACGATCGTTGTTTACCGCTCTTTACATTTAGCACTTTTAATCGGCTTGTGAGTATCTGTAAGATCATTCACATGACCCTACTCGCATCGATTTACGGACCAAAATTTTCTGCAAATGAGTCACTGGCAGATCTTGAGAAGAAAAACTCGAAACACCCCTGGGTCACCATGTTCAAAGACCCAGGTAGGGAAAATTCACCCGAAACGAAAATGCTACCTCATCATTACCACTTGCGAATTTTCTATCTCATTGCCGTCTCTGAGGTTGATCTGCGATTGAATACAACAACTGCAATTCCATCTTATCAAGCTGCGAAAGGATCTGTATGTGCTGCCGAAGCTGTGGCGCTCATGCATAGATTCAAGGATGAATTTGGTCTTCATACAGCCCCCCAAACATGGTCCCTCATTAGGGCCATCTTGTCAAAATCGCAGAGCATTGTTGCAAATGATTTGAACAGGATTTCGCCTCGGCCACTAACTTATAATGCTTGCTTGAGAAGCAACCAAGCTGAAGAGGAACAAGCTCTATCATTTGTGCAACAACCGAGCCGGGAGGCTGACAAACGAGATCGGATGCTACAATCTAGGCCCGGGGGATATAACCCGGCGGGAGGAAGTACTGCTCATTTTGACGCAGATTCACGGCAGCATGAGCCGTCCACGGATAGTGATTATCTTTTTGAAGAACTGCTGGCAATTGATACGTCTGATTGGTAAGACTTTCCATAACTCTAAGTGAGTGAAAGCCACAACTTGCTGACTTGTTCCAGGACAAACCAATGGGAAGAAAGTCTTCTCAATCTTGGCTTTACGGCAGATTCTTCTGTAAATGACTTTTATGAATTTTGCGAACCGGGTACATAATTGGGGTTCAGCAAGTCTCTTCTACAACCTCATGATATTATTCACCCTATGTACCATGAACCCTTGCGACATATACTTCTACACCTCAATCATCTCTCCGTCCATCCAACTCTTGATTTGTCTATACAACATGTCATGTTTCTCCCGGTTCGCAGTACCAATCTCCCTGCGATTACCTGGCAGATCCTTGATGACTTTAACACCCATCGTCATTTCTTGACAATATCCAAGATATCGATAGCCAACAGGAAATTCCTTGAGTTTCTCCATATCCAACTCGGGAACCCGGTTTGGATTCACCGGAATAAGTTTGTCCTTTTCATAAAAGTGTCGCACAAAGTTGGCTCTCCACTCGTTCGAGCGAGAATCCTTGCTCCAGAAGAACACAAATCGGCAGTCAGACTCGGCATCGGCCTCGGCACCATTGAGATCGAATCTCTGAGTTATGGTCGCTTTCATCTTTGTCACTGCGAGGGTAGCAGCCAGATTGATGTCTGTGGACAACCCGTGAATACGATGCATGATAAATGCACCATTATCCATGCCCTTCTGAGAGGCCTCGATAAAATCCATGAAATGGGTACGGCCTGTCCATGATGTGTAGATATATGCGTCCTGGTGGAAAATCGATTTCAGATTTTGCCATTCACAGGCATCTCTGAGACAAAGTTAGTATTTCCATGTCCAATTTAGATTAGGAGGGACCAGTACTTACCGGTAGCAAGGCCAACCTTCGGCGAGCTCGCGTAGTTTGTAGCGCTCAATCGCCAAATCTACCGGGCCATTGTTGCGAATAGCATTGGAGGGACGTGTCCCCTCGGGGAGAGTATGGAGATCAGGCATTAGGGAAGTTGATACAGAGTAGTTGAATGGAGAATAACTGTCAACCTTACCACTTCCCCAGTTATAACTATGTCCATTCCGCGCGAGTGACATTTGCCACCCCGGCTAAGACCGCTTCCGTTGCCCGTTGCCCCCTCCTTTTGTTGCCCATTTGTCAAGAATGACGAAAGTGTAGCGGAAAATCGAAATCCCACAGCTTCGAGCTCTCAAAATGAAAAGATTTTGTGGTTTACTGCATTCATGAAGTATGGGCTTTACTTTTATCGGCTTTAATTCAATGTAAACTTGTCGCACGACGCTTTTTCAAAAAGGCCTTATCTTATAGTAATGATCGCCAGTTTTGCAAGCTGATTCGCAGATATCTATACCCCAAATAGTTTTATTCAGCGCGTAGATTTTGGTGTTTCTAATAATTACTTGTGGCGATACAAAGAACGTCATTTCAAGCTTAAAGCATGCTTCAACCTCTCCCATGATTCACTTCCTCTTTTCGCGTGCTCCATCGGCGTAGCTGACGCTGTATCCGCCATTGATCTAGAGAATAGCTCTAGCGATACCCAACCCTCATAGCCAAGCTGATGGAAAATAGCCTGGGCAATCTTGATGATAGGCAAATAGCCACCCCTATCCTCCTCCATGGCAAAAAGCCTGCAATTCCGACTCCAACTCATCCTGGCAGGTTGACCCGGAACATGATACTCGTGGCCCTCGATTAAAGGCTGCCCAAGACGCTCCGCATCGACAACCTGCACATAGAAAACCTTTCGCACATCCACCGTCTTGACGAGGCGGTCCATGGAAGCTTTTAGTACAGCGTCTGCGTCGGGTGTGGTCCCATGTGCTGAAGTCGGATCAGCCCAGATACGACCGGCAATGTTGAATGTGTCGAGGCAGCAACCGAAGTTGGGGCGGTTCACCCTCTCGACGATGTCCCACATGCCTTCCCAGGTGTCTATGTAGGTTCCCCAGGCGAGGTTTTCGTAGACAAAACGAATGGGAGGGGATTGTTGAAGACCCATTTCAGCGAGCTCGATCATGTCCTGAACAATAATCTTGGTATCGGAGGTGATTTCTTCAGCTGGCAAGAAGTTTGCGGGGATTTGGATAAGATCTGTTTCCAGAATATTCACGAGCTCGAACCAATGGGAGAGTGTTTCGATCCGTCTCGTATGCTCGGCTCGGTCCTTTAATCCTTCGTAGAAGAGGAACGGTTGAAGGCAGACGACTGTCAGATCGTATTTGTCACAGAGTCCTCGAATTGTCCAGGCAGCGTCTATTTGACGCTCAACCGTAGTTGTACCCTTGGGCAGTGACTCTGCGATGTGCTCTAGGTCTTCAAAGAAGATTTCCACACCAAGGAATCCATGTGCAGAGGCCTGCGCAAGTTTTTCGTCCATCGTATGCCCTGCCCAGGCACGGCCTAGGGACATTGATGAGATTCCGAGTTTGTTGGGCATAATTCCAGGCGTTATTCTCGATGCAATGTTTGAAAAACGTTATAGCTGCAAGATTCGAAAAGAGACTTATTTCGATGGGCTGCAGTATTATTTCACGTCGAGAATTGTCTTCCTTGTTTTGAGAGAGGTTGTCTCTTACGCATCAAATCTCCCCTGGTGGGGCGAGAGTGTCGCACGGAAAAAGATACATCCTTTTTAGGAAAGCAACGACGTAAAGTCATTGCCGCAGGTGCAGGAGTATGAGGCTACTTCGAATTGGTCTCAAATAGAAATGCCCAAGTGGATTCCAGCTTAATCTTTCAACTGTCTGCATCGATGGAGAGAGTTTACGTGACAATATAATGGGAGGCCAACCCTAAAACGGCAAAACTAGCCGCTTGGAGTAGATGAGAGGTCTGAAAAGCAAGTACTCCATTGAAACGATCTCTTGATCTTCCACGGTACAGATCTGACAGATTCACAAGGTCAACAAAAAAGCAAATTCATTCTTCATATTGTACGAAACAGGATTCAAACTTTCAATATCTCGAACTGAAAATATCCATAATATCAATTTCAATTTCCATGGCCCTTCCCCATATTTCACCAGGGCGAGCAGCCCAACCCGGGACACTAAAAACAACGAAAAGTAATAAATACCAACCAAAAAAGGTGTTTGCCACGCAGATTTGCAAACACGATATTTTAAACCTGGAAATGCAAAGTCGCGGTTATATGTAAAAGGTACTGTATAAACATGGAGAGGAAATTGTAATTCCCGGGTATAGCGCCTCGCTGATGAGATGATGTGAAGAGAAAAAGGGAAAACAAAATGCCCAAAAGCAACGAATTAGTAAGCAAAAAAAAGCCATGCGGAAATGCTCGAAGCGCAAATGAATCAGGTCATGTCAAAATCAAAGTCATCAATGCGACAATGGAAAAACAATGTCGGCTGTCTTTCTTCTGTGCAGTCAGTCTTCCGAGATCATATCAGATCAGATCAAACTGTGCATGGGGCCAATCCATCTACTGCGAACGCGTCCCAGCTATCTCACTACTGGAAAGAAGGCCATTTCACGCAGAGATGCCCTTCGCAATCGCAGCCTGCTGTAGCACACGCGGCCAGCGCGAGATGAGCTTGACATCTTCCAGAACACCCTTGCCTTGATTGCACATGTACTGCTTGCTAGGATCCACTCGGGGCTCGTAATCACAGAAGGAGGGGGTACCCTCGATCAAGGCAGAGTACAACAGAAGCCGGCGGCGCTGCGATCGAATCAAACAGTCTAACCGGGATTCCTGGGGGAATGGCTGAAATTAGACTAGCATGATCCAAAATTGGGTTAGGAAATGAAAGTCTAAGTGTGTAGAGGTAAATCTCGAATATTACTGTATTGAAACTCGTGATTACAGTAAAATTGGCGTATTAACCTTGTTAGTTATTTTACTGTTTTCACCTGACGTGCGGGGGTGATCTGCAACCTAACTATATCGGGACTAGGTAGTTTCACCATCGCCTTAGCGTTAGGGTTCGAGATAGTTTCTCTGCGTGAAACATGGAAGCTAATTTCGAATATTGCTGTACCCAAGTTTGATACCATATCTCATCCAAGCGCTTCAGACCGTTGCGACCCATAAATTCAAAGACGAGCTCTTTTCGCAACCAGGAAGGGTGGGCTCGTTTGCGACCTTGGCGATAGTATATTCCGTGCCACTTAGAGTCTTCTGGTAGTGCGAACTTGATCGTCTCCTCCAGACGCTCGATTTGGTCATCTATTTTACTCGGAAAGACACCATGTTGTCTACCAATGACATGGATGTAGTGAGTCATGTTTTTATAGAGATAGCCCATGAGATTGCTGTCGGGTACTGAATCTGAAAAGAGAGCACCGAGCCCATATAAAAGGATGTAGACACATAAAAGTTTCGCTGCCACATAAAGAAGTTGCTGTAGACATATAAACAGAGCTGCAGGCACGTAAAAATGCTAAGGCTCTGTTACTTGCGACTACTAAATAAAGAAAATCAAACAGGCTCAAAACTAGATGGACTTTTGGGCTCTAAATTGGCTTAGTTGATTTTAATTTCTGCACCCTCTTCCGTTTTGTTTCCTGTTCCGTTTCTGTTTCCTGTTCCGTTTCTGTTTTCTGTTCCGTTTCTGTTTTCTGTTCTGTTTCTGTTTTCTGTTCCATTTCCGAACCTGTCTGATGTTTTGAGGCGGCAGGGTCACTAGCCCACACTTGCTCATATAAGTAGAGATTACCTATTATTTACCTCCATAGACGTTCTTCCAGTGTAAGACCACACATCGCTATATTTGAACAATAAATCTTTATCTAGAGTCAGTATATGTACATCAATCAGATGCAGGTATCACAAACTCACTTATGTTCTCTATAGCATGAGGGGTGTCATATCGTGGTCATGTGTCTCATGCCACCAGCATGATACGAAATGAATCAACATCAAAATGCTTCCTCGCGACCCTGGATCATTCATTGTCGCATTGTGGTCTTTTCGCCTTCCTTCAAAGCGTCGGATCAATCTCCACACCCTGTGTAAACGCTGTATTGATGATGAAGGGTGGTATACTTCAGAGGAACAATTGATGGTCATTTGCAAGAAGCGAGACCAATTTTTCCATTGTGAAAGCTTACCATGGGTCAAGCAGCAATGGAACTTCTGGTTGTCCTGCTCAGAAGTTCAGAGAATCAACGACGCGGCAGCACAGGACGGATCGATTATCTTTAATCTTTGTGTTGGGGTGGCGATGGCGTAGCAAGATTTATGATGTCCTCTTTACCGATTGGTTAGTCGTGCTGCCTCTTTGTACCTGGGCACACACGAGGCATCGGGGTTCATGTTGATTTCTTGATTGAAAAGATACAGTTATTGAAATGGGATAGCGCGATGGCAGTCTGGTCAAAACAGACGGGTCGACAATAGCAGTAGCAGCATAGGCAAACCCAACAAGAGGTAGAGCTATAGGAAAGGAGAGCACATAGGGATGGTCTGAAGAGAAGAATGTGTCTGTCTTGTTCTACGTAGAGTAGAGAGGTCTTAAATACATCATGAGTGCTGAATCATCCATAGACCGCTACTTCATGCAGTAAGCAATTCCCCCACTACATTATATATTTTGAAGATTTAAATTTTGTTTTATGATCTCAGCCTTTACAGTACTGAACATCCATGAAATATTACATGTGATAGATGAAAGCCTCAGACCGATCATGCTCCGGGCATTCGAGCATTCTTTGGCAACACGAATGGGAAGCATCTAGTCCCTATACTGTACGGTATATCTCAATCATTGTAGAGAATTTATTTAAATCTCGATAGGTCGTACAGGTGCGCACTTTGAGAAAACTCTTAGATGAATCAAATGTCGAAATATCTACCAATACGAATAATGAAGTTCAACATGGTATGAGAGATGAGTTTCATTAGACAATTCTCTTCCTTCACACGATCTGGGAATGTAGTTGGTTTATTTCCACCCACACCGCGCGGGAACTATGAATGAAACCCTATCAAAGCATCTAGAGGTTTCTCTGACTCCTTTGGATTGGGGCTGGATAGTAAGATTTCTAGTAGAGTGAGTCCATGCGATGGCGACAGGGAAGTCTTTCGGAGTGAAATACCAATTTACGGCCAAGCAACGACCAAAATCCAGAGTGGTCTGCTGAGAAAATGTAAACCTCCCTGAATCTCGGATTCTGATACCCAGGCAAACATCGGCCCCGCAAAGTTCGCTGTACTCGTGCGACTTCTTCTCAAGATTGAGTTTGCGCCGGTCACGCTTTTGTCGGATAAATTTTCTCTCCACGCTAGTCTTTTTCGATTGATTGTGAACCTTTCCAGCCATGGTTATATCAAGCTTGCCGTAGAGAGAAAGAGGGCAAAAAAAGTATTGCAACCTGGTGAAAATAATTTACATAAGAGGGTTTCCAGGCCTTCTTAGAGATTTTGAGAACTCACTTGGTCGTCTCCAAAATAAGCCAAAGGTTAACTTCTTGTCGTGATGGAACTAACGCCAGCAGGACAGTGCGCTTGACCGATGGCTTCTCAGATCCAATCAAGGTATCGCTAAACACATGACTAATGCGGTTTAGTGGTTTTTCCATTTTTTGGCACGGAGCTGCCTGATTTTTGAATTCGATCTGTGTTCGAATACAGTATTAGCTATCGATTCTCCTATGCCGGTGAAATTACAGTGCCTGTAGCTCGGACCTTGAGGAAATTTTCGTTCACAATCTTCTTCCCTGTAATTCCTTGGTAGACGATTGCGGCCATGGCCGATTGACCAAGTCATCCAGCTTCGCAGTCCTCAGATGTGGTACATGCAAGCATACCACGAGGCTACTCAGATAACGACCAGTGGTGTCACCAGGCGGTATTCTACTCGCCCAAGGAGACAGTCCAACGCGGGTAGAATGGAAAGCCTTTTTTAGGTGGAAGCTCAAAAAAAGGTTAACTTCTCTGAGCAAGGGTGATGAAACAATGCAATGAGGGCGGAGAAGAACTATTTTGTCGATGAAAGTACTGATTGTCTCTAAGATCGAAAAGGGTCTAACCAGCGTTATTTGTCTCATTCTTGATGCCAATTTGTACCTGATTTACAAGTCTACTCAGTCTACACAAGTGATTCCCTCTATTCTGTCTTTCTGTTGTCCTGAATCAGGACTGTTTTATTAGAGATAAACTAATCAGAAGTAAGACAATCAACCATTGTTTTCTTTGCTGCTCCTTCATTTCATACTTGTTTTTTCTATGCTAGAATATTGTGTTTCTCTTCGTGATCCTGAGCTGGTGATTTGCAGGGATGCCCCTACGTCTATACGTACGTAGGCCTTCCAGCATTTAAATCAGTATGAAGACCTTTATTTGGATAAACACTCGTAAAAGCGCATTTACCTCTTTTTAGCCATTCTGCCATACGCTTATTAGGCTAAGTAGTTCTCTCGCACTCCCACTGCTTCTTCCAGCGTTCCTAAATACGCTCTCGAACTGTACCCTTTACTGCCGCCGCGAGACAGATAGTAGTTTTATCCACCCTGATTGCGCGTCCCCTCTGTCGCAGCACTGGCTCTTCCCAGTGCTGCGTACCTCGTACTTACGCCGCAGTCAGCGGTTTCGTTGAACGGCACCTCTTTAGGGGCCGGGATTACTGTAGTATACTGTAGATCTCCTCCCCATCAAAGGCATTTTATGATAGCTTCGGAAACCCTCGGTGTCCCACCGCATGCTGTGGCTGCAAGGGAGGTTCTGCAAGGTTCTGCACTTATGTCTACTGTACAGATGATGCTTTTCGTTTTGCGAACCGTCCACGGGTGGGACTTGCATTAGCGTATCAGCCAGCCACTGTAACAAGTTCGTACTGGTTTTTCAGGTGAATATTGTGAATCAAATTCTTATAATCCAAGGTCAATGTGATTTAGCATGTCGTTGTATCGCTATATAATTGAAAAGCCATGGGGGCCTGCACCAGCTTGTGTCGACAACACTTGTAGTGCTCGGAACCGCCGAGTGACAAGAGACTACAGGGCGCGAGCAGGATCTATGAAATCCAATTGAATCGACTATGGGCGGTACCTATACTGTAACCTGACCTGCAGACCACACCGTCATAGCTGCCTTTTATTGGCACAAGACATTGCATGTTCGGTATCATAACCCGCGAGTGTGACTTTGGGCTCTGGCACTATTGTTCGGTACTGGCTGTAGCAAAAAGGAAACATTGTCATCTGGCAAACTATTACGTCACAATTGATGATCTACAACTTAGTTAGACATGTCACATCAATCACCAGTGGTATCGCAAGTGCGGCCAACCAATGATGTAGAAACACATGTGTAGCAAGATGAGTAGGAAATGCAAGCAAGCACCTGGAGTAAGCTGGATTGACTTGAACCTCTCGCAATGCCTTTGCTCTGCCATACCAAGGCTTTTACAGGGATAGAAAAGTCGAGCCTGAGGAGTATAAAGTAATTGGAATATCCCTTCTCCTGCAAAAAGGAACCAACATCACGGCCAACACAAACATATATCACTCCTGCCCACCCGTCAGTATTCTAAATCACCCTCCTACCGATACCCAATATGAAAATTTCAATTTTCCTTTTGCCCATTTTAGCTGGACTTGGAATGGCAGGCATCCTGCAAGAGAGACAACAATATACAAATGAATAACTTGATGCTGCGACTAAGGATTACGACAACGGAATATGTTGTGACACTACCCCGTGCTTCATTGGATGTACAGTCAATGATAAACTCGCGGTGAGTTCCCACTGTCTGATCAATAGGGCGTTCAGTTGCTGGCACGATGCTAATTTAGCGGGCGGCACTAGCTTTGTTGTTGATATGGGTCTGGTAGGCGACTAAGACGAGTCAAAACTGCTTTGATCGTTGTATGGAGTTCTCTACCGGAGTTTAAGCTCGGCCGATCTAAAGTGAGTTCCTGTCTTTATAACTGTGCCGTGCTTGATTTCCTTATCGTTCGAGCGGCTAATATTATAATTTACTAGACTCTTCAGATGAATAAGGAGGGGAATGAAAGGTGGGGGTCCGTATAAGAAGGGAGATTGTGGGCAGTATTCAATGACTCCGTCAATCAATCAATTAGTACAAGCTTGATCGATGTGTTACAGCTTAACTAGTATCGTAATGGCTACGCAGGCGCTTCTAATCCACTTTTCTAAAACTATGGTATTTCAATATATAGACACGCAAGAATGCAGCCACACGATACCATAAGACTAGGAGGCTCTAGTCAGCTCCGATCAGGTTCAAACCCTCCTAGACTATAGAGCATACTCTCTCCCATTCAACATCTTAAAGATTACAGGTTAGGCTTTTCTCCAAGCTATGTTACCAAGATTTCACTGCCTTTTATTTAATAAATTATTTGTGTTTGACGTTTCTTCTCATGAAGTACTTGAATTATGTTACTTTTTGACTACTACAGTGTATCAGCGCTCTACACATACTAGCTATCTAGGGCTCCGATCAGTCTCAAAGTTTTAGGAGTTATACTCAACTAGGTCTTCAATAAGGTATGAATACCCTGGCTAGATCAGGCCGATATCAGCTTTATGGTGGGTAGTTGAAATTTCATACATCTTTTGATAGGGTACGATCGAGAGGCAAGGTGTACCGTAATCTGTCTATAGGTACTAGCTACGCCAGGGAGAAACAGCTAATTGACTATGCGCTTACCTTACCTAAGATGAAGGTAGTTCATCGGACTTCCACAATTTGAAAAAGAAAAAAAAAAAAAGAAGGGAATAAGAAGTGTAACTAATGACTACTAAAATCATAGTCGCTTATTTTGGCCATATGGTTATAGGGCCACAGCTTATTGATGGACAATTCTGTACCAACCAACCTAAGTGTGTTTACTGTAGACCCTATTTATCTCTCATTAACCAAAATTATCACGAACAATACATAGTTCTCGGTTATACCCCACTCCGAACGGAATATTGACATGGTGCAAAATATCTCGGAGTGGATGGACTAGTAAACGTGAACTGGAATTTGAGATGTTCACATTTTCGCACCTTTTTGAGGGAATGCGTAGCAACACTAAGATCCGGGAGAGATTTGGAACGATACCTCAATGCACTGCACAGCTTACATGACCGGACCTACCAACAGCGCCCGATTACAGTGTGCCGTTCAAGAAGGGCACAACCTGGGTTGGAAAGCCAAACTGGATGACGGATCATCGATCTAGATACACCGCAATGAAGATGAAACAGTATTGTTTTCACTAGGAGAGGCCACCAAAGAGCCATTTTTTGATCAAAGTTGAGCATACTGTGAAATAGTCGACTTAGGAAAGCTATGTGTGAAAGAGAGTGCTTGATCGCAGTGAATCAGATGCCAGCCTCATATCGCAACCAATTTTAGTCTTCGAAAAGACCGTCTATTTATTTGCGGTCGCTGCTTGCATGCAAGTGACTTCAAAACACTACAGTTCCATCCTCAGCCTCGACAGCAAAAGTTCACCCTGACATACGGTGCCACTCCGGAGTGGCAGGAACTTGAACGACCGTGGATATTACCTATCCGGAAATTTTTTAGAGTTATTCAGCGCAGGCGGTATGAATTCAATGAAAAGGCTAGAGACGAGAATGTTTGCGTATAAAAAACCACTGCAAAATCTGGAGTAGAGCTGATAATTGGGGTGTCCTTGAAGCCAGACCCTGCTTGAACGTTATTAAACATAAGCTGGGCATAATTGTGTATCATCTAAGCATTTTTGGGTAAATCGTGGAAGAAACTGACCACTGAGTAATCACCTTGTTCTATGAAACACTTCAGGGCTCAATGAGTGACACCCCAATCGGTCAAGTCGTGGCCGCGGCCTAAGCTCCAGTAGATAGAGCTACACAAATATCCTATGCGATTAGAAATTATGCGCCACCGTGTTGTCAAGTGTAAAAGAAAACGACAAGATTTGAAATCTAAGTTCTCTCTATAAGTTAGTCCTTGGTGAGAGATATCGATTGACTGTCATTTGTTCAACCTCATATCGTTTTAAACCCTAGTGGCCCACTGCGCTCTCTTAACGCCCTGCCCCAAATCATCAATCCAATTGGTATAAGAGAGGCCCTAGCAATGATCCCCGCTTGTACGCCAAAGCTATTCTTGACGCCCATGGAATGTGCCCAGTTCACCTGGAAGTAACTCACAATGAAGCCACCAGTCGTACGTGCCATATTTAACCAAGCTGCAACTTCGCCGCTTCCTTCTGAATAACTATCCAGTCCATAGGCGTTCACCGCAACTGTAGTGACCATTATACCGAAAACATACAGACCCCATCCTAGAGAAGTAATCATATAGTGATACCCATACTGCAGGGCAAATCCCAACAGAACGATGCCTGTTATCATGAATGGTGTTGCTAAAATTGCAGCCCGAAGCCGGACTTCCGGTTCGAAATGGCCATGATGCTTCTTGATGTATTGAGATGCGAGGAAATCGTGGATGTAGTGACCGCAGATTTCACCCAGGAGGGCGGCAACTATGGGGGTAAAGTAGAAAAAACTAGAAAATCAAAGTCAGATACTGTGGTTTGCCATTCAGAACCAAAAGTCTGCAGTGGAACAAAGTTAAACATACCCAATCTGTTTTGGTCCAAAATTGTAGAGCGGAGTCAAGAAAATCGAGAGCGTCGCTGAAGAGTGGTCAGTTTCCAAGTCAGAGAAAAGAAAGTAGAGCCTACTATTGATCCCGACAACCCACGCAAAAGTAAGAAAGTAATAGAATGAGATGAACACAATTGGTAGCTTTCCAATCACTTTAATTGGCAGGAGAAGAGCATCGACAAAAGTGTTTGGCTTGAGTAAATTCACGCGGCGCTGGTGAAACCCGATAAGCGTCAAAATCCGTGAGCCATTAGAAGGAGCATCAAGGGCGTTTCTGCTGTAGTATGTCTCGGGAACGAACAACACAGACAGTATTAAAGCAAGACTGCACATAGCAAGAAAAAGCCAAAATGCCACGTTCCACTTTTGTGTTGTGATAATGAATGCCGAGAAGAGGGGACCGAGATATGGGCCTGGGAAAAGCAGGGTGCGTCAGTTGAAATCATGTAGTTAGTCTCTTTGAGAGATAGTCCCAAGCTTACTGAGAATGATAAAGCCGGCCCATATATTAATCTTCCTTGCTTGTTCATGGAAGAAGAACATGTCTTTGATGAACATCAGTCCTCCACCTTGGGCGACCTATTATGCATTAGCGACTGTATTAACCCAGGGACAGAGGAGAGCTTGAGAGATGGAGCATACCGTAGAGAAGAATCCATTTAGAATGCGCGCGGCCGTGAAGCTTTCAAAATTCGTTGCAGCGGCACACCAAGCCGCGGTGGCAGAAGCCATGACAAGGAACCAGAAAAGAACAGGGAGGCGACCAAAATATGCCGATCCAGCGACAACGAAGATCCCACCGGCTCCGAGCATGAACACATTCCCTACCTGGGAATGGTTGACAGTATCTGGGCTCATGTTCCACGCTTCCGCTTGTGGAATTAGAGTAACTGCACCCGTCGCAGAGCCATGATCTGCTAGCAACGCACTCCACGAGATGATGAGAAGAATCAGGTGCTTTTTAAACGACGACCAGTTCAGAGGATCTTGGGGATCCGCGCTCGGTTGTGGAATGAGGAGTGTGTGGCCATCTTTGGCTAATTTTTCAAATCCTCCCGAGACACTCTCTGCGTCGACTACTTGACCATGATCATGTTCCTGGTTTGGAGCGGCGAGACTGAGATGTCGTGCAGTGGGCAGTTCCTCTGCCTCGCTTTTCTTCTGAGAGAAGGGAGGATCCATTGAAAATGCCTTGGAAACCAGAGAGGAAGAGGAGAAGAGGAAATGGACAATGAACAATAGGCAATGAACAATAGGCAATGAAAAATAGGCAATGAACAATATGCAATGAACAATAGGCAATGAACAATGGACAATCTGATCTCTCCATGATTTTTATACTCCATCGTCACCTGATATGTCACGCACGGTCCATGTGGTTCTCCCCCGCAAATTCCTCCGATTCCCTCTGAGTAAGGCTTAGCAAGATGTGAATCATCAAGCGTCTCCTCTGAAAAACGATTCTGACCAATGCGGTTCGTTAATGGAAGAATTAGCTTCCGGGTTTATTCGTTTCCTTGCCCGTCTGGGCCTATGGGACAGCAGAGATGTGGGGCAGAATTAGTTGGGGATCTCGACCCGGGAAACGAGTGGAAAGATGATCACAAAGTGGAAGCAGCCATTTGGTGGACAAAATACGAAGGAGTTTTCCAGCCAATCTCACCATGTGGATGAGGAATCCAAGGGTCAGTTAACGCACTCTCCAACTCACCATCGAATCTTTGAGATCATTTTGAAAAGAAAGAAGAAAAAACCTTAAGTCGCCTACGAGACGACCGCCACCCAATCAATTAATAGGAGGGATCTCAACGGTCTTCGAAACTGGGCAGCAATATACTGTTCGTTGATGTTGACTCCATTCGTACACTAGCTTCGACCTAGGTTCTCCAGTATTACCAGATACTATAATCAATATGGGTAGACTCCGCCAGTTGATGCCTGGTAGACCACTGCAAAATCCGGCCTGCTCGACTAGTCCAGTGGTTGGATTACCCAAATGACTATTGCGGTGGAAAAACGAAAAAAGGGGGCATCTGGAAGAAACTTCCCACGAACATAATCGCTTCGCTAATCTCCATGCTACCTAGGTAGGATTGGCCATGAATGCAATATGGGGTCTGAAGCCGAAGAATCCCTCGGATATTTTGGGATATTCCAAGCTGATGATGAATTCCGGGGCGCGATGTAGCTTCAAATCCATACTGCTACGTGGTGCTGTAAAGCCTGCCAAGAGCTGGGTTCACCACTCCAGGCGACTTTATCGGGAAAACTGGCAAGGTGAGTTGCGTGACAGTAGGTGATGGTGGTGAACCTGATCAGATCACCCATAGTAAACTTCCTCATAGCTAGAAGACAGTCAATGGATGGCTTAGGTTATCTTTTATAGAAGACGAAATTGCCAAGCTTCACGAGGAGCATCCTGATAAAGAAGACTTAATCAAAATTAGACGGGCACTAGAGATTACAGTCTCACGAGCCTTGAGTGATAGCCAGTGGAAATGGCCTAATAAAGTCTAGAATAATATTTAGCGGAGATCAATAAACGCTAGTCAGAAAGACAGAATTCTAAGCATCACAACATGCCTAGAAGACCTGAGGCTGTGATACAGCCCTCCTACACGATAATAGTCAGACATATCACCCAGAAGGAACTGCTGCGGTATCATAGATCCCGATCATGGGTCAACGGAAGCGGCATTCGCCTTGAATCATCTAGGAGCCCAACAAGCACGGTTTTTGCGGGGAGGACGAATGAGTATCAGTGGATTTGTCATGCGTGTACATCAGTCCAACTCAGTCGAACATGCCAGCTGGACTCAATTGCTCCATGAGCCTTTGGCAAGTATGACAGTGGGAAGAAGTCAAGCATCACCATGCATCATGAAGCCTTTACTGTACAGAATCAACGCCCCAGACTAGGCATCCACATATGAAGCAGGTCAGTCGACAGTATATGCATGAGTTCATAGCAAAAACCTGCTTTGGACCGAGGTCCGTGATTGGCTGGTATGGCACCCCGTAAAGAATAAACAAGAGGTGCGAAAAGAGAATTTCCAAGCCGAACAAACATCTCCCACCCAGCAGATCTCAAAATCGAGAGAGTGTGTGTGTTTGTGTGTTCGACTTCCGTGAAGGGATGAAGTGAAGTCGGCAAAGTGAAGTTCCCCCCACACGTTATCGGTGACTTCATGCCCCTCCTTTTCTGACGTTTCCTTCTTCCTCACCTTCTCCCTCCTCTCTTCGACTCTTGCCTCTTTGCTTCTCTGTTTCTCTGCTCTCTGCTCTCTGCTCTCCGTGTCCGGCGATATGGCTGATGCACGGGATTTCGCCGAGGGAACTGTCGCGCACGAAGACACTCCCCAGAAGCTCGAATCCTTGGAGCAGGCATCCGCCTCTGAGACTCCATGCTCTCCTCAACCGCCAGCTCAGGGATTATCGGCGTCCTCAACACACCTTGGTCAGATCAACGCTGCACGGCGGGGAGCTGGCTCCTCGCCGCATCCTCAACCGTCGATGAGCGGGAAAGCGACCGGTGGATTGAATCAGGATATCATGGCCAAAATGAAAGCCTTTTCATTGTCCCGACAAGGTGCCCCATTACCACATACTGCATCTACGGGAACGGTTCCCCAGGTTCAGTCGGGCACAGGAGGCGCTCTGGCCGGTCGTCTTCCCTCGAACCCACGACCCAACCCTCCGAACTGGAGCTCTTCGCCGTCGGTCCCCGCGTCTTCTCCGGGCTCCGCATCTCCCCGACCAGGTGGACTGGCGGCAAAGCGCATGAAGCCCGGTCTCAAGTTGTCGGATGTCACTGGCCCGCCAACTCCCGCCGCGGGGACGGAACCAAAGCCGAACGAGCAAACTGGAGAATCGGCCTTCACCAAGTACGCCGAGTTTATCGACACGAAAGCTGGAACTCTGAATTTCAAAAACAAGGCTGTCTTACACGGGGGCGGTGTTGAATTTTCATCGGGTCATAGTTTCAAGCTCTCTCTCGACGAGGTCGATCGTTTGGAAGAGCTAGGCAAGGGCAACTATGGAACGGTATACAAGGTCCGGCACAGTCGGCCGCATCTACGAAAACCAGGGCTTGGTCTAGGTGGAATTGTTAGTCGGCCCCAGGATCAGGACGACACAAATTCGGACGCTGGATCGGCTCAATATTCCGGTGTGGTTATGGCGATGAAGGAAATTCGTTTGGAGCTGGACGAGGCCAAGTTTGCACAAATCATCATGGAGTTGGACATTCTGCACCGTTGTCTCTCTCCTTTTATCATTGACTTTTACGGGGCCTTCTTCCAAGAAGGTGCGGTGTACATGTGTGTCGAGTTCATGGATGGTGGCTCGATCGACAAAATCTATGAGGGTGGTGTTCCGGAGAACATCCTGCGCAAAGTGACTCTCTCGACGATCATGGGACTGAAGTCGCTGAAGGATGATCATAATATCATCCATCGCGACGTGAAACCAACCAACATCTTGGTCAACAGCAAGGGTCAGATCAAGATCTGTGATTTTGGTGTCAGCGGCAACTTGGTTTCTAGTATCGCAAAGACCAACATTGGATGCCAGAGCTACATGGCCCCCGAAAGAATCGCAGGAGGCGGCATGCAGCAGTCTGGAGCGCCCAGCGCTGGCACATATAGTGTGCAGAGCGATATTTGGAGTTTGGGATTGTCTATCATCGAATGCGCCATGGGCCGATATCCATACCCACCAGAGACATTTAACAACATCTTCAGCCAGTTACATGTGAGTGGTCTCCCCCAATTTTCACTACTCGTCTTGCTAATCTGACCTTAGGCTATCGTCCACGGTGATCCTCCAACATTGCCTGCCGAAGGTTACTCTGAGGAAGCCCACGCCTTCGTCCGAGCCTGTCTCGACAAGAACCCCAAGAGTCGACCAGCCTACAGCATGCTGCTTCGCCACCCTTGGCTAGCACCCCTTATGCAACCACCCACCGAGTCTGCTGATGAAGAGGTCCCGTCCGATACACCCGACGACTCCGAAAACGGTTCATCTTCTATGACAGAAGACAAGGAAGTGGCTGAGTGGGTGAAAAGGCAAATCAAGCTCCGAGAAGACGGCTTGCTCCGTGTCACCGAGAAGCCAGCACTGCATGCCGTTGCGCTGGACAAGGTCGGCACAAACTCGGAGAACGACCCCAACACGATCCCCCAGTCAGACTAAACTTGTCTATGGTTTGATTTACAATCTTGCATTCCCCTCCTACTTTCTCCGAGGGGCACACGCGCACACACATACACACACATACACACACACCTGACGGTGCGGGCGCCGTCTCCACGCGTTGAATGCCTCCTCTTCCGACTAGCCTGGTCATTGGCATCTGTAGGAGCTTGACCACTTTGTCGCAACCGGCCATGTATGTGTAATTTTCGCCTTGTTGCTCACCCTGTATCTGAGCACCAGGATTTTGAAGTGGACTTGGTTTCGACACCTATGCCCGTGTACTTTTGGGCGTAAGGAACAAACATATTTAACACCTACATGTTGCACGATATCTCTGAATACAACGATTTGATCTACATGATTTCTACGGTGCTTAACCCAGCTGTACGTTAGGTAGTCCATCTTCCACAGCCCGAGCATTTTGGTCCGAATTCTTCCATCACAAAATATTTCATTGGAATCGTAGGCTTCTCATATACATATCGCCAAAAGTCATGTTGAATTCGTAAGGTCCACTGCGCCACGACCTGGTTATCATCGCTGTTGAAAAATGAAACAAACCTCTTTAATAGCTCACGCCTGGCCCCAGACCTCATCGGCGATCTGTCTGACGAGGCTCAACTTGTTCTTTTGGTGCTCAACGAGAAGGGGATATCCGCTCTCGTGAGTACTGAAACCACACTGTGGGCTAATACAGACCCTCTTCAGGGCCTCCTCGCGCGTCTCTCCAGAGCCAAAAGCCACAAAGTCGGCCGCCTTGTAGATGCGTTCCTTCATGGCCTCCTTGTCCTCAAGTTCCCGCAGCTTGGTGCTGATAGCACCGATCACCACGTTCTTGTTCTTGGGCAAGTACTTGAGCGGCTCGAAGCCACCAGCTCGCTCGGTGTCGTACTCGAGGTAGAATGTATTGACGTTCAAGTTCTCGAACAATTTCTTCGCGATGATATCATACGATCCCTCGGAGAAGTGTCGACCGCCAATGAAGTTTCCACGGCAAAGATGGATACCAGTGTGCATGTCGGCGGGCAGGCCAAGAAGAGAATCATTGTACAGCTTGATGTAAGCATCAAGCAGGTCCTCCACGGAGCCGGTGTTGTCCTTGTCTTCCTCCCATCCCTTGCGGAACGCGCTGGAACAGAAGTAGGCCATGCCGGGGTCATCGAACTGAACGTTGCGCAGACCAGCCCTGTACAAAGACGCCAATTCGTCCTGGTACACCTTCGCCACGTCAGCAAAGTACTCGGCATCATTGGCATATGCTTCGGGAGTGTAAGCCCGGCCTTGCTTGTAGCGCATGTGGAACCAGGCAGGCGTGATCATTGTCAGTTTGATGTTCGCCCACTCGCTCTCAGGCAGAGACTGCTGCACCAGCTTGAGCTCGTGTAGGTTTGATTGAGAAGAGGCGATGCTGTGAGAAAGCTTCTTCCCGGCAATGACAGAGTCACCTGGCATCACTTTGCGGTCCTGCTCGATCAGACTCACGACATCAGGATGGTAAAGTCTAAACATCGATGCCTCGGCGTCTTGCAGACGAATTGTTCCTGCTCGAGTTAGTAGAGCAAATTGACAAATAGAAAGGGAAAGGATATCTCCAAGTGTAGCTTACCCTCGAACTCATCCCACATCAATCCCCAAAACCGAGTACGGTTGAACTCGCCCGAGTTGACAGCCTTGAAGCCAAGGTCCTGCTGCATCTTGACGACATCGCGGATAGCTTCCTGCTCAACGGTGGGCAGGCCAGCGGCTTCCTCGGAAATACCGGTAGTGGCAATCTTCTCACGGATTTCGAGTAAGTTGTCAGGACGCAGCAGCGAGCCCATATGCTCGGCGCGGAAGGGGGAGCACTCTGAAGGTTGGCCATTGCAAATTGTTGATAGTTCGAACAATTGATAAGATTCAAAGACTGCACAGGTTTCAGAGGAACAATTTCCCCAAATCATGTGGAGAGTCTCCATAGTCTCCATGTTCTCCATGGTCTCCATGTGGAGATGTGGGATGTGGTGCAGCGAAGATGGAGACGGGGAAGGTTAGGGCTTAGCTTGGACAAGCTTTGCTTAGGCATCTTACAGTCACGAGGACACACACTATCACTTGTGTTAACTTGAACAGGAGACACTATTCACTTGGTGCTTTTCAGTATTCTGTATTCAATATAACATATGTACGGAAGGACTCGGAATATGCATCGTCTAGTATGAGCCCCACATGAGAGCTGCTCGACACGAACGTCTCTCACACTTCCACTAGGGTCTTATAAACTCTTCTAAATTATTTGCATGAATATAGAGTCTATCTCAGTAGAATTACCGCATCGTCACAAGCTCCTCGGCGCTAGTGGGGTGGATCGCAACACAGCTATCAAAGTCCTGCTTGGTGGCTCCCATCTTGACAGCGACACCAAAGCCCTGAAGCATCTCACCGACACCGAGACCGAGGATGTGAAGGCCGACGACCTTCTCCTGGGGACCGGCGCAGATGATCTTCATCTCGGTCGGGTTCTTGGCCTTCTCCTCGGCGGGCATGACGTCGTAGAACATGGCCGTGAACTTGGTGTGGTAGATCTTGATCTTGTCGTCACCGTAGCACTCACGGGCCTCGGGCTCCGTGAGACCAACGCAGCCAACCTCGGGGTGGGAGAAGACGACGGTGGGGATGTTCTCGTACGAGAGTTTGGATGACTTGAGCTCCGGAGGACCGAAAAGACGGCTGCCAAGTTGACGACCGGCGGCAATGGCAACTATATGAGGTTAGTCTGTGGAGTTCCAGAGGAGAAATATGAGTGTGATTTACCTGGGGTCAGCTCGGCTTGGCCTGTCACGTCGCCAAGAGCGTAGACACCTTCGACCGAGGTGTTCTGGTACTCGTCGACTACAACGTGGCCGCCGGCATTCAGCTTCACACCGGGGATTTCAAGGTTCAGATCCTCGACCTCGGGGGCACGACCCACGGCCCAAAGGAGCTCGTTCACTTCCATTTCGGAGCCGTCGTGACCAATGAGCTTGATCAGCTTATCCTTGCCCTTGCCGTCACGGATGAGCTGCACTTCCTTGAAGCCGGTGTGATTACGGTGAAGCTTGACGCCGGAAGCCTCGTACCGATCGGTCATGGTCTTCTGAATCATAGGGTCGAATTTGCGGAGGAAGTGTTCGCCGCGGATGAACATGTGGGTCTCGACGTTGATAGCGTTCAGGACGCCAGCAAGTTCGACAGCAATGTAGCCAGCACCCACGACAGCAATCTTGGGGGAAGGTCTTCCATCTCAAAGAATCCATCGCTGGTGATACCGTGCTCAGCACCGGGGACGGAGGGAATGTTGGGCCGGCCGCCAGTAGCCAATAGGATGTGCGGCGCAGTGTAGCGGGCGGTACCGGAGCCGTCAGCCAGCTTGACCTCAATAGTCTGGGGCTCAACAAAGCCAGCGCGACCCTGGACGAGATCAATTCCTTCCCGGTTCCAGTTGCGCTCGTAGGCGCCGTTCAGGCGGGTGATGACCGCGTCACGAGTGTTCTTGAAATGGGTGTAGTCCATAGCGATGTTATCAGGAATATCATAGCCATAACTCTTGCCAATGTGCAACATCTCGTTAATGGTCGCGAAGTTCCAGGTCATTTTCTTGGGCACGCAGCTATACATGAGAGGAATCAGATCAGTCCCCCGTAACACAGAGATCCCTGGACTGTACAACTCACCCAACGTTAACACAGGTACCTCCCGACCGTCCGCTTTCCACAATCAAGGTCTTCTTGCCATACCAACCGGCAGCACGGCGAGCGCTTCCACTACCACCGCTACCACCGCCTAGCACGATGTAGTCATACTGCTGTGTTTCCACGGGAGCCATGGTGGATGATTGCGGACTGCTTTGGGTGGAAGATGAGGAAAAGTGTCGAGAAATGGTAGAAAGGCGAGACTGGGGGACAATTGAGTCCGCGGAGAGAAGACGGGGAGAGTTAATGGTCGCCAGAGCTCGATTCACAGTCAAAGGGCGAAAAGTCCCAGAGAACTTCAGGGATGGAGAGACTCGAAAGTTGATCCGAGAAGATCTGAGGGAGCGGGAGAGCATGGAGAGGGGAGGACAAGGTTATGTACGAAATGAGGGGACCGACAAATCCAATCGAGTGACGATGTCGATTTCTCAGCGACGGTCACGTGGGGGATCTAGATCAAGTAATGATGCGTGACGATTTCCGTATCCGGTGTTGGCCGGCCTCGGTTTTTTAGTTCTATCGCAAGCCACTCAGCAGTTGATAGGAAGATGTGGCTTTCTGACAACATCCCAATCTCACCATCTCCCACAAATCAGGTGGGATTGACCTAGGCTATGAAGCAGTCAGCCACGAATTCTACCTCGGCTCACCTCTCTTGCTCAGCAGGGTCAGAAAACTCAGTACTCAGTTGGGATAATATTGGTAGCTAAAATTGTAGGATGATTTTGATAAGTAGGAAATCCAGGAAAGAGTGACAAGTGACCAGCACAGCACAATCAATTATATAAGAGACAATCAAGCTTGCAGCTCCAGACCCAGAATTCTGGATCGGATTGAGTACCAGAGCAACACGAGTCAAGAAATACGAGAAAAAGAAAGATCCAACAAAGGAAAGGTCATTTCCAGCAAATGTGAAGGACTGGGGGTATATAGATGATAGGGAACATGAACATGAGCCCTGTAGGGCAGTGTGAGAGAGACGTAGAGGAGTCGCAAGTCCGACAGGATTTTAACCACACACTGATATTGCAAGCAGTACAAGGTTGAATTATGACTTGGTGTCCCACCTCCGGTCTCTCATTTCACGAAATAGAGGTCGAGACTAAAGAGTGATGGGTGGCCTCCAGTGTAGAAGCCACTCGAAAGTCGGAACAACTGCCGATATGCGTGATCTGTGACGAAGTGCAAGAAATGAAATTTGCACACTCTCTTGCACTGCTATTCCGGATCGTGGGTTGCAACGGCGGGACATCCTGGATGGGGAAGGATGGGGTTTCAACGTGGGTTGGCTTGCATATGCGGTGATATGCTATGAAAGTGAATCATGTAGTGGAAAAGAGAGGTATAGAACTCTTAGACAACAAGGTTCAGAGCCCAGTGGGGATCTTCTTGTGTGTCTAGGGTAGAACAGCGGTCTAGTGGGAGTAGGCGATCACGGCAAAGGAGATCAGGCAAAAGCACAAGGGGATGTAGACCGAACGTTCCATTTCGGCCTGGGAGTGCTTCATTTTCTGATGGGATGAGTAGTCTGCAGTGTAGTCTGGAGTGTAGTCTGGAGTGTAGTATAAAGTGTCGCCTGAAGTGTCGTCTCCAAGAGTGTATAGAAGGGGGGAAGTGTGGGGAGAGGCGGTATGGTGGGCGGGGCAGTATTGGATGATGTAAGCGCGTTGGGGCCTCAACAAAATCACCAGATGTGGAGGAAGTTCGGAGATTCAAGACCACGCAATGTAGGTCCTGAGCAGATGTCTAGTGAACGGCAGAAGCTACAAGAGATACTGGACTGAACATGAGACTAAAGTTCATCTACCACCAGGGGTCACCCTTAGGGGACACTGGGTCATCCAAATCATGAGACCATGGCGATAGAAAGGAACAAGCGAGGAAATGCATTACAGTAGTTTACGCTCTGGCTGAGGATTCCTTTTGGAATCTCTGTTTGGCTCATTTCGAGTACCTCGAAGAATGTCGATCAGTCAAAGGTCGAAGAGAACGAAACTTAGGGCCTGGTGTATGTCATCGGCTATGTGATGATTCTGGGGGCCCAAGCCGCTTCTATCGAGAGACTCACATCAATCCCATACCGTATGATATAGTGGGTTTCGGCCTCATTTTGAGGACGAGGGGCTTCAACATCGATCAGCACTACTTTGGCCCCTACCTTCACTCCCCATCCTCCCTCCAATGTGGTCCCTTGGTAGGGTCGAGAACACAACACCCCCCAAACACTCCACATTCACAAGGGAATGCAAGGGGCAATTCTCCCACACTTCTAATCTCCAATCAAATCAAGTATGATGAGCGAGCATACCGGGGGGGGGGGATAGGATCCAGCCTTGCCAGCCAATGGCGCAAGGTATCCAGCTGCTCAAGTCTCCTAGATAGCTCTGCCCTTGGACGGATAGCCAAGATGTACTGTAGCCCTGGGAAACAATCCCTTAACTATACATTCACTGATCTTCTAGCCGTGTTTACCCTTTGTTCACCTCGAGGTCACTTCCACTCATTTACTACCCCATCATCATAATGCGTGTCTCTGCTCTGTTCTTCGCTGCGGTCTTGTCTCTGGCTTCGGCCAAGCAGATCAACATGCACTGCAAGTTTGCAGAGGACCACACCGGCATGGTTCAGGAACCTTACTGCTGCCGTGATATGACGCCAGCACGAGGAAATTCAAAGGCGAATGAGGCAATGGACTGTATGTATCTGGAAGCGTGAAAGAAAGGCACGGCTCATGACCCTCGTATAGGTGACAGCCTCAAAGAGCCCCAGTTGTGCGAAGATCAGTCACGTCCGGCTTGCTGCTACTCGATTGTAAGTTCTTTTCTCCATTGTCGAGGTGTACTGCCCGTTCTGACATGCGTTTTTTACTTGCTGCAGGGCCCAAAGAAGATTTGCACCTCGCACGTTGTCTTCATGGATGCAGAGGATGTTTAACCGCCTCAGGTCAGATCCCTTGGATAGTAAAGTGGAAATGGGGGATGATCCCTTTTTGTCCTCGTTGAGCTGTCGCTATGAGATCGGGGCAAATGTACATCATACTGTGCTTCTTGAATTTGGCTTCTCCAAATTGAATTTCGAGGAAACATTGTACACACCAACGTCCTCCTCGGTGTCCATGTTGTAATCATTTGTAACTGGGCCGCAGACTGAAGAGCATCATAATCATTATATCTCAAATTAAATAGACGCGTCCCTAAATAACCCGCCAACGCCTTCTCAAAATGCTAAACATGCTAGATAAGCTCATCAAAGGACAATACTCTCAATGAGATGTGACCCCCATCATCTCCTCGGTGTTCTTGCGAAATAGCCGGTCAGCTAAGCCCGGTGTAGCTGCACAAAGGTTCAGGCAACATTCGGTGAAGGGACTGATATCAACCCCAGAAAAACGAGTGTGTGGCCAATCCGTGGCATAGATGACCCGGTCTGGGGCCACCGAAAGAAACTCGTGTGCCATCGTCTGAAGATCGCGCATTTCATGATCTTGACTGAGCCGATACGGAGCGGAAACCTTGACATAGGTCTTTCCGCCGCGTAAGAGCGAGATCAATGATGAAAATCCCTCCAAGGCGTAGGGGTTGAACGACAAAGCATTGTGACTCGGCGCTGAAAGCTCTGGGCTGCCAAAATGATCAATGCAGATACGCACGCCCAGTGTTGGGAGAATCGATTCGACTATTGAGACCATCTTGAGGGGCAGATATATTTCAATAATCCAGTCCTGAAGTCGGGCAATTTTGGCATGCTGGAGCAATGTTTCCTCCAACTCCGTTTTATCCATCACCTTCCCTACCGACTGAAGATTGACTCTCAGCCCACGCACCCCCAAGGAATGCCACCGTTCCACGGTCTCAGGCTGAACGGTGGCAGGATCAACCACCACAACGCCTCGGCCGCGAGACGGACCTGTCTTTTGTAGGGCATCTAGCAGACATGAATTGTCCGTTCCATAAATGGAAGGCTGCACAAAGACCACATTTTCGATGCCTAGTGCAGACTCGAAGGCCCAGGCTTCGGCCAGCGAATGCGGATTTGGCTTGTATACTGCGTTTGGCGAGACCGGGAAACGGTCTGGTTCCACGACATGCATATGGCTATCCCAGGATCTAGGGGGTAGTCTTTGTCTTGGAGATACACTCGCTGCAGCATGATTCCATCGCTGTTGCTCTAAATAAATGGGGCGAGCAAGCGAAATGGATGCAGAGCCTTGAAGTCTATGTGTTGGCTGAACCGATGTCAGCATTTCGCATAGATCTCCCAGTGATGCACCAAAATCCCCTCAAGGTTGAATCCCTTGAATCAATACAAGGGTGAGAGGAAGCCCAGGGGGTTTATACGAGGGTACTGACACAATTTCGCGCCCAGCAAGGAGGAGTGGCTCTCAGGCACTTCAAAGATACCATTGCCAGCTTCAGCGGTCAACGTCCGACGCATGTACAACCCCAGCAAAGTTTTTTTAGTTCCTTTTCATATATTAGGGGGGGGGAAGGGGGGGTATTTTTTTTCAATGTAACTGAACCCTTTAACTGTGTCATAGCAACCCAAGGGACTTTCCCCACTGATCAACTCGCGCTTGTGTCAAGGGTAAAAGGCTCGGAAGTCGTCCGGAGGCTATAAATTAACAGGGCTTAGCGAGCCAGCGGAGCCCAGTGGAGATCAGGCAGATAGTCAAGAGATGAGTAGGTTTACTGTAGTCGACTGAACCCCATAGCCAATAGCTTGAGTGGTTGAAGCGAGGCCGTGATGGAGTCAAAAGGAACAAACGGAGCAAATGGAGCAAAATGGAGTCAAGACCCAAATTCGGAAATATCAGAAGCTCGGACGTTGACCGAAGCTCGTTCTGTTTGGCCGGGATGCCGACCAGCCAATTTTCCTCCTTCCCACCTTTTGCCGACCCCGGATTCTCCTCCACTATGCGATGGGAGTGTAATCCTCTTTACACGCTAGTCATTGTGGTTATTGCCTGTGGTGGCATACCCAAGGGTATGTTCCCCCCCCCCCCCCCAATTTGGTCCCCCATTGGTGGGTTGAAACGCGGACTCACTGTTTCCCAGGCTATGATGAGGGTGGCTACAGTGGCAGTATCACCCTATCCTCGTTCAAGGCCGACTTTAATCTAGTCCCAGCCGACTGGGCCGGTAATGCCTCGGGACTAGCCAACCGGAAAGCGAATATCACCTCCTTCAATGTGCTGGGCGCTGCGCTCGGGGCTCTCATAGTCCTCGATCTGAACGACAGACTAGGGCGCTTGGTGGCGTGGCGCTTAGCATGTGTGGTGTGGGCTTCTGGCACATTGGTACAAATATTCTCGTCCGGTATCTACGGGCTTCTCTTGTTTAGCCGCATCTGGGGCGGCTTGGGCGCCGGGGGTCTAACGGTGACGTCTCCCTTGTATCTGAGTGAGATCGCGCCCAGCAAGACACGGGGCCGGGTGGTTGGGCTCTACATGGTCCTGCTCCTGGCCTCTCTGGCCTTAGGTGAGTCCGGACCCGGTTGCAATGTGCCTGTCACTTCTAACCTGGCCGCTTCTCTAGGTTTCTTTATCAACTATGGCGCCAGTGTTCACATGGCAGTCACGCGAACCCAATACCGTCTCGTTCAGGCCATCGTTCTCGTCCCCGTCGGTATCGCATTCGGCCTGTCCTACCTTTGCCCCGAAAGTCCCCGATATCTCGCGTCGAAAAAACGTTACCAATCCGGATTGGAGGCGTTGGCGCGCCTGCGTGGGAAAGACACCGGTGATCCAGGTGTCATAGAGGAGTTTGAGACTATTGATGCACAGGTGCGCGAGCAGGCCTCGGACCTGGCATCTGTCTCCCATTGGGCGATCTTCAAGGAGACCCAAAGCAACCCAAATTATCGGCAGCGGTTCTGGCTGCTTATGACAATGCAAACCATCGCCCAGTGGACCGGTGGGAATGGCATCACGTATTATGTGACCAGTATATTCAGGGCAAGTCGCCGTGTAGTCCAACATAGAGAGATCGGGCGCTGACAATGTTACCAGTACGCCGGGCTCGCCGGTACTGCGGAATCCCTTATATCCTCCGGTGCCTATGGGGTAACTAAACTGGTATTCACTGTGGCGTTCTCATGGGGGCTGATTGACCTCATCGGTCGAAGACGCTGCGCACTCGCTGGACTGACTCTTCAATTACTAGCACACATCTACACAGGCATTTATATGGGTCTCCGCCCCGGATCAGCTCATAACCAAAACGCTTCCAACGCAGCAATCGCCTCAGTTTTCGTGTACGCCGTGGGTTGGTCAATTGGACTCTGCACTATACCTTACCTCTATGGCACAGAGATTTTCCCCACTCGCATCCGCAATCTCAGCTATGCCTCGAGTATGGCGCTCCACTGGGTTTTCCAGTTCGCTGTCGTCCGCGTGACCGGCCAAATGTTTGTGTCGCTCGATGTCTGGGGAGCGTATCTCTTCTGGGCACTTATCTGCTTTTTTGGGATTATCATTCTTGGCATCTGGATGCCCGAGACAAAAGGTGTTCCAATTGAGCGCATGGGGGACTTGTTCGACGGGCCTTGGTATTGCCGCTGGCGGGCGAAGCCACGAGAGTGTGTTGCTGTTCCGTCGACTCCCACCGCGATGGAGACGGTTGCGTCAAAGGACAAGTGCCCTAAGTCGTGTGAATCGCTCCTTTGACAGCGGCTTTGGCTCTCAGTCTTCGACTTGATAATTTATTTGATACCCCTTCCTTACTTAGCCCATATTGAGCGATATTTTTACTTTGATATGCCTGACGGAACTTTTTTTCGAGTCTGATACAACACAACGCTAGACATGTATATAGTTGAGAATCATGAAAAATCCAAGCAAGCCTCACGAAGAGACTCTTCTAAGTTATTGAGGGGGCCCTCCCCATCCCGGTCCAAATCCAGGACTCATATTGGTGGTGATAGGCTGGGCGTACGAGAACGCCTCGAAAACCTCGGGTGTGATCTCGTACGATCCGGGTTCATCTACCGTCATAACGGCATTTGGCATGCCGCCCAACAGGTGCGTGGGTGGCATTTGCGGCATTTCGCCCCCACGCATGTCGAATCTTGCCCCTGCGTGGTGGAAGGTATTATAACCTTGCATCAAGGAGGGTTCAGGTCCCGGCGTTTGGGTGTGTGTGCCCATTGAGGTGGGAGGTTGAGATTGGTGCTGCCCTGGAGAAACATGGCGGGAAGGATTGCTATTAAGAGACGGCGACTGACTATGCTGGGGCCGATGGGTGTGAGTATAAGACGAAGTTTGATGTTGAGTGTGGTGGGTTTGGCTTGACTCGGGTTGGCCAGGCATCGCGCCATGGATGTTGATTTGCATTTTTTGGAGTTCCGCGGAGATAAGATTGAGGGCAGTCACGATGACAGGATTGGCAGCTTTGACTCTCTCCAAGGCGAAGATGCAGAACTTGAGTTTGTCGAGGGTTCCCGGTGCGGCGTACTTGAGAGCTTGGATCTCGAGCAAAAAGATGGATGCTGCTGTGTAGATGCTGTACGCAAGAGAGAGGACGACGTGACTGTCGCCGAATGTTCGACGATAGAGATCGAAGAGGGAGAGAATGGTTGTTGCGGAAGCCATGCATTGTACCAAATGGCTCGAGTCATACGCTTCTTGTCGGAGCTTGAGTAGGTCCCGCGAGCAAAGGATTGGGCGGTGGAGGAGAATGTTGACGGTATGGTAGAAACAGCTAGAAAAATAGTGAGCATCAACAAGGCAAAATTATGACCGGGGCACATACTTGAGAATCACAATATGGCTTGGTGGAGAGTATGGAAGTAAATTCACTGCCGACAGCTTCAAATACTCCGGGAGGTCCTCCCACCAATCAGCCAGGCTTTTGCTCTGCTCCTGGACGCAATCATAGAACTCCGAGGCTGTACTTTGGCGGTTGGGGTCGTAGATATGAATCAAGATCTGATTCAGGATCTCGGCCAAGCTACACATCTTCATAAAACATGAGGTTGAACGAGCCTGTGTGGGCGGATAGTGAGCACCATCCGGGAATGTAACGCCATGGGGAGTCCACGTTTCAATCTCGGCGGTATCATCGAGGATCATTCGTGGTGGACTGACACGCGAGTGCTGCATCGTTGGGGCACGGCCAAAGTATAGGGAGACCACTTTGTCCCAGAAATAACAGCCCCAAAAGAGTCGGTTGCGTATTTCGATGTCCTCGTCACTCAACTGAGCCGAACCCGAGTATTTTCGGCTGTCAATGGAGATCCCCAAGTCATCCAGTAGCCGGAAGGCCATGCCACTGTATAACCAAGCCTGTGTCCGATTTCCACGGCCACACTCTTGAGCGCTGAGCAGTAGCAAGGTCTGAATTGTAGGGATGCCTGCGTAACCACTTTTCAGGGAGTCAAATACGCCAGTCAATGCACGATGAGAGAATTGTGATCCTCCATCGTAGGATTCGAGGAGGGGGCCGATCTGAGGTTCCGCTTTGCACCATCGCACTGAATGGGAGAGAATGGCGTTCAACAGAATATCTGAGTAGTAGGGCCCATTGATTTTCATGTCACCTATTTCCTGGCGTTAATAGTGCCGCAGTCGGAAAGGAGGAGGTTGAACAAACGTGTGAAGGCAGGACGGTACACAAAGTTCCACAGTGGCTGAATCCAGCACCAGTGGGAGTCGAGGAGGTATTGGAAAGGTTCCTGCAGAAGCTATCAGTAAATTCTTTTGCGCAACCCCGAAGAAATAGTACCGGCATGGCAGCCATCTGCTCGAACGCCCTCTCTCGCCACGCGCTGTTGACCAGGCGCTCCTTGCGGGCTTCCAACTCCTGAGCATAGTGAGAAGTTGATGCCGTTTCGTTGACCGCGCCACTGGGCAGTTGAAAGAGACTGGTCGGGCCGTGGAAGGAGATGCGACCGTCATTTTCCACATTCAGGCCATCGAATTCTCGTGCGAGATCTTGGGCATCGGGATCGGCCTTAATCTTAGGACCGCTCGAGCTGGACTCGGCTACCGATACAGGTGAGCTTGCTTTTCGCAGTTCCGCGTCGCCATCCCCGCGAGCCTTGGAGAGTGCATCCTCAAGTTGTGCGACTCTAGTTTCGAGTTGTTTCGTATAGGAGAGAGTCGGGGCTCTTTAGGAGCATCAGCAGAAGGCAATGGCATGAGTAAAGCAGAACACCCACAGACTGTACACGCACGCCTCGCCTCGCGCGGCGCATCGCGAACATGACGGACTAGCTCCGTTGCATTTCACCTAACCAGTCAGCTTGGCATTCTCGGTCTTTGTGCGAGCGATCCGAACCTTTCGTTTGCGACAGGCCTCGCATGAGAAGGCGCTCTTCCTAGGGAGAGTGGTCTTGGGAGGCTCGGCCATTCCAGATGGAAACCTTCAATGGTAACAAAAAGAGAGACCTCCATCGGAAGAAATGACAAAATCAAGCGAGAAAATTTGGCCCCAATTCCTCGTGGGGCAGTGATCGCGGGGAATGCGAAACGTGAGATAGTGTTGACGTCTTGTCTTGGTCTTTCTGGGAGGGGCTTTTGGAGAGTTTGGAGTCAAAATTGGGACTGTTGGGGAGAACAAGAGCCAATGAAGCTGATATTGGCTCCGCTAGAGAAATCAGGAGAGGAAATTATTGGCAGATGGTGGTGGGTCTTGGCGCTCCACCGTATAGGGACGAGACTACTGCGCGCTATATCTTCATATTTGCAACCTAACTTATACTATTACAGCCTTATTTCTTGCCTTTCTTGCTTTTTCCTGTCTTGGATGTCTTGGGTGCATCACGGTCACTTTTGCCCTTCTTCCATCCAATCTTGCCCTCGTGTCGCTCGTTGGCATCATCCAGACGTTTCTTGTCCTTGTTGCTCAGCTTCACGTTGCTCTTCTTGACATTGGGTCCGTTCAGTTCCACCGCACCAAGCTTGCGGGCAACCTTCTTGTCTTTCTCCGTCTCGAACCATGTGCGCTTTGGTCGCGACATGATCTCATGTCCATGCTTCATCAAGTTCTCACCCTTGTTAACTTGCATCTCGACCTGAGCGAACTGCTTCTCGGTCTTCTCCTCTTGCAAGACCTCTTGAACTTCGTCAGCCAGATCATCCGCCTTTTGAGCCCAGCTGTCAGCAACAGCTTGCTCAATCACACGACTGGCGATCTTGGCGCCTTGTGCCTTGCCGGCGCGGACGGCCAGCTTAACCACCTTGCGATCGGGCTCGGCGGCAATGGTGCAGGCGCGACCGGATCGACCGGCACGGGCAGTACGACCAACACGGTGCAGGTAGATCTCATGGCTCTGAGGAGCCTCGTAGTTGATAACGGTCTCGACGCCCTTGATATCCAGACCACGGGAAGCGACATCGGTTGCGAGAAGGAATGCAACCTTGCCGTCTCTGAAATTTTCCACGGATTTGATACGCTGTATCGAATGTTAGTATCTTACAAAAGGTGGAAAATGGGTCGAACATACCTGGTCTTGGCTCAAACTACCGTGAAGCTCTCCAGCCTTCAAACCTAGTAGTCCGAAAATGATACGGACACGGTGCGCTTCCTTCTTCTGTCGGAAGAAAATAATAACGCGCTTTGTGTAAACTTCTTTGCATAGGTGCAATAGATATCCGAGACGCTTTTCCTCACGACCAGGACGCAGACGCACAAACTCTTGAACAAGGGTTGATACAGTGTTCTTCTTGGCGTCAACCATCAATCGCATGGGGCGGTTCATGCCAACACGGATAAGCTTGTCGACGGAGTCTGTCATTGTGGCAGAGAACAGCATAGTTTGACGCGACTTGGGAATTGTAGTGAGAATCTCGTTTAACTCGTCGGCAAAACCGTCTTCGAGCATACGATCAGCTTCATCAAGAACCATAATCTCCAAGGTGTCGACTGTGAAACTTGGCGAGTTGCGCATGTGGTCAATGAAACGACCGGGTGTGGCAATGATAACATCAGGGCGCTTCTTAAGCACATTTTCTTGTTCGCGGAGACTGAAACCACCGATCAACTGACAGAACGTGACGTCTGTGAAAGTAGCCAATTTGACAGAGACATTGTAACACTGGACCGCCAGTTCACGAGTGGGCATCAGGATCACAACACGACTTGTGGGAACCTTCCGGGGACGGAAGAGAAGACGCTCCAGGATGGGAACAACAAAAGCTGCAGTCTTTCCTGAACCAGTCACGGCGCTACCAACAATATCTTTGCCAAGCAGAGCAACGGGGATGGCCTTGCGCTGAATGGGTGTTGGATCAGTGAATCCAACGGAGGCCAGACCTCGAAGGATAGGGCGAGAGAGGTTAAATTCTTGGAACGTCATCTTAGCCATAGAGGCCTTGGTGTCGATCTTTTCTTCGGGGGCAAAGAATGCTTTACGCTTCTCGGCTTCCTCTTCGTCCACTTCGCTTTCAGCATCGGAGCCTCCGTCGAACCCAATGTCGTCTGGGTGACCGACAGGCGTGGCAACAGAGTCACTATCCGATGCAGCATCGTCATCATCTTCATCTGCGTCCTCGTCCTCGTCCTCGGAATTGTCCTCGGCGTTGTCTTCAAGTCCAGAGCCAACTTCGGGACCTTCTGCATCACTCTCCTCCTCGCCATCCACACCCATACCAAATCCATCAGCGGCCATGAGCTCATCGTCGTCAAATTCCACAGGGGCATCAGCTTCTAATGCAGCGTCGTCGTCATCGGATGCGCTGGCGCTTTCGGTTGAGTCCTGTGTCTTCTTCTTTTGCTTTTGAGAGGCTGCCTCCTTTTTGGCCTGCCTTCTCTCAATGATGTCGTCAATGTCCACTGCTTTTTTGTCACCGGACTTCTTCTCTTGATCAGCAGCACCCCAACCATCGAAGCCTTCGGTGACACCACGATTGGCTGCGCCGCCGACATCGAATTCGAACTCGGGATTCAGAACCCCATCATCTTCTGTCGCATCTTCGGCAGCATCACTGTCCTCAGCCTCCTCCTCGGACTCAAGTTCAGGCTCGGGGGCGCCGTTCTTCTTGTTTTTCTTGGCGTTCTTCAATTGCTGCTTTTCTTGTTGCTTTTGCTTCTTGTTCTTGGGCTTCGGGGCCTCTACTTCGCGCTTGCGCTTCTTGTTGTCGATCGGGGCATCGCCCATCATTTCGTTGTCCTCTTCATCGTCAAATCGGGGAGCGTCTTCGTTATCAGAGAGCGTGAAGACGAAATCGTCGTCTTTGGAACTCCGTGAGGGAGCCATCTTGAGGATTGTGGCGTAAACCTGGGAGACTCAAGGAACGAGAGAAAATTCCCAACAAGATAACTATCCCCAAAGATAAAAGAAAAGCTTGGAAACACTGCAATCCAGTCCCGCAGAGAAAATCGATCAACATGCAAAAAAAAAAAGTTCCCCGGGCGGTGACGGGCAATTGATCACATAAGCAACCCTTTGACACCTTGTAATTAAGGCTACAATGGCATCCCAAATAGGTTAATCCGAAGTAAACGATGAACCTCAGTAACTTAGCACTCAATGGGATTCAACACTATTACGAAGCATTCATTGGTTTCAGTGATTTTAAGTCTCGTTTCCTTCATTCTATGGCTTGCATTCCTATCGACCTACTGTACAGTAGGTACACCCTTGTTCCGCTCCTCTCCACTCCCATGTCACCCCATCTCGCCTCGTCCTCCGCCACTTCGCCGATGCCTCACGGGCTATCCCAGGCTTGATCTTGTGCATTGCGAATCTTTTCGGCTTCCTCGTGCTTCTGTTGTTGGTATCCAGGCCCAAGGTTGTACATGAATTCAGCACTAGTCTCGTGCCGGTGAAGGTGTGTGACTTTAATCCTCACAAGTCCTTGGGGCTGAATGGTGCTTCCAGTTTGGTAAAATCATTGAAGATTCTCCATCAGGAATCGCAGTTCCGTCGAAGAATGCAGTATGACAGATGTCCACTGTTTGAAAGACCGGCGGCAGTTGGTGCCACCAGCGCTGGAACTGTTCCCTGGCATCCTTGCGAGGGATAGTGGATGAGGAAACTCTCAATTCAAACCACCGATTCTCCCTCACTGCCAATTCAGGATTCCAGTGGCTCAATGGGAAAGGAGAAGGTGTATAGATCGCCTCGTTATGGTGTGATGTGAGAGTGAGCTCGCCATTCTCAACGATAGGGAACTGACGGGAAGAGCTTTCATATGCCATCACTTGACGCTGACGTAGAGCATTGAACCCAGCACGATACTCCGGCGTATCGATATCGCCCTCTGCCCAGTTGACATCCGCATCATTGTTGTCAATCTTCTCATCGGCCATGGATCTTAAGGGTTCGCTTGAACTTTTAGGGACAGACCGTGGCCTAGGAATTCCGGGACCGTCTCCTGCGACGGAAAGTTTCTCGGGACTCCAAGGCAAATTCTGCTGTTGATCGAAAGTACCCCTGAGGAGTTTTATTTCAGCCTCCTCCAAGTATTCCCACATCAAATCCACAATATCCCGGATCAACTCCCTCCTAACTCCGTGGCTTGGTTCATTACAATTCACGGGTCCTGGACTTGTGCTGGACTCCTTGGAGACTGCTGAATGCGCTCTGGATTTTGATTTGTCGCTGGCCTCGGATTGAGGAGTGTTGTTAGCACCCAGAGGCTGGAAATCACCATCCTCCGCCATGAGTGGATCTATCTGGTCTGTGAGATGAGTTACACAACTTGTGGCGGTCATGAGACTCACAGTTTAGTATCCTGAGTTTCCGTGATCTGTTTGTTTAGGGTTAGCTTTGCCTTAGATTTTGCCAGTGAAGGAAAGCTGCAGACATAATAGCTCGTCAGCATTTCTGTCTTGTCGTCAAGAATAATTGTCAAGGATGGCCACCTGTTCACTTACCCTGAGCTTTTACCTTTTATAGCTTATGGCATAAGCTTTGGTGCTTCTGCCGTATTGACGATAGCGTTGCAATCTGCGTCAACGCTGCAGTCTTAGGGCTCGGCTCCGTCTTGGAATACTTGAGCGTATCAAGATATCAATGTTGATGGAAGAGGAATATTGGGGTGAGCTTCAGATGGAAAAGAATCCCAGGTGGGGAAGAGGTTGAAAATTGCGAGGGAAGGGAATAATGAGTGACTTGACGCCAAAGTTGGCGAGAAAAACGACCTCGCCGGCGCGAAGTACGCCGTTTCTGCGGGTCCTTTTCAGCACCTTCCACCGGTTTAGGTGCAGCATGACCCCTGGGTATGATCTTTGACCTATTCATTGTGATCTTTCATGGTCTTCATCGGTTTCTCAGGCATTTGCTTATTTGCCTCTCTCTGTATCTGTCTCTTTGGATACATAATATCCTCTTCCGCATAATACCCACGCTTATTTGGTTCAAGATTTGGCTCAAATGAATTACCTGGTATTTAGATATAATCTTTGGTTCATACAGATCGTAACAAAAGACCATCCTTCAGGTTGGCCGAGTATGTAAAATTGATGTCTATATATTTAGCGCGCACACATAGCTACACATCTGCGGCCACCCAACTTTTCATTCTTGCCACCCATCCACCATGTTATCCATACTTCGCAAGGCACGCTTAAAAGACAAGGAGATGCGAATATTAATGCTGTAGGCCTTCTGTTCAAGTATTGATACCACACGCTAATTCTCCAAGGGGTCTTGACAATGCGGGCAAGACGACCATCGTCAAACGCATCATGAACGAAGACGTCACTACAGTCAGCCCAACCCTGGGCTTCATCATTAAAACCATTGACTTTCTAGGGTATGTTCCCATCAATCTTGGAGGATCCAATGCTAACCTCTCACAGATACAAGCTCAATATTTGTGAGTCCGAACTGCAGGAGACCGCAATCGGGGATTGACGCCAACAGGGGATGTCGGAGGACAAAAAACTCTCCGATCCTATTGGAAGAACTATTTTGAAAAGACCGACACACTTGTCTGGGTTGTGGATGCCACTGATCGCCTTCGCGCAAACGATTGTCGGGACGAGCTTTTGGGTCTGCTGCTTGAAGAGGTTCGGCAATCCCCGCAATCAGTGGATATTCACTGACTGGACGACAGCGACTCATGGGGGCCAGTTTGCTAGTCTTTCTGAACAAGACAGATGTGGAACATTGCATGGACGAGCAGGAGGTTCGCGAGGTAGGTGTTTTTAGCCTTCTCAATCGACTAAATGGCCCCGGACTAACTTCTACAGCGACTGGATTTGGATTCCATCAAAACCCACAAATGGACTATCCTGTCCTGCAGTGCAATGACCGGCACCAACTTAACTGATGGCTTAGAGTGGGTGGTGCAGGATGCTAAAGACCGGTTATTCCTCTACTGAGTCTCAACGTTATGTTTACGCCGGTGGACCAGTTGGATTGGCATCTGGCCTCGCTGGATCCAGTTCTTTCCGGGCTTGCAGTTCAACTATACAATCATTTTCCACCCGATAGGTGGAAGGAAACGTGTCAGATCGGGGAAGTTGTCTTCCGAGAGAGAGAGAGAGAGAGCAAAGGCACCAAGTGACATATCATTCCCCTTCTGCACCCCTGAAACTAAGGAGAAAGGAGCCAGCTGTGAAACAACAAGCATCCCAGACCCAACTATAGCAAATTCACCAACACCCAAGGGAGCAGAGAGAGCGCAAAGGATCAAAATCAAGAAAAATCCACGTAGAAGCCGGGAGAAGGCCATGACGGCGGGGCGATCCACACGTAAACAAACCCTTAAACACGCTCTAGGGGGAACCACCTCTGCATGGAAAAGCTGTTTCGGTACATCACTTTCAAGGCACATCGTTTCTCGTTCTTTTGTTCGAATCTGAAAGTCCAAACTCCCAACTGATGTGCGCCGATCGAGCCCGATCGAGTCCCGATTTAATTTCAACAGGGCGGAGAACTCAGCCTTCCTCTCTTCCCCTCCGCCACTACTCCCACCATGACTGAAGGCTCCGACGTCAATGATTTCCTGGAGCGCATTCGGGAACTAGGCGAGCGGCGCGACAAGGAAGACGAAGAGCGCACGAAGAAACTGGAGGAAGAGATTCTACAGGGCCGGAAAGAAAGACAGGCCCGGAGAGCTGGTACACCCCTGTCCCCCTCCCCCGGTGGTTGTGGTGGTAGACTGCTAACCAGACACTGGCAGAGCGAGCACGATCTCTTGCTCTCACAGATGACTCACCAACCCTTAATGTCGCGCGACTGAGCGCTTCCTCTATCAGCCCCAGCTCGATCAACCCACCGGAACACCTCGAGCCGACGCCGCAACAAGAGACACCGACATTGACACCGGATGTGGAAGAGAAGCCAGGGACCACCGAGTCCACAGAGCGGCATGGATCGATTCAAGACCCTCTGGATTCACCTCGAGCAGCGCCTCCGGTGTCTCGTAGTCGAGCAGGGACCTTGTCATGGCAGCAGCGTCCCTCGTCGCGGGATTTTGGGTCTTCCACAGCCTCCCCAACCCGATCACCGACACGTGCGAGTCATTTGAGAAACTTGTCCACCGCATCAGATGAAAACAGACTGTCCCGCTCCTTTGGATTCGCGCGCCCAAAAGACTCGTCTCCCCAAAGCCCGGAACGAAGCCTTGGATCGCCCTATCGTAGAAGAGAAGAACGATCTGATAGTGTCACAGAGCCGAGCGCTCCTCAATTGCTGCCACCAAGTTTGGATCATGAACCAAATGCCGAGGTTGAGAAGCCGGAGCTGGAGAGATCGCTGTCTATTCCAAGAACCGTGTCTCGGGATAGCAACACGGGCCATCGCTTCTCTGTATCGTCAGTCTCCGGACTGGGGTCACCAGTGCATCTGTCGGAGGCTCAAAAGCTTGAGCCGCCGCAGGCTGATTCTTCCCTCGAGGAGCCTTTGCCGGAGTCCCCCACTCAGCGGCGCATGTCTCCAGAGCGAACGCGATCAACATCGCCAACCAAAGGTCTTGGGGGGTTCGTTCAAAGTGCGATGATGAGACGGTCAGACAGCGTGTCAAAAAGATGGAGTGCTCAGATTCCGCAAGGAATCAGTCGGTCTAACTCGATCGTCTCGAATCGCAGTAGTGTAGCAGGTCCAAATTTGAGTGAAATGGTCCCTCCGTCAACTCGAGAAGTTGGCCGTGAGACTGCCACTTTTCATCAACGACCAGGGTCCAGTCACAGCGAAGCAGCCACCGAAAGAACCGAGAGGCCAACCACACCTTCTGGTCCCTCACCTGCATTTTCAGATAGAGACGGTGTGCGCGCCGAGGGAAGCCCAAGCAGACCAAATCGTCCACTTCACTCCAGGTCCGCCAGTTCAGTGACCACCGACGGCACCGATTCTGCTTTTGTATCACGCACCATGGATCCCAGACGCTGGAGCCCCAGCAAGGCTACCTGGCTGGAGAGTGCTCTCAACCGACCAGAGTCGCCGCGCTCTACCCGACCCCCATCGCAGCCCTCCTGGGCCAGGGACCGACAGTCTCGAGGCAGTGTGGACATGGGACGAGTGAGCAATTTCAAGGAAGTCACTCCCATTGGTTTGATGCGCACACCCCCTCCGGGACTTCAGTTCAAGAGGCCCAGCGTATCTGGTCTGTCGCTGCCTGAAAGCCCCGGGAACAAATCGAAAGAAACTGCGCCCGAATCCCCATCTGTTCTCAGTACTCCCGTTGCCAGCAAAATGCAGGAGACAATCCCAGAATCACCTTCTCCACTTGAATTTTTCGAGACCAAAGCAGACGAAGTTCCAGAGTCCGCCTCTGTTCTCGAGACCTCTGATACCAGCATTGTAAACGAGACGGCTCCTCGGTCACCTTCTGCTGACAGCCCTGGACCTACCAAATCGAGGGAAGCAATCCCAGAGCCTCCTTCGTCTGCCGAGAAAGTCTCAGCCACACCTGTCAAGGAGACGGCCGAGCAACTCAAGCCTGTCGCTTTCACCGAAGAAAGAAGCGAACCGCAAGAATGGGAGACGGAAGCATTGACAGATTCTGCAGAAACCGAAGCTGCCCCTAGGCCTGAATCGACTCCTACTCGCCGGCCTCCTCCCTCATCTTTAAGCCCTAGACCAAACTTCTCTATTTCTACGTCAACTCGAGAGCCCACTTCACCCAAGCCTAAGCCGCCTCAATCTCCGGTTGTGGATTTCAGAGCCAATCTGCGGAAACGAGAAGTTGTCAAAGATAGCGGACCCGAGAAAGAACCAGAATTCAAAAACATATTCGGGCGGCTCAAGAAGACCGAAACCCGCAATTATGTTGCACCTGATGAACTCAAGGGCAATATCCTTCGTGGGAAAGCTGCTCTCAATTCTACTGGAGGACCAATGAAGACCCAGCGAGTTGATGATTTCAAGGACAGCCTTGTGAAACGCAAAGACGAAATGAAGGCCGGTGGAGGCTCTATTAGACGAAACACTGCCGGTGAGAAGGACGCGCCGCCAAAGCCAGCCGATGCCGTTCCAGAAGCCATTGCCGTTCGACAAAGCATGACAAGACCTAAGAGTATAAAACGAATTTCTGCCGATGAACCAATTTCTCCTTCCCAAAGCATCGGCTCCTCACGGACATCTCAGGGTCGACAATCGTTCTCGCCGTTTCCTACTTCACCCGCAAAAGATATCAGTTCGTCGAGAACGTCTCAGGAACGACCACCTTGGCCACTATCCCCTGCCAATGATGACCCTGCATGGCCGTTGAAAGACACTGGGGTATCGCCTGCATTGCAGGAAGTCCAGCCATCCCCGTCGTTCCCTATCGATGATTCCGCGAAAGAGACCGAAACGGTGACTACGGCAACTGAACATCTCCATGGCACACCTACGCTGGAAACCATGAGTCAAGGACAAGAGCGTGCGATGATGGATCAAATTGAACCCAGTTTCGGCAAGGCCCAGGATGCTCCCACTGAGCCTATGCCCCCGGTCCGTAACTTGTCACCGGTCCCCGTTGCGCAAGCCACTGTGAACCCAGCCCCGGTAGGAAAAGGCAGACTAGCAGGCCGAATCAATCCCGCGCTGGCTGGCCTACTGTCTCGCGGCCCGCCCATGACCGAAGGACCGAAGAAGGACCTCCCGACTCCGGTATCTACTGAAAATGACTCTGCGTCGCCCTTTGCGCCTTTAACCCACGTTACGAAAGGTCGTGCCAGAGGTCCAAAGAGACGACTTCCCCAGGCAGCGGCTGCTTCGACCCCGTCCCCCCGGGATGATTCTGAGGTTGGTGCTATTTCATACTTCGAAGCCATCCCATCAGAGGCTCCTCCGATCCCTGTTCAGTCTTCGGACGACACATCGGATCGCCTCTCGCAACCTGACTCAGATCTGATTCCTGACACCGAATTTCCTCGTTCAGGCAGCCCGGTCACCGAACTCCCTGTGAATAGTCCCTTGCAGGAACCCCTCGAACGCGAACCCACCCTTCCAATCTCTGCTGCGTCTTTGGACGATACGTCAAATCACTTCTCCCAATCCGATTCCGCTTCTCTTCCTGATGCCGAAGACCTTCGCTCAGTTAGTCCGCTCGCTACTCAACCTCCCGTGAGCATCCCATTGCCGGACACTGATATTCCCGAGAGCGAACCTGCGCTCTCAATGCCTGTTGAGTCTTCGGACGATGTGCTCGATCACATTTTGCATCCTGATTCAGCTTCTCTTCCTGACGCCGAAATCCCTCGCTCAGTTAGTCTGCTCGCCACTCAATTTCCCGTGAGCATTCCATCACCGGACACAAATCTTGACGAGAGCAAACCAACGTCCTCAATCCCTGTTGAGTCTTCGGACGATACGTCAAATCGCCTCTCCCAATCCGATTCAGGTTCTCTTTCTGATGTCGAAGACCTTGGCTCGGTTAGTCCGCCCGCCACTCAACCTCTCGTGAGCATTCCATTACCGGATACGGATATTCCCGAGAGCGAACCTGCGCTTTCAATGCCTGTTGAGTCTTCTGACGATGTGTTCGATCACATCTCGCAGCCTGATTCAGATTTACTGTCTGACACCGAACATCTCCCTTCAGTCAGTCCAGTTACTACTCAATTTTCTGTGAATATTCCATTGCAGAGTAGCCTTGTGGGAGAGCCTGAGCAACAACCTCAAATTCGTTCTTTGACGACGGAATTCGACATATTTCCTTCTCCTGGATCCTCCCCTAGTCTTGACACTTTACCCCATACTCTTGACAATCCCGAAGGTATGAATGTATCAGACGGACCGCCTGCCCTGCCAAATCCTAGCCCACCCACATCTCCATTGCCCTCAATTTCAAAATCACTTTCGGGCCAGCAAGACAGGGTTGCGTTATCGTCTTCATACCTTCTCGAAACAAGCGAAAAAGAGAATAGCATGGATATTGAGCAACAACCTCAAACTCGTTCTTTGACAACGGAATTCGACATCTTTCCTTCTCCTGGATCCTCCCCTAGTCTTGACACTTTACCCCATACTCTTGACAATCCCGAAAACATGAATGCATCAGACGGACCGCCCGTCCCGCCCAAGTCTAGCCCACCCACCTCTCCATTGCCTTTAATGCCAAAATCACTTTCAGGCCAGCAAGATCGGTTTGTGTCGTCGTCTCCATCCCCTCTCAGAACAAGCTACAAAGAGAATCGTATGGACACACCCCCGACTCCTCCGCAGAAGAACGATCCCGGTATTACAGCATCCGCCACACAGGAACATGTCCAACGCACCACAAACCAACCCTCGCCCCCTGTGCCCCCAAAGCAAGATGACTATATGCTTAGCAAGCCCGTTGATCCGCGCCGACTGTCCCGCAAGATGTCAGCGCCGTCACTGGTTGCACAAGCAAGCGAGGCACGAGAGGTCATTGCGGGATTTTTCAAGACGTTTCCCACCCCTCGAGACCGCATGGATATCGACCCGCAGTTGATGTTGATGAAGAAGCCAGAGGAGTCCAAAATCAGAACTCTTAGGATGCAGATATGGGAGCTTACGGGCGATGGTAGACGCCAGGAACTTCCCTCTCATCAAGAGTATATTCTCTACCAAGGCAGCATGTATCTTTGCGTGCATGTATTTGAGGCACGGGGAAGCAATAACTCGGAAGTTTATCTCTGGTGTGGAGATGATGTCCCTGATGTCTCGGTGGACAGTGAACAGATGTTTGCTCGCAAAGTCGCGCGCGAAAATAGCTCCAAGCTTCAGGTCATCCGACAAGGCAAAGAACCAGTTCGTTTCATTCAAGCTCTCGGTGGTATCATGATCACCCGTCGAGGATCTAGCTCTCGCCATAACTCATCGGCCCTCTACATGCTCTGCGGCCGGAAACATCTGGGACAGATGACCTTTGATGAGATTGACTACTCGCTCCGCAACCTCTGCTCCGGTTTCCCGTACGTTGTTTCAGCTCCCTTTGGCAAGCTCTATCTCTGGAAGGGCAAGGGCAGTGGGCCTGAAGAAACAGGGGCTGCTCGTCTTATCGGGATGGACCTGGGTTTGACTGGCGAGTTTGAAGAAGTCGCCGAGGGCGAAGAACCAGAAGACTTCTTCGATGTCTTCGCAGGTCCTCGAGAAGCTGCTCCGTACATGTGTCAGAACTATTGGCAGCTCAAACCGAAGCATTCTCAGTTCCGTATACGGCTTCTGCGTGTCGACCATGAACTAGGGCAACCGACTCGGTTCTGGAATCTTCGCCGCCCTGGATCAGGCTCGCCTGTGGTGAGGCCCAATGACTGCGTTCAGGAAATCGAGCCTTTCTGTTACCGCGATCTCAACGACAAGGATATTTACGTTCTGGATACGTTCTTTGAGATCTACGTGTAAGTATACACTCCCTTTCATGTGCGTGACCTTGATGCTAATTCCTTGATAGAATCATCGGCGAGCAAGCCACCCAAAAGTCGGCTGATTTCACCTCCGCAGTGGTGTTCGCGCACGAGTATGGCCTCCTGGCTACCTCTCTTCAGGACCGACCTTTCATCCCTAAGAGCTACGTGACGCTGGGAGGTGTCGCCGACCGCTGCCAGAGCGCGTTCCGCAAATGGAACCCACGCACTCTCAATGCGCCATTTGTCTTCCCATTAGATGTGGTGATTGAAGCCATGCGAGCTATCGGGGAGTAGTGAAACGCATTTTATTTTCCATGCATATTTTCGGCCTTTCAAGGGGGGAGGAGTCCATCTTCATTCAGCATTTGGGATGTAGATACAGGGTTTACGCATTTGAGGTGTAATAAGGCATCTCGGTTGATATTGAATGTTATTTTATTAAACATGTTACCATATCCGAGTGAATAGAAGGGTATATATTAAGCTATCAGGATATACGGAAAAGTGAAGCGCGTATAGTTCCAGTGAGTATGTGATGTAGAAGCGTCCATTGCCAAGGGATGGGCTCACACGGAGATAAAAAAAAACCGGACCATGTCGCCATCTTTTAGCGTCTCCGACTTCCCCCAACTCACTTCCAACATGCCGTGAATCTTCCTCTTCAACATGGATCCCTCACGCTTAAAGGACCCTGCGGTGCCATTCCGCTCGTCCACTGATCACCTGCATCACACGTGGGCCAAGACCTTCTTCTCGCGCCCGGAGCTCTACATCCGACCTCAGACTATCCCCGAGGTCCAACAGCTTGTGACCCTCGCTCGTCGCTGTCGTCGCCGAATTGTCACTGTAGGTAGTGGCCACTCGCCCTCCGATCTTACCTGCACCTCCTCATGGCTCGTCAACCTCGATGACTTCAACCGTATCCTGAACGTTGACTCCGAAACCGGCTTGGTCACTGTCGAAGCGGGCATCCGATTGAGTGAACTGGGCGCACAGCTGGAGAAGCATGGCCTGACGCTACCCAACTTGGGGAGCATTGACAGCCAATCTATTGCGGGTGTCATTGCGACAGGCACACATGGCAGTTCCCTTCGCCACGGACTGCTATCGGAATGCATCGAATCACTCGGCCTAGTGCTTGCCAATGGCCAGCTGGTCCGTTGTAGCCCGACAAATAACCCGGATCTGTTCCGCGCCGGACTGGTCTCACTCGGAGCCCTCGGAATCGTTGTCGAGGTCACCTTCAAGGCGACGCGAACATTCAACATTGCCTGGCGCCAGGAGCGGTATTCGCTCTCTCGCGTTCTCAGTGACTGGACCCAGGGGCTGTGGACAAGTCACGAGTTTGTGCGTGTATGGTGGTTGCCATATGAGAAGAGTGCTATTGTCTGGCGCGCTGAGAAGACCGACCTTCCCCTGCGTGCACCACCGAAAAACTTCTATGGAGATTCAATCGGCTACCACATTTACCATAATCTGCTTGCCCTTTCTTCCTATATTCCACGCATCTTGCCCTGGATCGAATGGTTCGTCTTTGGAATGCAGTATGGGTTTCGTCCTGGCTCGACCGTCACCGAGGCCATTGAGCCCGCACGCTCAGGACTGTTGATGAACTGTCTATACTCACAGTTTGTCAACGAGTGGGCACTCCCCCTGGACAAAGGACCTGAAGCCATTCTTCGCCTTTCAGCCTGGCTGCACGGCGACTTGAAAACCGCGCAAATCCCATTCTCTCCCAAGGGACTGTGGGTGCACTGCCCAGTAGAGGTACGGGTCTCAGACTCCTCGCTCAACACGAAACCCCGACCCTTTTTAGACCCGACTTCTCGCGATGGACCCACGCTGTACTTGAACGCGACTCTCTATCGGCCCTACCTCCGCGACCCCCCTTGCAGAGAACGATACTATGAAGCGTTTGAATGGCTCATGCGGGACATGGGCGCCAAACCCCACTGGGCGAAAAACTTTCGTACTTTGGGCCCCTCCGAGCTGGGCAAAGCATACGGCAAAGACATGGACTCGTGGTTGAAGGTCCGGAAAGAAGTCGACCCGGACGGCATGTTTCTGGGCGAATGGCATCGCCGCAATCTGCCCCTGAATGAAGCACCTGACTCAGACGAGCGGTTGCCCCTCCTGGAGCGTGAACAGGAGCGTCGCAAATTGAATATCAGTGGCGTCGGTGATGGTATCGAATGGGTAGGCGATCGCCGGGGGCAGGTTGAGTCGGACCACCCGACAGAGATGACATATGATCTCCCCGAATCTTCTACTGGTAGTCCTGCCAGCGAGGAAAGCTTTGATTTGCTTGCAAAGGGGGAAGCGAGCATCTTACTCCCCGGGCCTGAGATGAGCAATTAGGCTCCCAAGCAAACAATATGGGGTGTTTGGTCGGGTGCAAGCCCCGACTTTCCCTGCCCTGCTGATCGTCCCAGACTCTCCTGACTGGCTCGGTTGCGGTGCTTGTTGTGACATACAATCCTTCTTCTTTGGTTTCCGGTCTGCGCTTAGGGGGGTTGGATCGGGCAATCCGGTATGTTCGGGCTTAGCGTCCGCCAACAAAACGGACTTTGAAGAGCTTTTACGGCTTATTGATTCTTTCCCTTCCCCCTTATTTGGCTACCCGTGTTGTTACGAATTTCTTGTGTTCTCCCTCCCCCGGGGCTTACTCGCCAAGGCAGAATTTGACCCCATGGTGTCTGATGCTGTTTGGTGTCGGTGAGAAAGACTTGCGTTTGTTGATGCATGATCCTCGCTACGGGGTCCTTTCATAGGGCCGTTCATCTGGATGAAATCAATAGTCAATAATTGTACCTTGGCCATCTACTGTATATTGCATGACACAGGTGTTCTTTTCTGGTATTGGGGAAAGGGTCTGTCTACCCTTGTCCTTTGTCTCTTGTCCCCTGTCCCCTGTCCCAGCTGAGAAACTGAGAAACATCCAGCTTGCACACAAATCCCTTCCAGAGAGAAATCTAGCCACGGTGGCAAACCCGGGATTCAGCATTCAATACCATACCTGTAAAGTCCAATGCGACCCGAGTGATACACAGCAACTCGTTCTGCCCTACATTTGGGAGTATACCAACAAGCTGAATATCAATGCAAAGATCTAGCCTAGACAACTGTTCAGATTAGGGCTGCCTCTCCAAGTCCAGGATATCTGTTTGTCTTGTGCAGGCTGTGCCAGGGCTATACTTAGAAGGCTTTCACAAAGAGAAACAGACCAACAGACCCCGCTTCAGGCTCAGGCGCTATCCTCTGAGAGATAGCGGAAGAGAAAGAGAGGGAGAGAGAGAGAGAAAAAGAGAAAAAGAGAAAAAGACCAAAAGACCAAAGGGCATTCGTGACACGTTTCGGTGCAGCTGGTTGACTGGGATGTTTTATACTTCGGTTTGTTTGGTTTGTCTCTTTCCTCCCAATTCGCACTTCTCTCCCATTTCCCTCCTTCGCCTTTTCATCTCTTTCCTCTCTCTCTCTGTCTGTCTCTCTTCCTCTTCCTCTCAGGCGGCATTGACCCCTCCACCACCCTTCGTGCAGCTTGACAGGGGCCTTGATTGGTGCAATAGGTGCCCCCTCCAATTTCATCTCCCTCAGCCGCCAGGATCACACGTGTTGAGAGGGGGGAAAGCTAACGTGTGACGAGACGTTGCAAAGCCCTCAATGCATTGTATCCTGCCCGAAGAACTTGCGGCTCGGACCGTGCTCAACTGCGCTCAACTGCGCCCAAATGGTCCCCGTCATCCTGGACTCTGTCGCGCTTGTCTGACAGACTCTCCACGTCACTAGTAACTATACCCTGTGCTTGCTTATATGCGGGGCCTGTTGATATGAAGGTCTCTTCCTGTTCACCCCCACCTGCTCCCTTTTCTTTTCTTTTCTTTTTCCCCATTAAATTCTTTGCTGGCCAAAGTTGTTCCTATTTCTTCCGATATCTATATATCTTTCTTCAATACAACCTTGTTTTCTCTCTGGCCTTTGCTGTCCTTGTGACCTCCTCCTTGGTGCTGTGCAGGATATGATCCAGTCGAGTATGTCATGGCAACCAAAGCTTCGCCCCAAGGGCTTTCCCCATAGCATTGACGACTTTGCGGCAATGGCCTCACTATCGGAATTGGAACATCGGACCAGGACGGGCGAGGACAAACGCGACCAGCGTGTCTTCCGGGTCAAGCGCAAGCATGTTTTAAAGGCGTGTGATCGCTGTCGCGTGAAAAAGACCAAGGTATGTCGGCAGTCCGGGGACGGTGGATATCTTCTAACAAATCCCAGTGCGACGGGAAACAGCCTTGCAATCGCTGCTCACTATACAACCACCCATGTTTGTTCCGCGAGCGAAAGGCTACTCAGACTAAAGTATACTCTCGAGGGTAAATACTTTCTTTCAAGTATTCGAAGCGTGGACGGAAGTTAATTCATGCCTGAATCTATAGCTTTGTCGAAATGCTCGAATCCCACCACTCACTGGTAGTCAAGGCTCTGCAGAAACTCTACAAGTTCTGCATCAACAACGAAAGCTTCCCTGGCGAGCCACTGGCTGAAGCACCGGACGGCCACCCTCTAACGCACGCAATTCTTGATCGACTGGGGCTAATCAAACAAGCTGAGGAGAACGCCGACGAACCAGATGAGGACTCCGAAGATCTACGATACTTGCGCCTGTTATCAACGTCGACAGAATGCAGTGTCACGGCCGAGCCCTCCCCTGAGCCAACGACTCCCCCAGAATCTTCGCCTACCACCTTATCACACTCAACATGCCCTATCCCTACACCCATTCCGAGTCGCAGCAGCGCCGCCGGAAACTGGCAGTGGGATCTTCAGCCGGTCCAACAACCAAGCTACAGCTACCCTGACGCGGGATACCATGACTTGATGACCATGCAGCGGTCATCCATGAACGCATCAGATATGGGTACTGATGTCTCGCCTCCCATTGAGTTATCGGCCGGCCCTTCCAGTCTCCCGCTTCACCCCCAGCATAACCCCTCATTTTCATATGTTCTTGATGGCTGCTGTGATCATGCGGTTGGACAGCCTGATGTCAAACCTGTTATGACTCGACATCATAGTCTGATGAATACGCACCTGCATTCGAACCCGCATCCCCGCTCGCATCCGCATGCCAATCCTCTAGCGGGCGATTTGCCTGGTCAAATGATCGACGAATTTCAGTTTCAGGCACCTGATGCCGGGTTCTATCAAGGCTTTACACCTGGCTGGTCTTTCCCCTCTGGGTAGATTTGATTTCATCTGCTGCAGTAAGACTTGACTATTCTCTCGTACACGCCGACTCGGGAGAAGCTGCTGGGCGGCTTCTTATACTTCACTTCTTATACTTCACTTCTTACCTATACTTTGACCCTTTATCGGCGATCTTTTTTTGTTCTTCTTTTGTTTTCCCTGTTCATTTTCGGTTCCATCGATCGCTCTATACCCCCATATCCATATGCGAAGCCAAGATCAGAACCATTCCTTAGATTGGTGTTGGTCTTGAATTCAACGTTCTCAACACGGATCATGGAGCAAGGAACACCCGGGATACGAGGCAGGACACATGTCTGGCACATTCATCTTGCCCTGATCATTCGCTTTCACATTTTTCTCTCGGGCTCAGATCTTTCTTTGGATCGTCATATCTTTTTCCCCCTCGGGCTTTTCAAATCAGGTATCTAGTTTGAGACATCCCCTATCAATTAAGGTACTAGTCCTTGGCCTTTGAGTCTCTAAGTATTGAGTTCCGATTATGTTGCTCAGGATCTAAGGTCCTTGTTTTGCTCGAAGTTGGAGGTTTGTATGATACACGGGTCTACGTACCCACATACATTGTATAGCAGCATAGAAAGTCAGGATCAGCTATTCTACTCTATGAAATCTTGTTTTGCGATCTCAGGATGCGTCAAGGAGAACAAAGGGTATCCGGATCAGGATACATGGCCTGGTTTGAGCAACTCCCGAAGTAGGTCTTCGACAGAGGACCGAAACTGTGCCCCGGCAGAGAACAACAGATCAGATCTGGAACAGGAAGAGCACATCACACGCACATATCGATCTGGCATTAACCCAGAAAAACCAACCCAGCAAGTTCAACAGCTCAAATCTAGGTGAATCATAGTACACTCTATTCCTTGTTTAGGACTGGGATCAGCTCGGCGTGGGGGGACTGTGACACTGGGCCCTATATGTGAGTGGCTTGATGACCTTGCAGTGCAATGATACCTAGTAGATATCACAGTCATGGCGATGTACGTTGTATCATCCAGACAACACTGCAAGAAACTATAGGGGAACATTCACCGACACCAAGTATAAGCCTCCAGGTTGGGACTATTCTTATCGGGTGAATATCTGAGTTGGAATTTGAATTTGATTTTGGGGCCGATTCCTCACGTCTATTAAACGAACAGGAATAAATGATAGATGCACATACACACAGGGGGGAGAAAAGAAAAGGAAGAAACCAAATAGAAACCCCGAAGCTACCCGATGAATAGTAGAATGACCACAAGAAAAAAAAAACAGACACAAAAATTTCGACTGTTTCAGAGACAAAAGCAAAGGTCCATGTCACACTAGTCTCAAGTACAATGGATCAATCAGTGCAAGAGAAAGGGAATCAATCCTCGTCCTCCGTCTCCGTGTCGGTATCGCTGGTATCGCCTGCATCGCCATCGGTGTCACTCTCGCTGGAGTCGTCGGAATCCTTGGGCGTCTTCTTCTTGGGTGGTTGGCCCGTCTTGAGAGCTTGCATTTGGCCGGCGATAGAGTCTGGAGAAGTATTAGCAAAGAAAAGTAAGACCAGGAGCTTGATGAAGACTCACCCTCGTCAGGTTCACTGATATCGTCATCTTCTTCCAAGGCAGCCGCCTTGGCTGGGTCCTCAATGTGCAGGGTGATCTGTGTTGAGTAGTCGAGGCCGAGGTAGCTGTCACAAAGCATGTTGAGGACGAAGGTGAAATCGCCGACCTGCGGAGGAGCCTGGAACTGCATCTTGAGAGTCTGGACGTTGAAGGTAGGCTTGCCGGCCTCGTCAAAGATCGGCTTGTCGAATGTGGTGAATGTGAACGGCGGAACGGCCATCTTGCCCTGCTTGGCATCCGCGAGGAAAATGTTCCAGCGGGGGGAGTGGTCGCGGGCGAGGTATGGGGCGTGAGCGAGGGGTGGCTGGATAGTCTCAAGCTTGTTCTCGACTTGCTTGCCATCGACAAGCTTGGTAGCGCGGTTCTTTGCGGGCTTGCGTCCCATCAGGGCCTCGAGGTCGTCTTCGTCAGGGTCGATGTCTTCCAGATCCGCTTGGTTCACTGCCGGCACGGATTTGCTACCAGGGGGGATGAAGCGTGCCTTGACAACCAGCTGTACTAGACTGCTGGGGGTGATGACCTTCTCGCCCATGACCTTGAAGAAGATCTTCTCTGGTTGGAGAACAGGAAGTTGTTGGGCGACGGAAATGGCATCGGCGTATTGCTTCTCAGACAGAAGACCCGCGCCGACAGTCAGACTGCGTCGTTCGGTCTCGGGAATGGCCATGAACTTTTGAACGGTAAGGTGCTCCTTGACATCTTCACCTTCAACGGACTTGACGACGGCGTCATTGAAGTTGGGGAGCTGCAAGAGGGGCGAAGATCCCGGGGAAACGGCCTGAATGAGGTTCTGAGAGGTTTTGTAAGCGCCGATGATGGGTCCAATGGTACCAAAGGCAAGAGAGATGGCAGTGAAGGCTTCGGAGAGAGAGAGCGCGACAGGAGCGGCCTCGTATTTTTCTGCGGAAATCGGTCAGTACAGTAAATGAACCAGCGGTCTCTATGCAACTTACCGGCATCGAGAGAGGCGTCACCGAGATCGATGCGACCCAGATAAGCCCAGAGTAATGCCAATGCCTTGCGACGAGAGGAGTTGTCCATCTGCTTCAAAGCCTCCCGGTCCTTAGCCGACAGGAACGTAGAGTCATCTGCTAAGACGCGTTTCTCAAGCTTGGCCAGACCGGACTCGGCCTGAGCGCCCTTCAGCATGTCCTTGAATTCCTCGCCAGCCGACAGGGCACTGATGATGCCGCCTTCGGAGATGTCTTCCTTGTACTCGCGGAAAATGTTTCCAGCGCTAGCAACAAGGACACGCTCCTTAGTGTAGCGCTGGGATCCATACCACCACTTCCCAACAATGTATGGCAGAAGAACGCCCAAAAGTGCACCGTAGACCATTAAAACGTACTTTCCATTGCCCTCCATGACAATAAACTGGGGAAGGGCAATGCCAATGCTGAAGCTCTGCTTGCCATCGGGGTGGCCATATTGGAGGTAGTTGTTGCGGATCTCTTCATCGGTCAGAGCTTTGTAGGCCTTGGTCAGCTCGACGAAGCGCTCATTGAGCATATCCATGGTCTCATTCTTAGAAGGATCAGGGCGAATTTTATCGGGGTGATAGATCAACGACATGCGCTTGTAATGTCTGGAAATAGCTTTCTCATCGGCACTCTGTTTGTGAATGAATCGTTAGTGCTCTTGTACCAGAAGCCCCGGCTGGGATTGGACAACTCACCCTCGAGACACCCAAAATATCGTAAGGATCATATGCCTTCACCACGGTCCGTGCTGTGACGACAATCAAGTAGACCATCCATGCCATAACCGCATATCCGACAACTACGGTAATGATGCGCTTAATTCGGCGCTCTTTGCGCAGACGCTTGCGCTTCTGCGCGTCAATAAGGTCGGCATGTTCGGGTTTGAAGTCGGATTTGATGCGGGGAGCAGTGTTCTCAAGCTCTGTAGGTAGCGCAAAATTGTTAGACCGAGTCAATCATCCTGTACCAGTCACGACTCACCTTTGCTAGGACGTAGGAGGTTATAGGTGAGAGGAAGTGTGACCAGGCCGGTCAAGGTGAGGATGAAGAAGGGGAAGAATTGTCCCTGCTCATCAAGTCAATACTCTTGTTCCTAATTGCTGATATAGTTTCCTTAATTTGGGTTCCTCACCTGCTCATCGTATGTGTAGTCTGACGACATCGTGCGGCGCGTTCAAGGTACAGCGGTGGCCGCTGTCCGCGGAATTTAAAGATCGTGTTGCACAGGGCTGTTGACAATAGCCACTGGAGGTAGGTAGAAGATTGCAACTGGGGGGCTCAGAAGAAACAGCAAGAGCTTATTGACAGCTCCAAAGCATGGCCCGAAACAAAGGAGTGAAGGGAGAGACAATATCGCACTTCCTGATCTGGTGATGACCGTGTCCTCAAGGGTCTCACCGCCTGCCAGAAGTGGGGGCTCGATGGGCAGATGGTGGCGGTGAACACATAAGCAACTAACCTGGGAATCCCGTTTGGTGACTAAGTTAAGGGTTGCACTCTCTCAACCACCGACTTGGACTCTGATATTCTTTACTGTAGAGTGGCGTGGATCGTATTTCATATGTAATTGTTCTGATGGCTACTTATATACAAAACTCAGAGCTACAGTCGTGAGAAGTATTCCAAGCTCAATGCTGCCATTACCACTCCCTTCGGTTTGGGAAACAAGAACAGATACATCACACACATATTCCTCCTCTCACTCTCATCATCTGACCCTGCCCGAGAGGGAACTCAAGTGTCAACAACTCAAGGTCGGACACGAACTCAACCAAACAGGCCGGGGGCCAAGGGTGATGACTCAACAGTGACTCATTTTTTGGTGTGACCGAATCAACAGACCAGTGTCACGGCCGGTTCATAGGGGACCAATCCGATGTCGGAGACATCTTCATTGCTGCAAGTCGGGGACCCGGGTATCCGTGGGATCTGTGTTCTTGTTGTTGTGGCTGGGCGCGTTTGAGATGGCAGACGCTGGGCGTTGCCTGTGGTGATTTTTTTGGGTTTGTCGAACGCGGATCATCATAACGTCGCAAATTCATCAAAGTAGTGGGTGGTTTTTTGTTGGCTTTTTGGTGGACCGAAAAGAAGTGGAAAGAAAAATAAACCGCTGGAAGTTCTCCGGCCGGATATCGACTGGTTCAATCTCCAAGGGCATGGCTACTGGTGCTGGGTCACGTTAGACTCCTTGGTCCTGGCGAAGGCTGGCCTCGAGGGCGTGATACTCACGAATTGATATAGTCCAGTCCGCCGAAGAACTCGAGCATACGATCACAGAGACTCATGTCGTCACCCGGTTCTCCGCCAAACAGACGACATTGTTCGTCTTGGCCTGCTTCCAGTCCCATTGGGCGTTCACGGGTCTGCCATGCTGTATATCCAAAGTGCCATATTGGGGCGGGAGCTACAGCTGGAGAGCCACATGAGGTGGCTGGAGAGTTGTCGAGAGACACCGGCTCACAGAAGGTGTTCTGGGGTGTCTGAAAGGATGCCGAGGATTGTAAAGTTATAGATCGATTGCGGGAACGAGGACGAGTGCGACGTCTGTTATGCCGGCCCATTCTAGAGATCAAAAAGAGAAAGTCAAGACTTTTAGAGCGACCATCACCCCCTGAGGACGAGATGAGGTAGACCAGAATCGTTCCCAGGGGGGGGATGACTTTATATGTCGCAAAAGTTGCGTGAGTCACTATAAAACGACCCACTCGCGGGTCCCACAGGCAGATCTCCCATGCTTTGTGTTTGGCACGCCATTTCTCTGCTTGGGTTCAGGATTTGGGCTTAGGGTTTGCCTGGGCGCCTTTAGGGCAGTTCCGGCATCGATTCGATTCGCCATATCCAACCCAGATTCCTAACTGAGGGTCGAAATGGTGACTCTTCCATGACTCCCATCCCATTTCAACACATGACGACAAGCCCCCATGCCTGCATTAGTGCCGGCCCGACTGGCGATCGCGTCAGGCAACCCACACCCGGTTTTTCCCTACGGAGTCGATGGTCTGACTCCGAGCAGAGTTTTCATACCTTGCATCCCTTTCTTTGTCGCGGTTCTAGAACTCGACACATTCCGAACATCAAAGAACAGGAAAGAATTCGAATGCAAGGACCGAAATTTAATTCAATTCGTGTCAAAGAAAAAGGAATTTCATAATGGAAAAAGAAAATAAGCCCTTAAAATAAATATACCATTAATCTCCCTGTTGAGTCAGGTTACTGGACGCACCATCCACGTAATGCACTTGACTGGGTCAATTTTGTTCAAGTACTAGGCGTATGGGCATTGTGGAACATCCTGTGAGCTCAAAACATTGCACCTCCTAGTAATCATATAGCGACCAGAGACTGTCCAAAATGTCTACAGTAGATTGGGGCTCAACCTCTACTACAGACCCACTAGTCGCCTTCGTAAGGCTTTGACAGTAGCCATTTATTTTGGCTTTCTCATTATATCCATAGTCCCTGTTATTGCACATGCAGTTTCTGATATATTCTGTCCTCCACACCATCCGAACTGCCCTGAGATTGAGCGAGATCCAATTGCTCTCTTCCAGGGCCTTCACTCCGTCATACTTCTGCCATTTTTTACGACTATACCACTTCTCATAGGAATATTCAAACAAGCCCGCATGCCGTTATAAACCTAAAGTCTGACTGGAATAAAGCTTCAGACAGCGGCTTTCATGCTCTCAGCCATTTCCTGGGTCCCAAGAGTCTCTGTTCCATGGGATTTATATCTAGATGGTGGACACTCAATCATTCTGATTTGATGCATGGTACCACATGGTTGGTTTTGTCGCTGTCGACGATGCATTCTTCGCTCTGGGGCAAGGATGTTTGTTGTGGTTGTCTTTGCGACAGATTCGACGTGCGGAGAAAGGGGAAAGACAGCCGCTTTTGGGGTGATACTTATGTTAATATACCAAATCATGATTTTGGCTTTTAGTTTTGGATCCCATAAGTTAGACCCTTTTAAGTGATGTGTTTTATTGTGATATCGTTAATTTCGTATATTTTACCATTTTCCATCAATAAGTATGATCTGCTATTTAACATTCATGGATATTCATGAATACTAAATAATCGATATATTTTACCCGTACGTGCCTGTGAAATTGAAAATTACTGAGAAAAAGAATTCTGCCCGCCACTCCACCTACTCGTTCAACCTACTAGTTCAACGGGTCTCTCTCTCTCTCTCTCTTCTGCCATCCTTTTCTTTCCCTGTTTATTCTGACTTTCTGTATTCTCCCCCAACCTTTTCTTTAAAGTTGCCATGGATCCTGGGCTTAAATCAATTATTAGATTCTTTGAACATGATAGACCGTGAGGTTCCCCCTACCTGTCCATTGTTCCAAACTAACAAATATCCTAGTCTAAACACGCCCAGACTTTCCATGGAGGTTCAGCCGACACTCCCAGTTATGTCTTTAGCTAGCCCGACAGGAGGGTTTATCGTCACTATTCGTCGGGCAGAGGATGACTGTGACAAGCCCTGTATCTTCCACTGGAGCCACTTGTGTGATGCATGGGGTCCCTCTGGCTTCGTAATCTTTCAGCATACGCCAAATGGTCTAAAACGGGTCGAAGGAACGCCCAGGCTGCCACCTCCTCAGACTCTTAAGATTACAGGATATGAAGGGACAGAAGAACTTCTTCCTGGACAAACTCTCAGAATAAACATAGGCGCCCCGGATCCCTTTTGGGATCATATGGTGACTGGTGAGAGATATGAGCTAGTCTGGCTCGGGGCTGAATATGCCTTGTGGGCTTGGGGCACCTTACGCGAGCATTGGGAGCAAGAAATTGGGGTAAACTCCGGGCTACCCCTGGTTGTCATCCCGGGGGGAGCCTCCTGTTCATTTCTCTGCGTAGAGGTGGAAGAACCTTTGGAGCCTGAGCCGTACGACGACCCTCTGGTAGAGAAATCCGAACGAATGTGAGAAATTCTCTAACCTGATATCCGTTTTTATCCTAACCGATACATTTTTATAGCCCTGGAGCCCCTTGTATGAGTGTGTTTCTAGAAGGTCCATCAGAAATGTCTAAAACGGAAAAGCCTTTTCATATTACAATGAAGATCACCTATGATGGTTCTACGAATAATGACCACGAGGCTATCAATGATGATATGAAGCCGATTATCATACACGATTACCCTTTTACTGATGATCATTTTCGACTGCAACGCCGCTGCCCCGATTACGATCCATCGAAAGATTCAAACGCGGATTCTACACAGTGGAAGACTTATCTTGACGACGAAGACAATCCGGGTTGGAGGATTGTAGATGAACCCGACGTTGAGGTCAACGTTACGGATCCCGAGTTTTTCCGCAGCCTTCAACCAGGGGAATCTTTTGTCAGAAAAAATCGCCTTGGATTTTTCGACTTGCATCCTGATACAGTGGTCGGCGACACCTATCGATACCAGTACTGTGGTGGCCGCGTTGACTGGTGGAATTGGGGGGACTGCGAAGAGCATGCGAAGACGGTAGTGAAATTACCATGTTGGCTGCATGGTCGTGTCGTCGAGCCCGCTGATAATGATGGAAGGCCGGCCATAATGGTCCCGTCATCTAATCTTGTCGAGTTTACTGTCGTTGAATGATACGAACGGGTTTTCTTTGATTCAAGCTTTGACCTCGGGTTTAGGTGTTGGAATATAAATGCATTCAAAATATGATCAATGGATATCAGTGGTTCAAGAATCTCTGAGGAGGGTGATGCTAGAGCCGGACGCTGCGACTTTTATTACAAAAAAAAATACATTCAAAGAAGACCCCTGTCGATTTCGCTTCAACACCCCCCCCCCCCCAATTATAACCCTAATCAAAGCCACATTCCGGAGGTGAAAATCACTGGGAACAAAAAGCAAACATTTTGATTTCAATGCTCTCCCTGGCAGCCCCATCCTGAAACTCAGGGTCAACAAGGGCAGAGTGCGGAACGCTGACCCCGGTGTCACTGTCGAATTGCGTAAAGATCAGAGGCTCGTCCGGCTGCTGAAGGCCCAGATAGTACCACTGCTGGTCTGGACTGAAGGCATACCGGCCCATTTCATTCCAGCCATGAGGCAGGATCAGCCGCGTGGGAATGAGGTCGCGTGGATGAACCGAATTCCAGGCACACACTGCAAGGGGGTCACGCTGGATAGTTTTCAACGGCCGCCACACATTGATGATCATGACTCGACCTGCGAGGAGACGTGTCCGTTCCTCTTCGTCGGGTATAATGGACTCTAGGTGGTGCCATGACCCTGCAGCGGTGAAGTCTGAATGCACACTATGTGCCGGTGCGCGATTCTCGGCATTCAAGGAGGCATCTGTCGCGAGGCACCGAACTCGATGTGCAAAGGTGACCGTCTTGGTTGCCCCAGTTCTGCAATCTGGGTTAGTGAAATTGAACACACAGAGATACCAGTCAGGGAGGGTTCAGACTGACATTTGGCGAACTAATTCCTCGGTCTTCGGGATGACAATGTCCTTCACCTGTTCTTCATCGGTGGCCTCCCCAGGGATATCATGTGACACATACGTAAAGCCATGTTGGTCCAGCGTGAAGTTGGACTCCTGGCCTCGGATGTCATGCACGGTGACTGGGCGCATGTCATCATGAAGATGCATGGCCTTGATGGCCTCGTCGGGCTTCCCGGTGGTGAAGTCGGCGTCGACACGATAGCCATCCCCCGACATCCCCCAGAACATCAGTTCGGTCTCAATGTGCTTCGTCTGATATTCTACGTGATCTCCCATATTGACGGTGATTGTCGATCTACTGCGATCTCTCGAATGGGGAAGTCGGGGTTATAAAGTGCCTGTGGGTGACACGCTAACGATGGACGGCAGCCTCGGTATCCGGCGTCCCTGCATAAAAGATGAATATTTGGAGACTAACTCCAGTATTCTCGCGGGTCCCAGGAGATGATTGGACTCCTGACACTTCCAAGACTGATCGGCGGCGATGACGATACGAGTACGAACCCGAGATTGTTTCACCAGAGTTGCATTGAAGGTTGGGATCTTGTATTACTTGTATATATATATATATACATCCCTGGGGACTCTATTTTTACTCGGTCTTTACTGAATATAATGGTCAAAGGCAGAATACTGATTTGAATAGGATAGTGATCACTTAAAATAATACGGTTCGCATGTACAGGAATATCAGCAACAGATAAACACACCCAACTTGAAATATTAGACATCAACAGTCAAATGCGATATATGCAAAGGAGCAAGCCACCCGAAACAACAAGGCTTGGCCCTCCATCTCACTTTGGAAGGCGTTTCAGCATGTAGGAGCAACACAGCAGAGTGGGGAGATGTTCATTCATCCCATTGGTCGGCGTTGGCAGCCATGGATTCTCGATGCGAGTGCCAGGTCTCACGAATATGGCGAGAGAGGTTATTCAGCCAGGTCATCATTGGTGGATATAGTTTGGAAAGTTGAGAGGAGTGGAAGTGGGATCAGATGGGGATCCAAGGTAGATGGGATATGAGACATTGAATCCGATACAAGACCGTCATATATATAGTGTTGAATAGAGCCAACAGGCGCAAGAGGTTTGTCATTCGAGCCTTCGAAGACTCAGAATCGCCTTCTGATGCCTAAGCCGAACCAGACTTCAAGATTCCAAGGTTGGACGTGGATCTCTGCCGGTATCCGAGCTGAATCATCATCTGGGGCTAGAACGGGAGGAAGAACTGGAAGATGTGATTATACTATATACTATGTTCTAGATGCTATATCCTATGCAGATCCTCGAATAATAGCAAGCATTTCGTCACCCTTGGGCGCGGTAGTCAGGTTCTCATATCCAGTGGCCGTCACCAGAATATCATCCTCAATACGCACCCCGCCAATGTGGACGTACTGATCGGCAACATCAAAGTCAATGAACCGGGCAAAGGGCTGCTTGCGTGCATCGGCAAGAGCTAAAGGCGAAAAGTACAATCCAGGTTCCACGGTGATGACCATGCCTTCTTCCAGAACCGGGGCAGATGCTGTGCAAGGGGAAAGGCAAGTAGTGGCCCAGGGAGCTTGACTGGAACCAAACGCCATGATAGATTTCTCGGAGACATCGTGAACTTCCAACCCGACGTGGTGGCCCAGTCCGTGAGGGAGGAATACTTTAGAAGCCCCAGACTGACGGATCTCCGAGATGCTGCCGGTCTTGAGTACACCAAGCGCTTGAAGTCCCTCAATAGCAATGTCATGGGCTAGAGTGTGGAGAGATAGATAGCGGACTCCTTTGCGCATCCCCCGGATACACTCCTCCTGCATACGCTCTACGAGATTATAAATATCCCGAGCATAGTCGCTCGGCCACTCTCCAGACAGAGGAAAAGTCCGTGTCACATCACTTGCATAGCAATTCCACTCCGCACCCGCATCGAGACAGACTAGAGGCTTCTTATGGAGGGTTTCATTATTGCGGTCGTAGTGCAGGACAGCGGCGTTAGGTCCTGATGCGGCGATGATCTGGTAGGCCTGATTGCGGGCACCATGGGAGACGCAGGTATCTAGGAATGACCCTTCGATTTCCGACTCATTTGTAAAGGTCTGGATGCGTTTAAGGATTTCTCGGTGTGCAAGGCCCGAAACCTTGTTTGCTTGGCGAATCATTCGGATTTCATATTCATCCTTAATACCTCGGGCTGCATCCATCGCAGGCATCAGCTTCTCCAAATCAAGCGGCGCATCCGCAGGGAGGGGAACGGGCTTCTCCGACTGATGAACAAGATACAATTCGCTGCCCTGCTTGCGCTCATGAAGCCATGATTGGATTCCTTCCCTCAGTGCAGATTGATAATGTACTCGGTCCACATCATATTGATCCAAGGCCGTCTCCCTTGACAGGGTCGGTCCCATCCAGATAGCCCGGTGGAGATCAAAGTCGGGGACATACAGGGTCAACAGGTCTTGCTGAATGTCGTAGGTTAGCGAACAATCGGGTTCGTTGACTCCGCTCAAGTAATAAAAGTATCGCCGTTGCCGGAAGGGACGCGATTGGTCCGAGTCGCGAAGGTTGATAGTCGGCTGCCCAGAAAGGAAGATCAAGCCACTTGAAGCCTTAAGCTTTCGAGCGACATTGCGCGCGTGATGCTTAGCTAGGGCGGGTTAATGGAGAGGGCAGAGGGGGGGAAAGACAAGGTCGAAGGAGACGAACCTGGGTACTTATCGCAGGAGGTAGGAGTTGACAGACGAATGTCGTAGGAGTCAACCGAATTGATCATGATCTCAGCCAAGGAGGAGCCCCGAGAGCCCTGGGCTGAACTAGTTGCTCGCATGGATGAGAGGGGTCACTTTAGCAGCAAGGAGGGGAGAGTAAGCCGAGGGGGGAGAGTTAGTAGAAAGGAGAATCCAAGGTCACCAGTCAATGAGAAGAACAAGTCAGGAAGCCAAGAGGGAGAGTCAAGAAGGAGAGACTGAGTAGAGAGAGGAGAGAGAGGAGAGAGAGACAAGTCAGCCTGGAGAGTTGATAACCCGAAAGCGTCTTAGATAACTTCCCGCTCTCCTCTCGACTTTCCACTTGCAACTTTCCAACTTCCCAACTCTCAACTCTCAACTTCCTTCTGTCGACTTCCTACGTTTCGTGCCCTGATATTTGTCCGTTGTGCTTCGTTTTAATTTATTGCAATCAATGAACCATGCAGGGTTCTGAGGCGAGCCCCGGGCTCCTGCCATCCACTTTGAGAACGGTGATAGGCACTCCGACGTCACCGCTCCTCGCCCCGACCGACCCGTCTCTCTCTCAGCAACAAATTCAGTCAAATCTCCAAAATGTCCTCTCGTCGCTGTCGGAATTTCGTCCTGAGGTTGTGGTCGCCAGTGGCAACTCGACCGGCTCGACCGGCAAAGGCATCCTGATTGGGATCTTGTCCGCATTTGGCTCCGCCGCTGTCGCCTTTATCGTGCTAGCGATCTTCTTTTTCTTTAAATATACTCGCCGCGGGCGGATTATGCTGGATCGCATCGGTCGGCCCGGTGAATATGACGACGAGCAGGCCTTTGCGCGCGAGGAAGAGGGGGCGCTAGAGTCGATGGATGATCTGGCGCGGTCGGAATATTTGCGAGCCAAAGGTATGACAATGCCTGTCCGAAATTCGCTTGATTGACTTGCTAATGATGCGCAGCCTTCGTTCAAGGAAACCCGCCAGAGTCCGTACAAACCGATATATCGCTATCACAATTCCTCGCCATTCAAGAGAAGGGCGTATCCGCTTGGGAGTTCCAGCCAGAGTTGGAGATTGCAAACTGCTTTGTGGAAGCACGCACCGAAATCGAGTTCTTCGACTCCGAGTGTAGTGTACAGACCAACCTACCCATTCCGAAACAAAATGAAGTCTATTACTGGGAAGCGAAGATCTACGATAAGCCCGATTCGACCATGATTGGCATCGGCCTCAGTACCAAACCATATCCTTTGTTCCGCATGCCTGGTATGTCTCGAAGATCATTTGAATGTTGAATGGGCACTTTACTAACAGCTTCCAGGCCTCCACAAGTCCTCTGTTGCCTACGAGTCCACTGGACACCGCCGGCTCAACCAGCCATTCACACCCACTCCATACGGCCCGCCTCTTCTCCAAGGCGATGTCGTTGGTGTAGGCTACCGCCCCCGATCAGGGACCATCTTCTTTACTCGCAACGGCAAGAGACTCGAAGATGTCGCCCATAACTATCGCTCACAAAATCTCTTCCCCACAATTGGCGCCAATGGACCGTGTACCATTCATGTGAACTTTGGCCAGATGGGCTTTGTCTTTATCGAAGGCAACGTTAAGAAATGGGGATTGGCCCCCATGACTGGCAGCCTGGCCCCGCCCCCACCCTATGGCAGTGAACAAGGCAGCATCCTGCTCGAATCGGGCCGTGAAAGCGCGGCTCAAATCTCCCAACGTGTGTATCAAAACGCCAATTACGCCGCCTCAGGTTCAAGTGTTAGGATTCCTCCGGCGGCCAGCCCAGGCCCTGCTCGATCTCCCACTGACATTTCCCTCGCCCAGCTGGCCCACATCCCTTCCAATGAAGATGCTGGTGAGGGATCCAGTCGTTTTGCTGGTGATGAAGAGCCTCACCCAGATGATGAAGAGCCTGAGATGCCACCACCCGAGTACTCCAGCCCTAGCAGTAGTCGCAGGGGCAGTGATGCATCCTTAGAATATCCCCCCCGAGGCTCCGAAGAATTTCACTCCCCACCCAATGATACCACGGAATTTGAGTCCAATCTGCCCAGTTACCAGACTGTGGTCGCCCGAGACTGGCCCCAACCCTCAATAGAGAGCAATGACCCCTGATCCAGCGTTCTTTTTGTCTTTGTCTTTGTCTTTTTCTTTTCTTCTTTCTGTTTTGTTTATGAACATAGCTCCCCTGTCAATTTCTTTGTTTTATTTAGCGGGTTCACAGGATGGCGTTACAAGCAACTCGGGCTGATTTTTGGGGGTATGGGAATGTGCGGGAGTCAATGAATGATGTATAGGATGTTGTCCAGTGTGTTTTCTTTCTCATCCTACCAGTGTAGACAGCACCAAGTAAAGCCAGTTGCAAGTGACTATAAAAATGGCAGAGCTCAGATCCTCTGCCAAGACTCGAGGCTTTGATCTGAGTTTACCTCACACACACACTCTCTCTCTTTCTCTTTCTCTTTCTCTCTTAACAATCCATTCTACTGCATCCAGTAACGATCTCAATATTTCAGTCTTCAAGATCTCAGACAGTCTCTCCGGATTGCCACACCCGCATCTCCACCAGATCTCCACTGTCTCCTCCGATTGGCATCTCCACTCAATACGAGATCCGATCTCCCGCCCTTCCGCCTCTCTCTCGAACATCACTTGTCTTCAGCTGGGATTTTCATCTTGGACACGAACCCAGATCCCAAGATCACCGGTTGAAGTGAACTGGGGGAAACTAATCCATCTGGTTTTGGCCGTTTTGCCTGTTTAGTCGCAACCCATCGGAGCTGTGAAACAGTCTGCTGAAACACCGCTATTGGAGCTCTCCCACTTAGCCTGGGTCGGGTTCAGTCGCCAGCTCATTGTTCGTGTCTCACATTTCCACGGAGACTGCAACAATGGCCGACAAAGCAGCCTTTCAAGTCATTGTCTTGGTAAGTTTGATTGGTTTCGTGCAGATTCCACGTGCAGAGCCATGTGTCGAAGTTGATACCCAGCCCCCGTCATTGGACCTTATTTCTCACCTGTTTGATGAGGCTCTGGGACATGGAGCTTCTTCCTGCGACATCTACATCGTCCTTTGCAGAATGCTAACTTGCCCAGGGACCAACGGGAGGACCCCGTGAAGACAGCGTCACCGGAATTCTTGTCCGATCGACCTTTACAAAGTGGTCGACAGACTCTGTAGTAGCTGTGGATGCAGGTACCCTTCTTGCTGGAATCATCCGATTGCTGGAGCGATATCTCCCCGAATGCAGGGATGATCAGGGATTGATGACCGGCGGGCCCTTTCAGGGGCTCGAATTGCCTTACCAAACAGCACAGGCAAATGGAGCGCATGTCTTTCGGGAAATCATTGGTGCGGTACTCATCACCCATCCGCATTTGGATCATATCTCAGGTTTAGCCATCAATACTCCGATCTTGGAGGCGGGGGCTGGTCCAAAGCCGGTGGCTGCGTTGCCCTCGGTGTTATCCGCTATCAAAAACCACATGTTCAACGATGTCATTTGGCCAAATTTGTCGGATGAGGATGGCGGTGCCGGCTTACTCACGTACCAGCGCTTGGTAGAAGGTGGAAACCCTCGCTTCGGTCGTGGGGACAGCAGAGGCTATGTCAGAGCATGTAATGGCTTGTTGACAAAGTGCCTTAGTATCAGTCATGGAAAGTGCAAACAACGGTATCATCCAGAAAGTGGTCTACATCATCGCGCTGGAAGCACTGTCTTTGCAGAGCATTCGTTGATGATTCCCTCAAGGGCAATCTCGGTTGACCAGACCGATGGCAGGTAAGTTCAGTTCATACCTGGAATGTGTTTAATGAGTTGATTCACTAACATGCGCAGTTTCTATTCCCCTGCCCGCTCTCCTCGTATGTTCCCTACTAACCCCAAGGAAAGCCCTTTGGCAACAGTGGAGAGTTCGGCATTCTTCCTGCGTGATCATCGTACCGGAACAGAGATCATTGTGTTTGGTGATGTCGAACCCGACTCTGTGTCTCTCGAGTCCCTGAACAAACGAGTATGGGAGGCAGCAGCACCAAAAATTGCCTCAGGCAGCCTGCGAGCCATTTTTATCGAGTGCTCCTACAACGACAGCATCGACGATTCGTACTTGTATGGCCACATGTGTCCGCGACATTTGGTCTCGGAGCTCAGCGTGCTAGCCGCAAAAGTAGTGGAAGCACGCGAAATGAACTCGCCGGAGAAAAAGCGCAAACGCGAAGTTGAAATCCCGGTCATTCCTGAAGCTCGCAGTGAACAAGTGAGCCCTCGGTCGAAACGAACCCAGAGTTATGCCGAAGACAAGCGGCCGTCTGTTCCGCTAGTTGAACCACGTTCACACCCAAGCGAATCCTTCGAGCTGCCTCACGTACCCACAGCTGCTGTGCCGGACTTGGGGGACGGTGGTGATCATGCAGATATGATCGAAGAGCCGGAACTTGCACCTTGGGATGATAACAAGCCCCTCCCGCTGGAAGGACTGAAGGTTTACATCATCCATATTAAAGAGCATCTCTCTGATGGGCCGCCTCCTGGTGATCTGATTCTCAATGAGCTGAAGGCTCATGCGAAGGCGGCACATCTGGGCTGTGAGTTCTTCATCCCCAATCCCCTCGAAGCAATATGGATATGAGAAGCATAAATTATGGATTGGGGGGCATTCTGATTTTATATTGGTTCGAAGCGCTTGATTCAATATTTCCGTGTACAATAGCTGGTCTTCAAATCTTGATAATATACCCTGCAGCCACATATCATCCTTCCAAGATAGAAGTTTGATTCAGCGATGATAATTCAAAGTACAGATGAGAATCCCCAGACTTGAACAACTCGGTAATTGATTCAAAGGTTATCCCCAGAAAGGATCGCCTTCAACTCTCAGTCGTGAACATGCTCAAAGTCAAGCATAGTTATGTTGTGCAACAATCGGCCATAACTAACTTCTTAACAACCATTGGGCTTAGGAGGGTTGACACTTGGAAATTCAGAGTACATGATTTACAAGGAATCGCTAGCAGACTCACCCTGAGTAGGCTGCTAGTCGAGGATTGATGATTCCCTTAGGGTCAGCTGGTTCATTTGTGAAGAATTTGATCTCATGTTAGGGGTAGAATTAGATGTGAAATATGATACTTAGAACACGGTAAAACATGACTAGTTTGTTAGTGGAATTTTAGCACTTGGGACTAGCTTTTTAGTTCATGAGGTTGGCCAAACTGCCAATGACTGCGACATGGTGATATATTCGGCATCGGAAACTACATGTCCGTGACTATGTATGATCCGTCGGTCGTGTTCGCAAGTTAGTACATAGCTAGTCTCGCTACAGGTAGGGCATGGCACAGACAGCAAAGCATGATTCAAAATGGTGATTGATGTACCTAGCTGCCGAAGCAAAATAGCCCAAGACTCTTTTCCTGGATTCACTTATTTTGACTTGGCTTGGCCAATAATATCTTCCCAGACCGAGCTATGATTTGAAGGAATCCTGAGACCCTTCATAGTGGACAATGTGTTCTCATCTTCGAGTGGGAACCGGCTACCCGGTAGATCCAAGATAGCTTCACCATCCCGAGCAAACACAATAAGGTCCTCCTCGGAACCCCATTCGCCCATGGCCATCACGCCGATGGGCACGCCGCCATCCAAGCTGTAGCCAGCGGGACAACTAATTGAAGGGCAACCAGTAAAGTTGGCCAGCCAAACGTACTCCATATTACGGACAGACGATTTGCCATCCGACAAGCCCCGAGACAAATCTGCCTCACCGCCATCAATGTGCCAACCGGGAATGGGTGTCGTCGGGGTCACGATAAGTAGCCCGGGGTGAACCTTGAACAGATGGGCCAAATGGGTCATCAGCAAGTTGCGCAATCGCTGAGCGGCGAGCAAATCTTGGGCAGTGATTTGCCACATGCCCATGGATACGAGCACTTTGTTCGGAGCCGTGAGCTCTCGGATCTGGCTCGCATCGACACCGGATGCAATCTCTGCCATTATGGTCAGAACGTGGGCTCGCTGGCCTTCTGGGAGGTATGGAATTGAAATGTCGACAACGTTGTACCCTTCTTGGCGGTAATATTCGAGCGCTCGATCCAGGGTAGCGCGCACTGAGCTCTCGGCGCGATCAATCCAGTCGCGAACGATACCAATGGTCTTGGTCCTCTTCGTTTCAGTAGATGACGGTACTGGATTGGGGAACTGGGATGAGATTGCGTCTTCTGAGGCTGGCGCGGGTGTGGCCATAATGCGGTAGGCCAGAGCGAGATCATCTATGCTGGCTGCCATGGGCCCGAGGACGCCGACAGTGGGCGCAAGACTCAGAGATGGTGCACCGGATACTCGGCCATGTGAGGGTTTCAGTCCCCAGATGCCACAGAACGATGATGGAATCCTGATTGAGCCGCCACCATCGGCACCGAGTGCAATCGGCACCAGTCCAGCTCCTACAGCATAACCGGAACCACCAGATGAGCCGCCACAGTAATAGTCTTTATTGTGGGGGTTCTTTGGAGTCCCGTAATTTGGGTTGTTGTTGTTTGTATCTGGAAATTGTCAACTGCCATGTCGGATACCAAACGTCCGATAGGTCAGTACCCACCAAGTCCTAGTTCGTGCATGGTAGTCTTTCCAATCACTATAGCTCCAGCATCCAGCCATTGCTTCACGCACCATGAAGTTGCATCGGTGCCATGCTTAAAATCTAGCTTGGTTCCGAGTGTACGCTTATATCCGGTGATGTGCACCTCGTCCTTCACTGCGACCGGTACTCCATCCAACGGACCCAGTGCTTGGCCCTTCTTATATCGTTCGGTAGATGCTTCTGCCGCTGCAAGGATTGCATCGGCTTGCGACTCAAGGAAGGCAATAGCGTGCTTTCCAGCCGGCTGCACATCGCGTCGAACCAGAGGGAGTAACGTCTCAACCACGGCGATCGGAGTCAGTTCGCCGGCAGAGTATAGCGCATGATAGTCCGCAGAGGTATAATATCCGTTATCTCCTTTTCTTCGCGCCACAGGAGCAGGCGTTCTCGGATTGTTTTGGCTAGTGTCGCCGATTGGAATCACGGTTGGATCGTAGCGACCTGCGTATTGGCTGAGGTGGGGGATCTCGCGAATGACGCCAAAACCAGCATTGCGCCAGAAATGACTTTGGATAAAGCCGATATTGTGAATTCTGGGTTGAACAATATTGAATTAGTCTGTTGCAACGGTTCAATGGAGCTCCGCGCGACTTACAATGTTGCGCCGATGGCCAGTGGTGTACCGCGGAAGACCGGAATGGTCTGTTCCTCATTCTTATAGGGCACCGAGGGACCTTCGCGTGGCGGAGGATAATTGAGAAATGCCTGAGAGCTCATGATGGATGTTTGAAGTCAACACGAGAGCTGCCAAGGCTGGGAGCTTTAAGTGGAGGAGCTGATGACAATGCCGCGGCTCAAGCCAGGTCACATGCTCTACGTATCAAAGTGCAAATATTGTACATGAATGCCATATATCTTGTTGTAAATTTACAGACTCAGCTTTATGTTGTATTTATCCATGCCTAAAGCAGCCCCAGTGAGCACTGCAGCATAGACAATCAGAATTCCCATGGCCTGTGGGGTATTGAGATCCAGAGTGGGAACGCTCAAATTCACAGCTCCAGTGAGCAAGTTCGCAATCAAGAAAAGGGCAAGGCCTCCTCGGTTGAAGGCATGCAGAATACGACTGGTCGCAAAGGAAGTCTGCTCTGCTTCACCTTCCTTGTTAGTGGCCCGGTGGACCGCTGGGAAGAACACGGTCTCGGTCAAACAGAAGAGGAACAGCTGCGCGCTGTTGAATGCTGAAACCCAGAGAACATAAGGCATGTTGGCAAGCCGACGCGACACAGGGATATTGGCACCATAGCCAAAGGCGTATGTAGAGTTGAAGAAGAATAAGGTTGCCCAGAACAGAGCTTGCAGAACCAAGCTTGTCAGGATAGATCTCCGTGCCTGCTGAGGCGACTTGGTTTCAGATGTTCCACGAGGAATAATGCGGATTCCTACAGCACGTCCGGCGAGGAAGATTGCAAAGTACCCAATAAAAGAGAAGACACCCTCACGGTTCTTGGAGAGCAAATCTGGTCCACGAGGAGACACGAGGATGTATCCCTTGAGATCGGTCGACTCTAAAGCAACTTGATAAAGGACAGCAGTACCAAGTGCAAGCACCTCGTACGATGGAATCAATGTCAACAACGAATCGAACAGCTCCACAAAAGGAGGCAAAAAGCCAAGTGTGAAGAAGAAGTTCCAGTGGACACCATATTCCGTCACATGTTCTGCATAGTCCAAGCCCTTGACGCTCCACAGGCGGATGAGGCCCAGCAGAAGTAAAGGAATGGAGTGACGAGCTGAACCAATCAATCTCTTATACAAAGCCACCTTTGGGGATTTCGAATTGCGGCCCTTCAGAACTGCTCGCGCAGAAACCACTCCGGCGGAGAAAACGAAAGATCCAACGCCCAAATCCATCAGGGAGGTCCCCCAATTCTCCACCTTGGCGAAGCGGCGGGGGAATGCGCGGAAGTCGACAGCCAAGATAGCAACACATGTCACAATCATCATGGCTGCGCGATATGTCGTCAAGAATGGGTGAACCGGTAGTGACAGGGATTCTTCCTGGGAGCTTTCATGTTTGGATTTGGATTTGCGGAGTGCTTTGGCTTTGGGAGGAGTGCGAGCGCCCGACTTGGTGAGGAACAGAAGCACGGCGGGGGAGATGAGGAAGATATTCAGCAGGAGCGGTGCCGAGGAGTATGCTGTTGTCGCGAACAAGATGGCGAGAACATTGAGGAGGAAATCCGTTACAAGTGCCGCGGGGCCATAAGGTGTGAAGAAAGACAATCTCGATTGAAGTGCTGACCAGAGAAGGACAGATGTCTACAGGAATTACACCGGATCAGTAACATAGCCATCTCCATTGGGATCCGAATCTCTTACCGAGGCAACGAGAGTGACTGCATTGATTTCGAGAATTGTGCTTCCCGCAAGGTTTGACACGAATGCCTCCTTGCGAGCTTTGTAGCTCGGATCCATACTGAGCAGTTTGATCCCCAATGGTTGAATCGCGTGAGAAGAAAGAAAGTTGGAGAAGCTCCAGCTGTTTACCCGCGGTCACCTGACCCCCAACATCATTCGTCAATTTCACTCATGACAGGCTGTCAACAGGACACTGCATGTCAACTATGAGTCAGTGGTGGAGGGAGTATCGTTACCACCAAAGAGATGCCACGTACATAAGTGCAGTGTACTGCAAACGTCCCCCACCAAGCCTGATCAAGAAATCTACGACTGAAACTTCCCGCAACTATGCTATCATGGTACGGAGGAGAATACGAACGCGGTATTCAGAAGTGGATTTAACACCTACAGGTTGAATCGCTACGATGTCGCAGATCGACATGCAAAGAGAAAGGAAATTTGGTGGAATTCGATCCCCTGCCAGGCCTTCCCGAGGTATAGTCAACGACATTGGGTGGGATGCAAGGTGTTATAAGCACTGTACAGGTCTGGTTGAAATGATACAGCTTGCTGGATTCCCTTGCATTGTCGGCCTCTAAGGGTACTTGGCTCTGGGTTTATTAATATCTCCCTTTCTGGATGTGGAGATTGAGGACATATCCAATCGTGTCTAGCACGACGGGCTGTCTTTGCCTTTGCATTGAGTTCCCCACTGCGGAACACAGTCAACCGTTGTTGAATCCCGGCACATGCCCTCAATCTAGAACCTGACCCGTAGGGATCGCAATCTTGACCTCTCCAGTGCGTGGAGTCCGAGGGGAAATGTTGAACGACTTCTTTAGGATGATTCTGCCTTGTTTACTGTACAGGCTTCTCTTGTATTTGCGAAGGTTTTATTTCCACGCTGAATCTCACCGAAGCAGGCCTCCTCTCATGGGCCGAGAAAGCAACAAGGCGCGGCTTAGGGCTGGGGCCCGCTCACGCGATGGGTTGGGCCGTTTCCATGTGAATTCGGCGCATGAGAGGGCAAGGAAAGCCCCGGTCAGGATCTCTGCATCAAATGGAACCATGTCATTGTCATTCGCATCCGATGTTTCTACGAAGCTTAGGGTAAGGCCTTCTTTTCGCTCTTCTTAGCCCCCGAACAAAAGCAAAAGTCTACGGATTTACAGGTCAGTTTTTTTCTCCCCTTTCACATAGCTAGCAAGTAGGGATCCCAATAGTCTGATAGCGAGAACCCCATTAAACTGTGGAATCATCGGCGGTTCACCCGATTCGGACAGGAATGAGCAGAGATTATTCCCATCGATCAAGGGAAGCCACCACATATCCCGAGTCGATCACTTCGGTTAGACGAGCCGCAAGGCTTGCAAATTGAAGGGGTTTAGCTTCCCCACTTGGGAAGATTTTCGCTTCGATCTATGGAGGAACAGGGCGGAGGCTAGCGCTGCTATGTGCGAAGGCTTTCCAAATTGCCAACATTAGAGCCTTGCCAGTGACCAGAATCACCGCATTCTTCTCCAGTCTAGTCGCAAGAGAGAAAAAAAAAAAGCGGACCGCGACATGGGGCCAACTCACCGTAGTGGCCGGACGCAAGACGCTACTGTATATCCATAGCTTAGAGGCTACCGAGTTCGTTTATTTCTTCGAGCTCATTGGATCCTGGGATTTCGGAATTGGATTGCAGATGGACTTGGCTTGATTGGGGATCTTAAGATACAGGCCATATTTAGCAGACTTTAGCAGACTTTAGCAGACTTAAGGCCATTTAGTCTCCTGGTCACTTTCCCCAAGGCCAGCAGTCACTCGAATCCTTTCTCCCATTTTCTCCAGCCATTCACCCTCAGCCGTGGGCTTGCGATACCTTTTCTAAATCCCTGCTCGGGTCGAAAATAGCCTTGCCACTCTGTGCGCAATCCACCGCTTCCCCTCATGTTCAGCCCCTCCAGGCATCTATCCTAGGCTGGATGATCATCGAGGGAGGACCTTTTGAGAGCGAAAGTTGGAGAATCCAGTGCTCACTTTGGGATCGTCGGCTGGTGCTGGACTGGAACTATTCAAGACCGAAAACCATGAGCTCGAAAGAGGCACCGTCGCTTAAGAGACGCGAGTCTCGTTCCGGGACAAGGAAGGTCTCGTCACTGTCGGCGGAACAGTTGGAGAGAAAGCGTGCCAACGATCGAGAGGCGCAACGGTCCATTCGTCAACGAACCAAGACAAATATAGAACAACTGGAGGCTCAGGTTTCCCACCTTCAGTCGCAACTGGAAGATATGAGACTCCGGACGGAGACGTACGACGAAGTCATGCAACAAAATACGATGCTGGAAGGCGAAGTGGACCGATTGAAGCGTCAAATGGCTTCTTTCACTGGACCTGGACTTACAGGCAGTGAACCAAATGCTCCGACTCGAAGTGGATGGCATAATGTAGCGGAAGCCCCAAACAGTGTTTCGCCTACCATGCCTGCGACTGGGATACTCTTGTCGCCGCATTTCACAGAGAAACCCTCACCCTCGAACAGCCTCCGTTCTCTCATCGTCAAGTCGGGCATCTCACCTGCATGACTGGCAACCATATCCATCCACCAGATCCCCCTCCCTCGGTGCATCGTCGGAAGAATTTTCCACTCAACTGGATTCATACGTGATAGATGGCCAAGTCCACCAAGAGTCCCGAATGTTGCCCGCTTCAATCCCAGATTCAGCGCCTCAGATCGGGTTTAGCGCAACCTCCGCGCCGCCTCAAATCGAATCTTCGTTTGCCCAATTTCCTTACAGCAATCGATCGCTTTCCATGTCGAACGCCACGCCTGTGACTCAAGCAGTTCCTTCTCAGGGATATCAGACCGCGGCGCCGCCGTACTCGCAAGCTATGCAGCCTCAACGAGACTCCTCATATCCCTATCCATGGGGACCCCCGTCATGACTCGATAGATGAAGTTAGGGCACCAAACCCCGAGAAAACAATTTCCTTACAGAAGAGGGAATGTGGCAGCGTCCACGCAACATGGTGTAAAATCAGTCAGCGGTACAATGGAACCTACAATAGCCGAGGTCTTGATAAGTTGGACAAAGAAGCTCCTGTTTCTTTTGAACCAGGTTCGAACTAGAAAACAGGCTTCAGCTGCCACCAAGACTCGGAAACCCACAGCCGAGGTTACATTTAAGCATATCTGATCGGAAATTACAACCGGAGCTAATCCTCGATCTCAGGCGGAGACTTTCCGGTCTCCACCATGTCCAGGGTCCACGGCCTCAGCCTCTGTCAACCCTGAAGCCCAGTTGAAAAGAAGAACGCCTTCAAATGTCGACAGTGTCAGATCACATTCAGTGGGAATTGCTGTGAACTCCACACTTTCCTCTTTGAAGTGTAATATGCATCGTGTATAAAACACTCGGAATGATTCTATTCACACTCCATGATGACCCCGAGGTTCTGTATATCCCACAGGGATAGCGATAGATGTATACCCGAAAGGAGAAAAAAAAAAGATAGGAAAGGAAACACGCCCAAAGTGCCATTTCAAAAAATAAAATACAAATAAAACAAGTTATGAAGATCAAGTTGGATCTTGCGCAACAGCAACTATTGAGTGTATTGCTTCTGGAGCAACTTGGCAATCGTCTGCAACTGAATGTTGCTGGTACCCTCGTAGATGGCGCCGATCTTGCTGTCACGGAACATCTTCTCAGCAATGCCCTCGCGGACGAAGCCCATGCCACCCATCCACTCGACCGCAGAGCCAGACACACGACCGGCAACCTGGGAAGCATAAAGCTTGGCCATGGCGGCATCCTGGACAAAGTCCTGACCAGCCTCCTTCTTACGGGCGGCGTTGTAAACCAGAGCTCGAGCAGCGGCAATTTCAGTGTAGGCTTGTGCGATCTGGTGCTGCATGCCCTGGAAGTTACCGATCAACTCACCAAATTGGCGACGATCGTTCCAGACGTATCTATGATGGTCAACTACTGCAGTTCTTAGTTCGGGAACGTCAAGGAAAGCTTACCGTGCAGCATTCTCCCAGGCACCAAGAGCCAGACCGGTCATCTGAGCAGCGATACCGATGCGACCCTCGTTCAGCACACTGATGGCGTACTTGTATCCCTGGCCCTCCTCGCCAAGCAGGTTGCTCTTAGGGATGACACAGTCGTCAAAGTTGAGCACGCAGGTGCTGCTAGCACGAATTCCAAGCTTCTTCTCCTTCTTGGCAATCGAGAAGCCGGGAGTGTCCTTCTCCACAATGAAAGCAGTGATGCCCTTGTAACCCTTGCTCGGATCAAGGTTGGCGAAAACAATAAAGATACCCGACTCCATAGCGTTGGTAATCCACATCTTCGATCCATTGATCTTATATCCATCGGCGGTTTTCTCCGCCTTGGTCTGCAACGCAAAAGCGTCGGAGCCAGAAGCCGGCTCGGAGAGACAGAACGAACCCACCGTGCCGGTCGCCAACTTGGGCAACCAAGTGCGCTGGGACTGTGCGTCACCGTACTTCATGATCGCCGTATTTACCAGCGTGTTGTGGACATCGACCAGCACACTGACGCTCGGGTCCACGCGGGCCAACTCCTCGATCGCAACGATCGCCGAGGTAAAATTCATGCCAGCGCCGCCAAACTCTTCCGGCACCTCGATACTCATGAGGCCCTGTTCGAACAACTGCTCCACAATTTTGGGATCCATAGTCTCGGCTTCATCCATATCCCGAACCTTGGGGCCGATCTGCTCCTGCGCGAACTTGGAAACCGTGTCGGCCATCATGGATTCGGTCTCGGACAAATGGGTGATGGGAGTCGGGGTCAGGTCGGACATGTCGACTTCCCGCCGGCGGGAGGTAGTCGAGAATGCATATGCACTGTATCCAGAGAGAATTCGTCAGTTGTTTTGTTTCCAGAAGCTGTGATGGGATTTTGGGGGGGGGGGGTTGCGGCTAGGTACCTCTGTACGGGCCGGGCAACAGCCAGGCGTCTACCAGTCAGTCGAGCTGAGGGAAGGGAGCGCGACAGAGGCCGCATAGCACGAATAATAGAAGCCATTGTGTTGAGGTGAATATGAAGAGGAAGAGAAAAAGAGAGAGAGGAAAGCGTCGAAGGTCATGAAAGAGCCTCGGCTATCGGCGGCGGTTGAGGATTCGCGGGGAGCGCAACTTGTGGGGCTCTCTCGGCCTGTTTGGGGCTGTTGGAGGCCCTTTTGGAGGTTGCAATGCATGTTTATTAGAAGTAATCCAGGCTTTTAGGGCTATGCGATATTCGGAGGATTTGCTCTGGGATTCGAGCAACAGATCTGACATGTGCATGTATTCGTCGAGTGGAAGGCGATTTGGCATGTGATGTGCAGCTCGGCAGCTATAGATCTCTGTCCGGTCTATATCTTCCGCATTCTATGTTATGTCGCTACCACGTTGGGGTCAGAAAATAGGGTTAGATGTGTATATGACGGAGCAAAATAGATGCCTCGACCAGATAATATTGAACTTTCGACTTTGAGCCTTCGATCATGTTGAAATCCCAGTCATTTAGAGCCAATCATAAGTCTGGGCAAGTCGAGATATGCAAGTGGCCGTCGTAATACCAGGAAAAGTGCGTATAAGAAGCTTTCCTTTGTTCAATGTAGGGGGAAAGTCCATCGTCTGTCTGTCTGTTTCGGCAATCTAGTAGCTTCTGATGGGCTGCATAAGTCCGTAATTCCATGAAACACGCCATGGCTCCGGTCCGAGTGCGCGAACAATAGAAGAAACACTTGCCCAGGCCTTGATCAGACCTTACCCCGCCGGATTAAGACAGAACAAGTTCAGCATCACACATTCTGTCCGATCGTGGGATTTTCTCTCTACTCGGGATACCCGACATGCAGGAGGGGGTATACATGGGATGAATTCAGGACGGTCAACCTGGACCTGTAAAGAATCCATCGCAGCGCAATTAGCAGAATGACACCATCTCTAGATGTCGCATCGACCCGATCCGAATGCTCTCACAGCCTGCCGAGTGAGGTACCGGTACTCATTGTTGGCGGAGGGCCAACTGGCTTGTTGCAATCCCTGCTCTTGTCTCGCCTCGGAGGTATGTATCAACGGACGGGACCGTCAAAAGATACTGACACCTCCTTCAAAGTGCAATCATTGATCATCGAACGCTATGTGGAGCGGCTGGCGGCTCCCAAAGCTCACGCGATCAATCCGCGCTCCCTAGAGATCCTGCGCCAATATGGCTTGGGGGAGAAGCGCGTGCGCCAAATAGGTACATCGCGAGAGGACAGTCAGTGGGTTAATTTCCTCACTAACCTCAGTGGCAACGTGGTTGGGAGGTTGCCCTATGAGCGTATGGACCCTGCCGTCTTGGAGGACACGCCAGAGGTATGTTCCTAAATTTTATTATGAAGCTAAGAACTTTGTTAATGAAGATAGATGATTCACAACATACCTCAGCCAGCCTTGGAACAGGAGTTGACACGGTTCATTGAGCAAGATTCCAACATCACGCTGCTAAAAGGGTTCAGCATTGAAGGAGTAGAACAGGTAAGCCCATCCTGTCCCAAGACTCCCGGTTATGACAGAACAGGCATTGACCAAAGCCTGTGGTAGACCGACCAAGAAGTCATTGCAACTATCACGGAACGATCCACGGGAACTCAGCACAACATAAGATCCCGGCACCTCATCGCGTGTGATGGTCGCAGAAGCAAGGTCCGCGAGCTGCTCGGCATTCCATCGGAAAGCGAAGACTCAGACCAAACCATGATGACTATCCATTTTAACGCAGACCTTCGGCTGGTGGTTGGCGATCGTGTTGGTATGCTTTTCTGGATCATGGATCCAATAGCAGCTGGGTTCATCATCGGCTATGACCTGGATGGAAACCAAGTTCATATCAGCGAGGTCGACGTAGAGCAATATCCGGTCGAGTCGTGGACTGAAGAGCTGTGCAAAGCCAAGATCCGTGGAGCCATCGGCAAAGACGATGTTCCTTTTGACATCTTGAGTTTCCGGCCTTGGGTCTTTAGGCGCCAGGTTGCGGTCACATTTCAACAGACGAATATTTTCCTGTGGGTTGTCGTTCATTCGATCTTCTGGACTTGCTAACACCTGATTCTTTCAGGGCTGGGGATGCCGCTCATTCATTCCCACCAACTGGTGGCTTGGGACTGAACTGTGGAATTGCGGATGTGCACAATCTGGCTTACAAGATTGCTCTTGTTCATCAAGGAGTAGCTAACCCGACGATACTCTCGAGTTATACCACTGAGCGACGAAGTGTCGCAGATGCTTATTCAAAGCAGAGCGTCAAAAACGGCAAAGAAATCTTCCGGTTGCTGCAAAGCCTCCAAACTGCTGGCGTGGAGGATATGACTCAAGCTCGCAGAAATATGATGGCAGCATTGACTGATCCAGTGCAACGTGCAAAGGTGGACGAAGAAATTGAAGGACAGCGAGAACATTTTGACAATGTAAGTGACGTAGCATGGAGTACATTGTGTTGCTCAATATTCTGACCATCTTGCCCATAGCTAGAATTGCAAATTGGCTATGTCTATGGAGCCAGAAAGCCTCCTGCTCATGCTTCATTCTATTCGCCCAAGTTCGTTCCCGGGGCAAGGTTGCCTCATGCTTGGATCAAATTCCCAGAAAGACAGGCAAACATCGGAATCCTTCCTCGGGGGCCAATTGATGTCTCCTATGTCAGGGAACTAGATCAGGACCAAATCCAGGCGTGCCAATGGAGCACTTTGGATCTATGTGCACCGGATTCGTGGACTTTGATTCTGGGACAAAAGGGACAAAGCTCGCAAATTCCCCGATTCCAGGCGCACTGCGATACCATCAAGCTGAAATTGAATATCTGGCGCGCTGGTCTGGATTTTGATATCATCAAGCAGAGTCGATTTGCGGATGAGCTAAATTTCCAGGGCATACTTGTTCGCCCGGATCAGCATATCTTCATGAGAGTCGATAGCTCCACGGGAGAGGATCTTATCACAGGACTAAACAGGCATCTTGGGCGCTGACCCAGTCGGAGATGATAGTAGGGGGATAGCAAATAGACTAGAATACTAAATTGAACTTGCCAGACTACTCTACCATTCAAGATCATGATTACCCCTGAGTTGATCTTCAGGTCAAAATTATGCTATTTAAATGAATATTAACCATCATAGTCATAATGGCCCGCAATGATTTTCTTGGAAGAGAAGTTCATGCATCGTGTGTTGAGATATCCATCACAAGAAGCATAAAGAATATCTTCAATTTCATTGGTATGACCCTGGTGAACTTCTGTTCCAGTTGAGTGCCCATGATAGCCCTCTGCGTTTAATTCAGAAGCGACGTGAATCGACACTCTATCTTCTTTGGCATAGAATCATGCTGAGGTGGCATTGAAAACCTCCCACATGAGCGAGTCAAAGTCCGGGGCACCGGTAAAGTCCATGAAGCCCCCCGGGGCAGAGTCATGCAACCAGTTTGTGGAATCAAGTGTCATGTCATAATCATCGAGGAAGGGGTTGATTGACACATTTTCACTGCCGGTGTCGGGCAATGGGATTGTTTCATTGCTGTTCTGAGATCGTTGTCCTCTCACAGAGGAACGTCGGCCCCTGATTTGTGTAGGCGAGGTAGAAGGGCCTTCTAAGCTTCGTGCTTTTAGTAGTCTCTGGAAAGTGGCTCCAGATAGCTCGTGAATACAGTCTCTTGCTCTCTTAGCTTCGGTCCAATATTCTCCGATGCTGCTGAGGATATTCAAGCTAGTACTTGTATCAGCCACGAGCTCATCAATTTGCACGTCGGAGGCGACAGTAGGAAGTCTCCATAAACAATGAAGCATGATTAGAGTGCTCAAGAATATTGAGTGAACAATTAGCCTGCTGTACAACAGTGCCTCTTGTCGGTATAGCTCGCCCAATCCACGGAGAAGATCCACGGCATGTCGGAAACATTGCGTGAGAATATCTTCCGTTGGCTCCGGGATACCGGGACTGGGTCTCAGAATCAAGATCATCATTTCATGGTACTTGGTTTCGCAAATCCTGCGGATTGCTTCCAGTCCAGGTGCACTGGGAATTTCTTCACGCCATGACTGAAGCCGGCCCAGCATCTCCTTTTGCCATAGATAAATATCAGTAACCGGTGGATAGGCATATCGAGGAGCATCTCTGCAGATGCTATGCATGACATATTTAATCTCGGAATTCATTCGTGTGATTCTGAAAAGGTGAATGGAAAATGTTATATGAGATGGCGGTTCCTGGTGTGACCTTTCTTGGGTGATTTGCTCAGCAAGCTGCGTGTCTGAGATATCTAAGGGAAGCTGGGGAATCATTAGTAGGGCTCAGAGATTGAAAGACAAAACATCATTACGAACCCGAAGTTCACAAGCCTCGTCCCGCACCCCAATCGGTCGACCCATCATGGTTCCAAGAGTGCGATCGAAGCTATAGACCACCCAGAAGATTCGAGTCCTCATTTCCTGCTCCAGGAAAGAAATAGAAAATGTCGAGGATGCGCGAATGTCACGCTGAAGGCCCAAATCAATGAGGGAACCCAGGCATTGATAGTTCAAGCTCCAAACATTGATGTCACAGGAAGGATTGTGTAATCCATACACCATCAGCAGCAGCAGGCTCTGTAACCCTTCAAGTGTTCCTTCAGCACATGCACGCTCGAAATGTTGAGTGGCTGCTGTGTAATATCCTTCAGCAGGGAGGGGAAGTCTGAACCGCCTAGAAAGATCAGACGCAGATATGGCGAGAACCATGAAAACTTGGAATACATCCACTGGATCAGACGTCTCTATTCCATTGGCATACAGCTTCTCTAGACGTGCCATGTGTGAGGGTTGGTGGAGAAATGGGTAGATCAGATGTATAGAAGCAAAATACTTTGAAGAAAGTTCAATGGCATCTTGCTTACGGTATGGCAGGGGTGCTGGAGTGTTGAAAAACTCTCTTGACAGCGATATTGGCTGGTTGGGATTGCCATTGTTTGCTGATGGTGCGGTTCGCCGTCCCGCGCTTGAGAATACGAGATTTGCCAAAAAGTACCCACTGGAGGGACCAATATATCTCGGCTCGCTTCCCGAAGAGAGAGATACAAGACCAATCTCATGCGCTGGTCTTGCTTGTGGGCCAGATGGCTGGGGATCGTTCGCTTTTGGAGATTGCCCCTGTTGTGCCAAAGCTACTGATCGTTGGCTGTGGACGGCCTCAGGAACAACATGATCGAGTTGTGTCGGTCCATCGCCAGAGCTCAATAGTGAAATATCTGCTTCATCGAGCTGTGGGCCATCTTCAAGTCGAATGCTGGGATCTTGTTGCTTGATCAATGATTCCAGCCACTGTATGCGCTTTTGTAGATTTGCGATGTAGCTAGCCAGGTATTAGCTGTGCACATTAACAATTTGGGATACACATCTCACGTCCGGTTAACCTCCTGCTTTCCATCATTGATGCAGTCGACGCCGATCTTTCGACAAGACGAACATTGTGGAAGCTTTCCATCGCATCGGATCTTCCGTCTCTGGCAACGGCGACACGCGGCGCGGTTCCGGGCCTTGCGTGGAGAGTCCATGCACGCCCGATCGTCAGCTTGTGATCAGTATTGCGTATTTGGGGAGATATTCCAAAGTAAGACTACGAGGTTTGGGCTTAGGGAACAATTTCGTCGTGGCGTGGAGAGTGTGAAAAGGCAAGTCGAGAGGCTCGGGTCGCTTCCGCCGAGGACGGAAGACACCCGTCACGTCGTATAAAGTCCAAGATTCCACCGGATCGAACTCGACTTTTGTTGTGCTTTTTACGAAATCGCAATCATGACACTCGTTCACATTGGTCTGTTGATCTGTTGATCTGTCTGTTTCATCTGAGTTTATTTTCAACTAACACTCTCATAGTTCTGTTCAAGTTCCGCGCGGATGTCGGAGACAAAGTCCGACAGGAATTTCTCTCCCAGATCAAAACTCTCAAGAATCTGCCTTGCGTCAAAAGTCAAAGACTTGTTGTTGGAGGACCTTCTATTACTACACCGATTGAAAAGAGCAAGGGCTTTCAGTATGCTCTGGTGAGCTATCATGAGAACCGGGCCGCTCTGGCCGAGTACCAAGCGAGCCATGAGCATGAGAGGTGAGCCTCACTTCCTCTTCGCCCTCGAATATTGCTAATCTCATTATGAATAGGGTGACTAGTACCTACTTCATTCCTTACAAGGAAGATCTGGTTCGCTTTGACTTTGAGACTGGTCAAGACGATGAGGCGCTGCTTGGATTCTGATCCATTCGATCCTTTGGGATTGGATACTTTGTATATAGAGGCTAATTGTGAAGTGATGAATGACAACAGTTGTATCTGTGACGATGGAAATGTTGCAAATGACATTTTGGAGGGGTATCGCATCTCTCACTAGTTTGATCACGGCACTGGGATGAATGTTCAGGTGTCCGACACGGTCTCAAAAATCACATTCACAGACCCAGTAACCTCAATCTCTCGGGGCGTCAGATCCAGTGCATCTCCTTCGTCGTCATCGCTCGCAAATGATCGTTTACACTTTTTGGGCTTGCGCATCGAGGCCATCGCGACGTTTCTGTATCCGCCTTGTGCATAGTCGGTGACTTCGACTGCAACGACTTTCCGCTGGAGCACTTCCGCGTAATCTTCGGCTTTCTTGATCGCATCCCGCAATGCCATTTTGCGAGCCTTGGAAGCCAGTTCGCTTCCCGTCTCATCAGTCAGGCGCCAATCAATTGAGTCAACCTCGACCTTGGGATATTTCAAAAGCTTGCCGATCACCTCACTTAGTTTGGCAAAGTCTCGAAAAACCGATCGGAACGAGATACTGGCATGGTGCGGGTTGGGTGCTGGGTTTCCTTCGCTGTCCTCGGGTTGGGACCATGTTTTGATATTGGTGGACGCAAACGTGGTCACTGCATGCTCGGCAGCGGCATGTGCTTCCTTGGTTTGAGGACAAAGCAGTTTGAAGAATTGCTGAATCTCGTTGGAAATTGAAGTGACTTCCTTGGCGACCTCTTCTTTACGCGAGCCATTGGCTCTCACTGAAAAGGCGAGTGCGCCTCGTTCGGGATAGGCAAACACGGCGGATTCGCCGGTCACGGTAATTTTGAGGGGAGACATATTTGTTGTGGGAGAAATATGCAGATGGGTTCAGTTAAATAGCAGAAGTGAGGACAGGCAGCAGAGTATCACAGCCTTACAGCCTCACAGCCCCCACGTCATTTGCCACTGATGTTTACTGGTGAGTCACAACTTCATACTTCCTGGGCAATACATCTATGAGTATGGTTCTAATACAGTGTTTAGTGAGCTATTTTAGTCCATAAAACATTCTAGAGAGGAGTCTATCTTGCTCATGCGCACCGTTTTGGAACACAGGTCTCGTCTTCGTTCATCCCAGTCCAGTCCCAGCAGGCATTCCATATAGCTTCGCGTTTCTCCTCATTCTCACTGATCCGAGCGGCAGCGTTTGGCGTCTGTCCGTCAAAGTGGCCTCTCACCAAAGAGTATTTCGGGTCGATAGCCAGCGCGACGAGGTCACGGGCTGAGTCTGCATTGGAGCGAAGCTTGTAGCTAAAAATATTGATAATCGGAAGCGAGATCGCAAACAGCTTGAACGCGATTCGCACAATTCCACGTTGAGAGGTATGAGCTCGGGAGTCGACGAGACCACCTGGGTCCATGGCGGTCACTGTGATTCTGTTAAGCATCGGATCCTAGATAAATTGATGTCAGCACGATTCTCCTATCAAAACTCTCATTTCTCACCTGTTGGAGTCGCTGATTCAAGCTCTGCATGAGCATGACGTTAGCCAGCTTGCTATTCGCGTATCTGCGCCAGCCCATGTCATGCTCGGTCCCAGTCTCTTCGGGACCAGGCTTGACCAATAGCTCGAGGTTATCATCCGAAGGAAGCTCCGCACCCAGCTTGGAGAGTGGGATACGAACTTCGGGATCGTGAACCTCAGAGCTCAGCATGACAACTCGACCCGATTCGCGATCCACATTCCGAAGAAGTCTGAGAACGAGGGAGAAGTGTGCAAGATGGTTGACCTGAAATGTAGATTCATACTGATCGTTCGAAAAGCGCTGACCATCCAAAGACCAGGTGAATGCGTTGCAGATGATTGCACAAATTGGAGGAAGCTGTTTTGATTCAATCAAGCCCGCGATCTCCTCTGTGAAAGCCCGAACTTCTGAAAGGGAATTCAAATCCACACTTTTGATCAGAAGCTTGCCGGCAGGATGTTGACCAGCGATTTGCTCCAGGCGAGTCAGATGTGCGCTTTTGGGAGAACTCGCCGCATTTCGAACAGTGCCGACAATGGTGAGAGACGGATGGGATAGAAGCTGCTGTACAGCCTCGAGAGCAAGAGAGCCGGTTGCTCCTGTGATAATGACCGAGCCTGACATGGTATCAAATTATTTCAAGATGGGAATTCGAGTCAGCGACATGAATGGAAAGGGGACACTACTTAAACAGTCCATCGGCTAATTAATAGCCGACATGCCATGGCACTAGTTTAGCGGCATATTGGGGGCTTGAGAGGAGAATTCGTATGTATTATAAAATTACACTAACTGATATTCTACTGATATTCAAGATACAGGTACGAAGTGCAGCATTTGACGATTCAAATCCTCATTTTGGATCACTCGGTCGATAGACGACGCGCTCAGCAAGCAAGCGAGGTGTATCAATATCATGGCTAGGCAAGACAACCACGTCAGTTTCTCTGGCAAAATCTTTGATGGTTCGCAGAGTCTGTTGTGCGCGCACAGGATCATCATTGATTCCGTCCGGTTCCTCTTTATCCAACAGATCTAAGCCATAAGTTGCGTCTCCAGGCAGGAAGAATGTGACTTCAGTCTGATCCGGGCCGTCCCCATAGACCACCAGACCAATATGTCCAGGGACATGACCGGAAGTGTCTACAATCACAATCTTCCCATCTTCGGTCAGAGGAAACGACTGTGTCCACGGCCCAACCGGTTTGTCTTGCAGATCAACAATACTCGGAGTGAAATCTTTCGGCCAGTGGTTTGGGGTAGCGCCCTCCATGCTGGCAAAGATCGGATGTTCTCCAAAGGCTTTCCAATGTTCCCGACTGATGTAGATGGGTAAATCCGGTGCCTCTGCAACCAAGTCCTCCAATCCCCCCGCATGGTCGTTGTGGAGGTGACTCAAAACAACGCCTTTGAGGTCGGTGGCTTTGATGCCCCGCTCATGAAGCTGGGCCAGAATACCGTCTTGGTGCTCAATCGTGAATTGACTTAACAGGCCATTGGCAAAAGCAATTCTTGGGAAGTATCCGGCGTTGTTGCAGCAAGGAGATTGCCCGGTATCAAAGAGGAAGATCCCTTCAGGGTGTCGAATAAGAAATACCCCAACAGGTAGTGACTCGGTCCATCCTCTGTCGAACAAAGATTTGAGGCGTCTGAGAATCGTGAAGTTGCCGACTGGTTGTGAGCGCATGGATGGTCTGATCCGGACAGTTCCGGTAGTCAGGAACTCCAGTTGTACGGGTGCATTGAGAGGTTTATCTGACAAAGATTGCATGTTGGAGGTTGAATGGTCAAGGTTGAAGATTTAAAGAGGGAAAAACCAGTGGCTTCATAAAGGCTGAGACCAGTCGGCTGTTCAGAGTAAGCCGAGCGGGAGAACTTAGCGTGGATTGCTGTTTGCCGATTGCACTCATAACTTCAATGAATGGCGGTTTCTCAATAAAATACTTCAGGACATTTTGAGAATAGTCTGTAGAGAGCTGGCTATGGGGTTTCTTGCCTCGCAACTAGAACAGGATGGGATCGGCTCTACCACGTCTGTTCCGGGCAGTGAAATAGGGTAAAGCAGTCAAGAAACAAAAGAACAGCATTGAATACACATAACTTAACTAATTATCTATCAATATTTACTGTTCATTGTTCAATGAAGATGTTGGCGTGACTGCCGAGTTCTTTTGGCCGGCAGTCGGCAAACTTGGACCGAACCTCTTCCCCTTTGAACCTTTGCCGAACACAACCCACGAGATGGCACGGGAATCACCTCGAGCCCGCGCCGTATGCATACGCTGCCATGCCGGCAAAGTGAGTGTTGAAATACCATTGCCAACGTTATTGCACACGTGCTGATCCATGCAAAAGGTCCGTTGTGATCTCGAGGATCGGAGTGGCACTTGTAGCCGATGCGAGCGAACAGGTCATCAATGCCAGTAAGTTGGGCTATATCTCGCAAAATAACAGAGGCTGACCGTTCAGGATACATGTTGGAGTTCGTAAGCAAAGGCGAGCACTACGCTCTGCCCTGGCTAGCAACTTGACTCCTGTGGCCCCAGACCAGACATTGTTAACTCCAGCACAGACACAACCTCCAGCTCAGATACAGACTCCAGCTCAGATACAGACTCCAACTCAGACGCAGGAACAGACTCCAGCGCAGATCCGACTATTTGATTCTACGCTCTCATCCTCTTACAGTGCCCTGGAACAACGCACAGTTCATTGCGCAGATCTAGGAAATGCCAATTCCAAAGAGCCCAACTTCATCGACGGGAGCGAGCTTATTGTCGACATAAGTCAGGCCCGTCGCCTCCCACCCCCCGTCATCGCTCAAGCATTGGCAGATTTTTATTTCCGTGAACTATTTCCATTTGTGCCAGTGATGGATGGGGACAAAGTTGGAGCCTCTTCGTCGGTACTGATCCAGCAATGTCTGTCTTTTGCTGGTAGTACCATGCGTCAACCAAGAGGGTCAAGCGATTGGTCTTCTTTTGCCATCTACGGACGAATTAAGACGCTTCTTTTTGTGCGTCAGGACCCATGTCCATTCAACACTCTCAGTGCTCTGTCTATCTTGAGTACCTGGCTCCCATATTCGCCCGTGGCAATTGTGCTGGACAGCCCATGGCAATGGACTGGTATGGCAATCCGAATGGGAATCCAACTTCATCTCCACAAAGCTGAATCCTACAATCAACTTCAAAATTCTGGCTTGATCCGACGAACGTGGTGGTACCTCTTCGTCGCAGACACTTTACAAATGGCTTGCTGTGGGCGCCCAGGGATGTTCCCTTTGAAAGACACTTCCGTGCCATTGCCAACCATTAGTGACTTTGAAACCCCCGACATGGCAGCACAGGTTTTCTGTCAGCTAACACGTCTCTGTCTTGCTCTGAAGGAGATCTTGGACCTGGGGAGGGATAATGAAGGTACTCGGGAGCAGGCATGTCAGGCCATGGACAAACTCAGTCAGTGGCGAAACGGCCTGCCTATCGAAGTGCAACTATTTGATTCCAGTCAAAAGAGACAGGCTTACTACCGCCCCGTGGTTGAACTTCACATCTTCTATCTGGTGGCAATTGTTCTTACTTGTTTCATCGGCCGTCGTGACAACACCCCGCTGCTCAAATACCTGTCAATCGCCGCATCATCATGCATCTCCCGGCTGTACGAGGAAATCCTTTGCCGGGAGGAGATTCAATATCTACTGCCGATTCATTCATGGAATCATCTTGTTGCCGCAATTCCCCGGGTATTCTGCGACATGGACATTTTCGAACCATACCGAGTAGATGATGTCAGAATCAGCCAGCAGGTACTGGAGAAGATGAGCGACAAGCATCCATCCGCTGGTATGGTTCTAGGCAAGATTCAGAGCCTTGGTAACCTGGGTATCAATATGTTTCCTCCACAACTCGACCCTATGTGGAGTGACCTTCCAGCACCATCAATAGATGAGAAGACATACATCATTACAATGTTACCTTTTCCTGGGACCTTTTGTCCAATGCTTGACTCCATCATGTCAATGGAGAGAAGCGAGAATGATCCTCTGAGTTCGTTTTCCCCGGTACCCGCAAACAATGATGCCCAGGATTGGCCAGCAGTGGATTGGTCTTTCTTTTTGTATGATGGTCTTATGAGCTTTTAGTCGAGACATTCTTTGTATGTGTTACTAGCCGTGTGGAATAGTGCCAATGAAAGCAACCCATGATAATTTACCCATAATCAGAGCAATCCAAAGTGTAGAAGCCCTACGCCACAGCTCCGTTTTGCCCGTCGGCAACGTCCCGTCTCTCGGAGCACATCCGCCCACCCCCATATAAGAACCTCATTACATTGGATAATCCTCCCAATGCAACTACTACATTCATATCACCACAAATGTCCGACCCAACGAATCAAATGCATCATATTCAATATGAACATCTCAAAAGCTTCGTACAACAAATCCTCATTGCAAATGGCACATCATCCAGCGACGCCGAGGTCGTTGCAAAATGCCTCGTAGCAGCTGACCTACGAGGCGTGGACACGCACGGAAGCAATCGCATCCCATCATACATGGAGCGAATCCGCCAAAAGGCCCTAAACCCAGCCGCAACACCAACCATCAACCAAGTGACACCAGCAGTCGCGCAAGTGGACGCCCACAACGGCTTCGGTTTCGTAGCCGCACATGCCGGCATGAAACGCGCCATTGAAATGGCCGAAATCTTTGGAATAGGCATGGTCTCCATCAAACACTCCAACCACTTCGGCATGTCCGCCTGGTTGGTCCAGCAAGCCCTAGAATCAAACATGATGTCCCTGGTATTCACGAACAGTTCGCCCGCACTACCCGTCTGGGGCGGGAAAGAGAAACTCATGGGTGTTTCACCTATTGCATGCGGAGCTCCATCCGGCAATGACCGCCGGCCTTTTATCCTTGATATGGCACCTTCAATTGCGGCCCGGGGTAAGATCTACAAGGCTCTCCGGCGAGGCGAGAAGATCCCTACAGATTGGGCACTTGATGGGGAAGGGAGGCAGACGGATGATCCGGCGAGTGCGTTGCAGGGCGTGATGCTACCGATGGGTGGGCCGAAGGGGTCAGCGTTATCTGTGATGATGGATGTGTTCTCGGGTGTGTTGTCTGGCTCTGCTTTTGCGGGAGGAGTCACCAATCCGTATGATCCGTCCAAGCCGGCGGATGTGGGACATTTCTTGGTTGCTATCAAGCCGGACTTGTTTATGACTATTGAGGAATTCAAGGGGAGGATGGATTATCTGTATCAGCGCGTTGTTGAGTCGGAGAAGATGGCTGGTGTGGATCGCATCTATTTCCCTGGCGAGATTGAAATGATTACTGAAGAGCGAAGGTTGGCTGAGGGTATCCCTTTCGCCGAGGCTGAAATAGCTGGGTTGAATAAGGAGGCGGATTTAGCGGGGATTGAGCATTTGAAGATGTGAAGCCTTGTTCAATTCTTTACATTGACTTTTATCAGTCACAGTTACGTTACAACGGGACATCATGTATAATGAGATGAAGCTGGGCCGCTCATGTCTCTGTGTTGAAATATCTGGATGCATCAACCTTCGGATGTACAAGCAAAGCATAACGCTTGATGGACCACACTACTACTGGTCTTGGAGATGCCCTTAAAACACAAATCTCAAACAACTTGCCACAGAGTGCCAGCCAAGAAAGTCAGAGTAGCCACACGGGATAGTTCACAGGTAGAAATAATGTCACAGTTCAATTATCGTCGACAGGACCTCCCATAGAAGGAAAGAAAAGCTAAGAAGAACCAGAATAAACATATTCAATGGATAAATAATATGCTCGGAAAAAAAAGAACACAGACAATGTCTCACTTTACAGCCAGAGATAATAGTAACAGAAGAAGGGAAGGCAAATCACAGGGGATCAGGAAAGAAAAGAACAACAAAAGCAAAAGACATTAGGAAAGGAACATGTATTCAGACAAAGGAAATAATGAACATGCTAGATAATTAATCAAACATCCCAAGGATGATGAGGAATCGCTCCATGCATAAGAAGGGAACAAAAGCAGGGTATCACTTAGTATCCAAACAACCTCGCTGCTCTTGTGAGCAACTCAATGAGCCTTAGAAGGATGGGGTTTGAATCTGCCTTGTGAGATCAAAGCCTGAATTCGAAGTGCTTGATCTGTCCGGTCTCACGAGCCGGGCCGGTTGAAGATGAGGCTCTTGTCAGTTATTGACTAGCCAGGGTGAGATCAGCGTTCATCACCGGCTCTAGACTTGGCACGTCTGCGGAAGAAATCCATGACTTTGCGTGCCGCGCCGGAGCTGCCAGAATGGTGGGATCCGTCCCGCTCATATTCGTAGGCATCGGCGAATTTACGGTGGTTCTTTTGCAAAACGTTCGGTCCACGGTTCGAACGACTAGCTTGCATTGACTGACGAGGCAAGCTGTCATAGGTGCCATTGTAGTCGTCGTAGTAGTTGGGTTTAGACTGGTAACCGTGGTTGTTGCCAGTGTAGTCCCGAGAGTTTTGGTACACCTGATCAGCTGAAGGCATACCAAATGAATCCTGCTGCTGGTCGAATTGACTGCCCAAGTCTGCGAATTGCCGATCAATTTGGGCTTCGTAGCTGAGTGGATCACTTTCGGTTTGGACATCCTCGCCATGTCCCTCACTAACCATTCCCATGGCATCTTGAGCGCCATAGCTGGTCGAGCGAGCTCGACCTTCTCCAGGACCAGCAGGGCCTGTAGTTGGTCGTTGTTGACCCCGGGATTCGATAGGGCGAGATATTTCTGGTTGTTCATCGGGTGTTTGAGCTCGGCCGGTGGAAAAGCCCCTAAATGAGAAGGATTGCGGGAGCAGGGAGAACCGACGAGGGCGATTCTCTAGACCAGATTCGCTTGCCTTGCGGTTATGGGGATATTGCATAGAACGCCGTGAATCCATGGACATTCTAGAGTTTTCTCTCGGTAGCGGTTCCTTCATACTCACTGGAGGATAACGCTTGTCCTGCTTTGCGCGAGGGGCGTTGGCCTGAGAGCCACGGCCACCCATAATGGAGCCAGAACGTCCGAAGAGCTTCTCACCAAGGCTGGAAACAGTGTTTGACCTCTTGTGGCCTTTTGGCGGCTCTTGGCGAGGCGTCGTGTTGAATGTTGAGGGCAACACCTGGGTGCTGGGACGACCAATCGATGGGCTAGATGGCTCCGGGTCCTGAGGAAGAGTAAATTGTCTGCTCTTGGGCTGGGCCAGGCGGCCTTCGGTATTAGTTGCAGTGACAGTAGGGGCCACCGGCTGTCCGTAGGACCCGCGAGAAGGCAAACGACCAGCGTTATTGAAGGAAGCCATGGAGCCACCAGTGGCGGGTCGAGTTCCTGATGGTAGCCCGACGTGTTGCGATCCAGTAAGTGCTGCGTTGTCTGAGGTCGAGCGCGGGAAATATCCTGGAAGGGGCTTGTTGAGGTTGAGCGCCGGCGCGTCTGTGCCCTTCTTCTGAACTGGTTCTGTTGGTTGCACCTGCGCCATTGGTGCTTGTGATGGAGCTGGAGCTGGAGCGGGAGCTCGGCGGGAGGATGTCGGTTCCGCGGGAGGTTCTCCTCTAGTCGTTTGTGACTGAGGCGCAACGTACTCGACTTGAACTGTTCTTCGTTTGGCATCGCGGGTGGTTTTGGACTTTTCAGATGGCGAATCCTGTGAAATGTCTCCCGCGTGGTGGTTCAGTCCACCAACAGCCTGAACATTGCCTTGCGATGTCTTAGGTGGTTCTCGCACAGAGGCACTTCGGGCGAGAGGGGGTGCTTCTTTTTGTGTTTCTATAACAGTCAGTCTTTTTGAAAAAGAAGATGAGCATTTGACAGGAGGTCATCTCACCGGAAGGAATTGTGGTGTTGGCAATGTCTGCAACATTCGTTGTGCTACTTGTAATGTGAGACACAACGTGTGAGTATTCACTTAGCCAGCTGTGTCGAGCAACTTCAAACAAATCCGCACGCTTCCGTGGGTCGGGAACCAGTATCCTCCTCAAAAGATCGCGCGCGTGTGGTGTTACATATTCGGGGAAAGTGAGAGGTGTGCTGACGATGTATTTGTACAGAAGATTAATGTTGTCGCCGTCAGGATTTGCGGGGTCGTCGTCAAAGGGAAGGTATCCAGCCAACATGGCATACTAGGGAGTGTTAGTGGAGCAAAAGTTGAATGTAGCAAAAGTCTTACCAAGATGACACCGCAACTCCACACATCTACCTTCCGACCTGTGTATAAGGAGTCGCTCACAACGAGTTCAGGCGCGGCATAACAAGGACTGCCACAGCTAGTCTGCATCAGATCGCCTCGACGCAATCCATCTCCATTGACCCTGTCTAGGCGCTTTCGCTTGACATATTCCTTGTTGGTCAAGTTGTACTCGATCTCCTCTTCCAGCGGGTCTGTTGGGTTGAAGGTATTGGCGAATCCGAAATCCGTGATGATAATGTTGCGATTCCGGTCAAGAAGCAAGTTCTCCAGCTTCAGGTCACGGTGGACGATTCCCTTTTTGTGTAGATAGCCAACTCCTGAAATCAGCTGCGCAAACAGGCGGCGGGCAGAATTGTCTTTCAAGTAGCGGTTGTTCAAGATGTAGTCGAATAATTCACCTCCAGACGCGTACTCCATGATGATACCAATGTGTCGGTCGGTTTCCACCATTTCGTGAAGGCGCACAATATTAGGGTGTGCCAGGTCGCGTAGGATAGAGATCTCGCGATAGATCTTGGGCAGTCTACTGGGGTTGGTGCCCAGAGAATCCCTCCGAATAAGCTTGATAGCTACCTGAATGCTTCCATCTCGCTTCCAGCCGAGCTTGACCTTTCCGAACTCACCCTCGCCGAGAGTCTGCCCAAGAATATATGAGCCGAAAGTGGTCTCCTTGCGCTTGACGACATTCCCATTGTTATAATCATGTCGACTGCGAGGACCGCGAGCCTCCTCTGCACCATCAAACCCAGGTGCCAAGCCCGATGAGGATGCCTGCTCCGCAGATGCGCCCACTTGCCGCACCTGTTCTCTCTCGTAATCCACCACAGGGTCGCTGACCTGCACAGCGTTGAGCACTGCACTCGGCTCCTGCACCAGACTTCCCTCCGGCTCCATCTTGGGTTGGACCGGTGGCGCTGTTCGCTCCACTTCACGAGAACTGTCCTCTGTCTGGTGTCTCCGTGATTTGCCGTTTCGATCCTCTCGTGGGCGCTCACGATGATCCTTGTGCTCGGACCTGCTCTTTCCACGGGAACTATGTTTTTCTCCCGATGTCCCGTTCGGACTCCGACGGCTGTGGTTTGTTGACGAGGTTCGCGGGGGAGGCACCGGCGGTGCACCTAGCATGTCGGGATAGGCGTTGCGAGCATTCTTTTGGGAGGGCGACGCGGTGCTAGTCGAAGCTGGGGAAGCATGGGTGGAAAGCACAGCCGGCTGACGGGAAGCGCTCATAGCCGACGAAGCTGTTTGGGGCCGGCCTCAAGAAGTGGCTGGGGATGGGATTAGCAAGCCAGTCGTGGATGCGCCCCGGGTCCTGCAGCACGGCCACCTACCTTCTGATAGATGCGCGACGCCTGAGGCTGTGTGACTCCCAAGGCAGCTTCGGGCTCAAATTAGGCACGTCGATTCGTAGAATTGGCGCGAGGGAGCACAACGTTGCAAGTCGAGGGGGGCGACCGGTCGCACTCAATTCAACGCGCAAACTGTGTCCGTTAGTCCCCAGAGTCTTATCAATCGGCAAAATGGATTCGAGGAATGAAGAGTGGGCACAACTGCCAGATCGGAAGAATGGAGGGGACGCCACCAATCGCGCCGTTGAATGGAGCTTCACCCACCGATGATGTCCAGGGGTAAAGACGCGTCTCACACCCCAAGTTTTCGAGATAGCTGCACTGCAGTTGGGTTTTTTTATTTTTTTAATTTCCAGTTTCCGAATGCACGATATTCGGCCCGTCAAAGATCGGAGAAACAACACCAATGTCTCAGACGCGAAAAGCCGAGTCCAAACGATTTCAATTGAACATGGTTGGAATTCAGGAGGGGGAGCCGCGAGGGGAAGGAAACACCGGAGATCCCTTGCAAAAGGGGGGCACCCTCAAAGAACGAAAACTGAAAGGACGAAAAAGAGAAGAAGAAGAGAAAAAAGGAAGGGAGAAGGGGAAGCCCAGAGAGTTGTGAAGGGAAAAGAGGAGGTGAGATACGAGGTTGGTTTGGGGGGGGGGGCGGGAGAGCGCTGGGAGCTCTCAACTATACTCAGTATGGTCAAGCCCTTGGACTCTGATATTGTTATAACTTATAGGATCTTCACTTGCTTGAATTCTACCATGGGATATGGGCTGTGATTTGAGGATTCGGTTCTGCCATTCGGTCTACAATAGTTGAATTTGTTGCTATACGTGAATACTGGTTCTGGGATCTATTCACTGCTGGGATATGAAATGCTGCTCATGCTAACCAGGGAGAGTCAGACTGATTTCCTCTCCAACTCTCAAAAACTGTCCAAGACGACGATACAATAGATATCCCTTGCTCACCTCCTCGCAGTGGTGAGAAATAGGGGGTTGCGGTGGACACCGCCGATCGTCATTATTAGCCTCCGAGCTTGGATGTTTTCCTTTGTGCGCATTATTTATAGATGGGTTCAGATGCACATCTGAGATGTGGGATCGGGTGAGAGAGGTGCAATCGAGGATCTCGGTGCCCCTGTGCCTCTGTTCCACTTGCAAGAGTCATCGACTGCAACTTCACAGACAGAGATCGCATTGCAACAACACCCCACATACTCGTACTCTACACGTCATTTCAAATCTCTGCACTGATTTCCTCACATGAACAACTGTCAATTGATGCGCTGGCAGGTTTCGCCATCTATATTCTCGTCCAATCGATAGTGCATAGATCTACCGCTCTCAGCCAATGGGTATCACCGCCGTTACTGTTTCTCATCACTTCGTAATAGGGCACCCCAAAACAACAAAAACAAAAAAAGACGGTCTGAGTCGGTTTGGGGCTGCTGTGCCACCTAGTCGAAATCCAAATAGCCTTCAATCGTACCTGAAGTATCACATCACATAGTAATATAAGCATGTTGATATGTGGTCGGAACTTAATTCGACGCTCTCTCTACCTATCAAATCATCCCTGGGAATCGCTTGCCTAACCCAAAAAAAAAAATAAAAAAGAAAAAAGAAACAAATTGACAGAAGGGGGAACAAGAAAAAGAAAAGAGATAGATCCCAAGGACCCTTGCCCCGGAGTTTTACCGCTTAGCCCCTAACATGGGGGCTCGCTCCATCTAGGGACATGGTCCCCGATGCGCCGTAGGCGGGAGGCGGTGTGGGGCCAGGGCGAACGGGGTCACTCAGGCGAGACGGACCGTCGACTGGAACTTGCCCGCCGTCACCTCCGCCAACGACGACTTGCTGACCGTCGCGCATTTTACCCACCACCATACCCTTGGCCACCGATTTCAGAAGCGCGCGCCGACTGACCCCCGTAGCGTCAATATACACCAACCCGACATTTTTGATCCCACCCGTGAGATTAGTCGCGACGTTGCCGGCCTCGGTTCCGTAGCGGTGATCAATCATGGAGCTCGCGGCAGATGCGCCGGAGAAAAGCATGTTGCGGGCGCTCTGCTCGATACCATCGGCAATGGTCGAGAACGCAATCATAGACTTGTTCATCACACCTGGCTTGTAATCCGGCGGGGGGTTGCTCTTGTCGAAGCCTTTGCGCCGACCGGAATCCTGTTTACGCGCCAAAGACGCGCCGAGGTTTTGGGCGACCTTGCCAACCTGTCCCACGGTGCGAGCCGACAAGTCTGCAGCACCATGGGAGAAGGTGCCGACCTTGCGCATGCGAGCGTGAGTAGAGTCGGAGAAGGTTAGAGGCTTGGGGTTGGGCTTGGTCCTCTGTTGGAAGCTCTGTGCGCCGTTGGCGATGGCGCCTGCCAAATAGGATGATCCAGTGACAATCAAGCGCGATGCTGTTGCAGATGTTTGGACAATGGTCGAGTTCTTGTATGCGGGGTGACGGGCCATGGCCAGGTATTCTTCAGAGACATTGCTGACACTGACTTGGTTACCTTCACCCTCGGCGGGAAGCTCAATTCCTACGGGTCCTATGCAACTGATGAGCTTCGGAGAATCTGAACACGATCACAGACACCGATGGACTTACTCTTCGAACCAGGCTTGACATCCGAATCCTCCACCACGTTATAACCATCTCCCAGCTCTCCGACGACGCTGCCGTCCTCTTCATCAACCAATACGATTCTTCCGTGCGAATCTGCATTCTTCGAGTCCGACCCAACGTATCCCTGGCCAGGACCGTAGTCTGCGGGGTTATAAGCCGCAAAGTCTTGCGACTTGGGAGGAGGGGCTCGTTCAAGGAAGGCAGTGCACTGCGCAAGAATAGTTTCGAATGTATCGATATCATCCTGCGTTACGTTGCCAGATCCAGAGCCAATGCCCGGGAATTGGATCCGAATAAAGGCGCCAGCGTCCGGTCCCATATCCCATCGGGGGATAAGATAACTGTCTGGGGGCTGATGGAAGATCTGGGTGGTCGCCGGTAGAGCAAGGTCCAGCTCAGGTGGGAGATAAAGATGAAGGTAGAAGTCCTCTTCTGGCGACTCGGTGCCAGAATCCCCACCTGTGGTACTCGTTGGGACCATTAGCAAGGAGAGGGTCTGAGGGCCCGACGGCGTGAGATCCTGCTCTTCGCCATCTTGTAGGTGGAAAGCACGAATATTGTTGACACTGTAGAGCAAGCGGGGGTCGTGTGCTGCCATGGTGAGAGTCGGATAGTTGTAGTAACCAGGGACGGGGTTTCAGGGACCGCTGATAACGAGGGGGGATGACGTCGTGATGCCCGCAGCTTTATCTCAGTGGCGAGTTATCTCGGTTTTCAGGGATAATTCAACTTGGTCAACTTGTGAACTGGGCAACTTGAACAAAGAAATTCACATCAAGAAGATCCAAGATCCACGACCGAGGGGCTTCTTATGAACCCTTAAGTCTGGGCGCTTAGATAAATTGGAGGGCTGTGCTGCGCCACATGTGCGCCACACACTGTGGGGGTTTCCACCCTTTTCGATCCCTTCCAACTCGGTGCGTTCTGATGGATTCCATCTCCATTCCATGGCCCCATTTCAGATCTTGTACATGTAGAGGCCTATGACGTACTCACAAGCTCCCAACAGCTCCCCATCTTGCTCTGTTGGGCGTCATAGGAGTGGTGAAGGATGACTCAAAAGAGTCAAAAAGAGTTTGAATTACTGGACAGGACTCGAGATGATCTCTCCCCAGAAGTAACGACCCTTGGCTGTACACTTTTCGTCGCGAGTAGACGAAACCCCAACAGAGCGTGGGCATTTGGGCATAACTGATACATTATAATATCCATGCTGAAGACAGTGCTGGGAAAATGGCTGTCAGCAGCTACAGGAGCTATTGTGTTTCGCAGGCACAGAATTTCACTGGTAGACGAGTGATATCTATCTGGCTCATTCTTTACACACGTACCTTGGATGTCCTGTTAAGGGTTTTTTTATAATTGAACAGGTGGGATAGACAGAGAATGTGACTAGGGTTGAACTATATATTGAACTGTTTATATTCTACCCAACGCTATAAATTGGCACGCTTCTCTATGAATTGATAGTCAATCATACAGAGAAATCAATCAAACGTGTGCCCCGAAGTCTCGTTTTCAAATGGCTATAAGAGTCGTCGGTAACGTTAACACATACGTATACAAGAACATTCGCCCTGCAACAGGGGCTATAACTTCTATTACACCGTGATGCTTGTATAGTTAAGAGGCCCATTCAAGGCCCTTAAAAATAGGGAAAGAAGAAGTGGGAAAAGAGGCTGAAATCAATGCTCATACAATGCACACTTGTGTTACAGCGAAATTGTCTAACTATTCATAGCACCATGAGCCGACCTATGACCATGACTTGATGAACTGCACGTACATAAGGAGATAAAGAATAAAGAAATCACTGTAGGATTTTCACAGTACTGTGTAAAGCAATTGGGGCAAAAGAGACACTCGATGCCATATTAAAAGAAAGAGACCGAAAAAGGTATCAAAAAATAAAAAGAAATGGACGGGCGGTGGATCGAACACCGGACTTTTCGCATGCAAAGCGAACACTCTACCACTGAGTTACGCGCCCAGTTGTGATGCTGACTTAGCCTGGCTTAGTATTCTAAAGTAATACTGTATTTCCCCGGTTGGGTAGCCCAAAGCTATTCCAGCATTGATATTCATATTTTGAAACACCCCTTTCGTAAACTCAAAGCTTTCTATACTATATTGCTTCTCTATATCAGAGAAACACATCCTGTTAATGATAAACAACTGTATAAATGGCGCTGAACTACCTGATCGAAGGCAATGTCAGCTCGAGGCTAACCATTTCGGGACAAGGATCCAGTCCCGAGGTTGCCAAGACTTGAAAATTCCATGGCTAAGCCCCGCTTAGTCATACAAAACAGTGCAAACAGCCATTGGATGCGAAATTTTGGCGGACTACTTGCCTCGCTCTTGATCTCAAGAGTTTCCTGGTCACTTGCTAGGCAAAATGGAAGCTGAACCGACTAATATGGACTCTGTGCCTGATTTTGAGGTACAGAAGCGCGACGCGAACGACAATGCTGCCGCAGTGGAAGAGCCTCCAGCTAAGAAAGCCCGCTTGGACGAGAACCCCAACTCAGAGAAGATAGACATGCGCGATAGAGCAGTTGCGCCTATTAAAGCAGAGTATGTTGATTATGATATCCAAAAATTGGTATACTGACATGTGTGTCTCAGGTATCGCATTGAAGTTGTGAGGCCACAGCCGAACGAACAGTCGAAAGACGAAATCAGCCCTGACGATGCTGCCGAAGCTGCCCCTCGCGATGATCGTGATAACAATAAGATGTCCAAAAAGGAGAAGAAGAAGAAGTTTTCTGGCCAAAACACCAACCGAACCTATGGCAAGTCGCAGGACGAAAAGGGCCTTTGCGCCACCAGAATGAATGCCAACGAATTCTCGGCTACTGAATGCAAGTTTGGCGATACCTGCCGATTTGAGCATGACTTGCGTCGCTATCTGAAGGAGCACAAACGCGAGGACCTTACTACCTTCAAGGTCTGCCCTATTTACGAAGCGCAGGGAAGATGCTCTGCCGGCTGGAGATGCCGATTGGTTGGCTCCCACTCAACCGAAAGGGAAACAGAAGACGGGAGGAAGGAATTGATCTTGCTGGAAGATGCAGAGCTGGTGGAGAAAGCTCGCCCTCGTGTGTCTGGTGCGACATCGGACGGAGTCGTCAACATCATCGCTACAAATGACAGGGTCCTCCTAACGAGAAAGAAGGAAAAGACTCCTCGCGCTGATGCTTACAATACTTGGGTCAACAAGGTTTCTGCGGAGCTAGAGAACACACTTCACAAGAGAAACACCGTTAGAGAGAACGGAGAACTTGTTGTTCCAACAAAGGAGGATCAGAAGAAGGCAGAGGAGGCGAAGGAGAAGACTACGGAGGAGGGCGCAAATGAGGAGACGACAGAGAAAGTGGAAGACAAGGTAGAAGAAAAGGCTGAACAAAAGGAAGCATTGGAGGACAACCGTGCTCAATTCACTGAGCCTCCTTTCTTGCCTTCCGAGAAGCGACGCATTTACTTCGGCCCAGAGACACCCACCCTCGCACCTTTGACGACACAAGGTAACATGCCATTCCGAAGACTGTGTGAAGACTTGGGTGCGCAATTTACCTATTCGGAGATGGCAATGAGCATGCCTCTGATTCAGGGTGCGAAGTCCGAATGGACCCTTTTAAAGGCACACGAGTCAGAATTAGCACCCCCAACTGTCATTCCGGGGGATAATATCGTCCAGGGCTATGACAACTCCAAGGACTCTAAGTTTGGTGCACAGATTGCGGCTAATAAGCCATGGCAAGCATACAAGGCCACCGAGGTGCTGTCAAAGTTCACCCCCAACCTGCGCGTTATTGATTTGAACTGCGGATGCCCCATTGAGCTCGTTTTCCGTGACGGCGCTGGGTCTGCTCTGCTTGACCACGGTTCCAAGTTGGAGAAAATGATTCGCGGTATGAACACAGTCTCGCAGGAGATTCCAATCACCGTCAAGATCCGCACGGGAACCAAGGACAACCAGCCGAACGCTTTGAAGCTGGTTGAGCGTCTTGTTCTAGGTGGCTACGAGTCTAGTCTCTTGGATGTCGGCCCCCCGGGTGCCGCCGCTATTACTCTGCATGGCCGGAGTAGACAACAGCGCTACACCCGGCAGGCTGATTGGGGATACATTTCAGAGACAGCAGCACTTATCAAGCGCTTGAATGAAACAAAGGATAGCCTCACTGATACCATCCGTGAACCGGATGCCCGTTTCATGCCAAACGGCGGAAAGACTTACTTCCTCGGAAACGGTGACTGCTACTCCCATGTCGACTATGACGATCACGTCAACAATGCTGGCGTGGATAGTGTGATGGTTGCTCGTGGAGCTTTGATTAAGCCTTGGATCTTTGAGGAGATTCAGACCGGCCAGTACCTTGACAAGTCTGCCACTGAACGTCTGGCTTACATTGAGCAATTTGCCAAATACGGTCTCCAGGCTTGGGGATCTGATGAACATGGTGTCGGAACCACTCGTCGTTTCATGCTTGAATGGTTGAGCTTCGCTTACCGCTATGTTCCCATCGGACTGCTGGAGTACCTCCCTCCCAATATTCAAGATAGACCACCTGCGTGGCGCGGTCGTAATGAGATGGAAACGCTCATGGGCAGTGGAAACTACAAGGATTGGATCAAGATCACGTAAGTTTTTTTCTCGAAATCATCTCGGATTGTTGGCTAACTCATGTCACAGTGAAATGTTCCTTGGTCCTGCCCACAAGGACTTTAAGTTTGAGCCTAAGCACAAATCTAACTCTTACGAGGCCGAGGGTTAAAGATCACTATTCCTGGTGCTCGACGACTGTACATATGACAAAATCTTCACAGCTTTGCCTGCATGCTCACGAGGTGTTGGATTGAACGTTAGAGAAATTTCCTGTTAGGAATGCCGTTATTATGATTGCATGACAAGTTATTATTTGCCAACAGTACTCTGCGACCCGGAGATGTCATCGTAGCACACTTGTCGAATTTGTTATAGCACCGTAAACAGATTTGTGGCCCTCGTCGTATTCTTCCGAAAACTAATCAACGGTCAAGAGCTGCTCATAGAAACCCCCAAACCCACGCTCTTTATCATGAAGATGGATCTCCAAAATCCAATGACGCTTGAACCCATCACGGCCAGACAGTCCCATTGACTCCTGATTGCCCTTGGTGATGTAAAGAGACGTCCTATCCCGCGGAATTCGCTCATGAGGGAATGATCCCACCAGATGGCCAGCTATATCCGCACCAAAATCCCAGCCTTCCTGCTTGGCGATCTCACAGGAAATGTCATACAATTCTTCTCCAGACATGTCCGGGTTCTCGCGATACCGAGCCTTGACTGTATTCCAGATCGGCTCTAGCGCATCACGAAGCTTCTTCTTGTAAGGATCGTCTCCTAAGACAAAGGTACGCCCAAAGTCCGCCTCCCAGGCTTCAAAGACAGGCCCCAAGTCCACGACGAGTATATCATCTGGCTGGATCACACGATCCGGTGGGTTCTCGGAGAACGGGCTGAGAGTATTTGGCCCGCTGCGGATGACTCGTTTATGCCAATGCGTCTTGATGCCATAGCGATCCAACCCTAATTGGTAGATTTCCTCGTTCAATTTCTTTTCGGTGACACCATGTCGGACTAAGTCCCGCTCGATCTCTTCAAAAAGTAAGACGGCTTTGTCCTGGGCACTTAGAAGCTGGGAAGCCCTTTCAATTTCCTCGGTGGTCAGATGGGTTGTCATTGTGTGCATGGATGAAAAGATGCAGAGTAAGCGCCTCGGGGAGCAGTCGAACTATATAAGTTGACCTGGTACCCCTCGCGGGTGTCGGAGCCGACAGTTCCCCACTCAGCAATGACTCACTGAATAAGCAGACATAGTTGAAGAGGTTGGAGAGATTGGAGAGGTTGGAGAAAAGACTATACCGTAGATGGAGTCAACTGCTCTCTTGTTGATATTCACCCGTAATCGTCGGGTATCTAGATCTGGCTATGACGCACTGTGTGAAAATGTGGGACTGGGCCTTATGCGGGGGAAATGGCTTCAAAAAGGTGTGGTTGAAATTAGGATAAATCTATTGACTCAAGCAAGGCCAATTGACATAGCATCTCACTATACATCACGATCTCGCAGCCTTTTGCAACTCAGAATCCTTGATTGGTGAACAGCGTCACGTGTCCCATGACGTCGTTCTTCGACCTTGAAAACTTCCCCCCATAAGACCACCTCACTTCTCTCCAACACGCGACTCGACTCCCGCAATTACCTCGAATCCCTCCCAGCCAAGATTATCTCTTGCCTAGGTTCTGTGCCTGTGCCTCATTCACTGCCAGAAACTGTCATCTCTTGCTTTGTTTACTTTTCAAAGCTATCCTTCAGCTCCCAAAACCCCGCCCCTTTTGATTAGGCCACTCAACTTTAAGTGTCGTTGTCCTTCTATCACTCGGCACAATGACTCTTTATTACAGCCTCGTAGGTCCAACTTGTTCTTTGCCAGAATTTACCTTACCGCGCGGTTGAGCTTCTACCGAGGATCGCTGCAGCCTAGTTCCCGAAAATACCTGCTCCGTCCAAGATGTCAATCCTACAACGTCAGATGAACGTTCAATGTCATGAGATACTAACATCATGCCCCACAGGTGTTTCTTCTCCTGGTGTTCGAGATGGCGGTGTTCCTCGCTCTCGTCATCCCTCTGCCGCACACCATCAAGCGCAAGCTCTTTGCCTTCATCTCAGAGAGCCCGATTATTGCTAAGCTACAATACGGATTGAAGGTATTTAAACAGAGACTTTTTGGAGGTACTCAAATTGCTAATTGACTTTGAAGATCACATTCATCTTCATTCTGATTCTGTTCATTGACAGTGTCAACCGCGTGTACCGCGTGCAGCAGGAGCTTTCGGCTTTCACCAAGGATGGCCCCGCCGTTGGGTATGTAACCAAGCTCTCCGATCAAATGCAAAGTTCTAATCAAAAAGTGCCTACAGAGCTGCCCACCTCGGGACCGACCGCATGGAAGTCCAAGCCCGCAAGTTCTACTCCCAGCGCAACATGTACCTTTGTGGTTTCACCCTGTTCCTTTCCTTGATCCTCAACCGCACCTACACCATGATTCTCGAGGTTCTCCGCCTTGAAGACCGTGTCAGACTCCTGGAAGGCGATAAGAAGGCCGGCGGCAAGGACTCTGCCCGTATCGCCGAAGCCGGATCCGTCGGCGAGATTGGCCGCCTGAAGGAGGTCATTTCCGCCAAGGACCGCGACATTGAAACCCTTAAGAAGCAGTGTGAGGGTCTGACCCGCGAATACCACAGCCTCGGCGATAAGGTCTCCACCTCAAAGGGTGATGACAACGAGAAGAAGGACCTGTAAAATGTCCCGATTTGTGAGCCTTACTGGGTTATTTGCATCGTCTGTACTCCGCCAGACTTAATGCCGTCACTTAGCTTTGAAAGCTCCAGTCTGTCGCTGTCTCGCGCTCGCATTGACTCGGGAGGCTTCGGCCTCACTTGAAATCCCCTCGGCAACAAATACCCCTATCCTTGATTGAAACATGTTCATAACTACGCATTTCGGTCTATTGTCTGTGCTGTCAATGCAATTTAAAGGGCTATTCTCCCCCACAGACGATCTCATGATTCGAGAGTCGATAGTGTTTTACTCTGTACGAGATTATCATATTAAATCTATTATTCATTTGCTTTACCATTCGCAACTCAATTGACTTGCTCGTACCATAATTAGGCAATTGCCCTGGCTTGGAGACAGAATTGCTTCACGTCTAGAAGTATTCAGTCGTTTTGCCAAATCATAAAAGTTTCGTAAATATACATGTATGGTTCGGCCAAATTTGAACATTATATGCCATTCAAACCAGGAAAGTCCAGAAACTAGGGTAAACTAGCTCCTCCTCGAAAATGCGGCGAACCTGCGCAAGCACAAATCGTTCCACCTTGCCAACGTTCTTCAAGACCTGCTTCCCATCCTCCTTGCGACCAATTTCACTTTCTACCCGAATCTCCTGCAACAAACCACCCTGCCTCTTCTGGTCCTTCTCCTTTTGGTCAATTCCAGACCGAGGCCGCCCATCATCACTGGGATTCTGGCTTCCCTGAGACTGTTCTGAACCAAGAAGAGCATCAGCGTCCTCTGCGGACAGGAAACAGAAATGCACACGCTTGCGGATATATGCGACAACGGCAACCCCGTCAAATGTGATACCCGTGACGTTCAACTTCAACGGCAGACCCACGAAGCTAGGCATCGGGTAGTCAAGCAGGATCTCTGCAGTAAGGGACATGCGGACATCACCCGCATACTTGGCATGGCAAAGAATCTGGAAGTCCTCCGGGCGACGCTCGCGCATGCGCGGCGGCATGGGGAAAGAATCGTCCCCGGGGGCTGCATCATCTGGGTTTTCTATAGACGGCTGCGGTGCATCGGCAGGATCACTGCTATTACGATTTGATCCGCCACTGCCTGTAGGGCCGCGTGAAGGATGTGAGGGGAGTGTGTTCGCGGTTGAGGGTCGGGATGCGGAGTTCGTGGTGTCGAGATCCGCCTCTGCAAGACGTGATGCGGTGATAGGACGAGGCACATGTGGCCTGGGTCCAGGGCCCATCCCTGAGTCTGACCAGCCACTCGCAAATGATGTGCCACCGGCCACCGCTGCAAGGGGGGTTTGAGTACCTGATAGACCACCGAGCGACCTCATGTGATATCCGAGTGTTGAAGTACCGCCCGGAATCCCAGGCGTACCAGCGCGGGGCATGAAATGCGGATTGAAGTGATCACCAAGAGGAGAGCGAAGCGCAGAAGGCTGAAACCCTTCGCCGGGGTAAGGATGATGACTGAAATTGTGAGGGCTATGCGCTGGGTTCATAGCTAATTCGTCCTCGTACGGGGATTCGTTGAGCTCGGGCCATTGCTCGGACATGAGCTCTTCGGATGTGACAGAGGTATCAGCATCGTCATCGTCCTCTTCGTAGAAATCGGAGAACGGTTCACAGAAGTCTTTAATCTCGAGATCTGGGCCTATGGTTCCGAAGTCGAAGGAGTGGACTTGGACCGAGCGAATAAAGCGTGGTAGGGCTACCTGCTGGAACTTGTCGTGTACAAATGACCGAATCCGCTCTGCCAGGGCTTCCCCATCCGGGCCAGAAGTGGCGGCTGCCCAGTCGACTTCGATTGACATCACATGTGCATTGCAATAGCTGATGTTTGTAGAGACGAGAAGACGGAGGTCAGGATGCCGATAAGATCACGTGAGACAACCGATGACATCCTTATCGGGTGACGTGAACCATGGGTCATCACAACTCAAAAGCGAGTAAAGTTATCAATTTTGATCTTTTCTACTTCTACATCAAGTCAACAAGATCAACACGTCGCTTCTGCCTTGATATTCATGCCTGGCGTTTAGATGCATCTCGCGGCTGGGATCTCCCTTTTCGGTTCCGGCCGAAGTTATGCTTTAGTCTCAGCTCTAGCGTCAGATGCAATGCCACAATTAATATTTGGGACTGTCCATTGAGAATCCGGGGGCTTGGGCTTACACAAACTCGACATTTCCGGTGTATTTCTTGCTTGCTGGGTCAACTATCATTATCGAATCACGCTCGCTTAAAGAAAGAGCTGTTGTTTGAAATCGCCAAGAGACCGACTTCGATAGGATCTGCGCCGGGTGGAGTGAGCGCCTGCTTAGCGGCCTGACCTAAAGATATGGCTTGAGCTGTTCCCCCAAGTCTCAACATATTGAAACGAGACAGTCAGCGTGCTGGTATGAATGTGAGAATCGACAAATACGTGTACTAATCAGCAGATAGAAGACCTGAACCGTGATCTTATACTCATTAGAGCGACTCGTCGCCATGGTTGCTCCTCGATTGAAGCCCAGATCAGCTGATACAACCCTTATGCGGGTCTAATGCAGCCGATGAGGTGTCTGCCTGCCGCTGGTAACCTATCATCGACTCTAGGGGCCACAATCGCGTCTATCTGACTGGCGATTCTGTTTCTCTGGACTTAGAGTGGCTGTCACAGTCCGAGAACAATTACCAATGACCACTCGTCTCTTTCGCCAGTATTCCCTTTGGGGATACTGTACGTGACCTAGCTGGTATTTGCACATCTCCCTCACAGTACAAAGACGAATCCCATGCCCCATGAACCCTGGTGGCATCATCAAGGAGAGCGGCGATTGATGTGAAGTCTTGATTCCGTGATATCAATGATGGTACCCGACTGACAATACACGAACATGTAATATACAGTAGCCAACACAATTCATGTCAATACGTGCACGTACGTTCAAATTTGATCGACAGTCACATCAAAGCCCCACTAGATTTTCGTAACAGCCTCTTACCGAGCCCGACTTCGGGGAAAGCCAGCTAGTGAAACCCGCGTTGTAGCCGCCGGCTCGTGGAAAGATTTCCCGCTCTCCCGGATGGGCCCAAGTTCTCCGCAGAAATTTCCTCTCTACTCGCGATGAACCTTCTTTGCTCAAGTTCCATCCGTATGTGGTATGCAGAAGGCCTTGTTCCAGATTCATCTTGTCGAACAAGGATATTCTACTGTATTGGCCCGAGAATCGAACCCCATTTGCTGGATTAAGCAAGCCCAATAAATCATGAGACCTGAAAATTTGAGACCTCATAGAAAGGGTTTGTATACAAGAGAGACAGTATTAGACAAAGACTGTGGTTTGATAGTAATCGGAAACTGGGTTACCTCTCACATAAACGACATATCTATTACTGGACAAGTCTTACCGGCCGCGCAACTGAGTTGCCTAGTTGCTTGCTGTACTTGCGATGCGTAGAGCTTAAGAAATGTAGTATTCATGTGGTGACAATATGTGGTGACAAGGGCGATCGAATGTGGAAGTTTCTGATATTGTACGGGAAGGAAACAGAAGCTAATTGACGGGGAAGTATCTTAAAGACTGCGGCTCGATGGCTCTTTAGATAGCACCTCGCCTTGTCCGCACGGATAAAGAACAAATAAAGATCGGCTCAAGCTTGATAATGAAAGCCAAATCAAAAGACCGCCCAGAGCTTGGAATGCCCGATGATGCAAGGTAAAGAAGAAAAAGTGCCTCCGAATAGAACAGAATAACGATACAGAACGAAAGACCCTGAACAGAGCGGGGCAGTCAAGCGCGAGAGAATAAGCGAGCGTATAGAAACCGAGCTCGTGGTGAACAGCCCCCTCATGTTGTGATAATCTGTTCAGCCCCTGTAGTCTCATGTTAGCCAAACCCTATGCAAGCGAGATATTGTCGAGGGAAGATGGAGGAAAGATGACGGACATTGGGGGGGAGATCATGTGTGCTGAGAGCACTTGTAGCCAGGTCGGTGACGGTCCTGCTCTTTCACACCAGGACAAGTGGGCGTGCCTTTCTTAGCACAAGGGACCACGCCGCCTTCCTGTTTTTTACAACCGCAGTCGTAGTGGAATATATAGACGGAGCACATTTTGGGATTTGGAGCTGGAGGGGGCGAAAAAAATATAGAGGATGAAGACGAATGACTGAGTTCAGACAGAGCGTGATCTTGGATTGATCGCTGTGGTAGAGAACAAGAAAGGAACAGCGACCACCTTTATAGCAGGTTATGACTCCATCCAGAGCAGTAAAATAGCTGCGCCGCTCAACATCATGTAGGCACCATCACCAGAAGCTCAAGTCTTCTACCCGTTGCCTAAGCGCGGTAAATCATCAAGGTGTACTCGTCCAGATACGCTATATGCACGAATCGACTCTGTGATCACTTTTTGCGCAGTCAAGAAAAAGGCAACAGAGAGTACGACCAAGGTAGACATGCGCCATTTAGAGTCTGTCAGTATTGACCAACAGAAGCCAGTGTTGGGGGCTGGGGGATCATTAGAGGGCAGCGGCATCTCCGGGTAGACATACCGATGAACTGGGTTCGATGGCATGAGTAGGGGCTGACCAAACTGAGCACTTGATTGATAGCGAGTATCCGCAGCTGTAAAGGGTCTTTGACATCATAGTCAGGCACCACAGGCATTGAAGGGGCTCGTCTTATGCACAATGTGGGCACCAACAATAACCCCGCTTGGAATGGGTTCTTATAGGGCCTGCGCCGGAGCAGTTAGCACACTGTGACTAGTTTTGCAATTAAAAATCTTGGTGAGTAGCTTCAAGACAAGGCACCTGGCACGGTAAGTCCGTGACGGATGCAATATATCCTACTCGGCGCAGGAGATTGATATAGCTGAGCCGCGGGCAACTGTTCTGGTCTGGAATATTGAGTACTGTAGTTTGATGATAAAACAAACCAGACAGACCTTTTTTGGTCTCAAGCGCAGATCAATATTGGTACCCAGTTAGAAAAATAGAACAAATGAGTGGCATTGGCATCACTGCCGGATCAGACGTTGTGATTGATTGAATGGACTCGAAACCAACACGGTTTCCATAGACAAAACTCTCTCACGTCAAGGCTCTCAAGGTTGACGTAGAAAGACTTTTTTTTTTTTTTCGTTGACACACGTCTGGATTTGAGTCTATGGACGAATAAGGCCCACAATCATGGCGCAGTTGGTGATAGTCGTCAGTAGTAAACCGGAAAATGCGCCGTGATGAGGCGTTTTCTTGTCTCTAGTCAAAAGGTTAGGCGATCAGTATAGCAGATCGAGACATCAATTAAGACAGGCCCTTGATGCGGTATAGTGTCAGCAATGTTAGCTGTATGTGATATTGGCGGCTTTGTCCGATTTAGCGCGATCATGCGTCTGCGGGGCCAGAGAGTGGAAATTTAACGAGAACCTATGAATTTGTTCTAGGGCGAAAATGACTGGTGAAAAAGAAGCTCTTCATTTGCACAGTAGCGCTCTAGGGCAAGGCTTCTTGCTTTGCTCAGCCCAGGGAGATCAACTCCGTGCGAGTAGACGCCCGAGGCTACGGGCGGCAAGAAAAAAAACTGGTCGAGACCGGTCGCTGAGCACTGAGAAGAGTGATTTGGCGCTGTTGTAATGTGAAAATGATAAAATGGAAACGGGAATAGTGTAATTGAATCGAAGAAGTATGAACTGGTCGCATGTATGGTTCGACACGTGATGGTTCCGGAGATGCGATTCTTTAAATTCAACCTCAACCCTTCCCATCTATGGAAGACCGCAGTAAATTCATGCATGATCTCCGACTATTCTCGACCTCGGGTAATTTCATATTCTCGCCCTTCTCATCGGGGGGATCTCTTGATGATGTCATACCCGTTTGTTTTCGCTCCAAACAGCAGTCTATTCCGCCGGTCCCTGGAAAGTCGGGGCGATTGAAACCCCCCATAGCTTCCTAGGTTATTCCCGATATCCCTAGCTCCTACACACCTGCTAGAATGATTGGTCCCCCAAAACACACACGAAACAAACCGGAGCTGGTCTACGGGTGTACACCCGAAACGATTATTCACGCCTGTGAAAGCCCTTGTCTTGGCCCCTCATCCTGGCCGCTGATCCTCCGAGGTTGGCTCTCGGCTGGCAACGGGAAAAACATTATTGCGCAATTACCAATTACGCTTATCTTGCCAAGTCAAAAAAAAAAAACACTGGGGAATGACAGTCAGCAGCCTAGACCGACTTGTGCAACCAAAATTCCACAGCCAAGGAAGGCGAAGTCGAAGCATTTCGAAAGAAAGGGTGATATTCCAATAGCGGCCTCTTGGCTGCCCCCCTTTTTTCGGCCAAGACATGTGAAGTTCATGTTTGGGCTTCTCCTTTATGCCTTTATGGGCGATAATCGCGGGGAGTGGCTTGTCTGCATGACCGGCCCACTTCACCCCAGTCCCAGATATGATGCACTAGATCGGCATGATTCGGGCACATCATCGATAGCATGCCCCTCCTTCCCCAAGGTTCTTCTTGGCTTATTTGGGGAATAACTATATAAGTGAGGTCCAGTCTCCCTCTTCCTGTTCCATTCAACCATATTCTGCCTCCATCTCATCCTCTACAAAAGTTCCCGTCTTCAACCGCTTTACTCCGCATACAACTTCCACGTCCAAAAACAAGATTCAAACATTCAAAATGTACACCATCACTCCCACCAACCGCTTCCTAGTCCTCTCTGCCACTGTATCTGGCCCATACGACCCCAGTAACAAGTTCCTGGTGCTGTCCCCCACTGAGTCTGGCCCCGACCCTCGCGTCTGGGAAGACCAGCTCCAGATTGAGACCGGCTCAACCGAGCAGAGCCCTGAGATAGCTCCCAGCCGTGCTCGTACCAACAGCTCTCTTTCAACTTCCTCTACATCCTCTCTCAATGACCTCGTTGCTACTCTCCCCAACGGGTTCCTCTACCTTGGTCATGGCAAGAAGCACTAGACATCATCTGGACGATTTGCCTACACCCTTTGGTCTTCATTTCTCATTCATACTTTATGATATACCACTTCTACAGCGACCGATTCATTATGAAGCCCATTTCATCATCGTGTTTTCTTGTTTTGTTTTTATTGGTGCTTCAGTCAAGGCAGCCACTGACACTTGAGATATGCAGGACCACCTAAATTGGGCATCAGGTCAGGAAAGCAGGGGAGTTCTATGGCGCTTTTTATTCTATTTTTTTTGTCGGCCTACATATGGCTGTCCTTGAGCAGTAGGCTTACTTAGGCCCCACAGTACAGGACAGAGCTAGCGATCAATGAACAAGATTTCCAATCTGAACAACTTCCACCCCACTGAATCCACTCTTGCCACATACCGATAGTAGAATCGTCCGCCTGATCAACGGGCGGACGTCCGGACGCAAGGGAGGTCCCTGAATGCTTGGCGGGGCGTGCCAAGCTGATGATTATCAGCCAAGCCTTGTGCAATCTGATACTCCCGCCTTGGCCGGGAGGACAGGGATTGACTGGGGATCATGTTCCACACAGGCAGTGCCTTTGTGCGCACAATTACTCACCTCCTTTTGGTTTGCCAACCCTGCCAAGGCCTCCTATTGCGAATCTTGCTTATCACTCGGGTTTGTTTTGCTGGTTTTTTTCTCTTTTCTTTTTCTTTGAAATGCACGTTGATTCCCCCATCGATCAGATTGGCTCAAGGATCAGGTTACATGTCATATTCTTGGGCCTGTACACTGTTCGGTGAGGCTGCCCCTCTATGGGTCTCGCCCATCTCCGCACGTTTCTTCGGTGAAGATCTGGGGCGATGATGCGCACAATCTCTCCATATTCTCTCTATCATTCCGGTTTTTTTTGCACCAATAGGAGGTCTGATTTCCCACACGCCAGATAACAAGGGTCTCGGGTAAAAGGAGAAATATGCCAAGTCGGCCATTGATTTCCGACTTAGCTTGGAACGATGGCTTGGACTAGGACTAAGGTTCTCACCGACCAAATTGGAAATACGACAGTTAGGTCTTTGAAAGATCTGTGCTATGTTGCGTGTCGAAAGCCTCGTGGACACCACAGTACGACACAACGCTATTTATAACTCATAACGCCGGGCACTATTCCCTGTTCCACGGCTGCACTGCAATATTACCCGTTGATATTGTACACATGGGGGCATGAGGACACCTGATTTTTTCCTTTTAAAAAAGGGATATGCATTGAGTTTGAAGCCTTGGCAATTATAAGATATGCAAGTTTAAGATATACTGTAGCCCGAACACATTCCACCCCTTTGACAAGTCATCAGGGACGAGAGACGAAAAAGACTGAGTTTCACCCTCATCGCCTCCGCCTGACGATGACCCATAATCCTAGGATTACGAGTTGTTTCCAAAGAGAAATCAAGATCAAAAGCTAATAATCGAGTGACAACGGCACCCAATCTCTCTAGATGAAAGCCTATCGCTACCGGCCCTCCTACTAGCAATACCTCCAATCAAATTTCTGTCATTGTTGCGATAACGCAGCCAGATGCAACACTGGCATTTTCTGGCGCTTCACTTGTTATCCCGCCCCTGGGAGGTGCCCTCCTGGAAAACGAGAACATACTCAACGGTTTGAACAATAGTGGGGGCTCAGATGTGCAGTCAAGTATGCCTTGCGCTTGTCATTAGCCCTCCCGGCTAGCATTTCCTATGATAAGATCTATCTAGTGATAGGCAGTCAGACGGATCAATCTCAGGATTCTAAGAGTCAGATTTTGTACATGTAGCACAGAGGTAAAAGATAAGATTCGGAACACGAGGGAGAACTAGGCTCTTAGACCTATGAACTATTTCCTCATTCTCTTTGATTCCCTCGGTAGTTTGTTTAGTTCGAGCCGGCAATCTAGTTCTAAACGATACATTATATAAGATTGCATGGCCTCGTCTTAAATCTTCTTGCCTTTAGTGGACTAGCTTACGAGGCGACTTATAGAAAGAAAATCGTAGGTTTAATATTTTCAAAGTTTACTAGTGGTATAGATAGTTCCAAAAGGATATTTTGCCACTCAACTCCGAGAGGTAGTGTCACAAGAGACTTATATTTGGCATGGTAGGGATTGGCCCCTGGATATTAATTGATGATGCACGAGACCTTTAAGCATATTAGTTTACATTGAAAGATATGACACGAACGAGCAAGATGATCAAGCTATACTAGAATGCGCAAAGCGATATTGTTTGGCTCCTCACATAGATATAGCAACACGGTTGACTGTCTAGTTGATTTGACTGAAGTCTTAGAGCTCGAGGTGGACATTATTCACGCGGGACCTAATAAGCAATTGGCTATCCAGCACCGACTTCGCCTTGGCTGCAAAACTGTCATTTTGAACAAAGAAAAGCACCCAATACTACTGTCGAGGTTTGTAACGGTTATGATTCCAGCCCTCGCTCGGCCATTCACGTTTCCCCAGATTGCGGTTCAAGGTCATTTCCAGTGGTCCTTCGTCATTCACATCCCAACTATAACATCGACAGGCCTTCCAATCATTAATTCTGCCGAAGCGATTCTGGGATTCGACGAAAAATTGCTTCATCCAATTTCCAGTGTTTTCATTCACACATACATTAGACGAGCTCTAGATCACTTTTAGCTTGTGGTGTATGTTGAGGCTGCTACAAGGATACATATCAAATTCGCCAGCGTATGGCAAATAGCACTTCCGACTGCCAAGAGTGTGGTAGCCATAGGACCACACCTTATGGCCCTGTCTCCAGAAAGTTTGGATATTCCAAACAGAGCGAGGAGGAAGCATCCAGCATTGGTCGCGAATTTTCTAACGGGAATTTTGGAGTTGACGAAGTAGGAAGATTCTTATCCAGGGGATGATTTTCACGCCTAAGAACCTTGCTTGGGGAGGAACAGGCATCGTCTCTCCCTGTTGCCGGAGGTAATCAATATACATTCTAGAATGCAAGCGTGAATTCACAACTCAACGCAAAGCAAATCGTATCCACGGTCGAGTCACCATTCCGTAACATGAGAAAGATTTGTGAAGGTATATTCAGCCATGTGTGTCTTGTGGGAAGGTTGGTCAGGTACATTTTCAACATCTTCGGAGATGTGAAGGGTACAAATGATCTGCTAGTCCTCAATAATTATTGAACAAAACCCTGACGTTGATATTTATTGTTGTCAAAATGTTGGGCTCAGGTAGTGGAACCTTCCAAGGTTATATAAGTTATGCCATGGATCAGTATTCGGTCACGGCCAATTGCCGTGAAGCCAGTTCCTGAGAGGTGTCCAAAAGAAGACCGAAATACTTGCACGAATTCAGATACAAGCTTCCAATCCAGACCATGAGAGAGTTGTTCAACGACTTTTGGTTAGAATCCCAAAGCTCCAGTGGGAAGCTTTTCCCCCACCATCAACGTGCAGAAATCTCAACATACTAGGAGCCACAAAAGAAAAACATGTCCCTGTTCTTAGGATTATCTGAATCATTCTTCAAATATGTAAAACTCACTTCTGAGAAACCAGAAGAGTCCCTGGAAGCAACATTTACTGTGACAGTTTTATAAATCAATATTCATTAAATGGCCTTGATCATGGTTTCCACCGTGTGTCCCGATCATGGTGAATGGAGAGACGCATCTCCTATATTTTTGATGCATCTTTTGCTTGTCTTGCAGTCGTTCATCCTGCAAGTCTTATCAAATTAGTTATTGTTAAACAAGTCGACAAACTGACAGGAAATGCTGAATCTTCCGTCTCATGGCAAGAACGCGATTAATGGAGGCCAATACTTTACATTTGAGCCTCTTTCTAAGCCTCTTCCTACCAATATACATGTATGTAATTACTTGGTGTATACGTGTCTATAATCATCCTCCCGGAACTATGAACAGCTTGAGTCTAGTCTCAGCATTTCCTTCGCCCACGGGCTTTTGGTAATACTGTATATCTATCAGCTATGCCATGGTATTGGACCGCAAAGACCGCTCATATCTTTCATCGGAGCGGGAACATACATTGTTTTTTTAAACCCCAAATCTTTTACTGGATACAGTGATTGATACAAGAATCATTGACTTTTCTGGGCCTTTTCTCAATACTTCAAGACCCGCCTCCCATAAAGGAACGCATTCCATAGCGTTTGAGGGACCGACAATCCATTTCTACTTGTCTCGTAACGCTGCTTTTTACTCTCGAGGAGTTCACAGCACGAACTTTTAGGGGTGAAGTTAAAGATGACTTACTTGCATAGACTTTCTCGATAAATCTAGCCGTGTAGATGGACGCAATATCAAACAGCGATGGCAATTCCAAATCAACTGCTACTGTCAACCAAATCTAAAGACAAGTCCTCTTATTACGTGATACACACGCATATAACATGATGGGAGTATCCAATTCCAGTTTCTGTTCTAACCTCCTCCAATTGCCTCCGCACCCCGCACGAATCTACCGCAGTAACGCGAAGACTGTGGATCAGACGGGAACCGGTTGGCATAGTGCAATGTATCCAACAAGGTTTATCAGTCTGCCGATCTATACTCCGCATCCATACAGTAGGTGACTTCATCCTGATGCAAAACATTGACCCTGACAGGATCCTTGACTTGGCTGTGTTTCTGACCTATCATGTGTGTTCGGCCCACGGACCAGGGTTAAAATTCTACGCATCATCTGTGAGATTCAATTACCCCAGGAGACACCAAACCACAGCCATCGAACTGGGATGATTGGTACCAAAACGCGGGATAGATCACATTAAGGCAACTGGTATGCCCATGGATCAAGCCCCTCTGCTATGAGACATGTCCAAATGGACACACTACTGTAAGGTAGAATGCATGATGAATAAACAACACGTGTAAGCGTCGGGGATCGTCCTTGCAAGTGTCTCTGATTGAGTAACCAGGGAGTAGTGCTCCATAGGGTAAGATCTGCCCGAGATGCATACAGTACATGTACAGTGCATCTATTTCCACCTGTACTATTATTGAGTCCAGTCTAATCTCCAGTGATTCATTCTTCAGTATTGTATAAAGCCGAAATAAAGCCGCCCATATGAATAGTCTCCACCGTAGCCAATCCTTCGCCAGTGACTCCGAGCCGAGGGATATGAGGGGCGGTGTGTCACTAGTTGGGCGCTAAGTTGCCTCATTGCTTCCGAATGGCTTCTGCCGCGTTTCTAGCGCCGAAGCCAAGACTCTTTCGCCTCCAACTGAAACTTGGGCGTGGTTACATTACACTTCGGTAATTGGCGTGGACGGTCTACCGTTGGAAGTCCGATATCGTAGGATCATCGGTCTCATTCATGAGAGCAACTACTCCGTATCTTGCTTTGGGGTTATGGAGGTCTCCTGTCCTCGACGGGATCAGTTCATGTTACGGTTCCAGAATAGTGTACTTGGACAAGACAATGCCGCCACCCGGATCTCTTCCCCCCCTTGCAGATGACCCCGGATTTGACAGGGGATCGGAGTTCTTCACAATCTCGATCCGTGATATCTCGAATATAACTGAATTTGAATATGCGATCACCATCTCATAGCCTGAACAAGTGATGGCGCAAGAGCCGATATTAGGAGGAATTCCCCGAGGGATCGCTCGATAGACAGTAGCCATGGAGGAATGAAGATCTTCTCCATTTGGATCATACTATGCCATTTCCTCGAGTACCGTAACCCCCCCTATGTACAATGTGTACTGTATTGGCATCTCACGATCTCACTCGTCTCTGGTGCTGGAAATGATCTCCCCATCATCATCGACTGTCTTAGTCACTTACTAGTTGTTTCCGGTAATTTATGACGTTGCCGATCCAGCTGCAAGCGGTGTAGCCAAGGCGACGATATGGTACCATTGTCCATTCTCTCGATAGATTCGATCTTAGGTTCCTACTATTGAATCCCCGATCAGCCTAGTTGCAACTGCTAGAGAAACTCCAACATCTCGGGGTCAAGATCCGCGCGGGTCACGTGTGTATTGCCGTAACGGCGCCTGTCCCGAACCGGAAGGCTTGCCCATCTCATACCCCGTCTTCCATTGCCCATCTGCTGCCTCTCATCTGCTCCGAATCTCTTCTAGATATTCAACTCGTGGATTCTGTGTGTTGAAGAACTCGATCGCTTTCTGCCAGTGCGGGACTCCTCCGAGTGGATTCCTGTGAACCCGCCTGAAATACCGCCCATCCACTCCCAGTCCACTGTCCACTCATCGAGGGGCACCTGTCTCAAAGTCGCATTCTCAACTTCTTTTCCTCCAAGCATCGCGCTTTAAGGCGAAAGAACCCCTGTCCCTCTAAAGACTCCCTTGGTTTAGCGTGACATCGCGCAGGCCGGACAGGGAACCAGGATATTCTTTCGTCAGACCTCGGAAATCTCATCGGATTGAATTTCTCCGGCACTTTTTTTTAAATCCCCCTCTCCCAGAACAGCTACTCATCATGACGGGTGTCGCTCCGATTGATATTTCGACCCGCCAGTCGACCTCGGTGTCGCCCCCCGGTCAACAAGCATCCAATCTGACCTCGGCCCTCCAGAGGGCGGGTACGGGTGACCGCACCGGAAGCTTCTCGCATCACGCCGCCGGAGGACTCGGAGTATTCAAGGCGCCACCGCCGCGCAAAGATTCGATCGGCGCCGCAACGGCACAATGGGGGAACGGGACGAAACCCATCTCCATGTCGGGGTCTGCCCGCGACAAAGGTCGCCGGGAGTCCCTCGCTGGAAGCTTAGTGGGTGGCATGAGCTGGGGTGGTGTGTCTGTCGGGAGCTGGATACGTGATGAGTGAGTGCGCCCTAGCCGGAGCCGAAGCAGCAGAGGATGTCCTTCCTGTGCTGCTGCTGTTGGTTGCACTGCAGAACTGACCAAGGAAATTTTACCATGCAGCATCATTATGACTGGCACCTCGCCATTTACTTCTTTCCAGTCGCCCTCTTTCCATTCCTCGTCGTATCTCCCGAAGCTGGAAGCGAACTTTATGAAAGATTTTTCGTGCTGCGGTGTGACGTTACCGACGCTCCATGACCTATTACAACATTACGAAGAAGCCCATGCGACCAAGTCGCCCAACCAGGGCCACCGACCGAGCCAGGGTGAGAATCGAGCTGCCATGGCCGCCGCAGCCATCGCACAACAACAGAGCCAACAGCATGGCAACCAAGGACGTGGCCTACAGCCCGATCGGACCCTGGACATGCAACGCAAGTTGGGCCAGAACCCATCGCCATTACAGCATGCCGATCTAGACACAATCGACGATATGGAGTTGGACGACGCCTTGGGCGACGGAGATGCTTCTACCTCCCAGCTCTTCTCCTCTCAATTACATGACGGCCAGGGCGGATTTGGCAACTCGAACTCGGGCTCCCAATTAAATCTGGGCATGTTACCGAGCCACCAAGGATTTAGCACCCCTTCACAGCCGGGCACTCCAATCGGATCTGGACGACCTCTTTCTCTACAGAACAACCCAACAGTCTCTTCCGTCAATACCCCAACCTTGATGGCGAACCCGCTCCAGAACTCGCAATTCCGTAATACTCCGGATTCTTCAGGACCCGGAACCCCTGCTGAGATGGACGAGAGCATGATGGGTGGCTTCGGCGATTTGAGCATGCAAAACAACACCATGGGCCAAAACCAGAACCAGTTTGGGCGCTTCAATGGAAATAACAATGATATGGTGGATCTCTGTATCGATGAGCCGGCTAAGCGGTTGTTCAGCCCTAGTGGTGGTCTAGGTTCGCCCAATGCCCACTTCAAGCTCAGCGGAGCTCAATACGGCCCCAATAGCGATATTGCACGACGGATTCGTGAACAGCAACTGCTGGCTGGGGTACCCGACACTACCACGATTCTCCCCAACGAAGAGCCCAAGCCATTCCGGTGCCCTGTCATCGGTTGCGAGAAAGCTTACAAGAACCAAAATGGTCTCAAGTATCACAAGGCGGTAAGTTTGACCTGAACTCTATCGGTTTATGACTCCTCTAACCTTCGCCTCTAGCACGGTCACAATAACCAGCAACTTCATGACAACGCCGATGGCACATTCTCAATCGTCAACCCCGAAACCTCCGCGCCGTACCCAGGTACCCTGGGCATGGAAAAGGAAAAGCCATATCGCTGCGAGGTGTGTGGCAAGCGGTATAAGAACTTGAACGGTCTCAAATATCACAAGTCGCACTCACCACCCTGTAACCCTGATTTCCAGCTTGGAGGTCGCAATATGGCCCTAGGCGGCGGAGTCATGCAGGGACAAAACATCAACGTTGCTGGAGCTGGCCTCCCCGGTATTGGCGAAGAAGGCCTTTTGTGAGCAAACGAACGCATGAACAAATATGTCCATATGTCCACACATGTCTACATAATTCCTGGATAATTGACGCGAATGATGCCGACGGTCTCTCGGGGGTCAGAGCACTCCTGCCCACACACGATCTCATGACTTTGATTTGGTTCCGGTGACTTTGGAGTTCTGTTACGATTCTCTCTTCTCTTTTTGAAATTGCTGCCATGGATTTCACGGGAATATTTTGCTTTGTCCCGCCTCTCCGGACATATCCTCTTGGCATGATCTTTCTGCTTCGATATCCCTCTTGTCATTTCCAGTTCCTATCTATGTGGGCCTGGCAATGGAGCTACCCGAGCAATCAACCATTGAGCAAAAGGCTCTCTAGAAGGAAATCTGCTGTCTTGGCTAATACATTCTTCTGCTCTGCTTCTTCATACGGAATTCGCGCTTTCACGGAGGCCGGACCAAGGAATGGGATGACCATTCCAGATCTATTGTTGTTACGTGTTCATGCACCGGTGGGCTTTTTGCTTTATGTATGCGATTCACGCGTTCACGCTTCTGTTCATTCGCCGTTTCCGCTGGTCTAGTGCCTCCCACGAGAGCATCGACAATCGAGTCAGACAATCGTTCCACCTCGAGCACCTCGAAACGACCCCAAAAATATGTTAAACACAATTGGTGTTCGCTTTTCTCTCCGGCCTGGGTTCGGGATTGGAGCTGGAAATGGAAATGGAACTGGAAATCTTCAAAAAAGTGTGGTTCTCTGGCGTCGGATATTGTAGATATTGATTTTTTTTGATACACTCTGGCTTCTCTGTCTACTGTTATTTATCTTTCTTGCGATATGTCTCGCTGCTCATGCTTTATCACTCTCCTCTATTCGCTTATACATTTATAGATTTTGAATGTAGGTTTGTAGACCGAGTCGTAGGGCTGAACCTTACGGAGATATGCATCACACTCCAGCGCTGTGTAACGATATTCAATACCCGACTAGTGAATTATATGATGGCATGGATGTACTGTCTCGAAACATGTTTTATTTGTTCTTCAAATGTTTTATTGAACCCAGGAAGGATGCCTTTCAGTCTAGTACACAAGGTATGGGCAAAAAAAGAGATAATAGTAATAAAGCAATGTCCCATCCTTAAGTGTAAGCGCCATAAGCCGTTGAAAGTTAGAAAGAAACCCGCAAATTCAAAGCCCGGTAGGTGATGTCGGGTGCTGGGTCAGAGGTGGTCATCATGATAATTGCTTGCACAGCCTGTTTCGAGGCGTGACTGAAGAGGACATGGGAATTGTTTTCGTGTCATGAAAGCACATAATATAAAAAAGGAGAAGGCGATGGTACAGAACGGAAAACGGTCGTCAAGAGTATGGGAAAGTTGTTGGAAGGCAGTTGCGTGGTTTTGTTAGACTACCATTCGAACTCGCCTTGGCCCTTGTGAAAGACGTATCTACTTCGGTTAGAAAATGGCATAGAAATATCCAAGGGAGACGACTTACTCCTTGCCACCAGTGGTCAGGATACCGTCCTTCAAGGTGCACTTCCACTTATTCTTCACCCGCTGGACCTTATCGTATGTGCAAAGCATGACCTGGCCTTCGGACTCATCTTGATCATGGTCATCGGCAACAAGGTCATCGGGATCATCCAGGTCTGAGTTGATAGCATCCTCATCCTCTTCCTTGACATCCCCATCAGCACCATCATACTGACCAGGTAGCCTAGGAGTAGATGAGGTCGGCTCCGACTTTTCCATCAGAGGTGCAGTAAGAGCTTCACGGTAGGCTAACTTGGCCGAAGACTCATGCTCATCCAGCGGCCGTAGTAGACCACCACCTTCAAATTGGCTCATGCGCTGCTTGAGGTGTTCGCGCAGGAGGCGATCACCCTGTCCATCTGCGGCAGCTGCCCGACGACGAGCTACCTCTGCCTTCCAGTCAACAAGAGCCTCATCACCAGCGCCATCGGTTTGTCCAGGACCCATGGGTGGGTAACCATGTTCCGTCTTAATCGGTGGCATCTGTCCATGGGCAGCGGGGTGCATCTGAGGGTACCCTTGCCCGGCCTGAGCTTGAGCCTGCATCTGACTAACCGAGTTTGCGGCGGCAGTACCGTATTTCTGCTGGAGATGACTTGCAGCACGGTCGCGAGCTGACTGAGGGTTGTTCATATGATGCGGGGGGCATTTGAGGGGCCATATGCGGCATGGGCTGGCCATTTGAGCCTGGCTCGGTTTTGATGCGAGGAGCACCCATATGAGGCGGCATTTGGACAGACATAGGTGCTGATTGAGGCATGGAGACCGGCGTGGGAACATACTGAGGTTGAGGAGGTGGTCGAGGAGCATTGGAAGGAACAGTGGCCGATGGCGGAAGAACATTCTGAGTAGGCTGTGGCGGGGCCGGGTCCCAGGGGAAGTGAGCGACGTTCACGGAAGAGAGCTTCTTTTGCCAGGCCTATACAAAAGTCAGGACAAATGAGATCAGCGGGCTGGTCTTGGCGGTCTAAAAGCGCCCAAGCGGGTAACAGCGGCACATATAAAGGGGATCTCATAAGTCGGTGTTCCCCCATAAGCACCGCTTCCCGCACCTCTTCGGGCTCCCCCGCTTTTGGCCCCCCTCATCGTCCACCGCGAACATGAAAGGGATAGGAAATAGAACATGACTTACATCACGAAGATCGTGCAAAGTCTGCTGGTCGACACCGCTTTCTTCAAAGTCGACTTGAGAAGCATCACAGACCTCCTGGATTACCTTCTCGAATACCGCACCCTATGAGGCTCATGTCAGCTACAACTCACATTTCACCTTTAGACGTCAAAACTTGACGAGAATGATCTCAGAGGAGAGGTGGATGTGACTTGAGGATCAAGGTGTTCGCGGCGGGAAACTCACAACTTGCTGGTTGGACATGATTGCGGAGCAAGGGCAAGACGGAAAGCTGGTGGATGTCTGATCGGAGAGCACCGAGGGAGACAGAAGCTCAAGAAGATTTCTGGCGAGATGTAAAGGGTACCAATAGCTCGATCGGACCGTAAAGCTTGCTGTCGCAACAGTGAAGTTGCCGAAGTGCTGGTCGATCACACCTAGAAATGACGCAATGTCAAGTGTTCTCAAAGTCTGCAGTTCTCACGGGAAAGAAGGCAAGAAACAATGACTTTGGAGATGCGTAACGAGGGCGCAAAGGTCAGGAAAGCGAGATGGTGAGTTTGCCGATGGGTTGGCAGAGGTGAAAGTCACGGCTCTGCGGTCGAAATCCCACTGTATCCCGTACGATTAGTCATCCGATGACCACCCGCTCTATGAACCAGAAAGAAGGGAGATTGGATAGGTCAGATTCATTTGGTTCTGGAAGAGTAGAAGCAGAAAGCTGAGATTTAAAAGAAGCTTTCAAAATGGTATTTGTGCAACCAGCTTACAGTAAATAAATACAAGAACACCAAACACCAAAATCCAAGCCAGAAATGAACCATTACACCAAATTAATGTCCCAGCCCATCAATGCTTAGGTCGTGAACCGGGGGTATCGAGCAGTAGAAAAAAAAAGAGGAAATAACTGACGCTTAGCGGATGGTCATAGACTTGGTCATCTGGGCCTTGCTACCAACACCACCCTCACGAGCAGCAGAGGCGCTGGTACCAGCTTTACGCTCGAAGATCTTCCAGAACTTGAGACTCTCATCAGCGGCAGTGGTGGCCAGCATCTGACCATCAGGGCTGATAGCACTGTGAAGAACACGGGTCTCGTGAGCCGGGATCTCAACGTTGCGTACCAGAGTAGGGTAGCTCCAAATGCTCAGGGAGTTGTCGGGGAAGCCGCTGGAGCTGACGATCTCGCGGTAGTGGTTGCTCCAGCGCAGAGAGGTAACCTGGGAACCAGTGTCGATGCTGTTGGTACGGGCACCGGTAGTGGTATTCCAGAAGTGAATGTGACGATCGTACGATCCACCGCCAGTGGCGAGGAGGTTTGATTGCCAAGGGCACCAACTAAGAGCCTTGACAGCAGCACGGTGGTTAGTCTTGGTGAACTTGGGGGCGCTGAGTGAGCGGGCATCCCAGATGTTGACGAGGTTGTCGTTTCCACCAGTGGCAAGCTGAGCGCCGTCGGCACGCCATTCGAGACCACAGACCTCAGAGGTGTGGGAGACGAGCTCAGCAACTTTGTGGTCAGCGATACGGACATCGTGATTGTAGACAAGACCACTACGAGCGCCAGTGGAAAGAGTGTGCTTGTTCCAACCCATGACACCGACACGAGAGTCGTGGCCATACATGCTGCGAAGCTTGGTACCCTCCTCAACGTCCCAGATCTGAACTTCACCGGTACCTAAGCCAACACCAACGTAAGCGCCATCACCACTCCACTTCACACTGCTGATGTAGGTATCGGGAGAGGTTTCCAAAAGACAGTTCACCGAACCAGACTCAGCAGACCAGACATAGACATTGCGTTCGAGACCAATGGCAACCTGGTTGCCAGAGCTCCAGTCGAGCAAGTTGAGATAATAGTCATCCAAAAGTCCAGGGGCATCAAGAACGCGCTCAGGAGCAGTTTGGACACGGCGGCGGAACTGCGCAGCATTTGATTTGGCAGGACGAAGAGGACGGTTGTACTGAGCACGAAGATCAATGGGCTTTGACGACTCGGGGGGAGGAGGCTTGAAGGCTAGGATGCGAGTGTTCTGACCCACACCACAGGCATCAGCAAGTGATGACTTGTAGGCAACAGCATCTGGAGCCGGGCGAGAGTACGTCGAGGCTTCATTGTCTTCGAGGCCCAAATTCTCAAGAGCAGCAGTCAAGTCATCATCAGATCCACGGGCACCGATATCAAACGCACTAGCAGCTGTAGACAGGACCGATGATCCACCACTACCACCGCTCTTGGGACGCTGGCCCTCTTCGGGCTTGGCGGCACCACTGGTAGCCAGACCTTCACTGGCAGTCCGATTCGGGATGAAACGGTCAGCGGCGTTGTGAGAAATGCGAACGGTTGTCTTGTTTGTGCGAGATCGGGTTGGGATCTCCCGACGAGGGCGTTCCTTTGATGAAGGAGATGAGGTGCCAGCGACACTACCACCGGTCAAGGTCCAGTCGGACACACCGAGCTCGAGGTGCTTGGGCGACTTGCGAATGCGTGCAATGTTCGACTTGGGAGATTCACGGTATGTGGAGCGGCTTGACTTTTGAACGGAGGCCTTCGCAGAAGACTTGCCGGAGGACTTGGCGAAGTGTGCAGAGAGGTTGCCGCCGTAGACGGACTTTGCTTGACCACGGCCAGCTTCGGCCTTGTGAGGAGGAGTGAAGGGAGACGATGTTCCGCTCGCCAGGTGGTTAGGCGAAGGGGTCAGAGGAATACGACCGCCAGCAGTCTTGGAGGAGAAGAGTCCGTGGTGGCTCTTCACCGGAGTGGACACTGTGACAGAAGCCATAGTGATAGATGAAGTATATGCAATGGGGACCAGTCCCAATACAAGATGCAAGTAGGAAATGCAGTACTTTAGGAGTAGTGAATAGGAGAGACAATCGAGGGTTTTTCGATGGTGGTGAGGGAAGAGAAGGGGAGAAGCAGCAGAAGCTCATACTTCCTTTTGTTTTTCCTCGCTGGGTTGGCTCAGCAACGGCTTCCGCCTGACTTTCCGCCTTGGCAGTATTCTGCTGACTCAGAGTTACCCAGGTGACGCCTTCCCCTTTTGGGACATGACATCGCTGATTTGATCTTCTCGCGACAAAGACGAGATTCATGTCCCGTCGTTCAGTTTCTCATTTGTCGAGGCGATTGCCACTCGAGGTTGGTGAGCTTCAATTTGCACCTTGACGGCAGACACCTCCGCACGCTTGACAGTCCCACCAAGACCCACTCGCACGACCTCCTCTGGGATCTTCGAGGATCTCTAATCTGATCTCCTGCACTCTGGCACACATGCAGGACGCTTTTTTGATGCCAGTAAGCCCGGCACCTCGCCAGACTGACTATCGTCCGACTATCAAGAAGTCCCGCGGTCATGTCCCGGCCTGTCTGGTAAATGCCTCGGTGACGTATTGCAGCAATGACCGAATATATGCCTTTGGCGGGTTTGATCAATACACCGATGAAGGTCAACTTTTCTGTCGCATGACCTCGCAATATTGAAGCACTAATTTTTACTAGTCTACAACCATGTGCTCAAGCTGGACTTGGAGACCTTGGAGTGGGAGCTCGTCGACAATTATGGAGATATCCCCGGAGTGCGCATGGGTATGCTAATTGTCTCGTCCGTCCGTATTGACACTCGGCATTCTAATACGCGCCCTTTTGAACAGGTCATACTGCATCCTTGTATCAAGGCGACAAGTTGATTGTATTCGGAGGAGAAAATGAACACCGCAAGTATCTCGCTGACGTCGTCATTCTCGATTTGAATACCTTCACCTGGTCAATTCCAGAAATCCGTGGCCCCACACCGCGTGGACGGGCAAGGCATGCCGCCGTGATTCATGGAGAAAAGCTATTCATTGCAGGTGGATTAATAGGAGAGAAGAACCTCATCCTAGACGACTTAACTTATCTGGATCTTCAAACTTGGACCTGGTCTCGAACCTGGAGCTTTACTGCCCGTTTCGATCATATTGCCTGGGTATGGGGAACGCGACTCTGGATATTTGGTGGATTAGGACCCGATATGGAGCGAACGACCGACATTTGGTGGCTCGACCTCAAAGGATCCCCGTCATTGACCGGAAGCACCAATCTCCAAGGTAGTGTCAATTCCCTGGGCTTTAATCTTCCGACTGCTCATTACCCAGACTCTATTCCAAGCAGTCCTTTACATCAGATGTCTCCGCGATCCTATGCTGCAAACTCAGGCAGTGTGCAGGTTCGCAACCTTGGTCGCCGTAAACCTATTGCTCCAGGTACTATCTCCTGTGTCCGGTTTAACTCTGGCCCCCATGTTCCATCTCTCTTCTCCGGAACCCATTTCCAATCCTTTGTGTCCGGTGTGCTGCTCGATCTAATCACACCGTCGGAGACTGTCCGGTCGCATGACTGCAACCTATCCGCTCTGGAGCTTAACTCACTACGTTGGCAGCGAGTGGCTGACGGACAAGAGATCTTTCGGCCCGGCTACCGATGGCACTACTGTACGATAAACGAGGCGGGAACGAAGGCATGGCTGCTGGGGTGTAGTATTGAGGGCGTGCCCGGAAGTAGTGATGAGAACCAGATGAGTGAAGTCCTCACCATTGATTTGGAGAAGTATGGCTTGCTAGGGAACGGATTGTCGGCGGATGCTCCCGAGCAGGATGCACCCTGGCCTTCTGATCCAATGGGCTCCCAAGTTTCCGGACTTGGTGCCGATCTCGCCGCTGTGTTTGATCATCCACCCGAGTCAGGCAGTGGTACTGATTTTGTCATTACTGCAATCCGTGATGATTGGGACTGTTCCAACTCGGATGAACTGGAAAATGAGCCGATTGAATCACCAACCAACGCTGCACCCACCTTTGTGGAAGTTGATCCATCGACTTCGGAGCCTATTCATGTGCATCGACTCTTTCTACAACTCCGATGGCCACATTTCAAGCGGCTGTACTCTGCGCAGATGGCCGAGTACCACACTAAGCGAATGCATATCCCGGAACCCTACTCGGTTGTTCGGGCCTTCCTCTACTACTTGTACACAGACAGTATTGCAGGTCACTCAGACTACCCATCCAGTGCCATTGATGTGGCAGGTATGCTGGTCATGGCCAACCTTTATGACATGCCGAAGCTGCGCCTGCTCTGTGTGAATCGATTGAGCCGCGAGCTTGATGTGCACAACGCAGCTATTGTCTGGGAGCGTGCCGGGCGGACCAATGAGCATTGGCTGAAACGCCGCGCTGAGCGATTCTGTCAGATCTACTGGGGTCGTGTGGTTCGAACCGACGGGTTCAAGTCTCTCAGCCACCGCAGTTTGATTGAGTTGTGTGAGATTGTAGACACGGATGCTAGTATCGTCTCAGGGTCTGAGCTAGAAGTGGTGAGCGCAATTGGAGCGCATGATCCTTCCAAGACTTCACTCTTACGGCTTGGCTCGACAGCCGACGAGTCTGAGATGGACTCGGACGACGAAGAAATGGAGATTTTATGAAACCCTGAAACACGAATGGGGCACGCATGCTAGTCCGGAGTCGGGGGAAGATAGTCGATGGTTCAATATCAAACGTTTGGCGGTGAACGGCCCGTCCAACCGGGTGGAGCCTCCCGACGCTCTCGGCGCGGCGTCTCCTCCGGGTCGCGGAGATCAGTCCTGTCACGAATAAGGAAGCTTTTTATTTGCTTAGTGCTTTGTTTCAAATATGAGGCTACATATATCTTGGGGTGCGCTCAATCTTCCAGCACTCGGTCTACATTTACACCATGGGATCCGTTGAGCAATCCACCCTACCCTCGGATTTTGTCTGGGGCTTTGCGACAGCCTCCTACCAAATTGAAGGAGCTGTCAATGAAGATGGTCGTGCCCCTTCGATTTGGGATACGTTTTGTAAGATCCCCGGTAAGATCGCGGGCGGGGGATCCGGAGAGGTAGCATGCGACTCGTACCATCGAACACACGAGGACATTGCCTTGTTGAAAGAGTGTGGTGCTTCGGCATACCGATTCTCGCTATCATGGTGCGCCGTACCTAAGCCTCTATCTCCAACCCCTGTCAACTAATATCGGCTGGACGCCACAATAGGTCCCGCATTATACCCCTCGGCGGTCGCAATGATCCCATCAACCAGAAAGGCCTGGACTTCTACGTCAAGTTTGTAGATGACCTCCATGCGGCGGGAATCACACCGATGATAACTCTGTTCCACTGGGATCTCCCGGATGCGCTGGACAAACGCTATGGTGGACTTCTAAACAAGGACGAGTTTGTTGCCGACTTCGCAAACTATGCTCGTGTGGTGTTTGAGGCATTCGGATCCAAGGTCAAATACTGGATTACCTTCAACGAGCCTTGGTGCAGCAGTGTTCTTGGATACAACAATGGTTCTTTCGCCCCTGGTCACACAAGCGACCGTACCAAGAGCCCAGTGGGAGATAGCTCAACTGAGCAGTGGATTGTTGGTCATAGTTTGTTGGTCGCTCATGGCGCTGCTGTGAAGATATACCGGGATGAATTCAAGGAGCGGGATGGCGGCGAGATTGGCATCACGCTGAATGGTACACACTCCTCCCTCTAGCGCAGCCTCTTTCATTGCTAACATAAATCAAAGGCGACTGGGCTGAACCTTGGGACCCTGAGAACCCTGCCGACGTCGAAGCCTGCGATCGCAAGATTGAATTTGCCATTTCATGGTTCGCCGATCCAATCTACCACGGCAAGTACCCAGACAGTATGATCAAGCAGCTCGGCGACCGTCTACCAACCTGGACCACCGAAGATATTGCCCTAGTGCACGGTAGCAACGACTTTTACGGTATGAACCATTACTGTGCGAACTACATCCGCGCCAAGACAGGCAAGCCAGAGTTGGACGACGTCGCTGGTAATCTAGAGCTCCTCCTCGAAGATAAGAACGGTAAAAGCATTGGACCCATCACACAATCCCCGTGGCTGCGGCCATGTGCGTTGGGCTTCCGCAAGCTTCTCAAGTGGCTCAGTGAGCGCTATGGGTATCCCAAGATCTACGTTACCGAGAACGGTACCAGTGTTCTTGGAGAGAACGACATGCCGCTTGACGAGCTGCTCAACGATGAGTTCCGAGTGCAATACTTCAAAGATTACATCGGTGCCATGGCGGATGCTTATACCCACGACGGTGTTAATGTGCGAGCATACATGGCTTGGAGTCTTATGGAGTATGTTTATCTCTGATAGAATTCGATGGTGCTATGATATGATGCTAACCTTTATTTTCTTCCAGCAACTTTGAATGGGCCGAGGGCTACGAGACTCGCTTTGGTGTGACTTTTGTCGACTATGAGAATGACCAGAAGAGAATGCCGAAGAAGAGTGCCAAGGCTATTGGCCAGATCTTTGAGCAACTGATTGAGAAGGCTTGATGGGCGAATTTGATTTAAGGGCTGTCTGGGACAGCCTGGGATAGCTATGGCACTAGAATGGCGACGAGGGATTTTGAATATATCTGACGTTTCATCTCTGTTTATTGGGCTTTGTAGAGTGCGCTCATCCTATCGTGATGCAAGCCATCTTTTGTAGGTAGACTCTGATTCTGCTGGGTTTGTAGGCGTCACATTCTTCAGTTCAACAGAAGCACATGGCTCGATCCCTGTTCATTGTCAAAATCTCATAGGTATACAATCACAAATCACCTCCCATGCAGCAGTAGCAGGATTGCGTCGAAGTCTTCTGAGTGTCATGAAAAGTTGCTCTGGACCAGGATTCCATTTCATAACATTCTCCTTAGAGACATCATAAGGAAGGCCATCCCTGAGTCGGAAAACACCAGTGTCACAGATTCGAGCCTCCTCAGGAATGAGTAGCGAAAGGGGTGTCCTTTCCTCACTAGAGATCCGCTCCTGTGAAGACGCAATCATGGCAGCAATTTCAGCAGCAGCATCCCATCCAACTGCTTGATTCAACGCAATACTGTGACCCTCTTCCACCTGCACAAGGTGCTCAGCCAGAGCAGTAACAGGCGGGCATTTATAGAAGCCCTGCACTGGTGGTGCCCGTTTCAGCAATTGCAGGGCCCTTCGACGCAATCCTGGATGGCGACATTTGGTAGCAGCCACGAACAATGGAAGTCCAACCCCCATCTCGAAGGTAAATGGCGGCTGTGCACCATTCAGCTTCTCCAAGGAATCCAGCGTAAGACTAGATTGGTCAACAATTACCAGGAAATCATCCAGAAAATTGTCATAGATGTTTTCATGTTTTGTCAGACTACCTGAAACATATATCGATGCAGCGGCGTGATAGGTAAGCAGGGTCGGCTCGGTATGTACAGGATATTCGAGCGCGATTGGCGATTTCTGACGAAGGCTTCGACAGAGATTTGTGTATGAACTCTTCCAGCGCGCTAGCCGGGCTTGTAAGGATTGTTGTTTGAGAAACAGGTCATCGCTCACACAGACATCACAGCTATTGGCGGAGAGGTGAACTTCCGCATCTCGTTTGAAGAGGATGCACTCCGCGCCCAAGGAGGTTATAGCCTGCCGAGCAGACCCGAGTGCTGTGAACCCATCATCCTTATTGGTCTCAAAAGAAAATAGCTCGCTCGGCTGAGTGCCTGATATGGTCAGAGCAATGGTGTTCAGGCGCAAGAACAGGGGGATGATTGTGTCCTCTAGAAGTGCAGCTTTGGTAGCAGAGACTGTCCCGGAAAAGGCTTTGGCACGGAGATCTAATATTAGACCCAATCCTTGTCTGAGAAGCTGTAAAGCCTCTTCCATACGTCCTTGAATGGTTTCCACGCAGATAAACAGTACACAGCTAATAAGTGCAATGTAAGGATCGGCACCGCCACGCTCGATCTGGGCGTGGATGCTGGAGATAGAACGCGAGTACCACAACAGAGCTTCTTTCTGGGATTGCTTGAGCAGGTGAGCATCCTTCTGCTTATGTCTCAAAAATGTGAAGTCCAGGCACTGCTCTGGGTATTCAAACAAAGCACTGATGGCAATAATAGCATCCCACACGGCCGGCTCAGTACGGCAAATCTGCGGAACAACACCAGTCCAGAAATCAATGCCCAGACCACCAGACATATACTGCGCAGCATGTTGAAAGTAATACTCAAAAGCCCGCCGTTCCCGCCACCCTGAATCAGGCGACGAGGAGAGGGTGTGACCCGGACATGGAACGAGCGAAGTAGACGTGGACGGCGTAGGAGGCGACGTGCTAGTTCCAGTCACATTGCTCTCAAAGTCACATTTCCGGCCTGTACTCGTGCACCGGAAACAACTCGGCCTTTCTTCCCCGCATTTCACACGTCGGATCCTGTCACAATGGTTAGGTTGTGTCAGATATAGTGGCCGGACTGGACTTACTTGCAGGTTTTACAGCCGAATCGGGACTTGGAACTGCCAATGCGGCCTCTGGGTGGTATTGTCCGGTTGGCTTTCATTGTGTGACTCCATTTCAGCTTGGAAGTTGGATCATGTTGAGGCTTTGAGATCTGACAGGGCGCTGTGGATTCTCGAGATCCCCACCTTGGCCTGTCTACGGCAGTTGACATCAGCTCAAACAGCCCTGTATTCTGCCGTCAATAGCTTACTCTTACACAGTTTAGCGATAGGGGTTTCTTATAGTAGACAGTTCTTTTTACTATGATTTTGCTATTTGCTTTCTAGTATTTGAATCGTTTTCGACGTCTTTTTGGTATGATTTTAGTACAAAATAGAATTTCACTAACAGCCGTTGAGCGTGAGTATAGGGCACAGAAAGCGGTAAGAAAGGCGGTAAAGACCGCACTGTGAAGCCTCGAATGTCAGGCATCAAGCCAGAATAAGGACCAACATCGAACTACTTCGACATGTCAGTTGCCACATTCTATTCATTTGAGACTTATGGCTAGATGGAATACTGACATGGTGCTCTTTTCGTTCTACAGTCACACCAACTTTAGTTGTCGAAAATTTTTGTAGTATCCATTTTTCTTTTCTTATACATTTAACTCCCTTTCGAATGTCCCAGGACAACGACATAGCCTCTCTAAAGAATATTATGGGGCCTGTGATATCTAGCTTGGTCCGAATATCTCAAGGCAGGACAGCAAACTGCATCTTCGAGCTTCATGTCAGTCTATACTCCGGTCCTTAGTAAATCCGCCCCGAATATAATTTTGTCTCCCAGCTCAACAGTGTCCAGACATTCAACATGGACTTGTCTCAGTTATCAAACCAGCTTGGGCCAGTGCCAGAAAGGTTTCCAGATTGCTGTTTGGGAATATCCAGCACATTGATCGCCCATCTGATCTCAATCCTTCCCAGGAGCCCCCATTTCACCATCTCAATCGGCAGCGGCTCAGGTCTCCTCGAAGGCCTCCTCACATATTCCAATCAAAATGTGTCAGTCCAGGGAGTGGAAGTGACTTCAACAATCAACCGGTACATCGCCGAGGAAAACATGAACGTCGTTGGTGGAGGGTGGGGCCTCTATCCCAGCGCTCAACAAGCCAAGGCGTGGATGTTCGTCTACCCACGCGACCCCAAGTTAATCACCAAATATATTGATTCATACGGCGATAAAGCCGTTCAAATGATCGTATGGCTGGGGCCGAGGGTAGACTGGCCCGATTATGAACCCTGCTTTAGCAACTCTACTTTCTCTGATTTGAGCGTTTTGGATGATATTGGATTGACGCCTTATGAAATTGCGGTTGTTGCTCGAAGAGCGTCTTGATTCGAACATAACTGGATTTTACGTGTGCTGGAAGAAAGCGATGCATATGCCTTTCGTATGGGATGATAATGTGATACTATAGACACTAAACGGAAATGTAATTGACCCTCTTGTAATGATGCATGAATCGAAAGCAATTGAATTTATTACTATGTATAACCTCTCAGACTAAAACTTCTGTGTAAATCGCTTCAAAGCGCATACCGGAAATGTTTCGACTGCCTGTCTGTCATGTCCTTGAATCCATCCAAGATTGCCTGGGAGGCAACATCGCCCTCGGATGTGGACAGATCGATGGCTGCATCTCTTCGCGTATTCTCCCACCTCATAGACACATAAGCTATGGCGGATAGCACAATAATACCCGCATAGCAGATAAGTAGCCCCGCAAGAGCCGAGTAGTATCGTGGAGCCTCGCGAGCGAAGAAGATATTAGCACCGGCGACATTACCGGCAGCATACAACATGAACCAGAGACCATTTGCTACAGCACGTTTCGTGTGCCCAGCAACATTGGTAGCAAGAATATTCCAGCAGACAATCACCGGAGCACCAACAATATACTGCAGCCAGGTACACCCAACCAGGGTCCAGCGGTGGTCCAGATCAGTAAACCTGATTCCCAGAAGACCAGCAAATGGAATGAGACACACAACAGCGAGAACAATACACCGTGAGTCCTTAACATAAGTAGCCACAATACCACAAATGGGAACAATGGCCGCCTCAAACGCACCAGTCGGCAACTGAAGCAACGTCGCGTAAATCCCATCAAACCCAAAGCCCTTGATCAGAGCAGAGGCAAAGTTTGAAACACCACCGTTGATCACACCACACGCAATACCAATACCGGCACAGCAAAGAACTTTGACATCATAAAGATTCTCCAATGCCTGCCTGGGTTTGATCTCTTTGGTCTTGACGCCAATCATATTCTCGGCGACACGCTGCACGGCGATGACACGTTGACGGTGCGAAAGGAAGCGCGCGGAACTCGGCGAATCGGGCATAAGCCAGAGGAAAACACAGGCAGTGACGAAGTTCATCAACCCGATCGTCAGGAAAATCAGCTGCCAGCTGCGTAGAGTGGTACTGTCAGAATGACCCAGGCCAAAGCCCAACAAGGCGCCGACCATTGTGGCCATTCCATTTGCGCTGAGCCAGATAGCCATGCGTAGAGGCTGTTCGGAGCGTTTGTAGAACATGGACGTGAGATTCATCACTGGATGATAGCTGCGTATTAGTCAAGGCATTGCCAGTCTGTAGAGTTGTAAAGGAGACAGCATCACATACTACAAGGACTGACACCCGCTTCAGCCATGCCCAGTAAGAATCTCAATACCAAGATTCCGGCATAGTTCTTCGCGCCGATATGTGCAATCACCAGAACACTCCAGATGAGAAGCATACCGCCCATATACTTTGCGATGGGTAATCGTTGGATCAAGAGGTTTGCTGGAAGGGCCCAGAATAGATAGCCGAAGTTAAAGATTGCTGCGACCCATGAGTATCGCTGACCTTCGAGGCCGAGATCTGGAATTAACGAATAGGCCGAGGCATAGTTGAGGGATAGTTTGTCTGATATCAAGCGGTGAGTTCGACGAACAGGGTCAATGTTTCGATTGAGGTTGACTCACCAAGGAATTGTATAACGTATGTCACATAGAGCTATAGCATGGACATGTTAAAACCAATCAATCTCCTGTTCAACACGGGGTAAACAGACAATAGGCATAATGCGCCAGTCGAGGATACGGAGAACTTCGGCACCCTCAGTCTCCAACTCCTCGGCCGAGAGCTGTTCAGCCTCGAGGAACAAGTTGGCACCAATATCGTGAGTCTCACCGAGCGCAACATTTTTCTCCTCGGTGGGATAGTTCGCTTTGGTATCTGTCTCCATGATGGAATCGGGCCAATTGGGGTTGGGGATTGGGGTCAAAGTGAACTGAAACACATCCCACAGTTACATTCCAATGCCGGGCTTTTAAGCCCTGGCAAAAGGCTCGACTTTCCAGGTGTTATCGCTGCCAAGTAGATAAGCATGAAGCTGCAGAAACGGGGGATCAACTAATCGAGCATGATAGACAAGTGATAGGAGATGCAACTGAGGGGAATGGAGCAGCTGGGCATGATTGGTTCATAGGCAAGCGGACAATACTCCGCGATAAGTATAAAAGTCCTCGGCATTTAGAGAGGCTATGGCTATGCCTCGATTGCCTATGGCTGTATAGCTAGACTTCCTCGGGAAATGGCTGGATAGTTCCCGCATACATAATATCTTCAACCATCCTCAGCACCGCTCGATGTAAATACCCCTTCTTTAACTTCTCTAGATGGGTTTCAGCCTCTTCCAACAACAGCAGATTATCGTTCTCGGGTTCATCTACACCAGCAGTCCACAGGACCTTTTGTCTAAGGAACTCATAAACCCGCATATAGGGCATCGCATCCGTTCCACGGTCTACAAAGCCAGCCAAGTTCATCGCACAAGCATCAATGGCTTTGCGGGTATCAGCCATAGACTTTGTTGCCCAGGCAACATACAAAAGCATAATTCCGGCGCGGAACTGGAAGACGAGCTATGGATCCAAGGATTAGCCACTAGTCCCCACAGATGGGCATTGATACGTACCGCAGACCAGGTATAACACATGACATGGCCCTCTTCCTGTAGTATTCGGAAGTTGATACAGACATCGACAATCGCAGCAAGGAATTCTTCTACTCCATCCTCGACAAAGTTCCTTTTCCCTTCCATTAGTATCAAGAGGCTGTAATCGTACAGCTTTCGCATCCACATAGGGTGCAGATAGCCGTATTGGACATTATTGGATCCATATCGGGGAATATCCTGTCGCCAGATGTCGAGTGCTGATTTAAAAGAGGAGGAAGAGATGTGGTTCTTGTCCTGCATGAGAAGTGGGCTTTGAGGCCAGTGCTCTTTCGATCTTCTGATCCTTGCTTGAATCTTGCGGAGACGGAAGAGATGGCTTAAAGCAGGGCTTATGTCGTGGAGTGGCTGGAGTGTGTCGCCTAGAATGCACATCTATACTATCGTCAGTCGATTCAACTAATTGGAAAGGGGCATGCAAAGGTCCGGATGACTCACATCATCGTCGACAACTCTATAGGCAGCTGATACAGGTCGATCCCATCCAGACACAATAATTTCATTCAGCATGTAGCATGTGATGAACATCTTCTCTGATAGAACCTCATCAGCCTCAGTTATCGACCCGGTTTCTCGGCAGATCGACGCATGCTTTCGGATTTCTGCCATGGCAGCCGTACAGAACGGGACGATCGAAGCAACACTAGTCGTAATCTCCTCGGAAGAAGGAGAGTGTAATGCATAAAGAATCATGAGCAACGAGGCCTGAATCTGTAGAGCCATAGATGAATGCCCCACGACGTGCGGGTAATATCGCATTGCCGACGCATAGAACTCTTTCGAACGGATTGAGTGTGAAGGGTCTCGCTGAATTGTGCTGCAAAGAGATGCGCCGATTGCATAGACAATGTTTAAAAAGAATTGTCGCCATTCATGCTGACCGTCTATAATGACTTCGTTATGCCATGACTTCCAAGCAGTCTCGTTTAGGAAGGGCCATTCGCGATGTGTGACCGAAAAGTAGACATTAGTGTATTGCTCTTTTAACCAGTTCGAGCTATCAGTCAATGAGAATGGGGGTGCGGTATCCATCCACGGAAAGTCGAATGTTGCATTGGTCAAAAAAGACAATGGATCCGACGAGCAAGATAACGGTGATCGAATGAATCGTTGATATGGAGACTGTAATCCAGACAACAGCATCAGAGACGCATCATCCTCTGCATTCAAATGCTGGCCAGTCAAAAAGAAAGTTGGATCACTGGATGTATGAAGATCCCCCATATCAGTCTGAACACCAGCATCACACATCTCCACATAAGTTTCGGTAGTGCTAGACCGACGATCCATCTCAGCCACCCGCTCTTCCAGCTGCCTCAAATACTCCAGCGGGATGGTAATGTTCTCGCCCGACTTTCGAGATCTGGCCGGCAAGCACTCGGCGCCTTTGCGGCGACATTCCCCACAGGAGGGCTTTGCATGGTCACATTTCCGCTTGAGGCGGAAACAGCGGGCACAGGCTATGTCTCTATGTTTGGGGCGCGACATGCAGAAGCATTGACATGTATGAAATATGTGGAGGTGCGGAGGTGTGAATGCATGGAGTTGAGTTCCGCCGAGCAGACATGCGGGGGGATTATCCTGAATAGGAAGGTGTATGCGGCCTCCAGTCGAAGTATAAAAAGAGCCTAAGAGAGCAGAGTGGGAGAACGGAGAACATTAGATGTAGTATATAGCATGTTGCGTGTTGGATATCAGGTATAGTGCATAGTCATTAGTCATTCTAGTCCAGTCCTTTCGATATCGCATCAATCCTTGATCCATCGCTGAGCCACCACATCATACCCAATCAGTTTAGGGTCAATATTCAAAGTCTGGAGCATATATCCCATACAGAATTCCTAGTAAAAATGAGCAACGACTCAAAACGGTCGCAAAAAAAGAAAAAGCAATAATTAGGACTCACCTCATCGCTCTCCGTGCCTCGCTCAATAATCTTCCTTCCTTCCAACATCTCCGACAAGCCGCCCAGATTACGATACTCCTCTTCTTCCTCGTCAACATGTTCAATCTCCCGTGTCTCCTCGTCTTCTTCCCATCGCGTCGCATCCCGCTTGGAATGCCTCTTCCAAGCCTTCATACCCCCCATTTTATTAACCCGCGCCTGAGCACCGACGAAGGCCTCATCCGCCGCGTCCTGGCTAATTCGCCGCCATTTGACAATCAAACCTTCGAGTTCAGTATCCTTGGTTGAGGATTCGAGTTGAAGGGCTTGAGCTGCAGTATCGAGGTTCGTGCGGAGGGAGGCTATTCGCGATTGAATGACGCGTTGTTGTTTTTGGAGAGCGAGAATGTCCGGGTCGGAACTACGGAAGCGGGTCGGAGTTGAGAGCGGACGGATGGTAGATTGTCTATTCTCTGTAGAAGGTGGGTTGGTAGGTGTATCGGAGATCGATAATCTCGAAGCTAGTGTTGGGGTGTCATTGAAGGTCTTGGCCGCGACGGGTGTAGCTGGTGATGTGGCTGCGGTTGGGACCGGCCTGCGCATTGGCGACTTGAATGGTTTGGATAGAGTGGCGGCTGCATCGACACGACGACGCTTGCTTGGGGGTTGGGCCATGTTGCAATGATTACAGTTGATCGAGGTGTGTGTTGATGGGAGAAAGTGGGAGATGCGGAGAAAAGAAGCTTATCGATAAGATGGATCTTGATTTACATTCTCAGACTCAATGCCCAACTCCGCCTGCCACCCACTGTCCAAATTCAGGATCTTCGGGACGTGGGAAAAAGCCACGGTCTCCATTCCCTGGGGCATTGCCGTTGGCGTTGACTTGACCATTGGCATTGGCATTGGCGTTCTCGTTCTGCCGGTTACGCTGTTGCTGCTGTTGACGAACATACACTAACACCAACAGGGTAGCGGCCAATCCGACAATAAGTAACCCTTCTAGCATTCCTTCGTCAAGGTCGAGATCTAGATCGTCATAGTAGCCATCCTCGTGACTATCAGCATCAAGGCCACGGTATTCATCGTCCTCCCCACGCTGTTCGTAAAGATCATCGTAATAACTTTCCTCGTCATTGCGAATGAAGGTCGTGATCCACTCCTTGAAAGTGCGGGGAGTTCTCGAGTCTGGAAAATTGTGAGCAAGGTACCAAAAGTAGGTTGACAAACCCGGGTATGGTGGACTCACCCTCCTCATCGCGAATGGGATTAATATTTCCATTGGTAATGCGATCCCAGTATCCTCGGACGCGGAGCTTGAGCAAACTGAGCTTGACCGGCAAATATGATTCAGGGCTCACATCGAGAGCCAGGTCATAGTATCGCTTGGCCATGTGGAAGTCCTGATCCACCGCCACGCCGTTCTCGTGCATCCAGCCCAGATTCCAGTAGCCCTGTGCGCTGTGGTGTGCCTCGGCAGCATTGTGATAGCAAGCCGAGGCCTTCTCCGCGTCGACAACGGTACCTGTACCGGACAGGTAGTAGTCACCCATCTTAACCAGCGAGTCGATGTTAGCCTGCTTCGATGAACGAGTCCAATAGATCAAAGCCAGAGCTGCATTGCGTAGTAATGAAGACCGAGTCTTTTCAGCCCATGGGAGAATGGAATTAAGCGAGAGCAAGGATCGCTGCTCATCAAGCAGGTAAGCCACATTTGCTTGGGCATTCTCGTAGCCCTGCTCAGCGGCCATCATCGCCGGGATGAGAGCCCCCTCCTTGTCACCGGACTCGTAAGCAGAGTTCGACTCCATAAAGGCTGAGTGAATGATCTCTGCCTTTTCAGCGACCATCTTGTAATAAGCGGCGGCCACACCACAGTGCCGTTGTCTGCCAACGCCGAAGTTCGCCATCTCTGCAAGGTAGTAGTACGCTTCCATCCAACCCCAGCGGGCCGCGAGCTCGAAGTAGCGTGTGGCAGTAGCCACATCGCCTTGATCGAGGAACAATGCACCCAATCGCGACTCCGACGCCGGGAGGTCCTGGTCTGCCGCAACCTTAAAGTAACTCGCAGCTTTGAATCCATCCTGGGGAACCCCGTATCCATTGAGATACACCAGGCCCATCCAATGCTGACACAGAGAGTCGCCGTTCGCAACACCACGGCGGAACCAAGTGAGAGCAGTACCGTAGTTCTGCTCAACTCCTTCTCCACGGAGGTACATTAGACCAATATGCCCAGCAGCTTTCGAAGCCAGCTTATCAAGCCCAGCCGGAGCATTCTGGTTAACAGTCCCATCCTTATTCCAATATTTCTTAGTAACAGCCTTAAAATACTTGATAGCACGGCGGAAATTGCGCGGCAATCCCCTGGCACCCTCGAAGTTCATCTTGCCAAGGGTATAAGTGGCCTTCAGCTCACCCTTCCTCGACATGAGATCCAAATACTCAAGGATATCCTCGACACTGGCCTCAGGACTCGCCTGAGCAGCATCACGGGCATTCTGCCCAGAACTCGACACACTAGCGCCAGCACCATAAACCCCACCGTCCTCCTCGGCCCAGCGATAAGACTCACGGATGAGCGCATTACCACCAGGGGGACCAGAACGGTAAAACTCAATAGCCTTATCAGCAACACGCTTATAATAAACAAGCGCATGGTCACAATCCTTCGGTGTGCCGATACCAGTATGATACCGGTACGCGAGTGTCATCTCAGAGCGCGTATTTCCTGTCTCAGCAGCGAATTCATGATACATAAGAGCCTTGGCTTGGTCACGTTCAACAGCACCACCAACACCCGTAGCGTACATGAATCCAACCATATTCTGAGCTGTATTATTCCCATCCAGCCAAGCGAGATCGTGGTACCAATGAAATGATTCTTTAAAGTCACGCGGGTGGGAGAAGTTGCCGTAGAAGTTCATCTCGGCGAGGAGGAACATCGCGTCTGGGTCATGATCATCGTCAGCTGCGGCGCGCAGCTCGGCTACGGCGCTGGCGATATTTGCATCGAGTTTCCGATGGGGTTTATCGGTTGCTGGACCGTTGAGGAAGAGGAGGCGGAATGTTTGACGGCCGTAGTATATAGCTGTTCCAAGGAGGCCGGTTGACTTGTCTGTTGCCGGGATTGCGGGTTTAGAGTTGCGGAGTGTGTTCCAAGCTTTTTCGACTCTTTCTGTTTATAGATGGATTGTGAGCCTGGTGTGGCTATCGGCGGGATGCAGAGACAGTAGCTCCGCAGTGGTTAGATAGATACTCACGGGTCATAGGTCGGGGTTGTGGTTCCCCGGTGAACAATGGGGGTTCGTTATTATCGGCATCGCCGCCGAGAGCAGTTTGGTCCTTCTCAGCAGAGTGTTGACTTGGCCCAGCTGCGCAGGACTGTAATAACACTGGAAGGGGTCAGCTTGCAGTGTGGTCCGCGTGTGAGGAGATTACTTACGCAGTGCCGAAAGAATAGATAGCGTCCTCATAATGACTGTGTTCTGGAGGATATACAGGGTGAGAAGTACATCGCGGCTTGACAACAAGCAATGTGGAGGAGTCGGGTGCGGAGCTGTTGCGATATGATGTAGTTCGGGCCACGTTTGGCTTGACGGCGCTTCATTTTTCCGTACTTTATCAGACTCCAATACTCCGTGATATTTTGCTTGTATGGTCTACGGGTTTAAAAGGAAGTGAACAGACAAAAATGTCATTAGCATTCTTTCAATCTACTCATCCTCTCACGAGGTGCTGTGTACAAATCAGAAAAAAATCAGAAAATACATCCCCCAAGGCGCTCTCAATGCAATAGGAAGTGGGAAGCCATAAACTCCCAAGGCAATCAGAGCTCGCCATTCCTCAGTCTCCAGTTCAAGCCTTGGGCGTTGAAAACAGCAAGTCTGTGTTGTCGTGAGATGTCATTGCCACCTGCGAAACGGGGGGAACAGAAGCGTGTGCAGTCGCGAAAAAAAAAGACGGCTGAAACAGAGAGCCCGTCCGTGGGTAAAAAAAAAGTAAAGAACAGATACAATTGAAAGGGTGACACGCCCCGATATCGTGGAAAAAATTATCAATCAGTTCTGAGACTTTAAACGCGTGAAAATCCTTTTGGGTTATTTGAATGTTGTAATGGTGATAGTACAGACGTAAGCACGAGCTTTAAACAGCCAAGCCATGCCCGTCCGAACTTTATTGACGTGGCGACGAAGGGCTGAAAGCCGGAGAAGTCGGGCTGTAAGCCCCGGCACCAGGCGAGGTTGGGGAGCCAGAGAAGTTGGGAGAGCTAGGCGAGTATGACTGCGGGCTGGTGGGAGAGAACTTCGGGGAGGTTGGTGAAGTGGGGGACAGGTGCCGACCAACGCCTGCAATGGCAGGACTGGTAGGACTATAGGTAGGTGATGTCGGACTAAACGCCGGCGACGCGGGACTGAAGCTGGGGGATGTTGGACTGTAGCTTGGCGACGTAGGCGAGAAGCCAGGCGATGTCGGAGAGTACGACGGTGAAGTCGGGGACACTTGGCCATAGGCAGGCGAGGTTGGCGAGTAAGCCGGAGACGTTGGGTTCATCGACGGACTTGTGGGCGAGAAGCCAGGCGAGAAGGACATGCGCGGGCTGGTCATACCCATGCTAGGCGATGTTGGAGAGTAACTCGAGCTGGGGGAATAACCAGGAGACGTGGGACTGGTATTGAATGGACTGGTGGGAGAGTAACCGCCGGGGCTGCGACCACCAGGGCTCATGCTCGATAAACCAAAGCCAGACGGCTGGTAGTCTGTCAAGCCTGGTGGGGCATCCTGGCCAATCTGGTGCATAGGCGAGAAGGATGCATCAGGGTCACTATCGGTCATGTACCGCGGCGAGCTTGCCATAGGAGATCCAGTGTCGTACTGAGTCGCAGCGCCATCCGGAATGATGGCGTCCTTGGCGCCGACAGCGCCCATGAGGCCGAAGCGTGCATTGTTTGACACCACCGTGTTGAGCAAAGACTGATCCAAGTAGACGTCAAACTCTCCCGTTCCAGCGGGTGCCATTTGTCCGAGGATCAAGTTCTCTGAGACACCACGGCAGTCGTCAAGTTCTCCGAAGGCCGCGGCTTCCAAAAGAATCTCAACAGTCTCTTCGAACGAACAACGCATGAGTGCACCATTGTCGGCACGGTTGATACCATGACGAGTGACCGGGGTCAGATAACCACGCACAGTCATCACATCGACCAGAAGAGCCAAGTGACGATGATTAACGTAGGAACCGTCAAAGGCAAGCACCTGGGTCAATTCACGAAGGACAGCGGTACGGGCAGCCTCAATACCGAACACCTCGAAAATCTCGATAAACTGGTTGGAGTACGTGCGAGAAGCGTCGACACCGGGGATTGAGAGAACCGCGGCCAGCGAAGAACCACTTGTCTCGAGGACCCATTCTTTGCAGAGGGGATCGGACTTGCTTGTGTGAAGCGAGCCATCTTCGATGACACGAACCTTGCTCTTCTCATTAATGAACGCACGATCAACACCGGGAACACCACGCAGGGTTAATGTGTCGAGCAGGTGCTGCTCAAGCTTCTTCAAAGTCACATCATATTCGACATCCTCATCATCGTCGTCCTTGTAGTCCTGAACTTGACGGATACGGATAACTTGTTCATCGGCGTTGTTATCACTGAAGATGACTGCAATGTCACGGGGGTACGCCTGCTTAATCCTGGTAGCAACGTCCTGAACAGTGAGACCCTTGTCAAGAAGGGAGGGCCGGCTGAGCACGATACGGAGCAGCCACTTGGACTGCGAGGCAGCATCATCGCCAACATCTTCGGGAATGATAAAGTACGATTCAACCATATCCCGATCGTTCTCAATGACAGTGGATTGAATGTCCGGGTCATAGTAGATCTCAGTGGACTCAGTGACGGAGCGTAGACTGGTGTGCTCGACGAGACTTCGCAGTGTCTTGGCACCTTCTTTGTTGTGAGTCTTCATGCCCTGCTGGTACACAGTCATTGAGGGAGTCTTAATGTTGGTAGCAACATTCAGAATTTCCTTCAGACGGGGTACACCCAGGGTGACGTTCTTAGATGACACACCAGCAAAGTGGAAAGTGTTCAAAGTCATCTGAGTAGCGGGCTCACCAATGGACTGGGCTGCAAGGACACCAACCATTTCACCAGGGTTGGCTGCCGCACGGGCAAAGCGCATTTCAATGGCACCGATCACATGCTGGAATGCAAGCTTGTTAAGAGAGTAGTCGGTAACGAGACGACGGAAAGCAAGACGACTGCGAAGCTGAGCCTTGAACAATAATGTTGCATTGTCCTGTGCCTCGAGTGAGATAACGTCGTTACCACGGACGATCATCAAACGATCCAGGAGGGCCTGGACCTGAGGAATGACTTCAGCAGGGTGCAAATCACTGATGGTACCCTCGCGAATGCGGAATGTGGTACGAGCCATCTCGAGAATACGCTGAATGTTGATGGGAAGTTGCATCATTTCCTCATCTCCCTTGGCCACGGTACGCAGGAAGTCGCGGTCCTTAAGGATTGCCTCCCACTCTTCATCGAAGTATCTTTGCACCTCCATATCACCGGCGATTTCGTTAGCCTGCTCCAAGACCTCGGGTCCGAGAGTCCGCTCAGGATCCATAACATCAACACGGAAACGTTCGCGGAGCTTCTCATCAGAGCACTTGATGATGTCGACTCGCTGGTTCTCAATGTGCGCACCATCAAGACCGTCTTCTCCGTAAATGAACTGGATGATATCGCCGAGAGAGTTGCGGACAGTACCATCGTACTTAACCATGACTTCTTCCAAAGCCTTGACCAGCTTACGCTGAATGTAACCAGTTTCGGCAGTCTTGACAGCGGTATCAATAAGACCCTCACGACCAGCCATGGCGTGGAAGAAGAACTCGGTGGGAGTCAGACCACGCAAGTACGAATTCTCGACGAATCCACGGGACTCGGGAGAGTAATCATCCTTGGTGAAATGAGGCAAAGTACGGTACTTGAAGCCGAATGGGATACGCTTTCCTTCCACGGATTGCTGGCCGACAAGAGCAGTCATTTGTGAAATGTTGATAGCGGAACCCTTGGAACCAGAGCGAGCCATTTGAATGCCGTTGTTCAAATCCTTCAAACTCTTCTCGGTGGCATCACCAGCTTCATCACGAGCGTTGTTCAGAGCGCGAGAGACCTTACTCTCGAATGTCTCACGGACGTTCATACCAGGTAGAGCCTCAAGAGTGTTTTCAGTGGCGCTAGCTGTGATAGTCTCGACTTCTTGCTTTCGATTACGGACAGCCTCCTCGATCTTCTGGATAGTCAGCTGATCGGGAATGGTGTCACCGATACCGATGCTGAAACCGTTGTGAAGGAGCCAGTAGCCAACAATGGTTTGAGCACCATTAAAGAAGTTGACAGCCGTGTCAGGGCCGTACTCATTGAAGATGGTGTGAATGACACCACCACCGCTAGCACCAACAGTCTTCTTAGAAAGCATTCCATACATCAACTGTCCACCGTGAATCAGAAGACCGCCATCATTGAGAGGAGCGAATTTCTCAGTCAAAGCAGCACCATCCTTGTCCACACGCAACAGATTCAGACCAGAGGGGAAAGCCATACTGATCATCTGTTTTCCGGTCCATCGAGGACGGGGCTTCACAATAGCCGGTGGAGGAATAACACCGTCCCAATTGGGAACCCACATCATAAGGTTCATGACCTGAGCCTTAGTGAGGAAGGTATCACGACGACAGATCTTGTAGATTCCGCAAAGGGTATCCTGCACAATACCCATCAAAGGACCGTTACGCTGAGGCGAAACAATGTTCTTTGGAACCAGAGTCAATTCAGCAAGCTCAGCCCGTGCTTCTTCGCCCTGGGGGACGTGCAAGTTCATTTCGTCACCGTCGAAATCGGCGTTGTAAGGACTGGTCACAGACAAATTCATTCGGAATGTTGAGAAGGGCATGACACGGACACGGTGACCCATCATGGATTCCTTGTGAAGTGAAGGCTGACGATTGAAAAGAATGTAGTCACCGTTGTCCAAATGACGCTCGACCTTCCAACCATAAAGAAGCTGCTGAGTACCAGCGCGCTTGGCGTGACGCAAGTCAATGCGCTCACCGTTATCACGAACAATGTACCTGGCACCAGGGTGGATATTGGGTCCGTTTGAGACCAACTTTTGAAGCTTCTCAATGTTGTAAGGGGTAACAACTTCTGGGTAGGTCAGGATTCGGGCTGTCGAGTATGGAACACCCACTTCATCAAGAGACAAATTGGGATCACCAGTGATGACAGTACGGGCAGAGAAATCAACACGCTTGCCCATCAAGTTCTGGCGTAAACGACCTTCCTTACCCTTCAGGCGACTACGCAGAGCCTTCACGGGACGGTTTCCCTTTTGCATGGCCTTGGGTTGACCGGCAATATCGTTATCCATGTATGTAGCAATGTGGTACTGAAGCAGAGATTCGAACTCGCGAATGACGTGCTCAGGGGCACCTTCTTGCTCACAACGTTGTACGTTCTGGTTGGCACGAACAATTTCAGCAAGCTTATATGTCAAGTCATCTTCACCACGAGCGTTGCTCGTGGCTCCCATAACAACACTTGGACGAACAGTCGGGGGTGGGACGGGAAGGACGGTAAGGATCATCCATTCGGGGCGAGCATAGTCATTGCTGAGACCCATGATGCGGACCTCTTCGTGGGAGATGTTTCGGAAAATGTTCAAGGCCATGGCAGGCGTGATAACCTTCTTCTCGGGCTGTGCCATTTCATCTTCCATCATAGCCTTGCTGGGCTTCCATGTTCCAACAAGAGTGATTCCTTCCTTTCGCACAGTAGGCTGGGCGTTACCGCAGCCACCGTGGGAGTGCTGCTGGGGATCCTTCGAGAATTCTTCGTCGTCAGCAGGAGGATCCGCTTGACAGACAAGCACATCCTTAGAAAGTCGCCAAATGTGATCGAATCGACGCTTTGGGTCACGGAATCGGAGGGCTTCGGCGAACTTAGAATCGGCCTGTGGTAATCATGTCAGTAAAGTCTGCCATGGCGATTTGCCATCCCATAAGGGATGACTAACCTGGTTGGCCTTGATTTTTCCGCAGTTGTGGCAAACGGTCTCTAAGAGCTTCTTAATTTTGGTTACAAAACCTGGAAAAGTCAGCGTCGGGAAGGGTGAATATCGATCAGGTGTACAAACCGATGTGAAATACTGGAGACGCAAGCTCAATGTGACCGAAATGTCCAGGACATTCCTTGGGGCCTTCTTCACAAGTCTCACAGTTGTATTGACGATCGATCGTGCCGAGACGCGGGTCGTTGATACCCTTGGTCCGAGGCCGTTGACGTTGTTCATCCTATCGCGTCATTAGCAATCATGAAAAGAATCGCAAACTGAGCAGATAACGAAGCATGCGACGAAAAGTACAAAGATCATCACTCACCATAGTCTCAGGGTACTCGATGTGGACCACACTCATGCGCTTGATCTCCTCGGGAGCGAAAAGACCAAACTGAATCTCCTTAATGGTGCGCAGAGGCGCCTTGGAGTATGGAAAGAAAACGTTCGACATATTGGCGATGTTTTTGTGGAAAATCCGATGAAAAACGCGGAGTTAACCGGTCAGGTGGATGGATCGTGGATCGGCGAAAACGAAGCTGTTATCGCAGACGTCGCAAATTTTGAAGAGACAGACTAGCTCGAAGGCGTAAAGTCGACTTTACACGTAGCAACGATGAAACGAAGGTCGTGTGGAAGCAGCTGGCCGGCTGAGGCCTTTGGCAGCCCTTGCCACGAGGGCGCCGGCGACCTGGGAGTCCCGGACGTCACGAAGCCGGAAAGGAGGGAAAAAGGGCGCGCGCGGCGGTGAAGAGCGTGAGATGGAAGTCCAGTAGAAGGATCGCGATGCACGACGCGATCTCCTGCGTGGTTGAGGGATGGGGGGATAGCGTGTCGGGAAGTTGAAAGGGAGACGGATGGAGGTTGCCTCACTGTGATGGGGGTCGAGTTTTCCCTGCACTGCGGCTGCTGTCTAAAGCGAGTTCACCGCCTTGGCAGAACAGTGGGTACCTCCTCCTATCAAGTTGAGACAGGCAAAATGGAAGTACCTTTGGTTATAGGGGAAGTCAGAGCGGTGAGACCGAGTAGTCAGCAAGACATCCTACTCAGGCACCTTTCAGGCAGCTTCCGTCTTCACTTTTAGAGGGGGGTTCACCGCCTTGTGTTCCTCCAGATTCTAAGGATATCGACGGCAGAAGGGAAGATTATCTAGGAAACTGACTTGCTTTCTGCATATGATCTGACATTGCCTGGCCTAATCTGCAGGCCTGGGCTTATTCAGAACCATCCAGCTATTCATGCCCTCGCAACAATGAACCTTTCACTCGTGGATCCATTTGTTCTGGCCCAAGAATACCCAGATACATTGACCGAGAAGCTTAGTATGTGTGTTGGCGATACTTGATGCACAATACTAACATACACACTATTAGGCAGCGGCCATGCGACATGTCTCAGCTTCAACCACAAAGGCGACTACCTTGCCTCGGGACGAGTTCGTGGATACAATCAAAGAATACAAGAAGAGGGCTAAGACATGATGTTATAGGTGGACGGCACAGTCGTGATCTTCGACATTGAAACCAATGGCGTGGCGCGCAAGCTGCAAGGTCACACGCGACAGATTCAGTCTCTCAGGTAAGCTCACAGACTGCAGTGGAATAAGCAAAGACTAACTCCAATCCAGCTGGTCCCGCGATGGCCGATACCTCCTCACCTCCTCACAAGACTGGAAATGTATCCTTTGGGATCTACAGGATGGCTCAAGAGTTCGCACAGTACGGTTTGAGGCACCAGTCTACATCGCCCAACTACATCCATTCAACCAGTACGCTTCGCCAAATCTCATCATATCACTATACCCAAAGTTAACAAGATGACAGTCTTCTCTTTGTCGCCTCCCTCTTCGAAGACCAACCCGTCCTAGTCGATGTCTCCTCCCCAAAACCGATAAAGCGTATCCTCCCCAGCGCCCCTCTCCGACCCCAACCAACGAACGGGGAAGAAGTCGACCCAGCAGTAGCGGCCAAACAAGCAGCCCAAGACGCAAAGCACTCAACCTGCGTGACAATCTTCACAGCCTTCGGCAACCACATCATAGCCGGAACCTCGAAAGGCTGGATCAACATCATCGAAACACAAACCTGCACAACAATCCACTCAATGCGCCTCTGCAACGGCGTAGTCATTCTCCTCCGACTCGCCAGCAATGGCCGCGACCTGCTGGTCAACAGCTCAGACCGAGTTATTCGCACAGTTCTCATGCCCGACCTCTCCCAGCTAGGAATCGGCCTCGAAGCATCCGCAATAAAATTACACGTGGAACACAAATTCCAAGACGTGGTCAACCGCCTAAGCTGGAACCACGTAACATTCTCATCGACGGGCGAATTTGTCACAGCAACCACATTCATGAATCCAGACATCTACGTATGGGAACGGAGCCACGGCTCGCTCGTCAAGATTCTCGAAGGACCACGCGAAGAACTGGGCGTCGTGGAATGGCACCCCTCACGACCAATGGTCGTAGCCTGCGGTCTAGAAACCGGCTGCATATACACATGGTCGATCGTCTCCCCTCAGAAATGGTCCGCTTTAGCGCCTGATTTCGGCGAGGTTGAAGAAAATGTGGAATACATGGAAGCGGAGGATGAATTTGACGTTCACCCAGCCGAGCAGGTGCACCAGCGACGTCTCGATCAGGAGGATGAAGAGCCAGATGTTGTCACGATCGATTCTGTCAAGGATGATGTCGAGGCAGACGGTGTTGAGCCGTTCAATGTACCTATCTTGCTTGATGTTGAGGACAGTGATAGTGGCGAGGATGTCATTGCCGTTGGGCCTGGGACTATGAGGAGGCGGACGCCTGGTGCTGGGCGGGAGGTCGTGAATGGAGCTGCGAATGGGGAAGTTGAAAAGGAGGGTGCTAGTGGGAGGGTTGCTAGGAGTCGGCGGCGATGATATCCCCTGCTGTTATGTTCATGGTTTATTGCTTTTTGTGTTCTCTCCCTTTGTCTTTGCATGGAGGTTTGGTTGGGTTTGTTTAGATTTTTGCATAGGAGGCGTTGCGAATGCTTGGGTTGGATTTTACTGCTACCTGGCGTAAGAGGAATTTGTTTACTTTATTTATGTCTGCATGATATGGACAAAATATGATACGGCCCTTTTTGTGTCATGATATATACACACATGCATTGGATGTCTGTTTTATGATAAAACTTGGGAAGTTCGTGACCAAGTGCAGACAGAAAATGTTTTTGAGACTCGGATAGGTCTACCCTGAAGCTATATATATCGACAGAACATAAACGCCGTGAAAATAGTTGCACCTTATTTGCAATAGACACAGCAACGCTGGAAGTATGACACAGATAAGGAATGCGAAGAATAAAAATACCGAACAGCAGAGACAGTCGAGCTTGAAAAGCTTAGTAGAAAGATCAGAACAAAAGAAAGAAAATTCGATTGTAGAAAGTAAGACGACCCATCTGGCTAGCCAACAGAAACATCAGAAAGTAAAAGGGTTATCTGGGTATATATCATAAGCCGAAAACAAACCTGCCCTGCGCAAAAAGGCAGGGTAGGGCATTCGGCAGACAAGCACCAAACGCCAAAAGATGCAAAGTCCAGCATGCAAAGAAAGAAAGGAAGAGCCAAGCAAGTAGTTCAGTGTGTAAGGTTATGCCCGATTCGACTGGAACCGTCGGGTTATGGGTTGCGGGTTGCGGGCTGGGAAAGCAATCCCATACATCGTTTCGTCAATAATCACCAATAGGCCTGGGGATGTTGAGACAATGCGAGGTCATCTCAACGCCAAAATCAAATCTTCGTAGCCAGTTCTGTCGGCTGGATCCATAACGCTAACATTTTGACAGAGTGTTTCTCTGTAATAAACCGAAATTATACATCTCCAGTCAGCCATTCTGCGAGTTCTGGCTGGGCAAAATTTAGTTGCATCACTTGCAACAGAGCCACACGCAACATGAGTATGCACACTCTGGGCCAGCCAAAGTTCGAGCCGGTTGGTTTAATCAACACCACCAAGCGGGTCCAGGTAGTCAACCATTTGCCGTCGACTATCACGAAGATAAGTCTGCCATGTCAAACACAGATTAAGGCGTAGCTGGTTTCCTCGCCTGGTAAATGTGCAATATATTGTAGCTGTGAATATTTTTGTCAAACGCGTCTCGCTTGACATTGGCAGCCAGATGATCGATCTTTTCCTTGGAATAGCCCAAAACTCGACTGAAAGGAGCCAAACTGAGAGGCTGTACACTTTCAGAGATGGCAAGGTTATACCAACGCGCAACCTTTTGCTCATGCTCATCGTTATGCCACGGATTCAACGGTAACCCGACCTGCTGGTGGTCGATCTCAGTGAACCCCGCTTCCTGCAGGTTGCGGATGGTCTCTTGCGAGTTGTGTGCCAGAGGGCGCTGTGTGGCTTCGGTGGCCTCCTTCAACTTGTTGTACCAGTGCGCCAGGTGAGTCTCGCTGATGGAAGGACCGTCACAGCGTGGCTTGAAGTCAATCTCGACTTGTTCAAACCATGCCCCGGCTCGAAGGTGGTCGAATACTCTTCTATAGAGACTGGACCAGCTCGCAACGCTCCCACATCCCATTTGCATGTGAATGATATCCCACGACTCTTCCCCCATTGTCCAGGGCGCCTCAAAGTCGAACGGGGCATAGAAATCGCAGTTCTTGGGGAAATTCGTGGGCTGCATGGGCGCAATGTCGACCCCAACCACAAATGAATCCGGGTGCTTGTTGGCCACATCGATGCTCCAGATGCCCGTGCCACAGCCCAGGTCCAGCACCCTGGCCTTGGGAGGGAACGGAGCGTAGATCAAGCCATCCGAGGCTCGGGCCACGGTCACCACTTTGTGCACGATATCCAGTCGGTCTTGTTCCTCCTCGTCGCAGGGGAGCGGGTAGATCCCTTTCCGGTAGCCATGATAGCTTCGGCCGTTCTCCTTGTAGCAGGGGTACTTTTCCGGGATCCTGTAACGAGGTCAGTCACCAGCCACTAGTCACCAGCCACCCTCACACCGCCATTCACGAAAGACCTACAGGCGATTCGAAATCACCACCGGGGATGAACGAGACAGTTGCGACGTGTTGGACGCGACCGACGCTTGCGTGGCCACCGAGCCATTGCTGGTAAAGCGAAAGTTCCTGCGCGGGTCATTGTCGACCGGGTCCCGATCGACCAGGGTGTACAGGTCCATCGCGGTCGAGGTTTGCCGTGATCGGGCTCGCTCACTGGGGACCGAGTGCGAATAGTACCGACCGTGACCCGTGTCGCTGGGAGTATCCGACTTGTATCTCTTGGGCGGTGGCGGCGAAGTCATCATGGGCGGGAGGTGTCGCATGTGGGCGTCCCCGTTCATATACATGGTTTTGGGGTCGCGGTCGGGGGTGGGAAGTAACCGGGGGTCTCTTCTGTAGGCCATGGCTAATACCTGCGATCACTGACCGCGTACGATATCCAGAAAAGGTGGCAGATCACGAGCGATCATCTCCTGCAATACGGCTGGGGAGGGATCTTTGTCGAGCCTCGAGAGACAGTTGGAGCTCGGGTCGGATTTTTACAGCACCGCACGATGGTCGAATTGCAATTCTCCGGCAACGGTCGAGAAAGTTCCATCCACAGGAATGGAGAACCGGGAGGGGCTGCGAGAGGTTGGGGAGGTCGAGTGGTTGAGCGGTTGAGCGGTCGCGGTGAAGCAAGATCCCCGGGGGGTGGGGGATGAGGTGGGGGGGGGGGGAAAACCAAGACAGGAAGACAGGAAATGAAGAAGGGAGAGGGAAAGAGGAGCAGAGAAGGGAAAAAGTACAGTTCCCAAGTCCACTACAGTGGCAGAATGCAAGTTACCCAGAGTGTCGGGCCCCAGGGATGGCCATTCCCAGTTCTCAGGGTTGGACCAGGATTCCACTTCCACACACACTTTTGCCGGGTTCTGGGTCGGGCGCGGACCGCCTGGTCAACTCCACGTCTTAGCGTGAACTAGACTGGATCAGGCGATCGGGAATGCCCTGTTATCAGGTGTACTGCGCTGCTCTACGGTAATATACTGCTGTAATATACTGCTAGAGTATAAGTGAATGCTATCAAATAATGCTATAATATAATGCTGCCAGATAATGCTATTTATTACACGGTAGAGCTACCAGGCTATACAGTACTGCTCACACGCCAAGTTAGCGGGAAACGAAAAGTCATCGGGAGCCCGGGACAATGGTTCCAAAGCCCAAATGCTCAGGTCTCTGCGTATGATTACTCAGTTGTCTCCCAAGGGGCTCTCGCCCAGGACTCCACCTGAGGCCCGGGCTGATGCTGATCGGTTACTCGTCATTTTGGCTGCGGTGTTAGGGTTGTTAGCTGGAAGGTGATCCATCGAATCCTGTCTTTCAAATCTCCTAAACCCTAATGCCTAATGCCTAATCCCGGAAACCCAAACATACAAACATAACTCCAACTAACTTATACAAACACACAGAGTACAAGTACTGTACAGTAGAATACTGAATCCGGTAGTCTCCAGCCCCATAATTTCTTGGCGCACAACCCAAAACCTGCGCCTCGCATCAGCCACATCCTGTCCAGCAAAATGCATACGCTGCAGCTGGTGGCCTCATCGTCGCTATCCCTGCCGGCGGATAGCTACATCTACGGCATCACTGCTGCTGGTCCAGCCACCTTTGCTGCCATCGCCTCGGATGATTCACTGCGGGTATTTGATGCCGCCGATCTCAACCGCGGGGCGGTCGTCGCATCCCAGGCCCATGAGGGAGTGACGTCGCTGCGGAGCTATGCAGGCGAGTCGCAGCTCCTGTTGACAGGGGGCCGAGAGGGGAAAGTGAGGATCTGGGATGTCCGGGCGGGTGGGCCAGTCGTGGAGATGGAGACCGGTGAGTCTTATGTTTTGATGGCAGTTAGATGCTTAGTAGATGCTTGCACCTCTCTCTCTCTCTCTCTCTCTCTCGCTTTCTCCTCTGAATGTATTGCTTGGATGGTTCGGAGAACTTTCTGCAAGATTGTTCCCGTCCTAATTGAGTTTGGGCGCTCGATCAGATGCATTGTGACTAATGCATGTCTAGCGAAACGATCCCCGGTTCTGTCAGTGGCCTGCAATCCCGAGACCAATACGGTGGTTGCAGGGACTGAACTTGTGTCGTCGCAGGCGGTGGTGAATTTCTGGTATGCTGCATCCGCGACCTAAGGAATATCACTAACGCTAACAGGGACATCCGATCTCCCAAGGAGTTCAGCCTGCAGTATGTGGAAAGCCACAACGATGATATCACCGAGGTAGAAGATCCATAGAGTCATCACTGTCTGGATGGCCACCCGCCTGACGACTCAATCAAGGACCTGGGACTAACGTTCCACAGCTCCAATACCACCCGACACGTCCCAACATCTTACTCTCCGGCAGCACCGATGGCCTGGTAAACATCTACAACACAACGATTACCGATGAAGATGAAGCCCTCGTGCAAGTCATAAACCACGGCTCCGTGCATCATGCAGGCTTCCTCTCGGAACGCGAGATCTTCGCCCTGAGCCACGACGAGCTCTTCGCTGTGCACCCTGCCACAGACCCCGACGATGACGCGCAGATGCCCGACCCGGTGCAATTCGGGGACTTGCGTGAGAAACTGGCCTGTGAGTATGTTGCGCAGCTATGCATCGGAGGTCAGGGAGCGTTCATCGCTGCGGGTAACAAGATGTATGTATTGCATGATTCCGGTCTGGTTTCAGTTCGGAGTCTGGGTGATCGAAAGCCCAGACTCGTCTAGCCTCGCACAGCAGCTCATATCTGTGTTGCCTTGTTTCTCTTCTAATACTTCTCCTTCCACAGGGACCATCGTCTCGATCTCGTCCCACTTGTTTCCGGTCCCGAGTGGAAACTCGACCAGGAAAATCTGTGGCGTCTACCCGGTGCTCATGGCGAGGAAGTTGTGCGTTCAGTGTGTCTGGATGAACAGGTATGTCTTTGTCTTTTTATTTGTCTCTGTCTCACTCTATACCCCAATTCTACCCCCCAAACCCTGTCCCCAGTGCAAATCCATCTACTTCACCAATACACCTCTTATATATGCACATACAGACCTTCCATGTTTTTCATTTGAGACAATCACTAATTATCTCACTCATAGAGCCAATCCGTCTTCACTTGTGGTGAAGATGGTTTCGTGCGAGCATGGAAGCTGGGTGAAGAAGATGCTCCGGTCCAGCCTGGGTCTGCAAGGTCTCGGCCGAAGAAAGAGAAGAAGGATCGTTATAAGCCGTACTAGGTACCAACTGAATGGATAAGAACACTGGTTTTAGTTCTCCTACTGGTGTTTGGAGGGTAAAAATAGCGATTAAAATAAAGTATGTTTCTCACAGTGTAAGATATTGAGTACTTGACAGACCACAATATATTGTTGAAAGAGGGTTGAGGGTTGACATTTTCTTCGAGATTTGACCACTTTGATGAATACAACTTCTCACAAGCCCATAATTCCAACACCAAATCCAAAATAACAAATGAAAACAGAAGAAAAAAAAAAAAAAAAAAAGAAAGAAAAATCGGTATGTAGCCTTGATGGAAATCTACAGGAAGCCGGGATATTGGCCTTGATGCCTGAATTCTTATCGAACTTTTCTTATCCAACTTTTTTTTCATCCAGACACGACTTTCTTCCACCACCACCCTCTTTCTGCCATATACCCGGGTCGACCAATCATCCAAGACTCGAAAACCCAAAAAACTATAAAAGGAGCTGGCATAATCTCTCCGCGAAACCTCCGAAACCTCCGAAACCTCTCCCTGGAAATCCAACCACCTCACAACACCAGTCCCTAAAAAATGGACGCCCAGGCTTATCTCATGCGCCATGGCTGGTCAGGCCCCGGAAACCCATTACAACCAAACACAAGGCCAGGTCCACACGGCGGACTAGGCCTCACACGGCCAATCCTAGTAGCCCGCAAAGCCAACAACCACGGCGTAGGCAAGAAAACAACCAAAGATCCCACCAACCAATGGTGGCTCCGGGGGTTCGAAGACGCACTGAAGAGCGTCGGCGATGAAAGCCACGAGGGTGTTTCCGCGCGCGCAGGGAACGCACTCACTAGTGAACTTTATCGCAATTTCGTGAGGGGGACTGCGTTGGCTGGGACACTGAATCCGAAGGATGGGGAGAAAACAGAGGCGGGGATTGGGGAGAAGAGGAAGAGAGGGGATGAGGAAGTGAAGGCTACAGAGACGAAAGAGGAGAGGAGGACTCGGAGGGCTGCGAAGAAGGAGAGGAAGGAGAAGAGGGCTGTTGCGCGTGATGCGAAGAAGGAGAGGAAAGAGAAGAGGGCTTTTGCTAGGGCTGAGAGAAGCAAAGAGAGAGAGGCGAAGAAGGCTGCTAAGAAGGCTAAGAAGGAGAAGGATGTCGCTGGCGATGAGGATTATCCTACGCCTATGTCTATTGATTCCGGATCGGGATCGGGATCTGGATCCGAGAAGACAGACGTGGAGACTGTGATCAAGGACAAGAAGGAGAAGAAGACCAAGAGTGATAGCGAAGACTCGAAAAAGGACGAAAAGGACAGAAAGGAAAAGAAGGAGAAGAAGAGGTCGGAGTCCAAGGCATGATCTGAGCATGCTGGATATCTCCGGCTATCATTTCACCTCACATCTCAGCGTCCATGCATTCAAAGGCCATGTATAAAACATTCGCATGCTATTTTCTACGCCATATAGAAACCAAGATACCCTTTTGTTTGGCGAGTGGCGAGTCATGACCAGAAACAAGCAATCCTGCATTTAATTCATTCACTGCATTCGAATTTTGCATTCAGACCGATCTAGGTTCCAAGGTTATCTACATCGCATATACGTAGTATAATCTAAGCCGGTAACTTCCCAGGATTGCCCGAAAGAATCCAAGGCCTCCGCTCCCAAAAATCATCCTTGATGATATCAACATGATCAACGACGACTTCAGCCTTCCGCCGCAATTTCTTGACCTTATCCTGCTGAGACCGAGACTGTGTCTGCACTGTGAGGGGGGACTCATCGTCCACGGATGTTTGAGTAGACGTAGGTTCTGCAAGTTCGAACTGAGATGACATGTTAACGAGAATGATAAAGTGTGAGATTGGGAAGGAAGCTCATACCTTGCGATAGACAACACTGCCCTTTTTATAAATCTCTTCTTCATTATTGTAGTTCATTCCGAAACGCTTGAAGAGGATTTCATTCTTATCCGCCGATAGAGTGCCCTAAAGCATATCAAGTCAGTATAGAACTGCACAGAACTGGGATAGCGAGAGTAATGACGAGGTAGATGTACCTTCAACTCCAACTCCGCGTCTGTGTTGTTCATTTCACCTTGGAGAACCATTGTCCAGAAGGTGGTATTGTAGAGGTTGTTGATATGACCTGAACATCAAAATTAGAATCAAGTATACACATGGAATAAAAGCCACGCAATCTCAACAAGGGGAGATGTTGACTCACAATCAACCTGTCTCCAACTCATATAATCGCGCAGAATCCGACTATTCGGATATATAACAGCACGACCATCAAAAGAGGGTAAAAGCGAAGGCTGCAGAGGCGTAGAAGGGAAATACTCGCTCCACTTGAAAATGTAGTGCGCAGTGAACGTAGAGACGATAGTTGTTACCAGTTTTCTGGTGCGTTGGGATTAGCAAACGTCCTGCCATCAAGACTAGAGAGTCGGTGTCATGGAGGGAAGAGTGACTGCTTACCCATTTCGTCGTTCGAATAGTTGACAATTGGGATGGAAGACGAAGCTAAGCGGTTTATTAAAGATTGTACGTGATGTAGCAGCATTGCCGCGAGTAACATACCTGAATTCATCACTGACTCCATAGCCAATACATAGATCTGGGAGTTCTTTCATGACCTCGACGGCTGCAGCGTTCATCAGGTCGAGTGCGCGGCGGTCATTTGGTTTCTTGAAGCCATAGTGATCGGAGAGTCTGGCGAGGTTAGGGTTTTTTGCCCAGAGAAGACATATCCAAAGCGAGCGGACATGACACAATACATGCATGTTAAAGAAATCAAATAATTGATCGCTTCTAAACATGAAGCATCGAACGTATAGACACAAATTGAGTGCGGAAAGACTCACTTGTGAAATCCTCGTCCATCAATGCGGACCACAATCCATGTATTTGGAAGCAGCACGTCCGGCTGCTCAAAGGATTTGACGTATTCAAATCTGCCAAATGTTTTAGTATTTATGTCTGATCGGCAGTCGTGTTCCTTACCTTGAGTTTGCCATGGTTGATTGAGTGACGTCTGGGATAGAAAGTTCGGAGTCATTTTGTGGGATTTCTGCCCGCCCGCTCTGCCCAAATCAGCGTCTTGGGATAGCCCTACTTGCCCATGTAACTTAATTGTTGAAACGATGTTTGCTTGATTTTTCACATTACAAGACGGCTACAAAATTTACGGGAAGAAATATTATAGACATGGCTATGAACCAAGGAAAACCGTTTGGGTGTATAATACTAAGAATCTAGGAAATGAACAGTGGACAGGACGCTACGTCCATAGAACTTGAATCACGATGCTTCGACCTCCTCCGGAATCTCTTCATCGCCAGTTTCACTAGCAAGTTCGCTAGTCTCACTAGCCTTGTCAGACCTGCGAGATTTGCGAGAAAAGAAGCCCAGACTACTGCGAGTCGAGCGGTCGCCAGAGGGTATGCTCGAGGCAGTGCTGTCAATACTCTTGCCAAGCTGTGCCTCGGCAGCCGCGTCTCCATCAAGGTCACCCTGTGCAGAGTCGGCCTTCTTGGAGAAGAATCCCGAGCGATCCTTCCATGAGCTGAACTTGCTAGAGCTGCCTTTGCGCGTGATCTTGCGGATGAAGGACTCCTTAGACCCGTTATCGACAGAAGCCCCCGAATGCATGCGTTCCAAGGACTCGTATGATTCTCCAGTAAAGTGAGAGAGCGAGCGAGATGTGCGAGGCTCGGAAGGAGAGCGATCAAACTCGTTGAAGCTGAATGGGCTGCCAGGAGCCTTGAGCTTTTCCTGATCATTGGGGCTCTCGCCCGTGAATACGGCAGTGAAAGCTGGGGCTGTGGGGTTCAGCTTTGGCGTGAGTGGCCGATGAGATGACGAAGGACGAGTGCCAATGGGCGCCTGAAGTGGTCGGTGGTGGCGCTCGAAGGTGTCTTCCACAAAGTCAGGTTCACCAGTTAGACCCAGTGGAAGATGACCTGACGATCCATATTGAATTGAAGGGCGCCTGGAAGGAGCACGAGACCAGGTTGTTGGCGAAGCCCAGTCGAAACCAAGGGGGCTGTTACGGTGTCCGGCATTCTCGGTTGAGGGCCACCCGAAATGGCGGTTGTCAGTAGACGGATGAGGGAGCTGATTCTGATTGTCGAAGGAAACAGACGAAGGCCGCGGGGATAAGGATCCCCGTCTAACACTGCCCAAAAGCGAAGATGGATCGATGGGATCATGACGAGGACTGAACTGGTTATAGCCAGTGCTGAGATCAGAGTTCCCACGGGTGCCAGCACCGCCGAAGCCAAACTTGCTGGATGAGAAGATACTGGAGAAAGCAGCTCGTCGAGAAGGCGCATGATCAGAAGAACTGTCCATGGTAACGCCAGTAGTGTTGCTCCGAGGGAATAATGACATCGGGTTTGCCCAGTTTCCAGTATAGCTAGATCTGCGTCGCCGTGAACCAATTGGGTCTAGCTCGTCGACGTTGCGAGGGAAGGATTGGCTTTGACCTGGTTTCAATGTGCCCAGCATAGGCGATTCATCTGCCAAAGTTTTTCCACGAGGTCGATGAAAGCCAAATAGCCCAGAGAGCCTTCGGGATGCGCTTTTCGGAGCATCCCCAACAGCAGACAAATGCACTCCTTGAGATTCGGATTCCTGTCGTGTTTGACTTTCCAGTGGACTGGCAAAGATACTGCCTGCTCGACTGTCAGATGAGACGGGTGATACCGGGCCATGGCCGAAGCCATCCAATGAAGGACCGGGAGTTTCAAGAGTTGAGAATCTTGGACGGGTGATAGATCGTGGAAATTCAGGCGATTCCTCGTCGCCAAGGAGATCAGATGGTAACAGAGCATCTGCACGGGGGCTCATTTGCGGATTATTGAAAGCTACCTCCGCATCAGAGCGCATGATCTCTGGGGGATCGGACAGACCAGCAAGAGCCATGCCATTGTTGATGTTGAAAAATGCTGAGCTGGGGGCAAAGGTAGGTGAGTGACCGGCGGGTGGGTTGTAGCCAAGGCCACCTGGGAACGAGGTTTCAATGCCTGGAAAATTCACAGGAGAAGAGACATTGCTGACAAGTGAGCTGCGATGGCGACGGGGACGGATGGTGGCAGTATTTGACATGTCAAGATCGAGACTCGGCAAGGAAAAGGGCCCTGAGCTGCCAGGTCGCTGGGCTGTGAGCCATTTCAACCGCTCTTGAGCTTCCTGGTACTGTTGCTGGGCTTGGGCGTGGAGGTTCACCAGAGTGGTATAGCGAGCGTGTAGGTTGCCCAACTTGTGCTCCCATTGACGAGCTCGCTCGTTGTCGATGCGATCCAACTCTTTGCCATCCTCACTATCGCCCTCTTGAAGCCCCATTCTCTCTTCTTCGAGCTTCTTAACTCGACCTCCTTTGTCTTGAATCTCATCATCGATCATCTTCATCTCGGTCTGCTCTTTGGCAATCTTGGCTCGGACCTCCTCTGCGCGTGCAGCCGCCTCCTCTTCAATCCGAGCTTTATCCTCCTTGGCTTGGGTGGCATCAGTCTCCATGCGCGCAATTTTCTCCTGCCATCGCAGAATGTCATTCTTGCGCTTCTTGCGCTCTGCCTCTTTCTGCTGAAGAAGTCTTAAGCGCTTGGACTTTTCGCCTTGCACTGTCCGATTGACACTTTCCAACTTATAGACATGCTTTTTCAAATCGCCGCTTGCCTCGTCCTTCTCACGAACACGCTTTCTCAGTTCACTGCGCTGCTTTTCAAGGTCCTTCAGCAATGCGATATGCTCGTCCTCCTCCTCAGTCCCTTGTTTCTCCACATTCTCGTTTTCTTGCTGTAATGACTTCAAGCGGTCCGCTAGTTGTTCCAACGATTCATCTTTGGGGCTTTTGGCTCTGCTCTTTTGCGTTTCATCGAGATTGCCGTGGGATGTGTCTAGTCCAGCAGCGGGGGAGATTTTGCGCCCAGCGGATGGGCGTTTGCCAGGAAGTTGACCTGCGCTATGTTCGCGCGACATGATAGGGGCCGATGGTGTGGGTAGACCGACTGTTGACCTGGGAATGGAGGCGCGAATGATTGGAGCACCGACATTGCCATTTTGCTGGGCCTGGGATAGCGGAAGAGATTTCGTTCGGACATGAAGGATCGCACTTGGGGTTTGAAAGTTCGCGGCGCTGAGAGAAAGAACGCATATGTGGTAAATATTTCCAGGTATGAGATTCGAGATTTCCACCGCAGTTTCCGCCCGCTTGGATTCTCCGACTAGAAGGGATTAGTATTAGTATCTGATTTAGCGACAAGAATCAGTTCGCCATACCTTTCACATTGTTCACCTGAATGATATGCTTGTGTATTGAGTTATGAAAGTCTGGTTGCTTCCATGCAAGACGAATTTCTCGGGCTGTGATTTCCTCCAGGGTTACCTCCGGCGGTGGGGGAATATCAAGGCCCAGCTTTTCCACCAAGACCTCATTAGAAGTCTGACAGACCTGCCATGCACGGTAAAGCAGCCTTGAGCCAGTCAGCCAGGCACAAAGCGATCACGGGGGTGGGCGTAACTCACCAGATCAACGCCCATAGGATTGAACCCGCCAGGAAGAGAGCCATGACGCCTCGGACCCTGACTCGGGGAACCGCAGCAGGGTAGGCGTCAAACGCAAAGTACAGCGGCTCATACATCCCGTCAATGGAGAAGAGGAGGGTTCAACGCAAAGAGACCTCAAACCAGTGGGATAGCGGGTCCACGTGATGAAGATCGGCCGCTTACCACATCGAGCCTAGCGCTGTTCCCGGCTAAGCACGTGATCTCGGCCCGGGGCCTCGGCATCGCTCAAAGCGTTGGGAAGTTGTGTAGAGGTTGAATTGTTGATGAAACCCCAAAGTGGTTTGTTTTTACCCATCTGCTCTTCTACATCTACTACTTTGAGGTCCCTGGCCTACTCCTTACTGATTTCGAGGGCATTCTGCGGCTGTTTTTCCTTGTTCATTGAAGCGTCACATGGGCCGGCCGTTTGGAAGCGGCGGGCTTTACAACACTTCCGGTTCTCTCCCACCTGTCTCACTCTCCTTTGATCACCCACTGTCTTCTACATTTGAATTTTCAGTACTCTCATTGTACTGAATATTTCTTACATTTTCAGTCAAAGGTGCCTGACACCATTTGGCGGCATGCAGTACGTTCGGAGCATCAGTGGTTCTGTCTCCAAGACATGGAATTCGATCAACCCGGCTACCCTTAGTGGGGCTATTGATGTTATTGTTATAGAACAAGAAGATGGTGAGCATGGAACATGGGTTTACTATTGAATAATACTAACGTTGTCCTTCAAGGCACCCTCGCCTGTTCGCCCTTTCACGTCCGTTTTGGCAAGTTCTCGCTCTTGCGTCCCTTCGAGAAGAAAGTTGAGTTCAAGGTCAACGGAATCAAGCAAGACTATGCTATGAAGCTGGGAGAAGGGGGCGAGGCATTCTTTGTCTTCGAAACGACCGATGACATCCCCGCATCGTTGCAGACTTCGCCTTTGGTCTCTCCAGCAGCCAGTCCTCGAGCCCAGAGCGAACCGGATATACCGCCCTCTCTGCAGGAACCCGAGTTCCTCGACTTGGACAAGTCAAATGCAGATGCATTGTCAGAAGGCGCAAAGACTCCGCCTACCATCCCCATTGCAAACAAGGCGCGGGCCCACACAGATTTAGGTAAGACAAGTTTGCAATTATCGTTGGCTTATCGATGCTAAATCTTCACTAGGGATAATAACCCCGCTATCACGATCACCCGACGAATCAGATCTTCACTCACGAAATGGTTCGCTGAGTGGCAAGCCACCACTTGACCATACAACCTCCGACAATGTGCTTCCGAAAAGCTCACCGCGGCACTCTTTGACCGCCCCGCCCGAGAGCAGCGGCCTTGAGGAGGACGAGAATGAGGATGAAGCAACGCGACGTTCTCGCAGTCCTCCTCTCATGTCTCCCCAGGAGGCAGTATCTCGTGCCATCTCGCTCTCAAAGAAGCTCTCTGGCTCCAATATCCCATCACATGTTACTGAAACAGGAGACTTGATGTTGGATATGACTGGATACAAGAGCAACGAAGAAGATGCACTTCGTGCAGAGGTTGTTGCACGCAAGATCCTCGCGGAGGAACTGGAGGGAAGCTATGATATTGGTGCTCTTATTGGTGCCGATGAACACGGAAATCTGTGGATCTACAGCAGCGAAGAAGCCAAGGACTTGGCTGACCGCAGAGCCACACTCAATTCTATGCGGCCGGAGACGGCTTTGAGTGACGATGCGCTGTCTGATCCGGGATATCATAGCGAAGGCGACCACGCTATCCCAGAGCCATCTTTGACAGCACGCCACCATAGAACCAAGTCGGATGTTCAACCTGGATTCCCCACACCCCCAGACTCGCCGTTGCATGAGGGTTTCGCAGTCGAAACCCGGAACTACGCTAAGACTCTCCGATTGACGAGCGATCAACTCAAAGCCTTGCAACTGAAGGCAGGCCCCAACACAATGTCTTTCAGTGTCAACAGAGCAATTTGCAGTGCAAACATGTACCTTTGGAATGGCAACACTCCCATCGTGATTTCGGATATTGATGGAACCATCACCAAGTCTGATGCATTGGGCCATGTTCTTAACATGATTGGACGTGACTGGACCCATGCGGGTGTTGCTAAGCTATACACCGACATAGTGAACAATGGGTACAATATAATGTATCTCACCAGTCGATCTGTTGGTCAAACAGACACTACACGGGCTTATTTGCACGGCATCAACCAAGATGGATATAAGCTTCCAAGAGGACCAGTGATCTGCAGCCCAGATCGTACAATGGCGGCCCTGCGGAGAGAAATTTATCTCAGAAAACCCGAGGTCTTCAAGATGGCATGTCTGCGGGACATTCTCAATTTGTTTTGTGGCAAGGAGAACCCTTTCTACGCTGGATTTGGAAACCGATTGACAGATGCATTGAGTTATCGCTCTGTCAACATTCCATCCACTCGGATCTTCACCATCAACTCCAATGCCGAGGTTTCGTTGGATTTACTGAGCCTCAACAAATATAAGAGCAGCTACGTGACTATGCAAGAGCTGCTCGACCATTTCTTCCCACCAGTCACACTTCTTGTGCATTCTGGAGGTGAAGAATACACGGATTTCACCTACTGGAGAAATACACCTCAAGAGCTTGAAGACTTCTCTACTACCGATAGCGAAGACGAAGATGATGATGACGATGCTGCTGAAGACGATGAAGATGGAGATGATGAGGAATACGACGACGACCTGAGCGAGGGGGAAGGCAGCGAATATCTCGATGACGCTGAAGCCACCGAAGAAGATCTCGGTGCAAGCTACATGTCACAAGATTCAATTGGCGTGTCTAACCCAGCAGGCTCAATCCTGGAGTCCGTGGAGGGTGATTTGGATGTTGAAGAAGAGGCCATTGGCGAAGAGGAGTTGACTCCTATGATTGAAAACGCCCAGGATCCTATTGACTCCCCCGCCATTTCTCTTCCCATTCGTTCCAAATCCCCCAAGACTCCCTGAACATAATCCCTCGCTGTGCCTTGATACGATGTGATCGATTCTTGGGCATTGTTTCTGCGTCATTGATACCCGTCTTGCGATTACTTTACCAAGTCAGATTCTGCATTAGACTGCACTGACCGCGATATACCATGTTCAACACACGCGTGCAGACCTGGAGTTGGAGACTGCATTACACACGGCCATATTTGGCGACTGTTTTAATCCATGGGCATTAATGGCGTTTCTGTTTTTAGTTTTGTACATTCATGGCGCATATAGTTGGGAAGAAGGTCTGTGACGTATGGTATGAAATGAAGAAATCCACTCAACTTAGCTTGAATACCAATGGTTCCTGGGACAATAGCTCCATTTCAAACAATCTTCGGTTCAACTGACAGATAACTACGGAGCATCTGGAGGTCGGGGAACTCGATTACCAGATGCGGTTAGCGTAATATCGGAGCTCCTACGCTTCTTTTCGGCCTGACTTAAGCCGTCACTTTCTGCTTCGACCTCCACATTCACAGCCGCTCGCGCATTTCTTGATACTGGCTTATGGACTTCTAATTGGGATAGGAATGAAAATTGCGCATATACCCCTGACTTGATTGTCACCACCAAGATTTGACTTCACTTTCGCGACACCGCAATACCCTCAAGATCGCGGATCACCATCTGTAAATCAGACATGGCATCCCCAAGCCAAACACAAGGCTCAGCGCCTCCAACACAACCCGTCTCGCCCCCGGCAGATTCCACGACTAACGGAGTCTCTGCACCCACCGTGACCCAATCTCAGGCCAATGCCTCATCAGGACCCCCTACAACCGCAACAAACCCCCAACCACCACAAGTGCCAGGCACATCAGCCCAAGATAGCGGCAAATCACGCCGGCCACGTGATGTACGGCTAGTGCATATGCTCCTGGCCTCACTCGGCGTGACCTCCTATCAAGACCGCGTCCCGCTCCAACTCCTCGACTTCGCATACCGCTACACAGCCAACGTGCTTCAAGACTCCGTACATCTCGCGACAGAAGGCTACGCAGCCGCCACAGACAGCAGCTCGGGCGCAAAGGGGAGCTCGGAAGTCAACAGTGTTTCCCTGCCGGCATTGCGGCTGAGTATCGCCTCGCGCCTACATTTCCAATTCCAGACCGGCCTGCCGAAAGAATTCCTTATGGATGTCGCGTCGGAACGAAACCGAATTGCTTTACCTGGTGTTTCGAGGGGCTTTGATCCTGCTGTTGGGGCTGCTAATGGCGCTACTGGTGCTGCCAACCAGAGTATCATGATGGCTGGTATGCGCTTGCCTCCCGAGCGCTTCTGTCTTACAGGCATGGGATGGAATATGAAGGATGAGTGGGATAGTGAGGGCGAGGAGGAGGAAATGCCTGATGCGGTGCAGCAGGGGTCTGGAAAGGCATTTGGTGGTGCTGATGGCGCCGAGGACGGCGAAGATGGCGGCGAAGACGAGGAAGATGATGGGAAGATGGAGGATATCTTCGGCGAGGATACAGCCATGGGTGAAGCGGAGGATGAGGATCGCAAGATGACTGATGTTTAAGGGCATATATTCCGGTACGGGGTTTCATTTGCGTTGGCCGTGGTGTGGTATTTCTGGCGCTTGGGGTTGATTCTTTTGATCTTAACCGAAGGGGTGGCGTTCTGGGTTTACATGGAGAGGATTTACTCATTTCTTCTACCATCTGGGTATCTTACAAATAAAGTGCCTTGCCCTGTCCTGAAAATTAGGACGGGTTACAAGAAAGACTAAAAGGACATCTTTCTGGTCAATTGAACCAAGATATGCAATGATCTGTGTATATTGTACATAATCCAAGTCCATCCCATCGCTCCACATTCGGGATGGTCATGCAATGTAATCGAGATGCCCAGCAGAAACGCCTGCTTGTCTGCCCTGTGCGCCGTGAGGAGAGAAGATGTAAGCTCGAGTGCGCTTGGGTGGACCATATCAGAGCCAACCGTCTGGCAGGACGACTCTGATATCGACCAGTGGAGGTAAAAGGGAAAGTTCATCTCGGGACGCTGTCACTGAACACATTCCAGTGCTACCCGACTGGATATTATCAACAGTCCAGGGAGCCAGCCAAGTCCGATTTGAAGATTCTTCCCCGCAACCAACCCCTATCCAAGCGAAAGCTCTCACTCCGCGGAGAAAGGCAAAAAGCGAAAGACCCAGAACGCCCAAACCCATATAGACAAGAAATACAAAGACAGATGAAGAGAGGAATGAAGATTTCGAACCCATAATGGGCACCAAAGTAACAATCATTTTCCCTCACGCTGTTTCCTCTGCGCTTCGTCATTGCGCATCATGCTAATGACTTCTGCACGCCGCGTCTCAACGCGAGCAAGCTCGTCATCACGCACACGGCGGCGCTCTTCATACGAAGCGAACCACTCCTCGCGCGCGCGATCCTCCTCTTCCGGCTTGGCGTGGGCGACCATGCATGAATTCATAGCGAGACGCTGCTGGCGGCAGATCCATGTAGCAGTGACAGTGCGGTTGACGGCGCACTCGGCGAACGCTAGATGAGAGTGGGTTAGCGGACTGATTGATAAAGAAGTGGAAGGGAAAGTGGATTGGGGTCACGAGGGCGGAGTTGATCTTCAGTTTGACAGCCAGACCCAGTCTAAGATTTGGCAATTGAAGATTACAACATTATCCTTGCGTATGAGGAGAGTACGCCCTAAAAAGGCCATGTAGAGTACATACCCTTAATCTCGGGGGCGCAATGGGCCCGAACTCGCTTGTAGTACAGCAGTTTGACTTCTTGTTCTTGAGGGGCTGACAGTGGAAGCGGGTTGCGCAGGTTATATTTCTTGGGTGTCTGTGCTGAGGAGGCATCTGGAGATGTGGATGGTTCGGCCATTGGGACTAGGGAGCTTGATCTCAAAGATCGAGGCAATTCGGCTTGAGCAGAGTATGGAACGATCAATGCGTCGGAGAGTTTGCTGTGGAGAGGGGTCGATCCCAGCGGTCAGGAGACAATGGATAGAATTGCTAGGTAAAATATGGCCGAGAGATGAGAATTGAGAAGAATGCCCCGTATTTAAACGCGGTGTCGTCGTTGAATCTTGGATTGCAGAGAAGATCAGCCGAGTGGGAGTGTTGATGGCGGACCGCCAGACCTCGGGCGGAGATGACCTGCAGAAAAAAAAGTTCTCCAACTCTTTGGACGATTGCTCTGTCTACATCAACTTGATCGGATTGGAGTTCTTGTGAATTTTATAAGACAAACAACTTGATCTTGTCTCCTTTACATTTGATTCTTTTTTATCAAAAGTCTCCGTCCAACAGCCCAGCATGTCGAGCATGCGTAACGCCGTTCAACGGCGGAACCACAAAGAGCGTGGTCAGGTCTCCGGTCGTGAGAAATGGGGTCTCCTGGAAAAGCACAAGGTCGGTTTTATCGGGGCTTCTTGAAAGAGATTTCAAGACCTCAGTCATGTCCCTACATAGTTTGAGCATTACGTTCTAACGGTAACAGGATTATTCGCTTCGCGCAAAAGACTACAACGCCAAGAAGGCTAAGCTGAAGCGCCTCGAAGAGAAGGCGCGCGATCGCAATGTCGATGAGTTCAACTTTGGTATGATGGGAGGCAAGAACCGCACCCAGGGCAAACACGGAAGTGGAGTAGGAACTGCTCGCGATTCTGCCGCTGCACAAGGCCTCAGCCACGATGCGATCAAACTTCTCAAGACACAAGATAAGGGATATCTCCGGACGGTTGGAGAGCGAGTACGCCGCGAGATTGAGCGCCTCGAGCGGGAAGTGGAGTTGCAGGAAGGCATGGACAAGTCGCTGGGCAAGAAGGAGGGAACAAATGATGAGAGTATGGACGAAGATGAATTCGACGACGATGACTTTGACTTTGGCGCCCCTCCGTCTCAGTCCAAGCCACGCAAGACTGTATTTGCCGATGATCGACAGGACCAGTTGGCTTTGAAAAAGCGGAGACTACAAAAGGAGGAGTCTGACTCCGAGGAAGAAGAGAAAACAACAACCAAAGGTCGCAAGACTCCCAAGCAGCTCGAAGCCGAGCGACAAGCACTTGTGGAAGCTCGTCGGGCGCGCAAGCTTCGCAAACGTGCTACAGAGGCTCGTCAGAACAAGTTGACAGCACTCCACAAGCAATTTGCAGAGATCCAGACTGCCGAACAAGAACTTGACTGGCAGCGAGCTAAGATGGAGAACTCGGTTGGAGGCACCAACAAGGACGGCATCAAGTGGAAGATCCGTGAGCGCAAGCGTTGATTTCATATTTCGGAGTTTATGAGTAATGACTCGCCCTCTTTTTTGTACATATTGATACCAAGGGAGTCTACATTTACAGTTAGAATATGAGGACCAGTGGGATTGGCCAAAATGACCGCTTTTGAGGCCAGAACCGTCACTTTGGACGTCCAGCCCTTGACCGCCCACTGCCCACTGCCCTATAAAACTATTCTGCCCAGCTCTTTTCGTCTTCCTCCTGTCCTCCAGAGGCTGGTATTGATGCTCGACTTATGTGCGAGATATTTCCCCTCGCACTCGACCAATTAGGTACGACAAGGATGAAGCAATCTTTTCCGAGTCAGGATATAAAAAGAGACTGATGTTTTCAATCCTTCATTTCCGCATTGTCCAGCTACACTAATAATTTGATCATTTACTATACCGTTACCTCTGTTGGAAACATCTCGGTTGCACGACAGCACACTACAGTTGGTTTACCTCCTACACTTCCTAGACTTGATAAGGCTCTGGAGGTCCGGAACTTTACCAAAAGCTGTGCTCTGTACGAAACCCATGCCATAAGTTATACCATACACGAAGCTAACGTGTTATAGTTACAACGAGCTTTTCGATAATGCAGAAAAACCTGCCGTTGCTGATGAGCCCATCTTAAAATTGATTTCATCATTTCAATTCCGTAAACCTCGTAGTAGGATCAATCAAAAGCCCGTCTAAATTACGCATGCCATATGGTCCCCTTTCATCATCATCAAAAATCGGGATCGGCTTCGGCTCATTCGGAAGACGACTTGTGAATCCAAGCCACGATAGTACTCCACCAATTCATGCGGCTTTGATGGTTTCGATCGTTTCATTGTCCACTTCGGTTTCTCGGCTGAAGGTACTGCAGAATATCTCATCTAAAAGATGATCATCATCATACCTAGACCAGCCATGCTTTAAGTGAATCTTACTTATTAAACAATCTTGAGCGTAGAGATTTATACCGAATGGAGCAATCTCAGCTTCGGCCCAATTAATCACGCCGAGTAGATTGCAGGGCATTTCGTCCACTAATATGTTGAAGGAATTAAAATTATGATGTAGCTACACACGCCTTATACTTTGACAGGAGTGATATTTCCACTAATATGCTCACTTGCATAGTTTTCACAGGCTGAGCGAGTAGCGATAGTCTTCTCAAAGAATACAGCAATCTCTTGTTCAACCTCGTAATTCATATACATATTGCTGGTAGCTGTGATATTGCATTCGAAATGGTTGAACATAGGGCAGGTTTAGTAGAAGGGCCGTTAGAAGAAGAAGAAGAAGAGGAAGAAGGAATCCAACTTAGCAAAACACAAGCAGGACGAGAGGAACAGCGGTGTGCTGGCTAATAGGGGCTGGTTCGCCAATCTAGGTCTACATGCAGCTACATAGTAAACAGCCACTTTTAGAAAACGGGTCTTTTATGTCGGGAGCACTGAAGAGGGCAACCTTGGAAACCCAACCAGATACAGTAATTCCCAGGTCTGCCATTTACAATACAATACCTATTCAAGCAAAGTAACCCGCCGCATTAGCGTACTGCGAACGCGGAGTCAGAGTAAGGGCCAGTCCAATAGCCGGCCCGATAGCCAGTCCAAGAGTATGTGCCATTCATAGAGCCACAATTGACAATCAAGCCCAAGGAGAGTCATACCCCTCCGAGATCGCAGACCCCGCGGCATTAGTAGCTCACAGCAACCCAAAAGTAGAGTCAGAACCCGTTCTCCGCGGATCAAATACATCGTCGCTGATAGGACCTGGAGAGGATCGCCGCTTATTAATGGTGGGATTACTAAGGCGCTCTTTTCTATATCGCCACCCCTCACCTTCGTTTTCTTCTTCCCCCTCCCAAGCTTGTGATTCACTTCTCTTCTCACAATGGCGCCCTCTTTTATGACCATTGACACAAATGATATGGACCTGGCACCTTCAAAGCCAGTGTCAAATATGAAGCGCACTCTCCTCCTCGCACCCCCCTCCATCGCCACCCAAGAGGATCAACTCCGAGGCCTCTTCACCACCTTTGACCGCTCCACCACTGACCTACAAATGCTTGACCGTCTCTCCGCTGGCTTCGTCTCTCTTCCCGCATCCACCTACGACCTCGTTCTCATCCTCACCGACACCGATGGCACGCGACGTACCGAGGCCCTGAAACTTCTTACCCGCGATGTATACACTACCCTGGTCCCCGCCATGAAGCCCGGTGCCAAGCTTCAAACCCAAGATTCTGCCCTCAATGCCTCAGATGCAATGGAAGCCGTTCTGGCCGGCTTAGTTCAATCAGACAACGGTTTCGAGAAGCCTAATTTCGAGCCCTCGGTGGCAGTCCCATTAAAGTTCGGCTTGAAAAAGAAGAATAAGACTCAACCCGTGGCTCCGGCACCCGCACCAACACCCGCCCCCATAGGAATCTCAACTCTTCCCGCTGGATTTGGATTCGACGGACCGGGCATGGACCACGACCGCGATGACGATGACGACGAACTCATTAATGAAGATACCCTCCTTACCGAGGACGATTTAACAAGACCCATAATGCCTCGTACGCACACTCTACCCAGCCCACACCTTTTATCCAACCACTAACAACTCCCACAGCCCCAGAATGCCAACCCAAAACCGGCCGCCGCAGACGCGCCTGCAAGGACTGTACCTGCGGTCTAGCAGACCGCCTCGAAGCCGAAGATAAAGAGCGCCGCGCAAACGCAGACAAAGAATTGAATGTGATGAAACTGGACACAGGCGACCTGAACGAACTAGACTTCACAGTCGAGGGCAAGACAGGCTCGTGTGGCAGCTGTGCGCTTGGCGATGCATTCCGCTGCGACGGATGTCCCTACATGGGTCTTCCTGCCTTTAAGCCCGGCCAGGAGGTCCAGATTTTGAATGACATTGCCCAATTCTAGTCTACGATCTTGTGGGCTTGCATACGCGGCGATGGTCGCGCCTGATATTTCAGTATTTTGGTGTACCTTGCGATAACGGAAGTGGGGGTTTTGCATTTGGGAGTTTGGGGTTTGATTCTTGGTTTCTTTCTAACAACCCATGGCTCTGGAGGACAAAATTATGTTGGGGGGAGTCTGGCCTTCATTACGCTTAAGATATCATTTACTATTTTTTTCTTCTATATGACTCATACATTGTAACCTCTCCAAACTCCCAGGAAAGATGTTGCGTGCTCAAGGAAAAAAAATCTCGAGTGGATCTCAACGTCATTGGGCACCGCCGCTAGAGGGAAGCGGGTGATGATCTTCGCTTGCCCTACGATATCGGCAATCCCCCTCTATACTCTTCTATAATCGGACTTACAACCCTCATACACACACCTGTACAATGCTCGTTTGAATATTTAGCCCCGAAAAAGACGTAGTTACTTTTGGCTATGGTTCTTCATGGCACATCCCATCATGATAAAAACAAAAACAAAAAGCGCAGACAAGAAAATGGTAAATCTAAATGGAAGAGATACGACAAAGACCTATGACCGGTCCTTCTTCATCTGTGCAACACGAATGCTCACAGCGCGCTTGTGAGCCTCAAGACCCTCCACGGCAGCGAGAGTCTCGACGGTCTTGGCGAGACCGAGGAGGCCGTCTGCAGTGAGGTTGGAGCTGGTGATGTGCTTCAGGAAAGAGCCGAGGTTGACACCGGAGTATTGCTTGGCGTAGCCGTAGGTAGCTGGATAAAGGGTTAGCTCGGGGAGATGGAAATTGAGAGAGGATGACTTACGCAGGGAGTGGTTGACACCGGCGGAGTAGTCGCCGACACTCTCGGGAGTCCAGGGACCAATGAAGACACTGCCAGCGTTCTGAACCTGCTCGACAACAGACTCGGGGTTCTGGACTTGCAGGATCAGGTGCTCGGGAGCGTAGTCGTTGCTGAGGACCATGGCCTCGTTGATGTCGCGCACGACGAAAGTGACAGAGTGCGCCAGGGAGCCACGGACAATATCCATGCGGGGGAGAGCCTTAGCCTGGGCGTCGACCTCGTCCTCGATAGCGCGCAGCTCAGCCTCGGAGAGGTCGATGGCGATGAGGATAACTTGGGAGTCGACACCGTGCTCAGCCTGGCTGAGCAGGTCGGAGGCAACGAAGGCCGGGTTGGCGGTCTTGTCGGCGATGACGAGGACCTCACTGGGACCAGCAGGCATGTCAATGCTCACACCGGCGGAAGTGTCGTTGGACACGAACATCTTGGCGGCAGTCACAAACTGGTTACCAGGACCCAGGATCTTGTCGACCTTGCTGATGCTCTCGGTACCGTAGGCCATGGCAGCGACGGCCTGGGCACCACCGGCGAGGACGATGCTCTCGGCGCCGACCTTGTGGGCGACGTAAACAATCTCGGGGGAGATACTGCCGTCGGAGCGGGGAGGGGAAGCCAGGACGATCTTGCTACAGCCTGCCACCTGGGCGGGCACGCCCAGCATCATGGCAGTGGAAGGCAGAACTGCGGTACCACCGGGAATGTACAGACCGACACGCTCGATGGCGCGAGAGAAGCGGGAGCACACAACACCGGGCATAGTCTCCATCTGGAGAGTATCGTTGCTGCTCTTCTGGGCAGAGTGGAAGCGTTCAATATTACCGAGACTCACGTCAATGGCTTCCTGGACGTCGGGGGTGAGCTTCATGAGCTCAGCAGGGAAGGGTGCGCGAATGACAGGGGAGGTGAGTGATGTGGCCTTCTCGAACTTGTGAGTGTACTTGAGGACAGCGGCGTCACCACCTTCACGGACATCCTGGATAATAGGCTTGACCAAGTTGACAATGGCTTCATTGGACTTCTGGGAGGGACGCTTGAGGTAATCGGAGACAACCTGGGGAGTAGTGGAGGAGGTGATGACACGCTTCATCTCAATACGAGATTCGCGGTCCTCAACTGGCGCAGGAGCAGGAGCAGGAGCGGGAGCAGCCTTGGTCTCAGGCTGAGCAAGGCCAGCCTTCTCAGCCCAAGGTCCCTTGGCGTCACCCTTTCTCCGCTTGACCTTCAAGCTCTTCAGGTCCAGGTTGCGCTCGATGTCCTCCAAGCTGACACCAGCAGCAGTGCACTTGGTCAAAGCGAAGTAGAAGAGATCGGCGGCCTCGAAAGCAATCTCCTCCTTGGTGGTGGCGCGGCACAATTCATCAGCCTCCTCCATAATCTTAGCACCCACGAGCTTAGGGTCGTTGAACAGACGCGCGGTGTACGATCCAGCGGGGGCATCGGCTTTGCGGGAATCCAGAGTCTTCTGAAGGCGCGACAGACCGGCCGATGCGCCGAAACAGGTCTCAGTACCGAGGTGGCAGAAGCCTATCATTGAGTTAGTACAGAGCAATAATGATCAGGATGGACAAGGTCCTTACCACGTCCAATTTGCTTGACCACAAAGACCAAGCAGTCAGCATCGCAGTCGAATCCAATGCGGATCAATTCCTGAACATCACCACTCGACTGGCCCTTGTACCAAAGACCGCGCTTGCGGCTCTGGTAAACACCGGTACCAGTACGCAGGGCCTCGGCAATGCTCTCGTCGCTGCTCCATACGAAACCGAGACAGGCACCACGCTCGTCAGTGACTGATGTAGCATAGAGACCATTGGCCTGGTCAGTGATGGCATACGACGCAAGAAGGCTCGCAGCAGAGATCTTGTCAGACACATCCCGCTCAACGGTCAATGCCGCGGCGGAGACGATGGAAATGGCACCCTGCTTCGTAGCCTGCTTGATAGCATCCTCAGTCACACCCCCGTCAGCAGTGAAAAGGCGCGGGGAGTCGGAGCTGATCTTCAATTTGTCGGAGGCGGCGGGGATGTTGGCGGGGTCAGTGCAAACGCTAACCTCGCTGCGTTCGGCATTGGCAGCAACCCATTGCTGAAGAGTGTCCAACTGGGATTCTGAAGTGGCGGAGACGAGCAGACGGGAGGAGGGAACGGATTGTTCTTCGGTGAGGGTGGTCAATTGGTCCAAGGTGATCAGGATCTTGGCGGCACCGGCGTTGAGGATATCGACGAGATCACCGGCGGAGGAGACCTCGGTCGCGTCGACATAGACATCCAGAGTACGGAAGTTCTGGCGCAAGAATTGCTCTGCCTGGGCAAGAGTTGAGACCTTGACCAGGGCGCGGCCGAAGTACGCGATCTGCTTGAGAGAGAGTCCGGAGGTGGGGTTGGAGGGGTCGAACGAGATGAGCAACGGAGTCGCCATGATGACTGGAGGGAGTGCAGATATGCAGGAGAATTAATGTTTTCCCCTAAGAAGACCCGTTGGGGGAAGAAAAGGGAAGTATGCGAGTATGACTCTTGTCTGATTCCAACCCGCCTTTTTTTCTCGGCATTCGCTGATTCATCGAATCGCCTCTCCGCTGATTACTAGTCCGCTCTGGCAATTTGTGTTTGGTTCTTTCTTTTTCTCTTTCTTTTTGATTTACTCTATCTTGCCAACTTACACATACTCTGTTGCAGTATCCTTGAATCTCACCGCTCCTCAACACCTGATGTATGTGTGGCCTCATGTCCTCTGTGGGCTATGGATATACGAACTCCCGCCATTTTCAGTATACTCCAACTCAATTCACCACTCACGACCACTTTTATAGTCAGTGATCTTCATTGATCAGTCTCTTTTGAAGCACTGGAAATACGGTAGAATCGAGCATATGCAATACCATAATTATATGGAACAGGCCCAACCACCACAACTTAGTCGATTGTCAAATGGCTTCTAGAGTCAATCGTCTCCAGTTTTAGGCATAAGTCTCTGCAATAGTATTCAAATGCCTGCCATAGGGGTATATAGACAGACCATGGAACGATCTTAGTGCACTCATCACACTGTTCATCAACATATGAGACCAGAGGGCTATCGTTGATCATATGCAGCGGTGGCGGCCTAAGATACCCAATATACTCAACTAGTGCCAATGGAAGAACTAGCTGACCCTAAGAGAGTGCAAATAGATCAAAGACATTATTTCCATCTAGAACCCCACGTACATCAGGCGCCATCTCGCAACGAACCGAAACCTTCAAGTATCGGGATACCCTCAAGTTTTAGATAGGGTCCCCAAGATAGGTAACTTACACAGAGACGAGACACCAAGTCTGAGGTCTTGCGACGTTTGACCACCAGTGTTTTTGAGACCCCTAATAGTCTCATTCTCGGTAAGAAAACTCTACGGTGAAATATTTAGGAATGGGTATGTGTGTACCTGCCCATCGATAGGTTTGGTCTCGGCCACCAAGTACCACAGCAAGCGTCATTATACCAGTTAGAGTATTTCAAAATGATATCCGTCCATGCTAATGGAAAATTTACTGAAGCTCATCTAACCGGATTGAAAAAGCCCCGATGTCACCTTGGGTCACTTCCAAGGTTGAGTGACTTGGTTAACAAGCTCGGTGCCTTCTCCCATAAAATCGAACCCGAGTGTTGCCCTAATCCCCCGAGGACACTGACTTGAAATAATTAGACTGCAATATGTGAGCCTGAGCTATCCAGTCTAATGTAGCTATCTGAATATATCACCTGGACTCCTAGTCACATGCGATATTTGGACTTGTACTTGGCCGGTACCGGGTATATGTAGCAGTGTTCTTTAACTAGCTTGGAGTGTTTTTTTCTTTGTTTTTTTCTTTGCAAACAAATGATGAGAGATGTGTTTGCTGTCACAATAGCAGTGCAAGCGATATTAAATGGGTTCGGTCTGGTGATATTCTTCAAATCCCCAGATTTACAGATGACCTGAGGAAAGCACAAGGGACGTCATTAGCTCCACGACTTGACTGAACAACAAGGACGCGTAGAGACTGCAACCACTCAGTTGACTTGAAAAAGAAATATGCCGAAGAGGATTCTAGTCAGGAACAGGAAAGGAACAGATCCAGGGACTGTCATACTTTGGCTTGAATACACATTTCTAGCAACTGTGGCTGTTGGCTGTTTTATACACTCCGCGACAGGCATACGCGCTTGTTGAACCCGAATGCTTCTATTACGCCGAAATTAAAGGTTGAATTTGAATCTCTTTATCAGAACGGACTTTTATGTCAATGGGCTCCTGGGGTCTATGAGTCTTCTGTGATAGCCAAAATAGTTACTCGATCTGGAATTTGACAGGCGCACGCGACGCGTCCACGAGTATATCCAGGATCGATAGCGGAACAGGGTCTGGGCGTTACAACACCAGGTAAATCATCGAATGTGATATTGGTAATAGTTTCATCCGGTGACATTAAGAGGGGTGTGTTGCATAGTCAAGTCCTAGCGCAAATGAAGCCAAGCCCGAACTATCGACACCACGTCCTGAATAGAGCCTTTCAGCATTTGAAAGGATCGTAAAGATAGCCAGAACGTGTCGTAGTCATCTTCAATGGTCGTCTGGTTTGATTATCGTGAGAAATCCGGGGTAGATCGGAGAAGAGATGGGTGAGATGATCGGTAAACAAGTCATAGTTCAGGCCAGGGGCACATTCTCTCCCTTGCAGATCACCCCTGAATGTTCGAGATCGACGTCAATACTCGCAACAGAAACATGCAACTATGTAGAATGCGACGGAGTCGCGTGTGACTCTCCTTCCCCTTTTGTCGCTTCCTGTCTTCGCTTCTTCTCTTCCGCTCTTCTGCTCTTCGCATTTCACATACTTAATCGCATTGACCCATTGGGTGGCCCTTCGTTCGCGATTTCTTTTCAGCTCTCAGTCTTACAACGTTGTATATCTTCATAACACTACCGCGTAATCATGCGCATTCCCTCTCTGTCACTCCCTTTGACCCTACTTGTGGGTACTGCTGCCGCCTACCCTCATCCTGAACCAGAGCCGATCCTGCGTCGCGACTCCGATATTCAAGTCAAAGCCGATGCTGTTAAGGAAGCCTTTCAACATGCCTGGGATGGTTATGTGAAATATGCTTTCCCGCACGACGAGCTGCACCCAGTAAGCAATGGTTATGGTGACTCCAGGTGAGTTTGATATGGGACTACCGCGGGGCATCACTGACACACACAGAAATGGATGGGGTGCTTCGGCCGTTGATGCGCTTTCAACTGCTATTGTAATGGGAAACAAAGATGCTGTGAACAAGATTTTGGATCATATCACTACCATCGACTTTTCCAAGACCGACAGTGAGGTCAGTCTTTTCGAGACTACCATCCGGTATCTGGGTGGTATGCTGTCTGGATATGACTTGCTCAAAGGCCCTGCATCGAATCTCGCTTCTTCATCAGACCAGGTAAATGCCTTGCTCTCCCAGTCAAAGAAATTGGGCGATGTTCTCAAGTACGCGTTTGATACCCCGTCTGGGGTGCCATACAACAATCTCAACATTGCTACCCTGGGCAATGATGGTTCAACTACCAATGGTCTTGCAGTGACTGGAACTCTGGTTCTGGAGTGGACGCGATTGTCTGATCTGACCGGCGACGATGAATATGCCAAGCTCAGTCAAAAGGCTCAGTCATATCTGATTAATCCCCAGCCATCGAGTGGAGAGCCATTCCCAGGTTTAGTGGGAAGTAGCATCAACATTTCCAACGGTCATTTCACTGACGGCGCTGTCTCCTGGAACGGAGGTGACGACTCGTTCTACGAATACTTGATAAAGATGTACGTGTATGACCCTAAGCGGTTCGAGTCATACAAAGACCGTTGGGTTTTGGCAGCCGAATCAACCATCAAGCACCTGACATCACACCCTACGACCCGCCCAGAATTGACCTGGTTGGCGTCATACTACAACGGCCAATACGATCTCAGCTCGCAGCACCTAACCTGCTTTGATGGCGGCAGTTTCATCTTGGGTGGCACCGTCTTGGACCGACAGGACTTCATCGACTTTGGTCTAGAGCTTGTGAATGGCTGTGAGGCTACCTACAACCAGACCTTGACTGGAATCGGACCAGATTCATGGGGCTGGGACCCGAAGAAGGTACCAAATGACCAGAAAGATTTCTACCAGAACGCCGGCTTCTACATCAACAGCGGCTCATATGACCTGCGTCCCGAAGTCATCGAGAGCTTCTACTACGCATACCGTGTTACTGGAAATGAGATGGTAAGTTCTGGCCATGGAAAAGTCAAAGCTATGCTAACAAGGCAACAGTACCGTGACTGGGTCTGGAACGGCTTCAAGGCTATCAATGCCACCTGCCGCACTGATTCAGGCTTTGCTGCCGTGAGCAACATCAACACTTCAGGTGGTGGTTCCAAGTACGATAACCAAGAGAGTTTCCTTTACGCCGAGGTCATGAAGTATGCGTACCTCGTGCACGCAGAAGGTGAGTACCTAATTTAGCTACCAAGTAAATAACCATGCTGATCTTCGCAGATTCTCCCTGGCAAGTTCAGAAGGGCAACAAAAACACTTTTGTGTTCAACACCGAGGCACACCCTATGAGTGTCGCACATACCTAGGTTCTTGCATGCTTCTCCCATTGCTTACAGTGGTAGATAGCACATGTATTAAGACTATCATTTTCCTCACTGGTATTGAAATATCGAAATTGTAGAGCTGTGTAGATGGATATACCTTGTTGATTGTAGCCCCCACAGAGATTTATTTCCAGAGAAGATGTTCATGAAGCGAGGTATGCATCGCATATGACGATACAGACACTATTCCATTTTGGAACGTTAACAGCCGCGTTTGAACGCTCTCTCTTACCGAAGAATCCCCGTTAGCTGTACTAATGCTTACCTCGGCCTGATCAGCCCACGAAATACTGCGATCAAAGCAAGCGCAATCTCCTCTTTAGCGCCTTCGGTAAGCATTTCATACACCAATATCTTCCTCGGGAACAGCATCCGACTTGTACATGTTTGTGAAGTACCACGCAATACCATACCGGGTTGGTTCCCGACGCTGCATAAACCCAAAAGGACTGCTTCTGCCAGAAAAGATATCTATTACTTCTAGATGATTTGTCTTCTGTTCAGCTCAAGCACATTTTGACAACTGTACATCACACCGGGTAATCCAGCACTATTCTGTCGAAAGTCAGTGGTACTTCTGCAACATACTTACCTGAACCTGGGCATTTAACTTGGGCCTACGACCTGATTTTCACGTCCAAGCCTCTCTAGATCAGCCATGGCCGAATTCACTGTTCTTGGCGATGCCGTTATAAAAGCATTGTTGCTTGATCTCTCCAAAGACGAGATTGAATACTTCTTGAAAGAGCTCGAAGATTGTCTTATCACCTTTTCCCGCGGAAAGGAGCGTCAATACCAGCCAAAAGCTGGAATTATAAATCGACCTGATGGGCAAAAAGTTCTCTTTAGGCCCTTCACTTCCTCCGAAACAGTCGGAGCGAAGATCATTGTGCACCCCGCGCCCATTCCGAAAGACTCTGGATCCTCTTTGGACAACGAAGCAAAGCAGCAATTACCACTTCACGGCACCTTGGTCCTTTGTAACAAGTACGGACTCCCCACAGGCTTTTTAAACGCCGCGGAGGTCACTGGTTACCGTACAAGCCTGAGCGCGATGGTTCCATTTGTTTCCAGATTGCACACTAGCAAAATAGTAGTGTTTGGTGCTGGTAAGCAGGCATTATGGCATACTCGACTTGCTCTTGCACTCCGGGGAGCAGACATTAACCTCATCACGATTGTGAATCGATCGGAGCCCCGAGCGCGAGAGCTCATCAGCACAGTGAGAGAAGAGAACGAGGAGCGGTGGAAGTCCCCCGGCAAATTCGAATTTCTGAATTCATCCCAAGGGAAATCAGATGAGAAGATTCAGTTGCGTCTCGCAGATGCCGATGCGATATTTTGCACTGTTGCCTCGCAAACCCCATTGTTTTCTTTGCAATCCCTGGCACTAGAGACACGACGTGGAAGATACCCTCTGATCACCGCCGTTGGCTCGTGGCAATCTGATATGATAGAGGTTCATCCGGCTATTTTACAACGTGTCATCAAATCAAACGGGTTTAATGTACCTGGTGACACCCCAGGAGCTGTTCTTGTGGACGACGCCGAAGCATCACTAATTCATTCTGGCGAAATTGTTCAAAGCGGTTTGGAGATGTCCGAGATGCTGGAAATCGGGAATATACTTCATTTGAAACGGAATTCAGATTTGACAAACGATCAGAGCGCATGGCTAGCGGAAGGGTTGATAGTCTATAAGAGCATCGGTGTCAGTACGACAGATCTCGCTGCTGGCAATGCTATTTTGGCTTTGGCGGAAAGGAAAAAGCTTGGGACTCGTGTGTCTGGCTTTTGACCGGAGGCATAATATGTTCCTAAAACCGCGTTTATTCTACCATTGAGGACTGCATCTAGTCTGGTCAAGCCATTGTTGATATTTGATAAACATCATATTGGGTTTCTTTATTTTGAGATACATCTCTATTAAATAGGTTTCGCCAGGTTCAACTTGTGTTTAATTTATTGCTGATTCGGGTCAATATTGGTCGACCAGTTAAATCGATAGTCGACTCTAGATACCAGACGTAGCGCGAGGAAGTAAAAGAAAGGCTAGTTAACAAGCACAGGAGTTTGTCATTGCATTTTCTGCCAGCATTTCGGTCTTCATGCGACACGGCTCAACTAAGATGTAGTTGTGTCTGATTTTACGTCTATTGTGCTGTTAGGCATTGTGGAGTGGAGGAACACCCTTGATCTACTTAGCACGGGAGATTCACTTCCAAGTCCCGAGGCCGACTGGCCAATGTCATGTTAGACTAGACCCTGGGGAAACGATTGCTGGCTGAGTAATGGAAACCAGGCCGGGGCGATCCTGTGATAATCTCTTGAGTCACATGCTATCAACACCCCTCAACTCCATCTGCTTCGTATTCCTCTCTTCAATCCTTCTCAATTGCACTGATAACTAAAACTCTTCACTGCCATGTGAGCTTGTGCCTAAATCCCCCGACAATCTCCTGGGGCACGTGGCAGTTCGACTCACCGATCGCTCCGAAGGGTTCCGGCTTTCTCCACGAGCTTGATAGGACCAGAGCTTAACATATGTACGGGAGTTTGAGGATCCGACAACATTCGAAGCATAAGTGGGTCTGGCCAGAGGCTTGGGTCGAAGATCCCGATCCGAGCCTCTCCTTTCCTTACCCTACCGACCATGATATCATCGATGGGTCAGCGGAGGGTTGCTGTCCGCGGATACGGAAATATGAGCTCGGAAGTCTTGACTCCGGGCTTATACAAATGGCCCTGGAGCTAGAAACTCTGACTTGCTCTTGACTAACCCACAACGCTACTCCATTGACATGCTACCGCGGCCATTGAGCGGAATGCTCCCTTTCCGCCGGCAGGCCTTGCGACTGCAAATAGCCGTGCCTCACCTTCCTCTCCATTCGACGGGGACATTTTGTCGTGGTGCTCTTTCACACCAGAAGCCGATTCAAAGATGCCTAGCAACACGGGTCGATCATACAGTCGCTGCCTCTCAATCCGATCACCAAAAAGAACGAGTCGTCATTCTCGGTTCTGGCTGGGGTGGGTATAACCTCTCGCGCAAGCTCTCCCCAAAGATCTATTCACCCATAATCATCTCGCCTCGATCTTACTTCGTGTTCACACCTCTGCTTACCGACGCAGCAAGCGGATCCCTGGACTTCTCCAACATCGTCGAACCTGTGCGTGATCCGCGCGCCAAAGTCGACTTCATCCAAGCAGCTGCACGTTCTGTTGACTTGAACAAGAAAACGATTCTATGCGAAGCCACTGTTGTAAGGAGCGGTGTCACAGAGTCGCCGCGCACAGAGGAAAACGAAAGACAGAATGAGGATGGCCCGGAGACAACAAACAAGAAGCCGATGCAGGCCCAACGCCAATGGGAGCAGGGTGAAATTTTTGAGGTTCCCTATGACAAGCTTGTCATTGCTGTTGGCGCGGTCAGCCGCACGTTTGGAACGCCGGGTGTGCGAGAGAATGCAATGTTCTTCAAGGATATCGGAGACGCAAAGAGGGTGAAGCGGCGCGTGCGGGAATGCTTTGAGCTAGCAGTCTTGCCGACAACGACCCCAGAGATGCGGAAGTCCCTTCTGAACTTCGCCATTGTGGGAGCCGGTCCAACGGGCATTGAACTTGCGGCTTCTCTACGTGATTTCATCTACGCGGATATGATGGCGCTGTATCCGGCTCTCAACGAGATCCCCAAGCTGAATCTCTATGATGTTGCCCCCAAGGTATTATCCATGTTCGATGAGTCCCTATCTCGCTATGCAATGGAGACAATGAGGAGTGAGGGAATTGATATCAAAACCTCCCACCACGTCAAAAGCTTGAGGTGGGGCCCACCGGGTGCTCCACCACCATACGAGATGGATCCCAAGCGCTGTCTGACTCTGACCACTGAAGAAGAGGGCGAAGTAGGTGTAGGAATGTGCGTTTGGGCCACTGGAAATGCTATGCCGAAGTTCATTACCCAGTGTCTTAACGAGGTTGACCCTCTTCCCAAAGACTCTATTCTAGCCATTGAAGGATCTTCCGCTACTGCTGCCAGCGCGGCACAAGCATGGAAATTCAAGAAAGCGCCCAAGAAGGGACCACTCCTGGTTGACGGCCACCTTCGGGTTCAGCTTGAAAGCGAATCTGGTCAGACGGCGGTTCTTCGAGACGTCTTCGCACTTGGTGATAATGCCATGCCAGAGACCGGCGCTCCGCCAGCCACAGCACAGGCCACCTTCCAGGAAGCCAAGTGGCTCGCATCGAGATTGAACAAGGATGACATGGCTCAGACGCCACCATTCTCCTTCAAGAATCTAGGCACCATGGCTTATATCGGCAACGAGAGGGCTTTGATGCAAATTCCTCATGAGGATGACGGGAGCAAAAACAAGTTCCTGCCTAATGGTATCAAAGGGCGTACTGCATCATTGATTTGGAAAGCGGCCTACATCACGATGAGTATCAGCTGGCGCAACAAGTTGCGTATCGTGTTCCGATGGACTTTGAACAGGCTTTTCGGAAGGGATGTGTCGCGCTTTTGAGCGCAAACACTCTGAATGGCTGTCCTTCCACCTCTCGTCCATTACATGCTTTTTGCTCCCTCAATCCTCGGTACACCATAGAAACAAAGAATCGGAAAACACTACAGTTCGGGTTTCCGGCAAACACACTTGTAATCAATGGCTCAATTCTTCTCAGTTATGTATATCTCGAAAGCATGCTCCGAACTTCCGCCGCTTAGCTACCAGAGAGCACAGGCACTAGCTACCCTCAGGGCTACTACTCAGTCAGCTAGGTGCTTGGTTGCGACCTCGGGAGGCAGGCTTCCGCTTACGTGGGCGGGGATGCCGGCCCCGGGGTCCATGGGCGTTGAGATGCATATCCAGCAGTGATCCGGGCCATCGAACGTACAGATCAGCAAAAGCAACACACAGGTACAGATCTGAGATCACTTTTCGACCATATTCCACTTCGGGAATATGCCGCTATCCCGCATACGTCTTCCAAGCCACAAAAGTCCTCCAGTCAGGGCCCAGTCAGATAAGCTTGGCATCAGCCGCCTATACGAGATGGCTCCGCGGAAATGGTTACTACCCATTGTTTTCAAAATGCTTCCACAGTTTGTCCGATATTCAGACTTCAGGTACTACACTGCCACTGGGTCTGAACCCCATCGATGTCATTTGTGGACAGATCGAGCTCTCAAACAAACTTGGATCCCGAAAGCCTTGGAATCTCGGATCCATCATCTGGATTCTTGCTACCTAGCAGTGGCTGTGCGTTAATATCCAGACAGCGTAAAACTCTTCAGACACGAGATATGGCTCATCACTATAAAGAGATCGGATGTCTCTCTAGAAATATCAATTCATCCAGTAAATGCAGCAGCCAAATACCGTCGTCCTTTTCTGAAGATTATTCACGATAGACTTCTTCTTCTGCATGATGCCCTTTCGCACAGTGCCTCTACTGGCCGCAATACTCAGTCTACTCCCGGGCAGCATCGCAACTAAAGAACACCACACACTGCCCTGTTCTGCGGCAACTTTCAAGTCGCTATCTTTGGAAAATATCAAAATTGAGTCATTCGATGTTACTGCACATCATGGCTTTTCAACCAGTGGTCGTAATGCCACTGGGGGAGTGGGTGTAATTCCTGACCTTCCGAACGTCGAGGCTCCCACTGTCGATATATGCCTGATCTCTTTAACCTACACACACCCGGGACAACACGATATCATAAACACATACATTGGTCTTCCTCTCAATGCGAATAGCTGGAACTCACGATTCCTGATGCATGGCGGAGGGGCATACTATGCTGGTGGGCAAAGCAGCATTCTCACCCCAGTTTTATTAGGCTACGCATCTTCCTCTACGGACGGAGGTCATGGAACTAGCGCTTCTACTGCAGACTGGGGCCTTACAGGTCATGGAAAAATCAACTGGCCAGCGCTTCGTGACTTTTCAAGCGTTGCTATATCCGAAGCAGCAGTCCTCGGGAAAATGGCGACAAAATTATACTATGGCACCAAGGCCAAATATTCCTATTGGCATGGATGCTCTACTGGTGGTCGCCAGGGACATGCGATGGCCCAAGAGAACCCTGAACTATTTGACGGAATTGTTGCTGGTGCCTCAGCAATCAACTGGGATAGATTTGCAGCGGCGGGTATTTGGGGGCCTTTTCTTGCACAGCTTCTTGGTGAGTGGGACCTGGGCGCTGCCTGCATTCATTGCTAACCATTATGTGATATCAAGATACACAGCCGCCATTGTGTGTTGTTGAAGCGTTCACAAAGGCTGCAATCGCCGAGTGCGACGAACTCGACGGTGTCACCGATGGCATAATTGCATACCCAGGTCAATGCCACTTCAAGGCATCTTCCCTCATTGGACAAAAGGTGAACTGCACTGATCCAAGTGGAACAGTCACCATAACCAAGGAGATGGCGGACTTGATTGCTGCTGTGTGGCAGGGGCCACGCTCAACGGATGGTCGATCGCTATGGTACGGGTTTGACTACGATTCTAGTCTTGAGGCAATGATCGGAACAAGTTGTAGTTCAATCGAAAACTGCACAATAATCCCTTTCAGTGTCTCCGAGGACTGGGTAAATACCTTTGTTGTCCGCAAACCCTCGTTTAGTGTCGAAGGCCTCACTCACCAAGGATACGACTCGATTTTCCGTCAGTCCGTCAATCAGTATACCACCGTCATCGGCACCTCAAATCCAGATCTTTCCAAGATGAGAAAGAACGGAACAAAAATGCTTGCTTGGCATGGCATGGCGGACCAGTTGGTTCCAACCAATGGCTCTGTTGACTACTATGAGCGCGTGACAAACCTCGATGCTAACGTTGCAGACTACTACCGTCTCTTCCTGGCACCGGGGGTGACCCATTGCGGATTCGGGGCTGGGTTCGATCCAGCTGAAACGGTATTTGACACTATGAGAGCTTGGGTTGAGAATGGTACGGTCCCAGATCGATTGGAAGGTTTGGCTGTGGCCGTTGGGAATACTTCCGCCACTCGTTCGGGGTACTTGTGTCCCTATCCGCAAGTGTTCACCTACATTGGTGGGGATGTAAATGATGCCTCCTCATTTGATTGTGTCTGATTAGGAGACTTCATGGAATCAACTTATGTCTGCCCTAGATCTATCGGGTTTCATGTCTGGCTAAGGTTTTCTATATATGCGCCCTTGCTATTATAATCAAATAAGATATCAATCTCTCTTCCTTCTCGGACCTATGAAGAGATCTAGTCTCCGAGTGTTCTGTCGGTGCCCACGAGAAACTACTTGAATCGCCAACCATAGAGTCTTCTCATGTTCATGCTTCCTCGAGAATAATTGAGAAGTTTCTACTATACCGCACAGTACGGCCACTCCAATCAGGCGCCTGTGTTGGGCGCTGAGATATCTCTACCAATCAGCTTCCATCTCCTTCCCGTACTCCCTCCAACACTGGGAGTCCCCACTTCGGCCTTTTCAACACCTGTTCAATCGTCTTTGTGTGCATTTTCATGTCTTTGTGTGCATTTTCATATCTTTCTATTCCCAAGAACACTAGCTATACCTTGTTAGCTGTTCAAATTCTGAAAGAGGATGACTGCACTTGGAAGCATTCCATCAAGATCGGAGAGGATGTGAGAATCCAGACTTTCCAATGTGTGGGAAACGCCTTATATCACAGAACCCCAAGATCAGCGCTAAAATATTCACATCCACCGCGATAATTTGGAATAGGATAAGGCCAATGAGCCTATTAAATCAAAGTAGGCTACTTTAATACACACGCCACGGGACAGGAATAGCTAGATATGGTAAGGAAGAATGCATGACCACACAGTGATTCACCAATGATGTTCGACAAAATTGAAGCCAAGACACGCTATTCTAGAAACAGGTAGCTCATCTCGATGGACAACAACGAGCTTGAGGGTAGCTCGCACTGGTTTAGGGGTGTACGGGATTATTTAGCCGAATGAGCCTGCAACTAGACCGCTAGCGTACTTATCCCTTCAGGGTTCGGTATAAAAGCAATCTTTCCCCCGCACGTGCATCCGCACCTGTATTCAAGATACCCTGACTAGGTCCGATCCTATCATGGCAAATGACCAATCCGATATAGAACATGCCAAACTGGCATGTGCGGCGTGTAGGTCCAAGAAACGGAAGTGTGATAAGATTTTTCCCGTTTGCACGAGATGTCTAAAGTCAGTCCGATCTACTCTGTTCGTGGCCTGTCTTGATAACAGTTGATGTGTACAGCGCAAAGCAGCAATGTTGGTACTATAGCGAATCTCAATCGGAAGACTTTCCGTATGAAAAAGGAACAAACCTTAAACCAACGTATGTCTCTCAGTAAGTCAACTTAACCGAAACATACTTTGAGGCTCACAGTGGATTCCCTTTTTAGCGTCATCCAAACTCAGCCAATTGAATTCAAATCCCGCCTGGCCTGTTCAAGGTGTAGCGCGGGGGAAAAGGAAGTGTAGCAGAGACATACCATCATGTGTGCGGTGTGCGCGGTCAGTTAGCCTCAAAGAATCAGGTCGTATTCCTCTGACTCGAAGAATTACAGAATGGGCAATGTGTGCAAGTATCTTTGCTCGCCATTCGAAGATCCGGCCCATTTGGCCTCCTTCGCTTGTGATGAAATCACGGATCTGGAACACGAAGATGATGCTAGACAAGAAGAAGTCCTTGTATCCAAACGAAAACAGAGTCTGCTAACCATCGACCACGATACCCGCAGCTACCTGGATCCCTTTCACACTTATCCATCTAGGCTGAGCCGTGAGACCATCACTCGAATCCTTCACTACTGTGGGTTATCTCGAAGCGAGTGAATCACGAGGACCTATCTGATCATCATCACAGCCATTCGAGAAATGTGGCCGAAACTTTTCCCTGGCATGAAATATAAGGGAAAGACCTTCACCCACGAGTGGATGAAGTCTTGCCTAAACTGCCCTCCCTTGTTTAGTGCGTGGCTCCACTCAGGTGCAGAGCACATCATCATCCGAGAGAGGGCATCTGGCGTCCAAACGTCTACTCCGAAGGACAAGTACGAATTACTTCTGATGCGACAAGAAGCCATCGTAGGGTTGAGAAAAGCTGTCGATGATGGCTCCCCGACAATGATTACGGACCAGATTGTCATGGCTGCGTTTGCTATTGCGTTACATCCACACGAGCGAGATAAAGTCCAGCCCTCTCGGACTAAAATGGCACCTCTATCCAACCTACAACTTTTAACGCGATTCACAGACATCGTGATAATTGATGGACACGTTCGAGGGCTGCGCCATCTGGTCCAGGCCAGAGGTGGATTCGAACAGTTACAGATGCCTGGGCTCCGTGAGGGCTTGTCGAGGTAAGCAGCCTTTTAGAACATTATTGAAGTGTGTATATTTACTAAATTCCCACAGCTGGGACCTTGTTGTAGCAAGCAAAACACTAACAAGGCCCTTCTGGCCCCTGCAGACGAGATTAGAGCTCGACAGTGCTGCTGCGTTCTTGGCTTCCTTTGAACACTCCAACGTTGAAACGCGCAACTTACATGTCGTTCTCTACTCAAAGATCTCCCAACCCATGATCTGGGTATTTCACTCCCTCCGTGGATACAGCGCTCTGCTCGAAGGATATGCCGATGGACGTCTTGTCGTACTTGATCTGGGGTATACGCTTCAATTGCGAAATCTAATCCACTACCACGTAATGACCATTTCCTCTGCAATTTCGGTCGAAATCGAATCAGTTTCATATATTTATGAGCCATTTCGACTGGCGCTGATTATCTACAGCCTTCTTGTCGTGTTCCCTGTTTCATTGACAACAAGTCCTTATGAAAGTTTGGCGTGTCTTCTCCAGGACGAGCTGGAGTTGGTCCCTGACGAGGAGTGGGCATCAATGCCATCACTATTGATATGGATTTTGACTCTTGGGGGAATTGCAGCACTCGATACACCGCATCGCTTGTGGTTCGTGGAGCGATTGCATTTCGAGCTCAGAAAGTTGAACATCGGCAGTTGGCAAAAGTTTCTACACATTATGGATACCTATTTATGGCTAGAAACCCCTTGCGGTATCGAGGGTATGATCGTATGGAAGGAAGCTCGGCAGTATGGTCACCAGCCGCTTGTTGAAGACCACATTGCCCGGGGCTCTGTGTTTGATATTCCTGTCCGAGATTAGACTCTTCAAACATACGGAAGAGTCATCCATGACCGGTTGCGTATTTTATAATTATTAACTCGAACAATAGTTCGGCATACAAATATACGAAGGGTATGTCTATTAAGCTTGAAAGATCTGTTTACACGTGTTAATGCTCATGTACCAAGACTTGGAAAATATTGCAAGGCCTTCCCAAGTAAATTTGGAACTCCTAATTATTGCCGAAACAAGCGCATGGTACTGATACTCATAGTAAAGTGCCACGAAGTTCCAATTGCTTATTTTCGGGAAGGCTTTGTGGTATTATGATTTGTATGGCTAACTGATAATAGTAATTGAATCATCTTGAATAACGTGGTATTTGCTATGAAGATACAAATGATGCACGAAGAGCATATCTCTACCATATTTATATTGAAATCCGTAGCTGGCATGGATCTAGTTGAATTTATACTTCTCCTCTCGGTCCTGTTTATCGGGAAATTAGCATTTTTTCGAAGAATGTTGAACGATACATACCCAGTACTTGTTGAAACCGACACCTTCGCAGACCTCGTCATAGGTCAAAATCATTGGCGGTGCTCCTACGGTCATACTCTTCTTCAACCCGTCCAAAGCCTCCCGAACGCTCTTCAGGCGAGCAGCAACCAATGTCCAGGGGTATGCCACAGCGCTGTACCCGAGCTCAGCAAGCTCTTTCGCAGAAAGATTGTCTGTCTTGCCTCCTTCAATAATATTGGCGAAGACAGGACAGCTAATTTCTTCGACACAACGCTTCATCGCTTCTCGATCGGGTAGAGCCTCAACAAAAATCGCATCCACGCCAATGCGCACAAACTCCTTGACCCGGGCCATAGCTTCATCCCAGCCGTACATCAGTGCATCGGTTCGAGCAAGAATAAAGATATCCCTTCCTTCATTGCGGGCATCGACAGCAGCCTGGATTCGAGCATAGGCCTCCTCGCGGGAAACAACGTCCTTGCCCTTGGTGTGCCCACATCCTATCAAAGTCAGCCGTCGTCTCTTTGCAATCGAGTAGCATGGGAAGTTCAGGATCAAATCTTACTCTTCGGCCAGCGCTGGTCTTCAATCATTACACCGGCGGCCCCTGCAGCAGCAAAGCTCTCAACAGTTCTCTTCACATTCATCGGACTTCCGTATCCAGTGTCGCCATCCGCCATAACAGGCACCGAGACTTGACGAACAGTTTCCTGAATCTTGTCACACATTTCTGCCATTGCAATATATCCAGTATCTGGCAGACCATAGGAGCTGGCCACAGCATATCCTGCGAGGAAGACCATAGGAAACCCTGCCTCTTCCACAAGGCGCGAAGACAAACCATCATATGTGCATGCATGGGCCAAGATCTTGGTGGGATCATCGCGCGCCTGCAGCATCATCGTGCGAAGACTTGCAGCCTGAAGAGAGGGAATCTTTCCGCGAGTGTTCTGGATACTGATATCGATTTGGGCGATGGTTCCATCTTGGGGCCCGCTGGGGGCGACAGAGTCGAAGTGGAATGGGTAGGGAACCGTGTTGGCCGACATTTCGATAGGTGTTTATAGGCTGAATTATCTTGCGAGGATAACTCTTGGAGTATTCGAAGGGCCTGTTGACCTTTTATATCGTGAGCCGGCGTGCGATATCGGCCTCAATTCGTCTGGAATTGAATATAGCCATGAATTTCCCGCTCACGGGTATTTGGTCGCGGATAATTGGCAACAGCCATGGCGGAAATTTCCCCCTCGCGCCACCCCGAAGGCTCCCAAACTAGCCTATCAACGAATTGATATTGCAACAGCAGCCAAGGTTTATGATATTTAGATGCGGGGATGTCGGCAGTTGCAGGGTCCGGGATTTTGATACCCCACGGGGCCCCAGGTTCACCAGGTCGATCCTTGATGCGAGGATTTTAGGGCTTTAGTCCAAGGTAAACCTTAACTGGGAGATTATTTGTACCAGAACAAGTCCCCCTTTCCATCGAGGTGAGATCCAAAGCCTGACCCAACAATACCTTCTTCTACACAACTTGAGGCCCTATTTATTGAGTTGGCCATCATGGCAGCATCCAAGGACGTGGAGCAGGCCCCAAGCAGTCATCACGTTGAAGGTGATGAGCCTTCCAAATCTGAGCTTCAAGTGAATGTCCCTGAGGAACGACAATCTCTGATTCGAAAGAAGGTAGGCTTCCGAGTGCTTATAGAATGTTGTACGGATTATAACTTCTGCTAGTTCGATCGCAGAGTTCTGCCTATTGTCTGTATACTCTATGTTTTGTCTTATCTGGACAGGAGTAAGTATATCATCATTTTCGAAGGTTTGATACCATACTGACGATCTGAATTCATAAAAGGCAATATTGGTAATGCAAAGACGGCTGGGCTCGAAAAAGACCTCGACTTGAGCGACTATCAATGGTCCTGGGTTTTGTACTCTTTTTACATTTGCTACATTCTGTTCGAATGGACTACGGTACTTTGGAAAATCTTCCCTGCACACATCTACATCGCCGTGCTGTGTATCTGGTAAATACACCAACCCCCAGTGTGTGAATCTGATCATCTGCTGAAACATGAAATATAGCTGGGGTGCAGCTGCCATGTGCACTGGTGCTGTTAATCGCTTCTCACAGCTTCTTGCCTGTAGATGTCTTCTTGGAATCTTTGAATCCATATTTGGCGCTGGAGCACCTTACTTTCTCTCGCTCTTCTATCAGAGAAAAGAGCTCGGCTTCAGAGTTTCGTTGCTTCTAGGAATGTCGCCTGTCGCCAATTGCTTTGCCTCGGCTCTTGCATACGGTATCACTCAGATCAAGGGTTCTCTCGAGCCATGGCGGTATCTGTTTATCATAGGTAGGTGTACTTCTTCTACTTACACGACTCTAGTACTGACTGATTTCAGAGGGCGCACCAACGGTTCTGTATTCTCTCGTGATCTTTCTATTTCTTCCTGATTCCCCGGGAAGTGCGAAGTTTCTCGATGAGACTGAGCAGACTGAGGCTGTGGAACGTCTTCAAACAATTGACCGGACCGCCAAAAACAAACTACAATGGAAACAAGTGACTAGTGGTCTGAAGGACTATAAGAATTATGTCCACATGATGATCCATTTCTGTTGCAACTTCTCCTTCTCAGGTCTATCTAACTTTCTGCCGACCATTTTGCAGACTATGGGATATACTTCAGTCAACGCTCAAGGCCTAGCAGCGCCCCCTTACTTTGCTTCATTTATCTGTTGCATCGTTGCTGCGATAGTCTCCGATCGTTGGGGAAACCGTGGCTTTGTGGTCACATTCTTCGCCATCCTAGGCACCATTGGATACATTATCCTAACGTGTGTCACTGACGAATCGAAGACCGGGGCACGCTATACAGGAATCTGGTTTGCAACATGCGGAATCTTCCCTGCGTTGGCAATCAACATCACCTGGTTATTGAACAACCAGGGAGGCGAAAGCAAAAAAGGAGCCGGAATGGCCATGCTCGCCATTTTCGGACAATGCTCGAGTCTGATTAGCAGCTCGGTCTTTCCCAACAAGGATGCGCCATTCTATACCACTGGATGTGCTCTTGGCTGTGCCTTTACTGGCTTGATTGCCATCTTAGCAATTGGACTGCATGTATCGTTGAGATTGGAAAACGGCAGACGGGATCGATTATATGGAGAAGTCAGTGAGCATGACCGAGTAGATGTGACCGAAGGAGGAGACCAGAACCCTAGCTTCCGTTATTTGACTTGAATTCTGACTAGTGTTGAGATTGAAACATACTGATATATAGCCTTTTCAACTGCGAATGCACCAATCTCGTCCATTTGCTGTTTCTTGTATCTACTCTGGAAGTCGATTGATTGACGTCCAACTTCGAAATCACTCTCCTAAAGCTTAGAACGGATGTCAATACCCATTCTTCTGACGTATTCTGAAGTATTCTTCTAATCAGAACTCGAATGGAGAGACCAAATGACCCAGACTGGATTCGACAGTTGATCTACAACAATCGAAGAGAAATATCCGCACCCATATTTTGAGCCATGACAACCATGCTAAGCTCGTAGCAGTCCACTCACCCGAATAAATTGACTCTGATTGAGATCCTCCTCTACCTGGCTAAGCTCAATGCCCGCCCCCGCTGTTCTTGACTACCGAGTGGCCATTTTGTCTGCCTCGGAAGTTGGAAGACGGCGGATATTTCGCGAAACCCGCACCCCCGCTTCCAAATATCCGTCTTTCAACTTCCATCTTCACCAACTCAACATGACGGAGCACAAGAGACCCTCACGAAGTCGAGAGCTTCGTGAGCATGAATTTCAAAGAGGGTTTAAAGCGTGTATTCCATGTTCACGGCGAAAAGTGAAATGTCAACTCGTGGATGGCCATAAATGTGCTCGATGCAGCAGACAACGACTCGAATGCACCTTTACGACGAAGAAGCCTTGGTCGCGAGAACCTCAGAGTGCAAGTGCTCGCCAGAACAGGACTACCATTGGTACCGGGAGCATACAACAAAGGTCTGCACCCCATCTCTCAAGTTTCATTTTGGCCTGACCAAGTCTATCAGGCCGCGACGCGAGTCTCGACAGGCCGAAGGCAAACAGGGGGGTCTCCCTATATCCATGCTGCAGAAAGTGGTTTCGAGTAACCATGATGCTATGAATATCCTCTATGAGGCAGCACTTCATGAGGAAGGTCAACATCCGGTGGAGGAGCGGCCCGCCGACTCGGCATTGTGTATTCCTCGAGCTTTAAACGAGACCGACGCACTTCGCGTCTGGAACGCTTGCCGCTTCGTAAAAATGGGCTGGTTCTTATCGCACGAAGCTATCTCATTAGTCGACCAGTAAGTCTGTTCATTGATCCGGAAGTGTTTGATTCTAAATGGGATAGATTCTTCGCGAACATGAGCCCCCTCTCCCCGGTTCTGACGGATTTTTTCGCCTCACATAAAAATCAGTACTATTTGGTGACCCAAGAACCTATGCTATGCTGTACGATTCTCATGATATCTTCAAGGCATCATATCCTGCCTGGAGTTGGGGGTCGCTCTCGGGCATTTTTCATTCACCAACGCATGTGGCAGCATTGCCAGCATCTATTGATGCGACTGACTCTTGGTCAAGAGAAGATATCAAAAGCAAAGACGCGTAATATTGGAAGTATTGAAGCTCTGCTGTTGATGTCTGAGTGGTTCCCTCGACACTTACAGTTCCCTCCCGAGACGGACGGCTGGGACTCTGATTTTATCATGACGAACTTGGATGCACACGATCCTCCTTTGCCAGTTGAAGAGATAACCGTCTCTGATACATGGAAACAAGATGTTGTCGAGCCAACAAAACGCTTCGAGCATATGTCATGGATGGTCTTGAGTCTTGCTCTGGCGCTTGCCCATGAACTAGGTGTCTTTGACCCTAATGCTCGGTTGCCAAAGGCTGACAACTTAATTGGGTTCGACGCTGAGATGTATCTTCAACACCTTGAACTAAGGAGGCAACGTCTTCCAAGTCTACTTTTTGTTTTTATCAATGCATTATCATCTAGACTCGGGTGCACATCACCGATGCCTTCAGATGTTGGCCTTACAACGCCAGATCTAGCATTGCTTCAACTGGACAAAAGGGGCAATGAGTGGTTGTCATTCATGAAGACATGGAGAGAATTGAGCAGAGTTACCTCGTCAATCATGCAAACATTATTTCCATTGATGGGTACGGCTTTGGCAACTGGATCAGCGGATACATTTTTCTCCATCTTAGACCAAAAGCAGACCTTGTTGACGAACTGGCAGCAAAGGAACTTTGGCAGCGCTGGTACGAATCATTCTATGTAACCTGGTCTCTTCGGCCTTTACTGACATATGCAGTCACTGGGTCATCTTACACTGATATACTTTTTGTCGAATATCAGCATCTCCGAGTACTCATCAATTCAATCGGAATGCAGGTCGTTGTGCAACGAGTTCTGTCGAAAACCATGTATGCGGAGTCAACAATCGATACTTCATTCATAGAGAGAGCACGGCAGTTGAACATGACTGCTCGAGAGTATGGGTTCATTGAGGAAGTAATTGATGGCTGCTGTCAGACACTTGAGAAAGTGGCTACTCTCGGCAATGCAGGCTCACTGTATTTCTCTCCCATGAGATTGCTCTTCCGAACAATAAGCTCTTCGATATTTTTAATGAAAGCTCTTGCTCTAGGTGTGCGCAATAGCAAGCTTCAGGAAGCCTTGCGAATTCTGGATCAAGCTATAGAGTCCCTACAAGGCAATAACGAGGATGACAACCACATGATCCTACGATATGCTACCCTGCTGAATACGCAAGCTGCTCGACTGCGGAGAAGTCTCATGTCCTCAATTCCAATGATTGAAGCTCCCACAGTTGATTCTGGCCTTCTTCACGGGTCCTTACAATCGCTGGAAATGTATCCGTCCATGGCTCCGACTCTCAATAATGATCACGGAGGATTGTCCAACTTGTCCGGTCTTGACCCAGAAGGTCCACTTGATTTTGATGTCAATGAATGGCTATCTTTACCCTTTGAGCCATCGATGGTTCCATTCGGACCAAATGAAGGGGATAATTGGGCGAGACTAGACGGTTCTGACTTGAATCTAGAGTTTCTTTGGCAATTGCCCGCATAATCAAGCCAAGCTCATGAAAAACACGATATCCGTCTTGATAAGTTCATTCAGTATCAACAGTTACTGCTCTCGCGATCCCCCAACTACTTCCAGCAAAACGCTAAGACAAGGGACGAAGCAAAATGTTTCGACTCTGATATACTGCCATAACCTATCGCACGGCGAATAGAACGCCATTTCCGGCCTTATAGACACCAACTCATTTTGCTCCGCATAACCAGATGGAGTTCTAGTGCCAGCCATCAAGTGACTAGATCCTCCGCTGATTGGAGGACTCCACCATCGGTCTATTTCCTACCACAATATCATCATGATTGTATACGTTAATAACTACCCCTGGGTCAAGTTCTATCTCGCTCACTCATCTAAACCCCGAGACTAAGCGTATAGTATTATTCTCAGGTAACGCCTTTATTTTCTAAGGGGATCAATAAGTTTTGGCTAGATGATATACATCTCTTCCTCAAGTACCATTTATTTTCCCTTACCGCTGCACGTACTTTGAGTACTAGTCATCACGCGGGCTGAAGACTAATGAGATGGCGTCGCCAAAGCCTCCATCAAAACTTCCGTAAGCTTAGATGGTAGTTCGGGTCAGTGCTCTTGCTGCGCTGTTTGTAAGGTGGTGATAAAGTCTGCGTTGTGGTACAGCAGGATCTCCGGGATATTGGCAGGCATAGTCTTGTAGCATTGACAAATCATGTCTCAGTCTCCAGGAGAATTCCCCCTAGTTCAATTCTAGAAGTAAACTTCGGGGTGTACAGTAAACTACGTGTATGACCGGCTTTAGTGAGGCTTGCGCTAGTGGCGTTGTTTGACAGGGAGCTTGCCTCAATCTGTCCATAATCACGGATACAAGCGCGCTTATAATACAGCGACATGACTAGTGTTCCAGGGGGTAAATACGAATCAGCAACAAATACGAGACATGGGGGCCAAAATGATAGTCTCCGACAGGGTCTGAGCCCGAGACTCTGTCAAAAGTACGAAATGTACCGAGTCATAAGCTATGTGGAGCCAATAAGGCCAATCCGAATGCAAATACATTACCTACTAATCCGTGTAATTTCCAATGCCAATAGTTCTACAGTGTGCCACCTTCAACGGCGTGAAAGCTATCAACTTAGCGCACGCCCTAACCTCCCAGGTTACAAGTCTCGGAGGGTAAATCTGTCAAGATGAAATGCCGACACGGCACGGGGTTCTAAATGGCCCCCAAAAAGACAAGGCTCCTGCTCCTCAAGATATCCTTGTTCTGGTCGAGGCTACTGTGCAAAACTTACTTCATACTCTATCTATCACAACGCCCGCAGAAGTACAATACCCAAAAGTTGATCAGCTCCAATGGCTTCCGCTCAAGCCTCTTCCATCCTGAGCCAGCTCGCCGAAGCAGGCCAAGCATTCAAGCAGGATGAGCCTGGTTCACGAGAGGCTCTGATCGCGCACAGCCGCGCGCTTGTCGCCGCCCTGGAAATTCCCAGTGAATTTATCCAGAGGACATTCTGGGCCGAGGTGAGATGAATGGCATTTCTCAAATACCCAATCCAACCACAATAGCCCTCTCAAGTTCCAAAAAGAAATATGTGCTAACACGCTTCCTCCAAAGCCCGCCCAATCTGCGACTATCCGCCTAGCAGTAGACACAAACCTCTTCCAGCACCTTCGCGACGCAGGTGCCGCCGGCCTGGACGCCACAACCTTATCACAAAGTACAGGAATTGAAACATCCCTGCTCCAGCGCCTGACCCGCCACCTGGTAGCGATGAACCTGCTTACCTTCCACAACGACGCATTCCATGCCACCGAGCTCAGCAACGGACTCGCCGAGGAGCGATACCAGCATAGCATCTCGTTCTGCTATGACGCGGCCAGACCGTCGTTCAATGGATTCCCGGCATACTTCAAGGAGAATGGATATCGGGCGCCCACGCTTGGGGGCACGGATGGCCCTTTCCAGGATGCCCATGGGACAGACTTGAGTTTCTTTGAGTGGCTTGTTGCCACGCCGCCGCATTTGAGACATTTTGATTCTTTCATGTCGGCCTATCGAGCGGGTAAGAAGAATTGGTATGATGAGGGGTTCTATCCTGTTGCTGAGCGGTTGGTGGATGGGTTTGAGAAGAGTGGGGACTGTGGTGTCTTGCTTGTTGATGTTGGGGGAGGTCGGGGTCATGATGCTGCGGCCTTTGTGGAGGGGCTTGAAGAGAAGGTTGGGAAGGTCATTCTGCAGGATCGTGAGCCTGTTATTGAGAGTGTAGTTGGTAGTGCGGTGGAGAAGTTAGGGTTTGAGGCTCAGGCTCATGATTTCTTCACACCCCAGCCTGTGGTTGGTGCCCGGGCTTATTCTTTGCATTCTATTCTTCATGACTGGAGTGACGAAGATGGAGTGAGGATTCTGGAGAATCTCGTTCCGGCGCTGAAGAAGGGCTATTCGCGGGTTCTGTTGAATGAGATTGTCGTCAGTGAGGAGCAACCTACGCTCGCGGCTACTAGTATGGATATGATGATGCTGGCACACTTTGCTGTGCGGGAGAGGACTGAGGCCGAATGGAGAAGCATCTTGGAGCGAGCTGGGTTGAAGGTTGTGGCGATTTACACGTATCCTGGTGTTGCAGAGAGCCTGATCGAAGCCGAGTTGATTTAGTATTCTACTGCTGAATGCAGGGATTAGAGATTAGTTTCAGGCAGGGTCTCACCACGAGGGTATGCATCGGATACTCGGCAGATATGTTTGCCTAATTCAGTTAGGGCTGCGCTTCGAAGGATTCAGGCGGGACCATACTAGTTCAATACGAGTACTTTGGCACTCTTTCAATAATCCCATTGACAGGGATCCTGTTTTTGTGGCTTGATTCTCTTATTTTCCGGTCATTTTCTCAAGATGATCCCAATGTCACGTCGCTTGATTTCTTCTATATATTGCCCTGCCCCAGTCCAAGCTCCAAACGTGGGCCTTTGCTAAGGGGAGGGGGAACGCCAGCCCCATACGTTCTTTGTTGTATGGGAGCAATCCACAATGAGCACTATCCTCACCGACGTGGATTTCAATGAAACGAGAGCCACAGAAATTAATGTCTGCGCTTGGGTGTTCACGGGGATTGCAATTGGAACGGTCGCTTTAAAACTGACCACTCGGGCCCAGGTTAAAAAGCTGGGTTGGGATGACTTTTTTATTTTCCTTTCGCTGGTAAGAGGCATTGATTGGGCTGAAAGTGGGCAAGGGTAGTAGCTAACGGTGCCTTTTGTTATGAACAGGGTTTAAGTGTCATTGCTGCAGCGTTCGTCTCTTACTCGGTTACATTGGGATTAGGGCGTCATACTGCTGCTGTCATTGCGGAACATGGCCCCGAGAGGCTTGCTTTAACGGCTTATTGGCAGATTCTGGGTTATCGTAAGTGAGGTCTCACTAAGATTCAAGCGATTGAAGGCTAACATGTACAATCAGCGTTCAACATTGGTCGGTCCAGTCTTACTGAGTGAAAGAGGCAAATAACAACTCCAATGCTAACCATTCTGGCCAATCTAGGATCCTTCAGCTTCCCAAACATTTCCATCGCAATTCTGATCAGCAAACTGTTGGACCGAAACCCGTTACGCACAGGATGCCTCTATGCAATGACAATCCTTCAAGTGGTGCTCGCTCTGATTTCGATCTTCGTCATCTTCTTCCAATGTACACCCACAGCCGCCCTCTGGGATCCCTCTGTGAAGGGAAAATGTTGGAGTACGAAAGTCTTCAATGACTATTCATATTGGGTCAGCGCATATACAACAGTAACGGACATTGTTCTGGCCGTGGTGCCTATTCGGGCTTTTTGGAATCTGCAAATGCGGTCCTCGACCAAGCTGGGAGTTTGCATTATGATGGGACTGACTCTATTATCCGCTATCGTCACTGTGGTCAAGGCCACTTATTTGCATCTCTTCACTGATCGGACAGATCCTCGTGAGTTTTTTTTTGCCGTTGCACTGACTTCAATGTGTACTGATCCCGGGATAGTGTTCAAGGTGGTTCCATTGGTGCTTTGGGGACTGTGAGTATCCGTCTGCCTATTTTGGTGATATCTCAACTGACTTTCTACTAGAGTAGAGCAAAACGTCGTCATTGTCGCAGCCTGTATTCCCACCCTCCGTCCATTTTTCCGCAAGACCTTTGAGTCAAAAGCCTCGCATTCGGGAACGGCAAACTCAAGTTCAGGGTTAGGCTTCAAACTTTCATCTCACCCTTCACACGGCGCAACCAAGCCCATCGGTTCGGAATCTGAGATTCCGCTTGGAAAGCCAAAGCAGCAGGCATTTGATTCGGAGAGCAACAGTAGTCAGCAGGGTATCTGGCAAACACAGGAGATCTCTGTGGAAAGCGATGAGGAGACAGACTTGGAGGGTGGTGAACGCAGACACTATCAAGAGGTGGTACCGGCGAATCTGCGCATTTCAAAATAAAACAATAGAAACGCGCAATCCCAGTCGGTGTAGGCACGATATTTATGGTGTTTATTCTGAACATGTCAAATTTCGATAGAATGTAGATCGTAGAATGTAGATCGCGTTTCATTGTATACAACTCTTCCTTGCGCATGGGGAATATGATACCTCCACTGGTCAGTTGAAATGCGACTAAGAGGACCCAACATGACTATACCGTTTGTTGATTAGTCTGTCTGTAACTTTATTTTGCCTCAGATCTTCCAGAACGTGGACTAGAGAAGTTGCCAAGTATGGGGAGCTCCAGGCTGACCCTTATCAATCCATCTGCATTATCTTTAGCTAACAACAGAATGTCTAAATATGAGCCTCCACATTGTGAAACGACACAAACGATTGAGTAAATCGGGCAGCTACATATAATAGAGTAATTGGAATATAACGTTCTTGGCAGGCCAGCAGGATCATAAAGCATTATCATTTATTCCAATTAAGCTAATGAAGAAAATATTAGATAGCCATGTTAGCACACGTAAAAGCAGGGCTCACGGCTGCCGAGTAATCGGCAATGATAGCCTCCACGGCTGCATACAATCCAGGACCCAGAATGAACAGCCCGACAGCGAAAATGAAAACATTGAGCAGGGTCAATGTTGTCCTTCCCAGGCCTGCAAACAGTGATCCCCGATTGAGCTGCCAGTACGCGATGGCAAAGTAAATGAACCCAAAGAAGGAGTCAAATGCAGCGCTGAGCAGAGACAGGAAGTCGCCCATACTTGGGATGACCTCTGCAAACACAAATCCGAGCAGCCACACTCCGACCATAACCAATCCCCAAGCTCCCCAGCCAATGAAGGTATTGCTGTGTGCGTGTCGGGATGTACCCATGATCTTTGTGTAGACCAGTTTTGCAGTGACATTGGCATAGATCACGCCGATGATCAGGGTGGGTACAATGACAAAGCCGAAGGATGCTTTCTTGTAGACGACTGAGCCCAGACTTCCGAATGCCGGGGCTGTGGAATATTGACCCAGATAGCGGAATCCGATGGCAGGCGGCACAATGAACAGGATGCAGGAGATTCCAGTGAGAACGGCCAGGGCCTTGGGGAAGTCTTGGGGCTTCTCCATTTCGGAAATGAAGGTCGGGAAGAGAATCTGCGGGACCCAGATGAAGGTAATGTTCAGCACGGCGTTCATGCATGCCACCCAGGTCGTTCCCGGGCGGGGGAATGCGTAGGTCGTGACCAGACCGTCGGTTGGAAAGTTGCCATTGTAGCCGTAGAGCGGTGCAGACTCAATGCCTGCAAAGATGAGGAACAGGAGGATGGCGATTCCCATACATGCGGCTGTGGATGATTAGCGGAGGTCAGATTGCTGAGGGGCATCACATACATGAGAACATCGACATGAAGCTGACATGGTGCAATGTCCGTGGCATGGACATGATGACTCCCATGATTGTAGTAATCACCGAGAACACCGCTGTGCATAGCGAATGATCGGACAGAGTATTCAACACTTTGGCGCCGGTCAAGATGTGGAATCCGATGAGTAGGATGTTGTTGGCGAGCAACATGAAAGCCGAGAAGTACCACGCGGCCTTGCTTTTCCCAAAGATGTAGTATCCGAAGTCACCTGCGCTTCGAGTGTTAGCACCGAGCCCATAGCCCGTTCACATTGTGTCCACTCACAGATATCTTTGATTTGAGGGTACTTCATGATGTACTTGTGCATTGTCATCGAGGTATACCAGAAGATCAAGGCACACAGAACCATGGTGATGATACCAGGTACCCATCCCAGCACACTTCCCTGTTGGTCAGTTTCCCATTGACCTAGTGCCTAGTGTACAGAATCACTCACGAGAGGGACCACGATTGGGCCATGATTGCCAGGCAGACCTGCTCTCCGGCGAGCAAGCAAGCCGTCTTGTGCCACGACATGGTCCGAAGCTTGATCTCATGCTGGTGATCTAGTTCTGTCAGCGCCATCCTGCGAGACCTGCAAGCACCACCAGCATACCTTCCGCCACCAGGGCAGTGATTGTATCGCAGGAATCCGAGCCATCGACATCGCCCAGCGCATAGCCGGGCTGTTTCTTCTCGAGGTCATTCATGGTGAGGGACTATGGGGGAAAAAAAGATGAGATCGGCAATCCCTGCAGTATTTAAATGCACGTGGATTTTGCCTTCTCTGTGTTTTTTTCTGCCTCTGGCGTCCATTGCATCAGCCACTAAACCGAGTTCGCGTGCAAGTCACCGCGATGGCGCCATAATTGGTCTAATCGCGTATCAGTTATCGGTGTCGCCGGCAGTCTGACCGCGGCCTTGGCTCGGCTGACTTGGCTGTGATTGGCGCATTCGTCAAGGTTTCAAGGCTTAGCCGAATAAGAATTAGCGTCCAGCGAAGGGGATGTCTTGGCATCATCCTCTTACTCGGGAAGATTGGGTATTGGATCCTTTAAACTGCTATGCCAACTGATCCAACGGGTGCGAGATGGTGAAAATCATTTAAGCCTCGATCATGGTAACGAATCACGTCATGCCCCTGAACCAAGACCCCTGGTTAGACCCTATCTAGTCAGGACCTAGAGCGAGGAAGAAGATGGTAATTCGGAGCCATCACGCGCCGGGGTAAGCGGCGCGCGTCAATTGGTGCGGACTGGCTGCTGACTAACTAAGCAGCTGACGACTTATCTAGGTAGGTAACATCCATGGATATATACACGGCTCACATCCATCTTCAATCAAAGCCCTGTATTCGTCCTCGAACACTGTGACAATTCAGAAAAGTAAACTCATGAAGCACAATTGGGGTACAAGAACCATGTGATATGTATGTAGTGTTTCAAAGAAGCAATATTCAGGATTATGCGGAAGGTTGTCAATTTTCACAACACGACGTTGGGGTTTAAACCAGTATCGGAGTTAAATTGATTGATTGGTTGATGTGCGCCCATGCGTGGTGTCCTCGACACATTTCCCTGTCCATATATAGTAGCCTTGTCGCAGTTCTCTCGGCCATTGCCTTTTGAATCGGGCCGGTAGCATTGCTACCTGTGTAGCGAGGGCGTCGATGCGATCCATGAACTAGAGCGTAGTTTCACCGCACACGGCTGTCTGTACTGCCGTAGGCTGGCAAAGCATGCCTCTGGGGTTCACTACTGCCACACTTGCGGCGGCGGCTGAGTGCGTGGACTGCGCTGCCGTAGAGCTGCGTTCTGTGCTTGCGGTTACGCCTTGTGAGAGATCAAAAGACTTGAGCAAAGGGCTTTTCAACATGATATTTTCGCTGTCTGCATCGTCGTTGCTGAAATAATGCGCGGGACGCCGCCAACCCCATTATTGGCTCCTCTTCTTTTTGTGTGTAGACGGAGACTTTGCGGAGATTCTGAAGCAGAATCGCAGCGTTGTGCCGATTCTGGTTCCGAGCGTCCAGCCCACTTTTCTCCCCCTTGACCTCAAGTGTGAAGCATGGAAGCACTATATCTGTAGTGCAATTGATGGAGGTGTTGAGGTCTGAAACTGCATGCCCACTGCAACATGCGTGAGGGGACTTTGAACGAAGGCGGTTGGGCCAAGCAGCTGGGGTATATCAGTGCTTGTATTGTCGATACCTTTCCTGATACTAACGGACACTGCCGGAATTCTTCGGTTTCTTCATTCATGAGAGGTTTGGATCCACGTCTCTCTTCCTGGAGTCGTTTGATAAAGGGAAATGCTAAAAGCACACTCCTTCCTATATAATAATGGATGCAAAACATTCACGTTAGGATTAGCGCATTTCAGTATTATGTTTGACCTCATATTTCGCCTCATATTTCATCTCATGCTTCACCTCATATTTAACCTCATATTTGATCTCATATTTAACCTAATAATTGCATCGAGACCACTGGCAATTTAAGGCTCTATGGTCATGATGCGGCGATGCGGGGGACAACCTTGGGAAGGCCACTCATTTCCTTTTCAGCAGCAAGATCTCAGTATTAACACAGATTGTTCGGCAATCATGACATGGCATACGTGGAGGTCGAAGCATACTTGGTCGAGAAACCACACCTCAGTCTACTGGACCCGAGTAGTTCGGTAACCGGGCCTCGGCTGTCTCCGCACTCCCCGCATCAAAACCCGCCTCCACTCCACTTCTCTTCTTCACATACCATGTCTTCCCAAAGATATTTCGCGATTGCCCAGCGCAAACAGGAAGCGCTTGATGCTGCTATCCCTGCTGAATGGCGTCTACCCGCTCACGCCATTCCGGAGGGTATGCTCTCTATCGCCGAGTCCATTACCGAGGGCCCCAAGAAATATGAGCGCTTGAGCGTCATGGAGATCCCACGGACATGTGGTCTGCTGTCGGCCGAAGAGCTGGATATAACGGAGAACTATAATATTCGGAGGCTGGTCGCCGAGATGTCTGATGGACGATTGAAGGCGGAAGATGTAGTACATGGGTTTTGCAAGGTAGGGACACGCGCATCTACGACCTCCTTGCTTTTGGTCGCGCTCACCGACTAACAACTACCACAGAGAGCGGCTATCGCGCACCAGCTAACTCGCTGCATCACGGAGCCCCTGTTTGACCGCGCATTGAAACGAGCCCAAGTGCTAGATGCCCATCTCCAGCGCACGGGCACCCCGTTCGGCCCTCTTCACGGCCTGCCTGTCTCAGTGAAGGATACATTCAATGTGCAAGGAGTAGACTCGAGCATTGGATTAGCTGCATTGGCATTCAAGCCCGCTAAAGAGAATGCCCCGTTAATCGAGCTGCTTGAATCCCTCGGCGCGGTGATCATCGCCAAGACCAACATCCCCCAGACACTCGCAACACTGGATAGCTGTAACCACCTGTTCGGGCGCACTTTGAATCCTCTTAACCGACAATGGACTGCCGGTGGTAGTACGGGTGGAGAGGGTGCGTTGATCGCCATGCGTGGCTCGATGGTTGGCTTTGGTACGGATATCGGTGGTAGTATTCGTGTCCCGGCCATGTGCCAAGGTATATATGGCTTTAAACCCAGTTCCGGACGTGTTCCATTTGGAGGTCAGGAAAATGGCCAGATTGAAGGAAAGGGTCGGATTGGGTTGCAAGCTGTAGCAGGACCGTTGGCTCGCTCTGTTGCTGATATCAATGCCATCATGGCCGAGATTGTCCCACGCGCTGAATTGTTCGGGGAGGATGGGATTCCAGGCTCATGGTCTTCACACTCTGTGCCAAAATCCCTCTCTCCCCCTCGGGGTCTCACTATCGGTGTGCTGAAAACAGATGGTCTCGTTACCCCCCTTCCTCCTATCACCCGTATTCTGGATGAAGTCGCCGAGACACTCCGCCATACTCCCGGCGTTGCAGTTATCGACATCCCTCTTCCTTCGGTCCTGCCCAAGTGTCAAGCCCTAGCGGGCCGACTCATGGGTATTGATGATGGCTCTCACATGCTTGATCTGATCGAAAGCATGGATGAAGAACTCACCCCTTGGTTGCAAGGCCGTATGAAGCGTGGCAAGGATCTCACCATTCCTCAGCTTGCAGCACTACAAGCCCAGCGTGCAGAATTTGAAAAGGAGATGTTGAAGATGTGGACTCTATCAAGTGGCTCGTCTAAAGCTAGACGCGTCGACGCTATCATCTGCCCGGTAGCCCCACACCCGGTGCCGCAGCTTGATCGCTACAATGCCGTTGGTTATACATCTACGTTTGTACTACTGGACTATCCAGCAGGTGTAGTCCCTGTTCGTTCTTTTGCAGAATCGGATCTGGAGACTGGACGGCATATGGACGCCCCTGTGCTGGGCAGTTGGGACAAAGCTAACCGGCAACTCTGTAAGTTCACACCAATAATTGGCTTCTGGGGCTGGAATTGCTAATGTTCTATATACAGGGAACGAAAAGACAACCGACCGTCGTGTATACCTGGGCTCACCCCTCAGTGTTCAAGTCGTGACCCCCAAACAGCATGATTATGAGCTCTTCCAAGCAATGGAAGTCATCGACCGAGCTATACAGGGCCAAGCAGGACCAGCCACTGCAAAGCTCTAATAAGTGACCTGAAACTTAAATGGCAATAATAGATCAACCATTACGACAGAAATCACTAATGGGCATCTTAACAAAGGTACACAGTAATTCCATTCAAGTCCATATAAGTCATGGAATACAAGGAATCAACTTCAAGACTCTCCCAGCTCCAAAACTAAAGTCTACCTTTAAGAACGGCTCCACCATCCGTAGCGATAACAGCGCCATTCAAATGACTCGAAGCCCTAGACGCCAAGAAAACAACAAGTCCCGCAATATCTTCCGGCTTGCCAAGTCTCCCATTAGGCGAGTACTCCTCCATCTCCTTCATCCCGCCCTTCGCCTCGATCAGTCCACTGGCCATCTTGGAGGGATAAAAGCCCGGTGCGATAGCGTTTGTCAAAACATGTCTCGGACCCAGTTCGACGGCTAGGTTCTTGGCAATGTGGATTGCGGCTGCTTTCGACGCTGAGTAGGAAGGCGTAGCATTCTCGCCGACGGTGCCAATTCCAATTCCGGCTACCGAGGCGGTTATAATTACCCGTGAGGGGTTGAGTAGGGTAGCGGTTTTGGTGAGGAGAGGTGTGAATCTGGGTGGTATGTTAGTTTTGTTTCAGTTTTCTTTCGCGGAGTGGATGGGATTATTATTGAGCTTACTTCTGAATCGTATAGAAAACACTCTTCACGTTCAAATCCATTACCTTGGAGAACATCTTCTCCGGGTGTGTGTCGAACTTCTCACCCCATGTTGCACCGGCGTTGGCGAACAGGATGTCGACGTGGTCGGTTGTTTTGCTCACCTCTGCGACTAGGCGGTCCAATTCCTCCATCTTTGCGCTGTCGGCTGGGACGGAGATGGCCTTTGCGCCTGGTCGCTTGTTTGGCAATGCGTTCAGGGCTGCGACGGCTTCATCGCAGGCTTCCTTCTTGCGAGAGGTGATATAGACTTTTGAGCAGCCGGCTTGGAGCAAACTATTATTGATCTTAGTTTCTGGGTTGCTTTGGCTTGTTCTTGGTCAATGGCTTACCCTGATGCTGCGTGTAGTCCTAGGCCTCTGGATCCGCCTGTTACGACGGCGACTTTCCCCTCGAGAGAGAAGATGTCGGAGAAATTGCTCAGCTTGACTTGATCTTCGGCAGACATTTTGGTTGTTGGAGGTCAATTGGAGGGAGGTTTGGAGCTTCAAATAGTTTGCCGGTTAGCTTGCGCCGATTTGACCGAGGCTCGCGGCTGACCCCGCAACCCTTCAAGGTTGGGAACCTGGGGGATTAGTAATCTGCAGCAAGGGTCAAAGGTCAAATCATTAATGGTGCAAATGGTAACTTCATGTTAGTATGGAATTGATTGAGATATCTATTGTGAGGTTTGCAGATATCAATGGGAGGCAGATGTTGGGATGGGGGCCAGGTATCGCCAGTCATAACGCACTCTCTTGCAGTACATTCAAGTTCACGGATAAGCACTGATGTCTTTCGCCAGTTCACAGAATTCCCAAGACCAAAGGGTTTCTCAAAAACTTATATTCAGCTCTTCAGTCTTTGGCCCTCTTTGACCCTCTTTGATCAAGATGCTCTTATATATCAGAGAGGCTCAATATATCACTTGGTCGGGACCTGGAGCTTCTCCTCCCACTTTGATACAAAGATGTATACAATGCCATCAACAGCATCCAAGCATCGGAAATCACAAGAATGAACCTGATATATGCCCTATATACGGTCTCTCTATGGCCTCTGTTTAATGCCAAAAGGTTCCACTGGACCCTGCCAATCAAAGTAAACCGGAGCAAATGTGCTCAATCCCACTCAATTGGGAAACACCTTGGTGGCCTCAACTGACGTGCTTGGAGGACCTTGTGGCTCTTGATCCTCCGTCTTCTCCTTTATGTTCTCTCTTTTGATTCTATTCACAACATCTCCCTACAATCATGGCCTCGCAAACCCACACCCTCCCTCCTTTGCCTTACGGCTACGATGTAAGACACCCCAGATCTCCAAACCCAGGTCTCAACATGTTAACACCACTCAGGCCTTGGAACCCATCATCTCAAAGCAGATCATGGAGCTCCATCATCAAAAGCACCATCAAACCTATGTGAACAACCTCAACGCCGCACTCACAGCCCAAGTCACAGCCACCCAGTCAAATGACGTCCCTTCCCTTATCGCCCTGCAACAGAAGATCCGCTTCAATGGCGGTGGTCACATTAACCACTCCCTCTTCTGGAAGAATCTCACTCCCCCCGGTACCCTCGGTAATGATATTGCCGGTGCCCCCGCCCTCCGGGAAGCTATTGTTTCCCGCTGGGGTTCGCACGAGGCTTTCGTCAAGGCGTTCGGTGCTGAGCTTCTTGGCTTGCAGGGGAGTGGATGGGGTTGGCTCGTCAGTAAGGGAGGTCCGAAGGGACGGCTCGAAATTACTACGACTAAGGATCAGGATCCTGTTACTGGGCCTGATGTTCCTGTTTTCGGTGTTGATATGTGGGAACATGCTTATTACCTGCAGGTCGGTTTCATTCTTTCGCTACTGCGATGTGGACTTTGCTGACTGTTATCTTAGTATCTGAACAATAAGGCTGGGTATGTCGAGGGTATCTGGAAGATCATTAATTGGGCTGAAGCTGAAAAGCGTTACACTGCTGGCGTGGAGAACCTTTTGAAGCTCTAATTTGAATAGTTGACTAAAGTTGCACGATTAACTATTCCTACATTCTAGTCAAAATAGTTCCAATACACTGGTATCACAGACACAGTTAGGCTTCCACGCAGATATTATAAACAAGTAATAAAACTCCATTCCAATGATACCCATGAAATACGTATGTACAAGATCCCAAAAACCAGATGATCTAATTGTATCCCACAATTCCGATCCCCAGAATTGAACCACCCTCCTCTCTGACCGTGACCTGTCGACCAATAATCCCCTTCTCCGAAACACCCAAGTCTAACCGTTGAGGCAAGTCAAACACCATCTCAGTATGACTTGCCGATCTGGAGTTTCGATCTTTCGTCATTTCCAATCGGAATTGATGAAGTGGAGTATTCTCCAATGAAGTGTTTGAGATATCGCCATATTTCCTGCTGAATGGTTAAGGCTTTGTCTTTCGGAAGATGCGTTCCATTCAAAAGGAGAAGAGGAAGGTCTTACTCGATCCGCACATCGACACGTCCACACTCGCGAAGCGCATGGTATGTCTCGGTGTCATCCATTCGGAAGATCGCTTTTGTTTTCTGGGATGGGTCTGTGTCGCGGAAGAAGAGAGAGTATGAGGAGATTGAACTTGTTGAAGATGTAGATGTAAATGACGAGATTGATTCTGGTGATGAGGGTCGGGATCCCTCTGATGGACTTGGGCTAGTGCGATTCTCGGGGAAAAGAACGGCGATGGTGCCTCCCATGGTTGGACGGGTGCTTTCTCCACACATTGTATAGAGTGGAGATTAGATGGAAGGGGTGGAAGAGGTGAAAGAGGTATAAGTAGCTGTGTTGTAGATAGTGAATATGTTCAGAGTCAAGAATAAGTGAAAGAGAAAAGAGAAGCGAAACCCAATGGCCAGAAGAGAGGTATAAATCCCCAAGGTTGGCCACCAAGGTGACGATGAGCGGGATCGAGCACAACTGAGCACATTTGCGGTGGAGCCTGAGGCATCCAGAATCATTTTCAGTCGATTCCCCATGAACTAACTCATACACAAGAGAATAAGACAGCACACTTGGATTATTATATTTCCTACGCCTCACACGAGCAAAGTATCATCACCAGATATCTCTTGAGAATTCTACTGTATCAGACGGTGATCCCCCAACCACTCTCATTGGCCCGTTTTGATGCCCTTGACCGCCCCCCAATCGGTAAAGCGGCCGAGCTTAGAAACTTGAAACTCGAGGCTTCTGAGCGTAGATACTAAGGCTAGTATCCTCATTGGCAGTCAATTTGAATACTGTTGGCCTTTCTCCAGGCCTCTGCAAACTCAAAATTGTGTCGAGATATTCCAACCCCTTTCTGTGCGGGTCGACGGTCTAGAATGGCCGTTTCTAGAAGCCCGTTTGCCGTCTGCTACCTGATTAGCGTATACTTAGAACTAAATTAATTCTTTGGGGTAAACATCTGAAATACGCCAAGAAAATCTCAACTGTACACTAAACACACACTCTATTGCTTATCCTCTTATCGCCAGAATGGCCGACATCCATGCCGCACCTCAACCCCACTCTCCCTCCACCACACCATGTCCGACTACTACGACCTGGGAGACTACCGTCGCCAGGTAACAACTGACAACAGCGATGCCCAAATCTGGTTCAGCCGGGGCCTAATCTGGGCCTATGCCTTTAACCACGAAGAATCCGTTCGCTGCTTCGAGAATGTCATCGCGGCCGACCCAACATGCGCAATGGGGTACTGGGGTCTAGCCTTCGCGCTAGGACCGAATTACAACAAGCCGTGGCAGCTCTTCGACGGGGACGACCTGGCGGCGACGACAACGCGCGCGCATCGCGCTGTCCTCGACGCGAAGAAATATGCTCCCGCGGCGTCGGCTTTGGAGGGCGCGCTGATTGATGCGTTGCTTTGTCGGTATCCGCAGGAATTGCCGGTTGGGGATTGCTCCGTGTGGAATGCGGCGTATGCCGACGCGATCACATTGGTTTACGAGGAGTATCCCGATGACCATGATGTTACGGCGTTGTACTGCGACGCGCTGATGAATCTGACGCCGTGGAGTTTGTGGGATTTGAAAACGGGCGACCCGACCCCTGGCGCGAAGACGATGCAAGTAAAGAAGGCGCTGGATCGTGTTCTGGATCAAGATGATGCGCTCTGTCATCCGGGTTTGTTGCATTTGTATATCCATCTCATGGAGATGTGTGGCACGCCGGAGATTGCCTTGCCAAAAGCCAATTGTTTGCGGGGGCTTGTTCCTGATGCTGGCCATTTGGAACATATGCCTTCCCATATTGATATCTTGTGTGGTGATTATCGACAGGCGATCGCGTCAAATACTTCGGCCATCCGTGCTGATGAGAAATACCTTGCGAGGCAGCCAACAAGTCATTTCTATAATCTCTATCGGGCACATGATTACCATTTTAGGATGTATGCTGCTATGTTGAGTGGGCGGTCGAAGATGGCCCTCGAGACCGGCGCTGAGCTAGCGCGGGTTCTGACAGAGTCGATTCTGCGTGTTGAACTGCCGCCCATGGCTGACTGGTTGGAAGGATTCGTGGCGATGCAAATGCATGGGCTGATTCGTTTCGGTCGCTGGAACGATATCATTGCTCTAGAGTTACCGGCTGATCAAACGCTCTACTGTGTGACTACAGCCATGATGCACTACGCTAAGGGTGTTGCATTTGCGGCCACAGGGAAAGTCACAGAAGCAGAAGAAGAGCGCGAACTATTTCAGCACTCAAGGCAAGCGGTGCCTGACTCACGCATGCTCTTTAACAACCGCTGCATTGATATCCTAGGCGTCGGAGAGGCAATGCTGGATGGCGAGATCGCGTATCGACGCGGCGAGTATGAGACAGCATTCAGCCACCTGCGCGCAGCCGTTGATAGAGATGATTCGCTGCCGTATGATGAGCCCTGGGGCTGGATGCAGCCGACTAGGCATGCGCTTGGGGCGTTGTTACTTGAACAGGGGAGAGTAGAAGAGGCGTTCATGGTCTACGCTGCGGATTTAGGCATGGAACCCACGTTGCCTCGGGCGCTCCGTCATCCGATGAATGTTTGGGCTTCGCATGGGTATCATGAGTGTCTGGTCAAGTTGGGTCGGAAAGCTGAGGCGAGGGCTTTTGCGTCTCAGTTGAAATATTGTTTGGCTCGGGCCGATGTGCCTATCAAGTCTTCTTGCTTTTGTCGGCTTGAGACTGATTGATACTGTTTCTTTGCTCTGGTTACTTCTGGCGCGATACCCCAGGGTTGTTAGGCCTATACGCCTGTCCAGAATATGCCTTGCGAACCTCCCTTCAAAACGGACTTGAATCTGGAGAAGTTAAAAATCACCAGTCTACTCCAATCTCCTACGAAGCAGCTTCCCACACAGCGCACAAGGATATAAATAGACCACCATCATTATCCCTCGGGCCCCCAACTCCAGCTACATCCCACCCAATTTCTCAAGAATGACATAAACGACCGGTCGGAATTGAGAGCCTGGAGACGCTCAGTAGTCCGCTCAATCCCAGCGCTTGTGCGAGGAAGGCAAATACTATCCGACAAGTGATCGCCAAAGTTCTACTCAAACTCGTAACCCACAAATCAACATAAGGTAACAGGGGAGAAGTGGTAATCAGGAACCAGTGCATATTTCTTTGTTCCAGAATCCGGCCTCGCCATATTGTGCGGAGGGCCGAGGAATGAGTTTTCTCCGTTTTCGCATAAGAATTCATTGATCTCCTTTCCAAGCCAAGTTGCATGCCCCAGGAGACCGGTATTTTGCTCGCAACCGATGTCAACATCCATCTGTCGATTATGCTCCCCTTGAATGTGCTTGACTCTTGCCAGGCACTGGCACTAGTTTGGTATACGCTTGGGATTTGTCTGGTATCAGGTCATTTGCCCTTTGCTTTGCCAACGCTATCTTGTAAAGATATCTAATAATGGTTACCTGGCGATTGCTTACAGTAAAGGGATAAATCTCTACAAGGAGAATTATGAGGGTTATTCTCAAGAAGACAGAATGATTCTGCATTGTTCGAGGGTATAAACTTGTTGGATGGTTAGGATACTAGAAAGGTTCGGCTCGGGCCGGTACCAAGATGCTGTCTTCGAGTGATCGAGACATTTAGATTGCTGGTAGCCTTCGAGAATAGATGGCGCTGGGTTAGTAAGTTTTTATCTTTATTGAAACTTATCTTCAGGCCAGCTGCAAGGCTTGCTTCCTTTGATGGCGATGATATATTGAAACAAGCTTTGCCTTTTCTTCCCAGATTTCATGTTACGTATGAGATATAGAGTAGAGAGATTCGGAGTATCCATAGAAACAATATTGGAAAATGAATTCGTGTGCGTCATTTCCATGTGTTCTTGGCCAATATATACGGTTTTTTTCTTATATCAGCCTCGTTCCCTACCGTCCCCATCGAAGGAAGGCAAGAAAGAGCGCATAAGTTCTTCGCTGAGGGAATCATAAGGAAAATATGAATCATCTGTTTCAGATGGGAGTTGCAGTGAAGTCGTCAAATCAGGAGTCGGGAAATTGAGGTATGTCGTGTAAAAACCAGTTTCTGGGACTGGTCCAAAAGTATCCGGTCGAAAGGAATCCATCAAGTCTTCCGACCGCGGGTCATGATAGTCGCTGGGGGCATATGAAGCCACTTGGTCGGACCTGGAATGAAATCCAGACGTCGCGTCGGTCACCAAGTTTTCAGGTTGGGGTGACGAAAAAGGTATATCGTCGGTGTTATAGTTCAATTTGTTGGCCAGGTTTCGGAAGCTGGAGTTGCACAGTTGCCATGCCCGACGCGAGCCAACACTGCGGTCCGCCATTGCAAAAAGCCAGCGGATGGATTTCTTTGATAGTCTAACGAGGTTGTCCTCGTCTTCCGGCGCGTGGACGCAGCCAAATGAAAGCTCAAGGAGAATGATGGTGGCGGCCTGCATGAGATAGCGCAGTACACCCCACCACGGACATAAGTGGTAAAGCTGAAAGACGTTTGGATCATTCGGAATCAGATCAAGCATGCAGGTAGCTGATTCCAAAGTGAAAATGGCCATCGTATAACCATATGTCCAAGGAGAGTCACTCTGGCGTGCATCCCGCCGACAAAAGCAAGGGCGGCCGAGGATCATCCGCGCGCTATAGTAGTGAAACGCCAGAACTAATCTGCATCGAAGCTGCTCAGGGCTGTCGTCAGTCGGCTCTTTTTCAAAGTCAAATGCGGCGGGCAGGCCCGATTTCCAGATATTGATTCGAGCTCTGAGTTCATCAAGCCGGCTTTCAATCTCCGGCCACGCAAGCGCCACAGCGTTGGTTGAATAGACCTTGTTCACAATTTCTTGCGTGACTACTGCCAGATCACAGTAGTAGAGATAACATAGCCCCATATTCGCCGGCAAGCCTTTCAACCAAGTTTGATCCCGTGGCCGGGATTTCTGGGTTTCGTCTAGAGCGCTGATCCATGAGCTCGCCATCACCTCACTGATTCGCTCTTCCCTCAATGTATCGTTATTGAGAACCTCTATGGCCGTTGGATCATCTTGTAATTGGTGCTCTTCAAAGGGGAGCGGGAGAGGAGTAGAGTAACCGCCGTCGAGAGTATAGATTGCCCGACCGGTCATCACGCCCAACAAATGCTCAAAAGTGTACAAAGACCACCATACTCTATAACGTGTTTCTTTAGCAATGCTGGAGTTTTTCGGGTTTGCGGCTCTGAGATTGAGGCCGAGTGTGATGGCCGAACGCAGAGCCAAAGCTTGGATTCGCCACGCACTATTCCAAATCAGTTGGTCAATTCTGGTCTGTGGAAGCTGCACTTGGATACTCACCGATTGATTTGATCTGACGCAGCTAGATAGAAAGCAATTAAGCCCTCAACTTGAACTTGCTGCAGATCAGGGTGGCTGAACAAGATTTCGCCGTTCATACTTAACCGGCGACCCCGGGTCAGGTATACCAAATGATCATTCTCATCGCCACGCCACGGGGCCTTAATCAGATGCGCATGCCTGGCGGATATTGCAAATATTATATTCAGGATCGCAAGCCACTTATCATTCGGCCGGTTCGAGTGATCGAACAACCCTTCGTACTGGAGACGAAAGATGGACTTGCTGATGATGGGAAAGAAAGGGTGAACCGTTTCTAGGTAGTCGTCAAGGAGCTGATTGGCAAGCGGCTTAGACGGTAGGGTGTAGAGCTGTATCGCCTCCGGCACACAAATATCGAGGTCATCGAGGCGGTAGTTCAGGGTATGAAGAGAGACTCGATCCTTTGTCGGTTCCTTTTTGCCAGGGCCCGAGGCATCTGTTCGACTTCTTCCAGATCGTCGGTTGATTTCCTTCTGAAGCCTCTTCATCCATGAAATTTCCGAGGATTTTCCAATAAAGCCGGTTGCGCGAGTGCGAGTCGTCCGGTTTAAGTCCTCATCCACTCGATCAATGGCTTCCAGGGACCCGATGGACAGTGGTGAGGATGGTTTGTCGGATTCAACCGTATTCTGTGATGTCGATAAAAGAGACTGCGGGTATTCGAAGGGGGTTGTATTCTGGCCATGCTGATCCCAGTATTAGCGACAGTTCCTCCGGGGGTCTGGTCTTCACATATTCACCTTATCCAATAAAGCCTTCACCCAGCCACTGGTGCGAGACTCGGTGGCATTCCGCAAGTCGTGTAGCAAGCTCTCATATTCTTGCACTGCTGCTGAGAGTCTTTGAATCTCCCTGTTGTGTTTCCATAGATAAGACTTGAGTTGTTTTGTTTTCTTGTGTTTGTTTCTTCCAGCCTAGTATATTCCAGGGCTCACCTTGTCATTTTTTCTCGCCATCCCACCGGATAATAACAAATGAGCCCCAGTTCTCGGCATTGGCGGCAGAGAGGTGTGTCACCACTGCATTTCGACTTCCGGCGTCGACAAGCCTCACATGCCCGGGGCACCCTGCGACTGTATCGCGGGATTGCGTCTGTATTCTGGCGCGGAATTGCAATTTTGGCCAGTTGAGCATCTCCGACCGTTGTTTGAGCTCTATTCGTCCTCCCCGCGGAAGCTAAATCGGTCGAGGGTCCACTTAAAATTGCAGGGGCACTTTGTGGCTCGGAGGGCTCGGAGGGCTCAGAGGGCTCTGTTTCTTGCCCATTCCCGTTCTTCATGCTGGAGAACATATATTAAACAGAGAATCTCTCTAAACTCTTTTGCCAGGAGAATAGCTAGCTTAATTCACCCAGAAAATAGGCGGCCAATAGGTTGCCAGGTGCGACACTATTGCTTCGGTCTGAGATACCGCCAATCAGAAGCCCGCATTTCCAGAACCGGAAACATGTGGAAACGCAAGCCCTAAAGTTGACGGAGGTAGAAATGCCATCCCCCCTTGATTTGATCTATGCCGAAACCTTGACGGCAGGTCGTATCCATAGATTCGGGATTCTAGGGTTAGCAGAGATGTTTAGCGAGCGTATGTGCCACCAGGATCTCGTGTGCACCCGATGCAAGCTCAAAAATATGCATGCGGTCTGCCAGAGTATCAATAAGGATGCACTCAATTTTTCAAGTACTTCTGTCTGGGTTGGGTTTCTTTCAGTTTCACCGCTTCTTTGCCTATCTTCGAGTGCTTCGGGTCGAACATGTAGGCTCGAGAAAGCTTGGAATGTAAATGAACCATCTGGTATATGCTGGTAGTTCCCCAGAAAAGCTATACAATCCTAAAAAGAATTAAAAGTATAGATACTTTCCATACGTTCATCTGAAAAAGGCATTGATATTCTAGATAACAGAAACGGATGTGTCGAGGCATTGGCCTGGGAGATGATACGATGTATCGTTTACTTTTGATTCCAAATGTCGCGAGGTCAGTCACTTCGCTGTGATCAAGAGTCCATAAGCGGCTGTACTTCCGAGGGCAACTGAGCCGTGTCATCGGTCTTCAATCTGGTCTACTTTGAGATCAACCCTGCTCACGCGCTCATGATGTAAGAATAGCTTGCCCGACGACAAAATCGGCCTATCCGACCTTCCAAAGCCTGCAGAACTCCAGTCGTTGGATTGATCACTTCCCTTGGGACCCTAACATACGTACTGATTTGATGAGCGCAAAAAGTGTTCTCCCTGCAGACTATTCACGAGCTGAAAGTTGAGAACAAAAGTCGGTAAAGATGTCGTCCGTAGCAAAGGCTGGATCGGGCAGCAATTGCGTGATCATCGGACAGGTCTTGAGATTGAAGGCAAACACAGGCCGAACAGAACATAAAATTGAAGGGGGTCGGTAATTTCATAGATCTGGTATGGCATGCCGAGCTTCTCATTGGCGGGTTGAGACCCAAAGGCATATCATTGGCGGAACGCCAACCGCAGGGGAGCATGAGGCTGAAAATTTTGTTGTGAAGGCCTACTTCTTGCTATATAACACTATTCGAGAAGTCTAGCAGTTCTCTTATATTAGCTCACAGAGAAATACTTAATGATGAATCCGGCCATAATCAAGCGTATAAAAAGAAATCCGTAGAAAATGGCGATACATGAACTGTGCCTATAGACCTCATTTCAATGGATCTGAACTTGAAATTTGCCATTGCAGAATACTACTTGCTCGTGATTGAGTAAACAACATTGCCATACTCAAATTGACTGTCATGCAGCTAACCAACAATCCATTCCCGGTTTTGTTGATCATCCCAGTCGACTGGCACCAAATATCCTTTCTCGGGCAACCCTCCAAAGTTAGCGCTGACAATAGATATGATTGTCCCCCGGCAGACATATTGTGCATATTGGACTCCATCTTCCGTTGTATGTAGTAATACCACTGCACACGATATCCTCGATCCAGGCTGAGAAACTTTTGATCCGCGTACAATGATCCCATACTTCGCATTTGGTTCCAAAGTAACTGGTGCGCTAGTCTGTAGGAGACAAACAGGAGACGTACTGCTTGCATTTTCAAGGTTGTGCTCTTCGAGCCATCGCTCCCAGGCCAATTGCCCCTCGTCAAGGTCAAAGAGGCTGAGATCGAACACTATTCGTGATTGGACCAACCATGACGAAAACAGAGTGATCTGGAGCCCTCTAGGTGTGATCTTCCCGGCTCCGCTTGACAAAAAGCCAAGGTCCTCGGTATATTGACACACTTTCATCGCCCAGCGCATCCCATCTTCTTCGAACCGTGGCCCGGGCTGGAATAGCACATCTTGGGGGAAATCTTCAAGCAGGCCGTAGAACTTCCGCATGCGTTCGTCGGAGCCCTTCGCAGCGAGGATTTCTTTCAAGTCGAGATTGAGAATGCCTGCTAGAATAATTGGACGATCGCTTGCCTTGCTGGTGGTTCGCGTGGCTACATGAAACCAATTTGATGCAATGAGTCGATCTTGAGTAAGGTCGCGTTTTTCAAAGGGGCTAGCGACAAAGTCGACGAAACGGATAAATTTGGATGCATATTCAACCGTGTGTTGGAAATAAGAGAACCAAACACCAATGGCAAAAGTGGTGGTTCTCTCCTGTGTGATGGGGAGTTTGCCTCGATCAAGCTTGGTTAGGAGCTCGTTCGCAATAGTTGAAATATTGACTGCCTTGTCAGAGAACAGCACGTACAGCCGGCTTTTAGCGGCTAGTCCTTCTTGAAGTGTCCATAGCCGGCGCATCCACCCCGAGCAGTATAGCACCCTTAGGAGAAGTTCCAGGCGACTGGTCGAGCTGGCGCTCACATGCCTCATCTCTGAATCGAGAATCATGGTCCGGTAAGCTGCAATCTGTCAGACTTTGATTCAAGGGCGTGTAGTCGTGTGCTAATATCACTGACCATCTACATATACTTCCCGAATGCGTTGAATTGCCAGGCTGCGGACGTCCGGCTGATGCGGTATACACAAGGTATCAATCCACAACAGTACTGAATCGTCTTTGCGTAATACTTGATTGCCCGCGAAATGAGCAAGTCGAGCAGCACCAGTGTGCAGGGGACCAAACGGACCGCCCTCGTAGCGCGGGACATATTCACCACCGGTGAGAACACATCTTGCCTGATCATACAGAAGCTTTAATTGACAGTTTGGGAGACTGTTACCCTCTGTGTTGCCCAGTCCATCGGACCAAACATGTGAGATGGCCAAGTATTGCTTGCCAACGCGCTTTCTCACAATCTCAACCTTGACATTCTCGTTGCCGAGCTCGTCCTCGCCAGGCGTGATCATCAATAAGGGAACTCCTCCATCTCGGAGAATTGTTTGCAACTGCTCGACATTTGCCTGGAGATGCGAACAGGTGCACTCTTCTTGCACATGTCGCGTGACATAGTCGCTCTCATCGACGTTGTTTGCCACACATTCTCCCTTCTTGCAGGACTCGTGCGTTTTTGTATTCCAACTGGCCTTGACACGCATTAATTGAAGCAGAAACACCGGGGTTTCTACTCCCCCGCCGGTCATGCGACATTTCTCGACCTCCAGGGGGCACCACCCTTCGGCAACCATTCTCTTCGACTCGAATTCTCTGCTGAGAATCCATTGCTGAACACGAGGTGTCTGGATCTGAGGGCCATCTCGCTTGACAGCCAGATGCCAGAGAAGATAACATACCAGCCGAATAGCCAATGCCATTTCATCCCGTATATAGTCATGACCATATTCAGAAAGCTTTTCACAGACTTTCTTGACAATCTCAACCGCTCGCTCCCCCAGTTTTCTCTTCTTCCATTCTTTGGCGTTGTCGATATATTTATGAATTAGCTTTGTTGTTATGCATTGCTGAGCCTCTTCTTCCCTGCGCAGAAGAAAATCAGACTGGTCCAGCTTGTCACCGAACACATAGTGAAGCATTCCGAAATAGAGCCAGCACTCTATTCCAGAATGAAGACTCTCCGGGATTGCACGTGAGCTGAACTTGTCGGCCCCTGTGTCCAATTTCCAGCCATAGCGAGTTGGGAACTGGTCCCAATTCCCTCCATCATATAGCGGACCGTTGTACTCGATCCAAAGCGGGTTTGGAGGCTCGCCAGGAAAGAACAAATGCTCTGCCATTGAAGTTGTCTGAGGGGATTGGAGAATCGAACTTTTTTCAGTCAGATGAAGCCCCACGTCAGCTTAGAGACTTAGCGTGTCCTAACACGCTGTCCCCGTGCTGATTGGTTATTTTTCCATGCCAATAAGGGATCTCTTCGTATTTGATATCTGTTGCCTCGATGTAAGTTATATGTTTCGCGGCAATGTCAGAGAAGATGCAAGTCTCCTTTTTTGTTGGGATTTAAGCGTCCAGGGCTGAAACCGTCCACCAGCATTGCTTTGTGATTGGAATATTAAGTCCTCTGTCTCTAGGTTGATGAAGTTGATATAGTTTACTTGCTATTTTGTAGTCTTCTAAGACCTGGGCAGTCTGTTTGTTTTCTTAGATAAAGCAGAGAAGTACCAAATCAGTATACGACAACATAAGGAACTGCAACCAGCTGTGGATTAGAAACTGGTGGAAACCTGCTTTTGACTGCGAGATCATACATTCATATCAGTGAGACTGCGTGCTGCGCATCTGTTTATCAAATTCTTTCCCTTGCGCGGTCTGAAGTAACTTTCGTCGGGTCTCCGGCTTATCGCTGGACCACCATTCTTCTTCCCACGACTGGAGGGAACCACCCCCAGGGAAATACTCTGGTAGTAGAGCTCGCCCAGCCCCCTTTATTTCTAACTCGAGCTTCATCAGGGTATGCATGACCTTGAATTCGGCGAAAACCATTGGCGTCGCGTTTGCCTCGTTTCTCGTATCCAAACGCATGGCCAGTTGAAGCGGTACCCCTAACATTGCCGGTTTACGTGGCGCCCCAGCTGTGATGAGATTTTGCAACATGCCAATCCCTCCCACGGCAAGTAGATACCATGAATGCTGTTTGATTCCCGTGCTGCTGAGGAGAAGTAGAAGCCAAAGCACCGCTAGCAGGAACGTCATCAGGCGTGTAGTATTGCCGGGACTCATCAATTGCATCAGTCGACCTCTACGAGTCCACCCTTCATTCTCATCGTGGGACAACTGACCCCCAGCCATGTCTTCCAAATCCAATCCACCGTTCGCTCCTAGCACGACAATCACATGCTGCGTGCCATTGCCAAGTGTCAACGCAATGTCTTTGCGCTTTTCCAAGGTTCGACATGCCCATTTCTCTTTCCGCCATTGCGGCAGCGCGCCAGATGCGTATGCCAGAATTGTACCGGCCACCGTAACCAAAAAGATGCTCCAGTCTCGGTACAGGCCAAACGGTATCGCACTGACGCCGAGCTGAACCACTGTCACGGCAATTCCCAGCCAATAAACCCAATCGGCATGAGGTTTTGCCACACGATGGTTTCCATTCAGTGCCCACTCGTAAACACCAACACAAAGGCGCGCCTGGTGGGGGCTCACGAATTTGCGAGAATTGAAGGGTATTTCTGTCGTTGCCGTGGCCTTCTTTGGCATATCTGTGTCCGCGACGCAAGCTTCCTCGTCCTTATATAAGACCGGGTGGCTTTGCAGTCTTTCTTTGACTTCTACAGGCATCCAAAATTCGTAATTTTGAAACACCCGCCCTAAAGTCCAGGACCGGTTGAACCGTGTATACCCCGACCCTAGATTGATTACCCGGAGCGAAGAGTCCGGGCACGGAGGCATCAGTCGATCCTCACTTAGGACAGTGAGTAACGCTGAAATAGCATATGACACCCATCCAAAGGAAAAGGTGACGGGAGCAATATGGCCGCCGGTTACGGCTGCCAAAGCGAGGCGAATGACATCCCCGCCGATAATTAACAGGATGGAGAATAAATCGGATGGATTCACCCACTGTTCGCGGAAACTCGAGGCTGCTTCGTCCATATTGGGTATGGAGAAGATCAAGATGTGACGAGCTTCAGTTAAAGTAGTGGGGGAAGCACACTACAGCGCTTGGGCCACAGCTGAGCCTCGCTTACCCCATTGAACACGAGAATATGCACGATTCAGCTCTATACGCAAATATCGTAGTCTAATATAATCCACAGTTGGGGCAAGGAATCAGCTTACGCATTGATAATTGGAGCACATACAAGTGCGCAATGATTTACAATGGGTATGTGAGACTTGTCGCGGACAAACTAGTCAATGTGTAGAGGCCTCTATTTAGTATCAACGGTACTCCAAGAAAGAACTTTACAAGCCATTTTTTAGATATTCTTTGCAAGTTACTTCTTATTTTTATTTATTATACAAGTTGCAGTGCGATTTGCTATGCAAAACACCATCCTATGATTTTCGTCTGCGTTTCTCAAGCAAGCAACTGTTTTGCAAGCTAAGTTGAAACAATGACTGCGGAGACGATATATTCGATTGATTTGGTTGTCGCAGTTGTGTCGGTGTGTATGAATCCTGGTTTGTCCGATTCCGGAATGCAACAGGAGGTTCTATAGGTGTGGCACGGCCTTCGGCAGCGATTCTTTCGTTTCGCTTCCTTTCTTCTTCTTGTTGATGGACGCCAAATGCAACGTCGAAGATTTCGCGAACATTCATAGTATCGGGGGTGCGAGAACCAATCTGGTGTCCAGCAGTCAGATTGGGAGGCACAAGATCCGATGTGTAGTCTTTGGCAGGAGAAGTGGTCTGGACCGGGGTTGGAGTTGCAGTTGCAGATGCAGATTTGGTTTCACTTGATGCTTGTTTGATCCAAGGATGGGCCATGAACTCCTTGATAGTAAACCGGTTCCCGGGATCGACCGTAAGAAGGTTTGAAACGAGGTCTTTTGCATCTTGCGAGATAGGATCCCACCACGGAGACTGGAAGGTATATTCTCCGCGGGTGACTCGTCTCTTCAAAATGGAGAGGTTGGGGTCATAGAATGGAGGGAAGCCAACGAGCAGCGTGAACAATACACATCCAAGAGCCCACATATCGACTCCCATGGAATACCCTTGATCGGAAATGAGCTCAGGTGCCGCATATCCCATTGTTCCACAAGGCGTCATGGTTTGATTGCCATATCCATGAATCAACTTGGATAGACCGAAGTCTCCAAGCTTGATCTTTCCTATTCCACCGCACCCAATATCGGGCACAAACTCGCCTTCGTCGGCCTTTTCTTCGTCGAGGTGGGTGCTAATTTTGTTGTGTTGTGTCCATGGTATGGAATAGAAGAAGATGTTCTCCGGTTTTATATCACTATGATACAAAGTCAGCATTATCCCCCAAAGGTGAGTGGTTATGGAACCAACCGGTGAACAACGCCTAGAGTACCATGCAAATATTCCACCGCTTTGGCAACTTGATGAATGACATGTCTGCTGAGATCTTCGCTGAAGTATGTTAATTTAATGACCTTGTCGAAGAGCTCGCCACCAGTGCAGAGCTCCATGATGATATAACAAAATTGGCGCGTCTCGAACGAATCGATGAATTGTACAATGTTTGGGTGTTCTGCTTCTTCGAGAATGTGAATCTCCTTGATCATATTGTCTATCTGTTGAATTTGTTAGCGGATGGAAGAAACCCGAACGATTCAAATATCATACCTGCTGATTATTCATTTCGTATTTTCTCTGTACCTTGATGGCAACCTCTCCATATTCAGAAGTTGAGTCTTTGGCACGGTAGACAGTACTAAATCCACCCTTGCCCATTGTTTCAAGGAGAGTCCAACGCCCCAGTCCAGGGTAGGAAGGCATCTTTGGCTCAGCCATCTGAGGGGCGATTGGCTTCTTCGTGTGCTTTTCAGTTTTGGAAGTATCAGGCTTCACTGTTTTCAGATTTTCTGGCACTGCACAGGTGCGGAGATAATCTGTAGATATGGGTACCATCGTACGATAAGAATTGGATTAAAAGGCTGGTATCAATACAAAATTGGCTTCATTATCTAGGGCGAGTTAAGCTTGATATAAGCATAAGAGGATACGTCATCGCCGAGAATCAAGTTGGCTTGTTGATGTAAGTGAAGATATCAAGGATAGATATCAGTTTCCCAAGGACCGCAATGTGGAGTCTGTCATCGTGCATTCTTCTAGGGTAGAATTCCAATTGGACGCGGATCTCACGTGAGAGCCGCTAGAAGCCTATCAGAAAGGTCGAAAACTGCCCTGAACATCACCAACCTCTGGTGTTTCAAAAGGCTCAACCCATTGAGCTGCTTGCATCATGTCAATCCGGAAGACGTTCAGCCTATCAGCGGGGTTCAAAGTGCCGATCTCAAGTATGAGTTGGGCTAACTTTGGTAGTGATCCACAAGGGGCGAATCATCATTGCTGCCTCAGGCCACAGTGGTAGATGGTGTTCCACGTGATGATGTGCGGACTTCGCCTCATCCCTGCACGTGATATGTGGCGTTTGTCCTCGGTGTGGCGCAAGGCCCATGAGTCAGCTCTCGGAGATAGGCGCAGACTACCCGATTGAGCCATTGATCGATGTTGTTAGATCCATCGAGACATCTGGTTTCGCCTCCCCGGGAGTTTAGGGTTTAGTGGATTCGAGAACCATCGAGTTGTGCGTTGTCATCACCGAGGATTTGGCCATATGGGGGAAATGACACTCGGCCCCGAGGATGCTGGCGAATATGATTGGAGATGGTGTGGTCTAGGCAGGCTTGAATACGTACACCACTATAATGAGTACGACGAACTTGGCTGCCTGGGTAGACAAGTAGATGTGTATATAAATACCCGTTGGTGGCTGCTGTGGACTGGCTTTGGAATCAGATTCAGTGTCATTCACTTTTCTTTTCTTCCTTCCACTTTTTATACCTTTTAGTATATCAACTTTCATCGTCAGCTAAGATCAGACGTATCTATATCATCGATCGATACCCTCAAGATGGCTTCCATCTATCAACTCAACCAACCGCCAAATCCCTTCTGGGATTTCCTCAACGGAAACTTGGAGAACCATCCTTTCTTTGCTCCTGGAGGTCACCATGAAAGACGTGGACGTCACGGCCACCGTCATGGATGGGGAAATCCCCAACAGAATGAGAATCTCCCACGGAGCACTGAAGGGCTTCACGAAGACTCAAACGGAGAGATGAAGAACGACGGCCCAGTATCCGACTCCGACTCCCCAGAGAACCACGGTGGCCGTTGTAATCACTGCGGCAAGGGCAAAGGCAAAGGCAGAGGAGGCCCCGGCCATGGACCTGGTCCATTTGGCGGAAGAGGAGGCAGGGGAAAGCATGGACACGGCCACCACCACGGCCCTAACCCCTTTGACTATCTGGATGAAAGCAGCCCGAAGGACACCGAAGCAGCTCAAGAGCAGGGCGAAAAAGACCTGAACACTGAGACCAACGAGAACCCAGTGACCGACACCGACACACAAGACAACCACGGCTCCGGCAGAAAATGCAAGAACAAGGGCCACGGAGGCCCAGGTCCTTTCCGAGGAAAGGGCGGCAAATGCAAACACGGCCATGGCCCAGCTGGTCCTTATGGTCACCCAGGCCCTCACGGCCACGGTCCCCGCGCAGGGCCATGGGGTCACCACAACCATCCCCACGGCCACGCAGGAATATTCGGTGGCCGCGGGCGAGGCCCTCACCACAGAGGCGGACATGGCAGGCCCCACGGCGGACCCCCATTCGGTCAAGGCTTTGCATACAATATCCTCCGCAACCTCGGAATCCCCATGAACGAGCCCGCATCCGAAGGCGTGGATTTCACGCCTACTGTCGACGTCTTTGATACCCCAGCCAAGTACATTGTGCACGTTTCACTCCCTGGCGCGAAGAAGAGTGATCTGAGCATCGACTATGACGCCGAAGAATCCGTTCTGCGGTTGGCGGGTGTTGTGCACCGTCCTGGTATTGATGAAGCTATGTATCAGGGCCTTGTTATGGAAGAGCGTGGACGGGAGATTGGCGTCTTCGAACGTGAGGTCCGATTTGGGACTAGGGCTGCGCCAGCTTCTGTTATTGTCGAGGGGATTTCGGCAAAGTTGGAGGATGGTGTTTTGAATGTTGTTCTGCCGAAGGTGGTTCCTGAGCCTGAGGTTCAGAAGAAGAAGGTCCTGGTTGAGATTGATGATGACCTTAATGAGAAGGGGGTTATGGATGAGAAGGTCCGTGGAAATTTCACTCCCGATGAGTCGGAAGTTAGTGACCTCGAGGATGGTGAGGCCAGGGACTATGTCAAGGTTCCAGTGCTGTGAATCAGTTGTTTCTGTTTGATGTTTGATGTTTAATGGCGTTTGGGTCTGAATATTCAGTTATAATAAGTTGAAACTTGCAATTAAGAATGAGCAACCACTCGAATTCGGGTGAATAAATACTATTTGAGTTCCCTAGAAGCTTGTAGACACAAATCTAGATAGATATTCGATCATATTTAGCGCTTTAACTTCTTGACGGGTATAATCAACTTTTGCAGAGAATGGTCAAGGCCAACAAAATCAGTAAAACATCATTAGAGTCATCATCGTATCATCGTGATCTGTAGTCATTACTAGATCGAGCATCATAATTTTTCCTCCCATTGCCCAATCCATTCGCATATGAAGCTGGTCCCCGAGACACGACAGAGCCGCGTGTCGAGACAGGCAGTAAATTCCCCCCATATTCAACATCCACGCTGCGACGCATCCGCGACAAGCTGATAATCTTCTCCATCTCCAACGTCTGTAGCACACCTTCTCGTTCAACCGGCGCAGCAGCCTTCTTCCGCCCAGCCCGCCAGCGCCGGCTACCCACACGGAAGAAACCACCAATGTCGTCAACGGTTAGGGCAACCCAGACAAGCGGGATGGAGATCGCAAAGCCAATGCCAAAAGTATACTTGGCCACATAGCCAAGATTCAAATTATTAAATTCTTTCAGATTGATCGTGAAAATGGACGTGATAAACGACAGCGGTAAGAAGACAATCGTGACAATGGTGAAGACCATAATCGTCTTACTCTGGCGTGTAGTACCAGCCGCCTGATCGCGCGCAAAGCGAGCCTCAAACGCATTGGCATGTTTCTGTTTGAGATCAAGCAGGTCAGTGATGGAGTGGTAGATACGTTCAGCCTGTTTATCCATGCGATCGATATCTTTGAGGTGCATATCGATCACACGCTGCTGGTCCTTGAACCGTTTTTTGACTTCGACCTGTGAACGATGCTGGCCTTGATATGTCTCGCAAATAACGTCTTGGAAATCGATAAGGACGTATTTTTGATGTTCCAGTACTGTGCGAATCATGTTTAGTTCATCACGGATGTCTTTTGTTTCGGCTAAGAGATCTGTTTCTTGTCCGATATCTAGGAGTCGGTCGACAAAGAGTGGTTGACCGTCTTCGTCGCAGTAATCGCTCGTCAGGCCATCTTCATCTACAGACTTGGAGAATGATCCGTTGAGCTTGCGGTGGCTTTTAAGCCAGTCGGATGCTTGCACCGAGGCGTGGTTGAATTGGTTGAAGAGCAGTGTTTCCTTGTCCGTTGCGATACCAATGGAGGATTCGAACATATCCAGGAATTGGTACTCCTCGTCGCCTAGCCGGTGGCGATCGAAGACTCCCGAGCAACGGTTCGTGATGATGATTGCCAAGTCATATACTGATTTGACCGGGTCACGAGTCTTGGAGTTGATATCCTCGATGATCCCATCTAGCACGTTGAGCGGGTCGTTCTTGGGCTGGTCCCATCTCTGTGGGAAACCTGTGACGATCAGGTTCGTGCCGAGAATCCACATCCACAGCTGGTCAACCATGAAGATCTTGGGGTCGTGGCCCATTCCCGGGCTTTTAGTCTGGTAACGGTATACTACTTGGTCTTGGTCACGGCTCTTAGTATCGATGTTCGGGTAGAAGAATTGGTCAAGTGTTCTGCGGACGTGTAGGGAGGTTGTTGAAGATGAGAGATGTGCATCAATGAGCATTTCGTCTCTTGTACGCATTCTCTTCATTCCTCCTGGAAGAAATTCCAGCGTTTCGGCGCGTTGGATCGCATCCTGCATCTTTTGTCTTCGCTCTGTTGTCTCGAAGTGAAGATATGGCATGAAGACACAGATGTTGCAAGCGGATAGAAGAGAATGGGGGTCTTTGCACATTGACGATGATAGAGGCGACGATCGAGCCTGTTTCTCGCTGAGTCCCCAAGGGGATTTTCCTTTCTCGTTTTTGGGGGTTCCTGGCGCGCTGCCCGACTTGCCACGCTTCTGGTTCTGGCTTTGGTTCTGGTTCTGGTTCTGATTGCCTTTGCCTTTCTTCGCTGGCTCATCCTGAGACCATGAATCGACTCGCTCCGTCTTGCCGCCTTTTACTTTGCGAGATGAATACTCTGCTTTGGCTTGTCCTTCTGACGATTCCTCCTCTTTCTCTTTCTCTTCCTCGTTCTTTTCCTCGTGTCGCCGCATCATCGTCCGCGGTGTATTCTGACACAATGGACGCATGAAATGGGAGTGAGTCCGCTGACCCCGGTGTTGATAGTTGAACGATTTCTCCAGGCCCTTGAACCCGTCCACATCGTGAGCTCCCTCCTCAATGAATGACTTGGTCAGCAAAGCTTCCACCCAGGCCATATTGTTAGCCGGTAAATGAATCCAGCGGAAGTCCGTCGCACGACTGTCAGTCGGAATAGTTGACACAGCCTGCTTGCGAGGATTCTCCCGGTCTCTGCCGTAAAGCAGATCAAAAACAGACATGCGCTTGACCCGATTCTCATTGTGAAAGTTGCCAAAATCCACAACCGTCGCATCGAACGCAGCACAGGCATCCTTGATATCATCCGACAGCGACTCAACATTGTTGAACGGCGCCAACAGCAACACAATATCCTTGCGCTTGAACTGCGCCGCCCTGAGAAACGGCGTACTCCCAAAGTTATCTCTGACCCTCCTCTTCAAATCATCTCTCTCCAGCAAACACTCGACCACTTCTCGGTGTCCGCTCTGCGCCGCCAGATGCAAAGGTGTCACTCCATTCAACAACTGCGCATTCAGCAGGGCCCCAGCCTTCAACAGAATCCTCACAATGCCCTCGCATCCCTTATCACAAGCATTATGCAACGGCGTCCACCCACCATCACTGGCAGCATTCACCGAAGCCCCATGCTCCAGCAATAAGAGCACAATATCCACGCGATCATGCGCAGTCGCAACATGTAATGCCGTCTTTCCTCTCAACTCCACCGCATCAATCTCCATCCCCTTCCCAGTGCTCTTCGCCAGTAGCAACTCCACGAACCTCCAATTCCCACTGGCACACGCCCAATGCAACGGCGTCCGTCCCAGCTCATCCACACTCTTCTCTCCTGCCACGGCAACTTCAGTCCCCAGCAACAACAGCACCACCTCCTCTCCCCAACCCCACCGACAATCTTTGTCCGCAGCAAGATTGTGCAACGCATTCCTCCGGCGCAAATCCCTTTTATTAACATCGGCCCCACGGGTCAGTAACAGCCCCAAAATGCGGGCGTGATTCCTCCACGCCGCCATCATAAGCGGCGTGCGCCCCTCTTTATCCACACAATCCGCCGACGCCCCAGCATCAAGCAACAACTCTACAATGTCATAATGATTCCGCTCCACGGCGCGGTGAAGCGGGGAGAGTTTATTCGACGTGACATCCGTCTTCGCGCCGATCGAAAGCAAGTATTTAGTCGCGGCGGCGTTGGCGCGTTCCGCGCTGCGCATGAGCCCGATGCGCAGGAACTGATCATTGAGTTGGTTGGTTTCGCGCGCAAGGGTGATGGTGTGGGCCAGGGCTTCGGGGTCGTTTGTTTCTGCGGCGCGGAGGAGCCGCGGCTCTAGTCGTTCGTGGTCGCTTGTTAGACTTGAGCGGGAGGGAGGCATTTCAGGATTTAGTGGTGAAAGAGTGTGTGGATTCTTCTATATGTTGAGACGGGGATTGGCATGGATTATCCATATGAACAAGATCCGAGTGAACACTTTTTGGCAGATGCGAAGCTAAGAATCGAACCAAGCTTAACATGGAATGGGCCCACACTAGTTCAGATCAGAGAAAAGCAGCGTTTGGCCCCTTTTTATGCGTCAGATTCGAGGTTGTCTCGTATTGGGTGTGGGGTAGTGCACAGTTTGCCTGTCCAAAAGTCTGTTTCTTCCTTTCGCATAGCTGGTACATTGTCAGTCTTTTACACAGTTTCGTATGAACCCGAATTCGTGAGATATAATCCAATGATACGAAATAGTACGCTCGCTTCAGGGGGCACGGTCCTTTGTTTTCTACTCTCCTGTTGCGTGAATCGAGACTCTGCAGAAGTTCCGCGGCATAATCGCGGCGGTATGGCCTTTTGATTACCGTAAAATATAGAAATACGATGTCGGTCGTGCAATTGATTGGAGCGGTATTGTCTGCGAACTTGTCTACGGGTATGGACTTAAGTTACGTTAACTAAGTATACTGCTGGAGACTTTGGGTCATGTTAGAACCACATCCTACATGGATCAAAACGCCCTCTGTATATAATAGTGGATGTATAACATTAGCGTGAGAATGAGCGCATTTTCATTATTATATTTTACTTACGAGAATGCATCAAATACTTGATATTATAATGAATCAGATCACCCTCGACAAAAACCAGTCAGAGGTCAGCACTGAAATGGAGAGGGAAAAGTCCCAAGCATTATCCGGTACATGTGGTCGACTTTCAAGCCTGATGGCACCAACGGCCTGCCGTAGTAGCAGGTTGTAGTACACAACTAAACAAACTGGATGCTATGAACTTGCTTCAAGTTAACTCATAGTCCGTAGGCAAATCCATTATATTGACTGGTTATTTTGAACTAGCTGTGAACGAGATATATAGAGTAGCGAGTGGAATTTAATGTGACTAGAGAATTACCATATTTCGTACAACATTCACCGAAGAAAGAAAGTAGATATTAAGTCTATATCGAATTACAGGGGAATCGAGGAGATGCTGATGCTGATACGCTGGTAATTAGGACTCTCCATGCTCCGAAAATTAAAATGTCTTGCTTTTTCGCTTTCCCTGTGCACGCCCAAGTGACAAAATGCGCCTATCAACAGAGAAAAAGGGAAACAAGATATGGTGGAAATCAACATCTGACCGGCGTTATTTAGTTCTTCTTTCCCTTCTTGGGCACCTCCTTCAGGATATCGTCGAAGCTCATGTTGGGGTTGAATCGACTCATGGGACGCGCAGGGGGTTCGATGGGAGCAATGCCGGCGGGAAGAGGCAGGGCTTCCAGTCCGGGGTAGATCGAGTGGCGGTGCTCCGTCCGGGCGCCAGCGCCGGGGGAACGCTGGCGCGGGATGGCAGGAGGGGGAGGGGTGAGACCACCTCCGGGGTGCATCATGGCGTTGGGCTCGGAAGAGGATTCGGCGGAGGAGTGATGACCTTGGTAGGGGGATGAGATGGAAGATTCAGCGTCCTCGTAGGTGGCATCTTCCATCATGGGAGGGTCAATCAAAGAACCAATCTCAGCCCATTGCTGAGCGACCTGCCAACAGTGACTACGGCGGTAAACACCTTCGACGCCGTTGATGACAACGTCAGTGGGTAGGCTGACGACACCAGCACCGCCAGCAACTCCAAACCAGCTGCGAGCAGTCTTGGTGTCGTTGTGGATCCAAGGAGCACCACCACGAGGGGCAATGCAGAGGAAGTACTCGACGCCTTCGCTGAAGTGCACGTCGGGGACATCCACGACGAGCATGGGCAGGGCCTGGATGACGCAGTATAGGAAAATCCACTGACCACAGCGGAGATCAGTGATGTCATTGATGTTCTTGCCCTGGGCACAACGACGTTCGAATTGCATGAAGCTCTCAATGAAAGGGGTGGGCCGCATGCTCTCCCGGGTGTAGGAGCCCATCAATACAGCATTGACGTCGGAGTTCTTGAGCTTCTTGGTACTTTGCTTGGCTTCCTTCTTGGCGTCCATGGGTTTGCGGTGCAACGGCTGCAACGAGGGGAACTGTGGAATGTCGAATGGAATGGGAGGCAGCACGGGGGGAGTACTGCGATCGTATTCGCTGAGAATATGACGCAGGGCGCGCACTGCCATCTCCTTGGGTTCAGAGGTAGCAGATGCTTCACCTGTGCCTGATACATCGATTGAACGGGTGGTCAGGGCGGTCCGGTCAACCAAAAGGTCGTATAGATCGGTAAAATCGTGGAAGAGATCGAGCAGGAGGAGACGGTTGAGACCATTTTCTTCAAACTCGTTCTTCTTCGAGCGCGCCTTGGGTGGCCACGAGCCGTACTTCTGTCTATAATACTGAATGGTGAAGCGGCGGAACTCGTGGAAGCTGGCTTTCCAGTTCTTGAAGCGGACCACTTTACTTTCCTCGGAAGTGTTCGAGTTAGCGGAACCGGAGAAGACCGAGGGGAAGTCGAAGTCGGCGAGTTTGCCATAGAGACCACGGAGACGGTTGTCGAGATCAATAAATGCTCGCTCCATCCGCTTTTGCGTGATGGGGTGAATGAAGGTATACTTCGGGCTCCTGAGCTGCTTCAACTCGTCCAATTTTCCAACACCGTGCACGAAACCTTCAATATAGAGCGGATAATAGCGTAGGCGCTCACCCAACACAATGGCCTCGATGGTCTTCTCCCGGCTGCGGCGGACATCTGCCAATCGCAATTCCTCGCAGTAGTTGCTGAAGCTGGAAGTCGCGGTTTCACCAAAGTTGGAACCGTCCAAGTTGGAAAATTCGAAGCGGGCCAACAAAACCGCCACATCCATGAAGATCGAGAACAATGTTGCGGACTTGGGGGAGGCAATCAAGGACTGTCCAAGCAGGAAGGCGAACAAGTTGCGGAACAAGAGGAGGGTCTCGGTATCATCTTGTTGCAGACGGGCCTGTGGGTTGGAAACGTCGCAGTTCAAGGGAATGGGCAGGTAGAGGTGGATCTCCTGGACTTCCTCCGGTGTATCATCACCAAAGGCCATTCTCTGACTTCCGGCACTGTCGTTGTCGTCGTCGTTCAGATGGTCCAGCGGCGTCAACGGGGGCGACGTAGGGTTGAGCGATAATGTGCGTGTTGGTTGCTCGAGATCATTCTTGGCATCGCTTCCGCGGGCGAGGTATGTGAGGGAGGGAGATTCAGCGAAGATGGTGGAATCGACCTTGAATGACGGGGAGCGGCCGGTGTTCTGCGGGAACAGGTACACGTAAGTGTCGCCCTGTTCGTTCCACAGTTCGGGTATCTGAGGAAAGTTAGATTCCCCATGCACCTTGATTCGCACTAGGTTGGGCCTTTCTTACCTGTTCTCCCCGAGACAACGGTGAGAGATCGTAGACGACCTTTTGATCGAGCCCAGCAATCCAGGCACCCGGTAATGAAGGAGCTAGCGGTCTTTTGTCGATCGAGCTGGCGCGCGACCTACCTGGCATCCAACTTCTCCGTTTCGACGGTGTGCTGGGTCTGGAGTCTGGGGTTGATCCCGGAATTGCGAGTCCCATCGAGCTAGAGGGTCGGCTTAAATCCCGACCTCTGCTGCCTGGGCGTGCATCGGACGGTGAGCTCGGGGCGCTGCTCGCCAGGTCTTGGTTTACCGCCAGGAGGGAAGGCGGTGGCGGAAGATTTTCTAGGTCCAGCGGATCTGGCATCGTCCGGGGTTCCGAGGAGAACACAGCATTTGGAGTCGAGACATGACGAGTGGGCCGCGAACTGCTTCTCGGTCTGGTGTTTTCTTGGGATCCTGACGCAACAGGCGAGTTCTGTGAGTCTCGATCTCTGGAACCCAGCGAGAATAGGGAAGAGATGCGCTTCGCCGACTTAACGGGAGCCGACAACATCTTGCCGGGTGGGTGTAGTTTAGTGTGTGGGTGTGTGTAGGAGAAAGGAGCGACTCAGGCGCAATTAGAAGTGAGGCACATGGAATGGGAGAGAGGTACCAGAAGTGCCAAAAGTGCCAAAAGTGCCAGAGGGGTGAGGAAAGGGGATAAGAATGGATCGGCAGGAGTGGGAAGAATGGGACAGGGAATGGGGGGGGGGAGAGAAGCAGGTCATGTAATGATCACTTTTGTCTATTATGATTTTATGATTTTATGGAGAAAAAAAAAATTCGATCGGGTTCCTTTTGCCAATAATAGATGGAGTTGGCTGTGCATGTCTTGGATGTGGGCCTACTCATATACGGAGAAAGATGGGAGCCTTATGTCTACAGTATAGCACTGGAAGTGGGATCAGTGATCCAGAGCGATGCCTAGCGAGACTGTGGTATGTGAGATGCGAGCTGAACTGACCTTGGGTCAGGCAGAGGATATATCTCCATGGGACCTTGAGGTCGCATCTGGCGTATAGTAGGTCGATCTGATGCATATAATGCCGGGATCCGGGATTAACGGATGTATGCAACTAGTATAGTGACACATCAACTCTACGGGTTCGACGTGAACACCTGCAAAGGGAGGAAGCTCAGTGATCAGCGAAGGTAGTGAGAAGTGAAGTCCAGGTCAGTCGTGCTCGACTCTTATGGCTTGTTCCTGCCCCTGGATATTGTCCCACCCGATCTCGGACCCGATGATCTGAGTAGTCAGCCTGGACGGAGGACATTTCCATGGATGTGCTATCAGATCCACACTCTCCTCCTCCATTCATCGCGGTATCCTATTCAATAGCAGTCATCTCATCATGGTCGCCCCAATTGACCTCTTGTGTGGTTGGCCCAACCCCGCGCTCCTCCCCGCTAAGGATCTCCGCCACTCCGCCTCGACGGTTCTATCTGATCCCTCAATTGCCAACCCAGCCCTGCTCTATGGCCCTGATGAAGGGTATGAACCACTGCGCATTCACATAGCCTCATGGCTGAACGCATTCTATCAGCCCCGGGAGCCCATCTCCTCCCAGCGTATTTGCATCACCGGCGGGGCAAGTCAGAACCTCGCATGCGTACTGCAAGTCTTCACAGACCCAGTCTACACGCGCAATGTGTGGATGGTTGCACCAACCTATTTCCTGGCAGCCCGAATCATGGATGATGCTGGATTCGCGGGGCGCCTACGCGGGGTGCCCGAGGATGACGAGGGAATTGACCTAGACTTCCTGGCACGGGAGCTACGCGCCGCAGAAGAAAGTGCCCTCCAAGCTGGAAATACAGAGCCGGTATGGCAAGTCCCACGCAGGCACATTGACCAGACACCACTGTGCCATCCATTGTCAGATTCTGGACTGACATGCCCCTCCTTTCCCCGCAGAAGCTGAAACCACCGCGGCCCTGGCGCAAGATTTACAAGCACGTCATCTATGCGGTACCAACGTTTGCGAATCCCTCGGGGATGATCATGTCGTTGCGCAGACGGGAGGCGCTGGTTCGTCTAGCCCGCCAATACGATGCGTTGATTGTTACAGACGATGTCTATGACTTCCTTCAGTGGTCGATTACCCCGGCCGACGTGGACTTCTTCGAGCGGGCAACGAAGCCCGAGGCGCAGTTGTCTGAACACGCATACATGCCGAGGCTCGTCGACGTAGACCGTTACCTAGATGGAGGCCCGGTCGATGACTGGGGACACTCAATGAGTAACGGCAGCTTCAGTAAGCTGATCGGCCCCGGGGCCCGCACAGGCTGGGCTGAGGCGTCTGAAAAGATTGCCTATGGACTATCACAAACGTATGGAACTGCATGGCGTTGTCGATCCCTTGACAGTTATGGACTAACTTGATATTACTAGTGGTTCGTCTCGATCGGGTGGCGCACCTTCACATCTTTGCGCCGCCATAATAGACCAAATGTTCCCCACAGAGATACTTCAGAAGCATATCTACGACGTTCTTCAGCCGCAATATTCCTTGCGGTACGACCGATTACTGTCAGCAATCAAGGAGCACCTCGAGCCACTAGGTGTGACAGTTCCCCCACCAACCGCCGCAGCTGGAGGATACTTCATCTGGATCACTTTACCAAGAGGCGTACGCGCCTCAGATGTCGTGGAACGAGCGCAAACCGAGGAACAACTACGCCTAGCCGCAGGCGATCTGTTTCAGATTCCCGGTGATCCTCAGGCTGGTACTTTCTCAGACCGTCTGCGTCTCTGCTTTGCGTGGGAAGAGTTGCGCCACCTAGACGAAGGTGTGCGTAGACTAGCGCGCGTCTTGAAGCGTATTATTTCGTAGGTTGTACAGTTCGTGACGACTCCACGCCTAGCCACTTTGGATAGCCGGTCCGTACCGGTTCCCACTGGACGCGTGGCTTATGCACATATTGGGAAAATTTCGATCCTATATGATTCTATAAGTAGGAACTCCATCTCAGCAGAAAGCATCCCACATCAACATAGCGCATATCTTGCCATAGACCTGTTGTGCATTACTGCATTATCTTTGCAGGTACCCGATGTCGGGATATAGTCAGATTCTATTTTCGGCCCTGATTAGTCATGGAAGCGCTGAGGTCAACCTTGGAACTTTCAAACCTTCCAACCTTGCATTGTTGACGGAACACCTCTTCTCCTCTATGTCATGTCAGGTTCATGCTGTTGTTGAAAGACAGCCCGTTCAAGATGAATACGGTATGCTGCGGCCAGTCTCTATCAATCCATGTCCACGACGCCAGAAATTAGCGGATCCACCATGTCTCAGGAGATCAAAAGCTTGGCTATCATCACGTTCCCGCATGCAGTCCTCTGCGTTGTCGTACAAGGACACGGCCTCAGATCTAAAATCTCCAAGGCTCCAAGCCTTCGGCCTGTATTAGTCGAATTCCAATTCCAGTCCCTGTTTTGTCCCGCTGCCTGGTGAGCCCCCGTCATCAGGAATCTCACGCGGTGCCGGAATGTGACCACATAACAACCCCCCTGACAACCCAGATCCACCAGCTCCGCGGGGCAGATGTCGCCTACTGTCGACACAGCTGCGCGTATCTAGGATCGGTATCTTCGACGCGCGTGCATAGCAGACCGGACACGGTCCGCCTTGTTGATGGGCGAAGACATGACAATGGTTGGGACGACGAGGGTGAGTATACAGTACATCAATTGCCGAAAAAGCGCAATTGCCACACCGGACCTTTTTGATCAATCGGCAAATAACTGATCAGGGGAGATTATCTGGTGTGAAGGGGCTCCACCAAGGCATGGAACAATGCTCGCCCTTGGCCATGAAAGGTCGGACCAGAAACCCCCTTCTCCCATGCGACGATAAACAACCACCGGAATGGATGATCATGGCCCTTTAGTTATATAGCGCGTAGATGCCCCAATCACGGCACTTTTATTTTGAGACCTCTGCCTCTTCTCCTATTTTCTTTGCTCCTAATTTTGGGGTCAAATAAGCAGTGGAGCCGATTCAGCACTGAGTGGCTTGCCGTGAAACCCGATCGCTTCATATCAGCGCTACTTTTTCCCACGCGATTCCTATATTGGTTAACCTGCAACACTGGGCTCTGGGATCACCACCCTGAAGCGTTTCACCCCGAAGTCTCGCGTTTCAAGCTTCGTCTCCGCTATACCCACTCCAGCCTCTGATTGGCGGGGGAGTTGGCGCGTGTGATAGGGTGAAAAGGGGAAGTTTGGAAGTTCGATTTATAGAGTGAGTTTTCTTATTGTTTTTTTCTCTCTTTGTTCGTTTCTATTCATTGCTGGGTGATTTCTATTGTTCGGATTTCACTATACATTCATTTGGAAGGAGCCGTCTCCTATACTTCCTTCATTCATCTCTCCTTTTTTTCTTTCCTGAATTTGCATCTTCTGCTCGCTGCTGGTCTGCGACTCGATTTTTGAATCAGTACTGGTTACTGAACTATCTTTCATTAGGTATTCATTTCTGATATACTTATTTTCCCGCTGCTGGTTCAGCGATATTCTTCAACATGGCCGTTCTTCAAACTTCCATCGCGATCTTTGTCGCCCATATTTTCCTTCTGCTTGGTCTTCCCGCAGCTTTGGTTGGTGCTGTCCCGGTGACAGTTCCTGTTACACCTGTGAAAAACGTTCTTCAAGTTGCGACGAATCAAAGAACATCTGCTGCGTCCTCTTACTGGGTTGCCAATGTGAAGCGTCAGGGTACCGTGCCTTTCGTTAAGAGTGCCGACTATCAAATCTTCCGAAATGTCATGGACTTTGGTGCTACCGGTAAGGAAAATTGCCTTCATGTTCATATTGATACTAATGGAACAATAGGTGATGGTTCGACCGATGACACCGCCGCTATCAACAAGGCCATCTCCTCCGGTGGTCGCTGTGGTAAGGGCTGCGACTCGTCTACCACCACGCCGGCTATCATCTACTTCCCACCCGGTACTTACGTTGTCTCCAAGCCCATTGTGCAATACTACTACACCCAGATCGTCGGTGATGCTGTCAACCTCCCGGTTATCAAGGCATCAGCCAAGTTCGCCGGTATGGCCGTAATCGACGCCGATCCATACGAAGACGATGGCTCCAACTGGTTTACTAACCAGAACAATTTCTTCCGTGCCATTCGCAACCTGGTCATCGATTTGACTAGTGTTCCCCAGGGTTCTGGTGCTGGTATCCACTGGCAGGTTGGCCAGGCCACCAGCTTGCAAAACATCCGCTTCGAGATGGTCAAGGGTGGTGGTGTCGCAAACAAGCAGCAGGGTATCTTTATGGATAACGGATCCGGTGGTTTCATGTCCGACCTCACCTTTAACGGTGGTAACTACGGCATGTTCCTCGGTAACCAGCAGTTCACCACCCGCAACTTGACTTTCAACGGCTGCCAGACTGGTATCTTCATGAACTGGAACTGGGCGTGGACCTTCAAGTCTGTCCAAATCAACAACTGTGAGGTTGGATTGAACATGTCTACTTCGCCTTCCAACCAGACTGTCGGCTCCGTCATGCTGCTCGACAGCAAGTTGACAAACACCCCGACTGGTATTGTGACTGCCTGGACTAAGGATAGCATCCCCGTCGGTGGTGGTGACCTCATCTTGGACAACGTGGACTTCTCTGGCTCCAAGATTGCGGTCGCTGGCGTTGATGGTAACGAGATTCTGGCTGGTGGCTCCGTCGTCGACAACTGGGTTCAAGGTAACACTTACACTCCCTCCAAAACTGTCAAGCGCGCCACCGAGGCCGAGCCTGAGGTTGTCACTGTCGTCCAGACCGTGGTGCACACTGTTCTTGCCTGCCCCGCATCCCATGGATTGGCCAGTGCTAGTGAGAGCGCTCCCGCTCCTGCTAAGACTGCCTCAGTTGGTACTGCTGCTGCTCCTTCGCCTGCTCCCGCTGTCAGCAGCAACGTCGCCAACCTTCCTCTTACCACTGGTGAGGCCGGAAGGTCCGTTGTTGATTCCTCCACCGCCGGCCTTCCAATCTTGGACACTTTGAACTCCATTCTTGGTGGATCCTCCGATACCCCCGAGACTACTGAGGCTGTCCCTGCCGCTCCTGCTACCAGCCAGGCTCCTGTTGCTTCTCAGGTTCCTGTTGTTTCCCAGTCTCCTATTGTCTCTTCTGCTTCCAGTGCCATCGTTCAGCAACCTGCTGGAAGCGTTGTACACTCTGCCCCCGTTGCCACCGCTACTCCTACTTCCACTGGTACCTCTCAGACCTCCAACAGTGGCTCTGGATCTACCTCTGAGTCTGGAAGCGACAGCAGCAGTGGCACTGGCACTTGTGGTGCTCAACAGGCCGTCTCTTCTGCACGCACCCAAACCACCATGAAGGTTGCCACCAAGCCCGCCAGTCTCCTGAAAGATGGTGCCGTCTTCGAACGCTCCAAGCCACTGTATGAGGACGTTGAGGCCTCCAACTTTGTTAGCGTAAAGTCTGCCGGTGCCAAGGGTGATGGAACCACCGATGATACCGAGGCTATCCAGAAGATCTTCAACAGTTACAAGGACGGTCAGGTTATCTACTTTGATCACGGTGCATATGTTATCACCTCGACCATCAAGATCCCCAAGGATATTAAGATCACCGGTGAGATCTGGCCCATGCTGATGGCACACGGCAAGACCTTTGCCGACCAGGAGAACCCTGTACCTCTCTTCCAGGTTGGCCAGAAGGGCGAATCCGGCTCCGTCGAGATGAGCGATCTGATCATCACCACCAAGGGTGCTGCCCCTGGCGCCATTCTCATGGAGTGGAACCTTGCTGCCGCTTCCCAGGGCTCCGCCGGTATGTGGGATGTTCACTTCCGCATTGGTGGTGCTGCTGGCACTGAGCTCCAGAGCGACACTTGCCCCAAGACCCCGAAGGAGAAGACCACCCCCAAGAAAGAGTGCATGGCCGCCTTCATGCTTCTGCACGTCACCTCCAAGGCCAGTGCCTATGTTGAAAACTGCTGGTTCTGGACCGCCGACCACGAGCTTGATCTCGAGGACCACAACCAGATCAACGTTTACACCGGTCGTGGTGTTCTCATTGAGTCCAAGAACCCAGTCTGGCTGTGGGGTACCTCCTCCGAGCACCACCAACTGTACAACTACCAGGTGTCAGGTGCCAAGGAGGTCTTCATGGGTCTCATTCAGTCTGAGACTCCTTACTACCAGTCTAACCCTACCGCCCTGGTCCCCTTCACCCCCCAGCATTCCTGGAATGACCCCGACTTCTCCAACTGCACCACCAACTCGTGCCGCAAGTCCTGGGGTCTGCGTGTTCGGCAGTCGTCTGACGTCTTCGTCTACGGCGCTGGTCTCTATAGCTTCTTCGAGAACTACGCCCAATCCTGCCTCAACACCGAGGATTGCCAGGAGAACATGGTCGAGGTTGACTGCTCGGACATTCACCTGTACGGTCTCAGCACCAAGGCAGCTGTCAACATGGTCACCTCCTCGCAGGGCAAGAGCATGGTCCCCAACAAGCCAAACCAGAGCAACTACTGCTCGACCATTGCTCTTTTCCAGCAGACTGTCTAGAATATACCTTCCGTCTTTCACTCTCCCTTCCTCCCATTTCTCTACCAGCCTACCTCTCACGTCTGTCACACCATTTTCTTTCTCACAGGTTCCCCTTTGAATCCACACAATAGTGCGGTCACAAATCAATATCCAATATTTTCCTTCTCACACTCATGTCCTCCTCCCACCCTCCTTCCCATAAATTGTTCTAAGCTCAGCGCTTGCTCAACGGGTTTCAAGTAGCAGTTTTCTTTTTGATACCAACCCGGCTTCAGTTTAGGAGATCATTAATAGATTTTGTCGCTCTTCTTTTATTTTTTTTACTTTTCACTTTTTATCTTTTACCCTTCTCTGGGCGATGATATACAAAGCAATGCCAATTACTTATGATTATCAGACTCTCTGGCTGTGGCCACCTTGATGAATTGTATATTTCTACAAGTAGACGATAGTTTAAAGATGTCTTGTGTGAAAGAACACTAATTTGATAGTGCCAAGCTCAATTGAATTGGAAAAATAATACGCAGTGTATGAGCGGCACGAAGTTCACACTCTTGTTTGGCAGCCAGTCCGCGAAGCATCAAGACATGGAAACGAGTCGATCGTCGTTCTGTTTCAAGGGTTTAGTAGATCACGTGGTTAACCAGGAGAACGACTCTGGTGCATCCAGAGTGAGGCTTACATATTATGTATGCGTCTCACCCAAACTTAGGAGTGAGGTTTGTAAGAGTGAACGAGAAAAAAAGAGTAATAAGTCGGGTTCAATGGATAGAGGGAATAAGCAGATGTAATACCCACTCCTGAAGCAGAAGTATCTACACATACCCTGTGCACTAGCCAATGTGGCACTAGCCAATGTGGCACTAGCCAATGTGGGAACAAATAAATAATTCCATTCACAGCTCCGAGACGAGAATACTTTGTTTGCATATGCGCGGCAACACAAATGAATTGTTCAAGGTAAGTTCTCAGCAATTCTGAGAGATTAATCATGTAAGAAATGAGAGAGAAAAGACCAAGAAGCGCAGTGAGCTACCTGTAAAAGGTCTCTCCAATGCAGGCAGGCTTCAGACCAAGAACTAGATTTAGGTCTGACGCTAGGAGGCTGGGCCGCTGCAGGGCGCGTTTGGTTTCTAACATGGCAGTTCTCGGGGTGGAGTCTTGACAGCAGCGTGCTCTGGGTGCTTTTTTCTTCGGTCCATCGAGAAGTTGGGAGATAGCAATTGTCACTAGAGACAAGTAAAATATTACTCAAAGCTCTTTCTTCAGGAAATGCTCTGGCTTGTGTGTGGTTTCATAATCAACGTGTACATAAGCACGTTCCACGTCGGGGAGGGACTCAAGCTTGATCTGTAGTTCCTCGGCGACATCGTGGGTAGCGCGCAGGGACTCGTTGGGTTCCATGACAACGTCGACTTCGACGAGAAGACGGGGCCCAGAAGTGTAGGCGCGGACGGTGTCGATGGCGGTGATGAGAGGAGAATGGGTCATTGCTGTGAAGACAGTGTTAGAATAAGGTATATTGAAAGAAATTGTGGACAAGGTTGACGTACAGATATAAGTAATGAGCTGCTGCATCTTGGTGTCGGCAGTGACACCAACCAGTAGCTGGAATTCGCCGTAGGCAGAGTGCAACCACAGAACACTAACCAAGGTGGACAAAATAATAGCACCCATTGGGTCGACCCACCAGCGCAGCTTACTGCCGCCAACGGAGGTCAAGATACCGAAGCCGTTGATGAACAGATCGTTGCGGTGGTCTTCCCACAGAATGCGAATCTGCGAAACCTGATTCCGTAGAGCCCAGCAGTACAGGAACAAGGTAAGTTTTGTGGCAAAGGCAACGGCAACGGCAATGATGGAGGGCAGATGGAAAGACTGCGTTTCTTCCTCGGAGCCAACTACCAGTTCACGGATTGAGAATGCAATCAGAATAAATGAGACAGCGGTCATGAGGAAGCAGAAACAGATATTGCCAGCGGTTTCGATACGCGCTTTTCCAGCCGGGAACTTGCGCGGATCGACGCGGTTGACAGCCTTGTTGCAAAGGAGAAGGGTAAGGTTGGACATAGGATCGAAGACGGCATCAGCCATAGTTGTGAAGAGAGACAGCGACCCGGAGGAAACGGCACCGTAGACCTGGACGACAGAGAGGATGACATTGGCGGCAAAACTGCCGTACACAGCAATGCGATATTTCAGACGATTATCGACGTTCAATTCGCGAGCGGCACGGCGGTGCTCCTCAACGGGCTTCAGCATGCGCTCGATATTCTCATTCTGAGATTCGTAGAAGCCCCGCAGCTTCTTGGTGACGAAAGCTTGTCTGCCAAGACGACCAGTGTCTTTCACCAGAGCCGCAACCTTCCGGCCTTTGGACGCATTAGCGGAATCACGTTTCCTGGAGGTGTTGGCCTGGATCTGTTGGATTTCCTCGTCGGTCTTTAGCTTCGATGCTAGCTGGAAGGGATCGTTCTCCGGGGTATAGCGCGGCGGGGGTTGGCCTTCTTCGTCGCTTGCACTGCCACTGCGGTGGTGTTGCAGCACTGTCAGCTCGTGCTCTAGAGCGGTAGAAGTCGCTTCGTTGGAGTGGGCCATCCTGTCGCGCTGAGATGGCGAGCTACTGGTGTGATGTAACCCCTGAAAGACATTCGGGTGGTTGGAAAGACTCTGGCGAATATGTTCCTCCATGGCTGTGGAATGAACAAAGGGAAGGAGACAATGTAAGGGATGAAAGAAATTATTGAGGATGTGGCAGTGCTTATCTCTTATCGCGTCGATCATACACCGCTGCACACTTTAAGCTGGTTACTGTATGCAGCTATGATTTGCATTGCAATCTTGGACTTGGCAGATGCTTCAATTCGGTTTTTTATTAGATTGCAATTTGCAGTACTTTGACAGATACAGATACTGCAAAGCGAAACATTCCCAAATATGCTGTATATATCTCCAGAGTCCAGCTCACAGTGGGTCTACATATGCAACCAAAGACTTCAACGGACGATTTTGAAGTTGCTTGGCTATGTTTAGAAAACAGATATTCAAAAGAAAAATTGGGTATAATGCTCAGATCTAATCCTAGTGCTATATACTTCTGCGGTAAAACAATTATGTACATATATACTACACCTTTTCGTTCTTCGAGTACCAGCCTGATACTGAAGACCTGTTTAGCGCGCCTCTTTTTGAGGCGGAAGTAGCCAGAATCGGGCTATGCATGCATGAACCTGAGCAAGAGCCAGCTGCCAGGCTGCCCAATTTCATACCACTTTGGTAGTTGCTCATGGTGCCAAACAAGAGCTGGGTATCACGATGTACTCCAAATTTTTGGAGGGTTTCAGCAAAATTCTATCGCCAAACGGCAACTTTGGTCGGTTTCCCGTTGCAATTGGTCGCCTGGGGAGCGATCACTTGTGCAAGGCAATGTCGATGTCGGAGTGGTCACCGGCTTGGGAGTCGGACTGACCATCAATCTCTTCGAGAGCAGGACCGATGTAGTTCTTCTTACCCCAAGCAGCATACCAGACACCTGAGATGACCACGAAACCGACAAACACAACGCACGCATAGTTCATTGTGTCCTTGCTAACGGGAAGACTCGTGGGCATGGAGAAAAGTGGGATAGCGAGAAGGCACCAAGCTAAAAGAAACGGTTGTTAGCAAACAGTGATTCAAGGATCGGAAGATAGTGACTCACCAATGCAAACCACGTTGCAGAAAGCGCCAAGAGCTCCAAGATTGTAAGAACCACGCTTCAGGTCCTGACGTTTACGGAGAATCAAAGAGACGGCAACGGGGCAGGCATAGCTCAGGGTGAGGAAAATGACACCGACACCGGAGAACGCATTGAAAGCAGCACTTGAACCGAAGTAGATCAATCCAAGAATCAATTCAATACCCATGCCCAACAGCAACGAGTTCAGAGGGACTTGGAAACGGTCGTTCACGCTTTTCCACCATCCCGAGCCGGGAATGGCACCGTCACGAGCGAACGCCCAAGTGATCCGAGATGTAGCAGTGACACATCCAATTCCACAAATGAGTCCAAGGACAATCAATGGAATCAAAAGACAGAATGCACCTGCGGAGTTGCCCGTCGCAGACAACACAATGGTCGGAACAGGCTGGCCCGAGGCGAGAGCTGCGAGCATGGAAACATCCGGAAGCACAAATGCGATGGGAATGAGGAAAATGAAACCGGCGAGGGCGTTGAGAGCAACACCACCGACGATAGCGCGGGGGACCTGGATGGCGGGTTGACGGACCTCTTCGCACATGCTATTCCGGTCAGTATAGAGAAAACATGAGACAGGGTGTGAAGCACTCACGAGGTGACCATGCCAGTAGCCGAAAGACCATATGCAGCCTGGAGCAAACCGATACAGAATGACCACCCATCTGGCCAATTGGACTGAGGCTCAAACGCGGTGAAGACGAATTCCGCAGATCGGCGTCCACTGTGCGCAACAACCAAAATGGTGATCAGAATCGCAGCTACACCCACGATAGTCCAGAAGATTGCAAAGGTCTATTCAAGGTTAGCACGCGAAGACCGAGAGCAAGCAGACCACATACCTCGATATGAGTGAGCCACCTATTTCCGAACGTGGGAATAGCGTGGCAGAACAGAGTGATAGCAACGAAAATGAGATACGTTTGCCAGGTTCCCAGACCGGCTGCAATGCCATCACCGGCTGAATCTTTGAAGACATTCAAACATTCAATGAAGAACAGCGCGGTCGCAAAGTTCACAGCCAGGGTGATGGTGATATTACCAGCGACAAACGACCAACCACACACCCAGGCCGCGGAGCGACGGCACCAGGCGGGTGCGAGGGCAAAAGTTTGGTAATAGACACCACCCGCAGTGGGATATACCGAGGTGATTTCCGCTAGAGACACGCCTACACACATCATGATCAATGAAACCACGATCCAACCCCAGATCATATTGGCCGAGCCACCACCAATCAAGGCATATGACATGGTGGTGGACAGACCATATGGTACTGAGGCCAGAATGAAGCACATGAACACGACCTGCCATGTTGATCGGTTGCGGGACAGTTCAGCTGTATAACCCAGGGCTTCGAGGTTAGAATCTGCCGTGGGCGCGTCGGGTTTTGAGACTTCCATGATGGTCGCTGGGGGGTTGTCGCTTTGGAGAATCAAAGGGCTGCAATGGGCGCTTGGGAGTGAGGGACTTTGAAATATACTAGCGCATGGGAGTATAGTATGAGGGAGCAGCTGGGCGTTGTTCTAACGTTGCGGGAGGGCGTTGTCTAACGTTATGGCGTCGATGGGTGGCGCTGAGGCGTCGATAGTTGCGAAAGGAAAAAAAAAAAAAAGTTACCCAAAAAAATAAACGTGGGCAAACGTGGCGCTGCGTGACTTAACGCAGAAAGCCCAAGCCAATTGGCGCTTATTAACGGTTTAGGTTGAAACCGGTTTCATCCGGGTCCACTACAGATAAATCTCTCACGCGAGGTTTTACCGAATTGATCACTGATATGCATAGGAGAGTGTACTGCTTATCTTGACTAGAATGTGCAGGTAGAACCCCCCGACCCGACTGTGTTGTTCACCTTCCTTATATCGCCTTCATTCCCCCAGACCCGAGTGTTCCCAAGGCTGTTCGGCTTGGCATCGACTGGGCCCGTCAAACTCTGACCCACCGGGGCGCAATAACCGAATTAGGCAACCTCTTCCGGCTAAACGAAAAGCCTTAGTAACGTCCACGGGTGATATCATGGCACTCCCAAAGCCAGACACTCCAGTCCTCTCCGATTGGGCTCCCTCAAACCCTAAAAGGAGGATTCGAAACTTTCTCCAAGATAAAAGACAGTCATGGGGATATCTGAAGCAAAAGTGATGATGCTATAGATTCTCTAGTGGCAATCATTCCGTGACACCGAGGGTGGCTTAGACTGAGATATTCTTTTGCCCTAATCCAATGATACTCGGGATTAAATCTCTTGGAAGTATAGGCTATCACTGCATGATACTAACCGCGAGAGTCGCACTCGTGGTCGGGCAGCGGCAGTGTCCAACAGAAGTCCTCAGCAGAATAGAAGGTTATGTTATCTAGAGGTTTTGAAGACGACCGGTCCAAGAAACTAGTCCAGTCAGGCATATGCCTCCTTGAAGTACACTTAGTCAAAATGCATCTCAATAGACTTGCGACATCTTTAAACTCCCGTATTCCCAGTCTGACTGGTCTTCTGGGATGATATACACTGAAATTTGAACTAGTACGATATAGTTTCTAATTTTTGGTCGGTGATGACTATATCATGTAACGGTTTGGCCTTAGCGAATGTTTCAAACTCGAAACATTGCAGTCTTCGACCTAGAAACTTTTTCGTGAGGTTAAGCTGAATTCTTGTGTTGTCTGAAGCTCCGCAGCAGTAACCTAGTGTGACATAACAATTGTCTACTATGTTCGCAGTCAGAATCGGGATGTATCTTTCGGAAATGATAAGTCGAGGGTGCTGAGTCTCATTCTTAACATTATTCAATCGAGTATAGAAGTAAATATAAGAGAACGCTTTCATCTTAGGAAGTCTAAGGATATTTTCTGCTTCCATACAAGCGTTACACACCCCACGTGGATAAAACGTGGCTGCCATTACGTCGTTCCCGAATTCTACCCTGCATCAGTGGATTTCCAGACCTGACATAAGTCAGATAGTTGTGAGGGAGCTCTAATTGTGTGCTTCCTACTCTAGGTACCGATGTTATTGCGAGACCAAAGATCAATATCATGAGACAAGTTAGTCCACGACTGCTGAGTTGGGCGATACAAGGAAGATCGCTACTCTTCTAAAGATGTGAGGCACCCATGTGAAGGTGCGAGAGTTGCCCCGTCATGTGCCTCCTAAAGGATAGATATATAGCCCTTGAAACAGGGTCGCAGCCAGCTCTTAGGTATTCAGGGGGAAACCCGTGCCTATACTCACTGAGAGCATAACACTTAGTGGAAATAACCTTAACAAAACGGGACTAGCTACTTTCGCCAAGCCTGGCACGACTCTGAAATTGGCTGCAATTTGTCGAAAAGCACTGTGTCTGAATTCACATTGCCATGCTAGTGGCTTCCCGGGATTTTGTGTGTACAGCTCTGCGTTCTTGTCTAATTAGGTATCTCTATTCTCGATACCAGTATGTGAGCACTGCCCCGCAATATTAATTATTCACGGCACGTACGAGATGAAAATCAGGCTGCAAGTTAAATATGATAGCGTGATGTGCGAGGAGCCGTCTTCTGAAATGTATGGCTCTGTTGGGTTCTGGCCTTTAAAGCGGGCATGCGTAGTTTCAACGCAGAAATACAATTACCGGCCTCCAAGTAGATGGGGTTTCGTACCGTCACTCTACATATTGCACACAGATTTTCCCTCTCTTGATAGAGTGATACCTCAGCAAGCTCACGGAGACATTCACACACAGAATATAATGTACCCACGCCTAGAAGCACTAAAATTAAAGTTGTCGCGCCATGTGGGTCCATTGTTTGCCGATCTCAGACAAGTCAAAGCTGAGGTCTCAATTTACAATATACCTTTTCAGATGACAAGATTTCAGTAAACTGGGTTTCTAAACGAATATGAGTCACGTCTAGACAAGTAAGGCAAAAGTTCTAAATGCCAGCCCATGTTATTTGACAAAGTGAATTGAAAATTGTGTAGTCTGTATGTATTGGGTAAGATGTTCCTGCCGATGCATTGATGATTTTGATACATAGCTCACAAAAAGTTCACAACGCCCCCATATGCCTCAAGCAGGGCTATTCATAAGATATGCGTTGAAACCTTATTCTTTTTTGCTCTCTGATTTCTCACTAGAAGCCACCTTGGCCTGGGCCTTCTTGTGCTTGTCTCGCTTCTCCTTCATGTAGGTCCAGCTCTTGCTGAGACCTGCAGTCAGGGGCGCTTTGATGGTCTGTACAGTACTCGGCCACCGGATAGTCTTCTCGATGGACGTGGAGACTTCCGTCTGGAGGGAGTCATCTCCGGCAATCCGCTGTTCGAAAGGACCTCCCTGGGGTCGGCGAATAATATCTTGAGCATCATTGTTCTCTTTCATCATTTTGTCGAAGTCCACCCGTGGGATCTGGAAGCGAGACTGGTACTGGAAATACAGCTTTTGGCGGAATGATTCGGGTAAGCGACGAACCATGTTGCCACGCTTCACTGGATCCATATCCTGTGCCATGGCGAGAATGGCGTTCGGGTCATCGATCCAATCGTCACTACTGCAGCGGGGGTCCTGGAATGTGACATTGGGAAGATTTTCAATGAGAGGCGCGTACAGCCGACGGAAGTGCGCCATCTGCCCGGAGACAATGTTGCGCACCTTGCCGGGGTCTTCGGCTGGAAGTGCCATTCGCAAGTCTCCCATGTAGCTCATTCCGGCAATTGTGCTGTAAAGCTCAAACTCGCTGAATCGCTCAGGGAGCAAGAGAAGAGCGACTCGAAGGGCGGAAAGCAGATTCATCTGGTTTGCCAATCGCACCTTCGGGTGGTCCCGTAAGATCTTCACGGGCTTGTGAAGCCGACCAGCAAGATACAGCGTATCCCACTGGGTAAGGTCCCGACATAAAGTATCCAAGTTAACCACTCCGTACTTGATCATTGTGCCATTTACTGTGATATAGGGATGGAAGTAGACGCCAGCGCCGAGCTTGTCTTGCACTTGCGAAACCATATACGAGCCAAGAGAGCCCATGCCAGAGTAATGATCCCGATGCTGGTGCAAGTTCAGGTCATGCCAATGTTGTGAGTATGAAACTCCGAAAATGAAGTCAATCATCTTTCCGGAGCCTTGTTGCATATTTGAGATGGCCGTAGGTGCCGAAGGATGTAACGAGCTGGCCGGAGCCGAACTTCCATTCTGCGGGAATACACCCGACCCATAGGCAAATGCATATCGAATTGGCGCTTTAAATTGCCAAAGGATCTGTCGCAATGCTTCCTTGAATTCCTGGTTTATAATCATGTGCTGGTTAACTCCGAAATCCTTAGAGGGAAGTTCCGAAAAGTTGGAGATTGCTAAGTTCGGATTATGGTCCCAGTCCGTGTCAGGCAGAAAAGTTGAGGAAGAGGACGAGAAGGAAGCGGTTGAGTGGCTAGTGGCAGTCTTGCATAACAAATGCGAGGTGGATGGATTGCGATTAGCCGGAAGTCGGCCAAGGTACTGATTGGTCGGGCGACAATTGATCGACAGATAGCGAGTTGATACAGGAACGAGCGACGGAGATGAAAGGAGGGTACGAGAGCACCAGAGAGAGCTGGGGCTTGCTTTCCGAGAAGCAACCATCTAGCCGATGAGTTAGTGAGATCCTCGGGCCGAGCGAGATCGGACGTACTGTTACTCCCGGCATAGTTGTGAGTGGAGTGGAAGAGAACGGAGCGCAGAGCGCAGATTTCAAAACAGATCAGAGCATTGATATCCCAAAAAGAGAGAGAGGTAAAAGGATTGAGGTCGTCAACATTTCCGGGTCTGACGTACCCCGTCCTGACTTCCACTTCGGCGCTGAGTAATGGATCATGTGACTGCGCGCGCCATAACAACGGAGTAAACAGACAGACGCGGAGAATCAACAACGCACTTTCGACAACCAACGCCTAAGTTCCCCACCAAGCCGTCCTTGCATGTCAGATATTGGGGATACTTGCTCTAAGCCGCTCAACGTCTCGCCATGAGCTCCGAAATGGACACTTTCGCCGCTCGCCTGGCCAGCTTCGATCTAGTGTTGAAGCCTGAGAAACGCAGATCTTCCGGCGCAAAAACACCAAAGGCGATTACCTGGCCGCATCAACGGCCTTCACCAGCTGAGGTGCGCATAATCCGGAGAAACTATTTATACCATCTCTGAGATGATCGACTGACGAAATTGTAGTTGGCGCACGCGGGATTCTTTTACAAACCCTACGAGACGAACCCTGACAACACAACATGTTTCGAATGTCACAGGGCGCTAGATGGCTGGGAGGAGGAAGATAATCCCATCACCGAACATCTCAAGCATGCGCCTGACTGTGGGTGGGCTATTATGATGGACATTCAGCAAAACAGTTCCAATCCCTCGTCTATTGAGGATCCCACAAACGAGCGTATCACGCAAGCACGAACGTCGACATTCGGGTCAACCTGGCCCCATGACGGCAAGCGAGGCTGGGTCTGCCAGTCGGAGAAGGTATTGTGCCAGATCATACCGCTTGTTTCTTAGCTCACAATGGTACAGATGGTTGAGGGTGGATGGTATTTCTGTCCAACAGAGGAGAGCAACGACCTGGCCAGTTGCGCTTATTGCAAGCTGTCTCTGGACGGATGGGAGCCCAAGGATGATCCTTTGTAAGTCCATCGCTCTTTCCGGATAACTCTTGCTAATGTATTCAGTGAGGAACACTACCGCCGCTCCTCTGATTGTTCATTCTTCGTGTTCGCTCAGCCCCCAGGAAAGAAAGGCAAAGGACGTGCTAAGAAACCTCGCGTTTCTAAGTCATCCTCTCGGCTTTCAACGCAATCAGTTGGCACAGTTGCCTCCGAAACACCCGAGATAGACATAGACGACTCAATGGACCAGAGCATGATGTCCCAATCCACCACGAAATCGAAGTCTACAAAGAAAGCAATTAAGAGCAAGGCCAAGGGAGCTAAAAGCAAGAAAGAAGAACCAGCGGAGGTCGAATTAGAAGACGAAAGTGCAGATGTTGCCGAACCAGAGCCTGTCAAGGCCAAACGTACCGGCCGGGGAAAGAAGAGGGCCAGTGAGGATATCACTAAGGAAGAACGTGAGCCAATTGCCTCGGAGGAACCAGAACAGACACATTCGGTTGAAGAGCCCCCTGCCAAGAGACGGGCAACGAGAACACGAAGCAGCAGCATTTCTCGCAACTACAACTATGAACGCAGTGACTCAGCGATGCCAGATGCAGACACAGTGGACGATAGCGCGTCGGAGGAAGAAACCAAGCGAGGCCGCAAACCCACCAAGAAAAGAGCTTCTAAGGCCCGCAAGGTCTCTGATGTCTCTATTACATCCAAGCCTGCGTTTAAGGCTCGTGCTCCTCGGGACTCGGAGATTGAAGCAGAAATTGAAGCAGGCCTCGATGCTGATCCCGAGCCTCTCCAGGCCCAACCAGAACCAGAGCCTGAACGGGAGTCTGAGCCTGAGCAGCCACATGCCTTTACGAAGGCCAAATCAACCAAATCGTTCAAATCGCCCGAGTCCACCTCACAGGATCAAATAGACGATGCTACTGATTACGATCATGTTGAACCTCAGACTGAAGCAGCCCCCACTGAAGTATCTGAGCCGCCCGCTCCCAAGACCAAGGCGGCTAAAGGATCCAAGAAGAAGGGAACGAAGAAGGCTAAGGTTGAAGAGCCAAAAGCAGAGTCACCAGAACCCCGGAAATCTTTGGAGCCTATCGTTGCCGATGATAGTCATGAGTCGGAACGCCATGAATCTTCTATCTCTGTGGAAATCGTCAGCAAAGAGCGCGAACTTTCACCCAAACTTGAAGAATCTGTTGTTAAGCCGAAGAAGAAAGCCCCCAAGAAGAAAGATGTATCAGCACCCAAAGAGAAGAAGTCCAAGAAAGCTGAAAAGAAAGAGCCAACTCCACCTCCCGAATCCCCAATCGCTGAGCCTGATGTCGAGCCATATGTTGATGAATTGGATGATGGATTTGAGACAGCAGATGATTTGCCTGATGAACTTGAACTAGTTCAACCCCCTCAAGAGCCTTCACCACAGCAGCAACGATCGCATCGGGCAACATCAAACTTGCCACCCAAGACTGCCAAAAGATATAGTGATATCCCTCAGGAGGAACATCTCGCAGAAACTATCGCTCATTCTTCCCCTCATGATACGCTGCGCAACTCTCAACGATCTAACCGTGCAGTCTCTCCACTTCCATCGACTCACCGGAGCACGCCCTCAATGTCTCCGCAGTCATCAGATGCAGAGAACCGGCCACCATCGTCACGGCCTTCGGCATCTCGTCTACTTGATCAATCAACACCTAAGGAGCCCAAGTTCCAGGCCGCTCTCACAGCGAGTACACCATCACCATCTAAGATTAATGCGAATGCTGGATTTGGGCCCTCAGGTCACCCGTGGACTCCGATTGATATTGACGAAGCTCTGTTCGGTGACAACAGTGACAAGGAGAATGCCGACCTGGCTAGCCTGTTCAAGGGCGTCAAGGGCGGACTGACCAGCCCGGAGAAAAAGATGACGGTCCAGGAATGGATCGCATGGAATGCAAAGAATGGTGAAGAACGACTGAAAAGAGAATGTGAGCGACTTGTCGGCCAATTTGAGAGGGAAGGTGACCGAGCCATGCAACGGATAGAAGCGATCGAGTGCATCGACTAACTTATGAGTGATACCACATTGTTTTGGATGATATGAATTTGCATGTTAGGCGTTTTAGGAATCATTGTGAAAGCTTTCGGTCTCAATTTTATGATGCAGTGTTACTGCACATCGAAGAACATGCTACCAAAAAGAAGAAGAAGAAAACATGCTAAAGCACTATGGGTATCAAATGTAGAACGTAGCCCCGAGTATATGGGCCTCTTAAGAAATAATGCCCAACCGTCCTTCCCAGCTATCATCCTCCTGCTTAACTTTCCTCCGCTTCTCCGTCCGCTTGCGCCTCTTCTCCTCCCGCTCCTTAGCATCCTGCTCCTCCCGCTCCTTCAGCCGAACCCCAAGATCAAGCTGCCAAGCCTTCCGCTCCTCTTCATCGCGAACCCTCTTCCGATGTGCCAATGCCCGTAACCGCATCCGCACCTCTTCGACTGTAGCCCGCTTCACCTCCCCGCTCTGTCCCGTCGCAATCAAATGCTGTTTGCTATTGAGATGCTCCACAAGCTGCAGATTATCTTTGAATGTAAGATCACAATCCTTGCAGTAGAATCCGGCACCGGCTCCGCGCTTGCCCATTGACGCGCCGGCTGGGACAATGGTCGTCTTGCCCACCATCGAGGCCACATCTAGCCGCTGGTTTCGCGCTGTCGTCGCTTCGAGCGTACTGAGGTCGACGGGCGCATGGTACTTTTTGCCTAGTAGCTTGGCTTCGTAACGTGCTTTGCCTTCGGCTTTGCGCTTGGCTTCGTCGTCGGCGGCTTTTTTCGTGTATTCTTCTCGGTCCCATGTTTTGCGAAAAGCTGTGTCGGACACCGGAGTGCCGTACGCGTTCGGGTTGGACATTGCGGTTGTTCTTTGTGGATTGATGGGTTTTTGATTAGGATTTGGAGGTGGAGGTTTGGATGAGTGGCGATATCAAAGTTGGAGTTGAAGCTTGAGGTTGATAGTGATGATTACATAATACGACAGATCATGGATCCAGTGTAAATCCAGACGAGACTCAGACAGAGCTTTTGACTTGTTTAACTAGTGATTCGGCCAATAATTTCTGCAATAATGATCTCTGCTGATAGGCTAATTAATCCTTGTGAAGCCTTAGGCGTTAGGCTACACGGTAAGCAGGATCCACACGAACACGGCATAAGCACAACAGGCAGCTACATCAACTTCATCCAGTCAACTATTCCAATTGCGAGTCGGGAATAAGGGATAGCAGTATCACCTCAATTGCTTTCAGACAGCCAGGGTGGAATATGCAGAATTAGGCACCCGCTTATTCGAATCCCAGCCTCCTCAAGCTCTATAACCACGGCACACCCTCAACATACACTAACAAGCGACACAATCAAACAAGCAACAACCATGGCAACATTCGAATCTCCAATTCAAACGGCAGCTCTTCAGTTCAACAGACCAAACCTGATGACCCTCCCATCAGAACTCCATATCCAGATAAGCACATACCTCTCCTACCCAGACGCCCTGGCCTTAAAACACAGCAGTCGCCATTTCTACTCAATAGTCTATACTGGCGTACATCTGAAAGTAGACTGGCTGCTTGAGCGTTTCGAGCGCAAACTCGAATGTCCCATGGAGAAATGCTCGTTCCGCACCGATGAGTCCTTTTGCAATGGGCGTGTTCGTCGCATCATGGAGCGCCGTCGTGGGCACCTTGAGTGTCGCCGGGCTAGGGGTGGCTGTGTTGTTATTGATGGGGAGACTTGTCGGACAGATTTGATGCCTGCTTGGTTTAAGATGCAGGGGAAGAGGAGGGTTATGAGGTTGACCGGAACTTTGGGAAAGGAAGGTTTGTCTCTTCTTGATGCCGCTTCTCGTTCGGTTTGATGGCTGATTTGATTATATTTGTAGCTTTTTTCATTGGAGCTATGGCTTTTTTGTTGAATTTGGTGTGGCATTTTTGTCGAGGGTGATCACGTATCTTGATATAAAATATATCTTATACTACAGTATGATGGGATTCAGGGGTATGTAGATTGTCTGTTGATCCACAGGCTTCTGTTTCGATATGGACTTGGTTCCCAGTCTATACCACTACTGTATATCTTTATGACCTTTCTCCTTACACAATACGGAGGTCAAATAATGTAATGATAATTGATTGATGTTGAAATGCTAGTAGCATATGCTCAGGCGCACGGGACATACTCCTACGTGGTTGCATTATACATGGATAGGACTTTGTTTCTCAGATTAATCTTTGTCGGGGGGCACATATTCCTGTAGATCTACACCAATGACTAGATGAAGCTAATTCATAGTCAGGTTTCCCGATCAGGAAGGGTAGTGGATAGCCTGTCACGTGCCCGCATTGATTAGAGCAACCTTGGAACCGAGTGTCTGCTTATTCCCAGACTATACACCTCGTCAACATCTGTATCAGTCTCCCACCTGATCCAGTGATATTCCATGACTACACGATCGAGCATTTCGGTACCTGGGCTCCCGGGGCATCAAGTGGCATCCCGGCGCCAGAAGCGGGTCCAGGTGGCTAGGGCATGCGATGAATGCCGACTCCGACGCAGGAAATGCGACAATAAAGTTCCTTGTTCAAACTGTACAGCAAAGGGCCGAATATGCAGTAACAGTGGAGCGCCAAAGGTATCCACGCTCACTCAAGCCTCTGAGGAGATTGAGTGGCTGAAAGAGAGAGTTCAGCAGCTAGAAGCGGAACTCGAACAGCGGTCCAACGCGGGCAATCATCTTCCCACGCCAACAGGGTCTTCATCATCGCCACCTCACGTCTTCTCATTGAGAGGCTCCGATATAGCAGACTCGAGCAATCTGAAAAAGTACTGGAATGGCATACAGCTTCGCCCTGCGCGGTCAACCAATGACACATGGCTTGGCCCGTCATCACTGCATTATTTTATTCAACGCCTCAGTGTTTATTTGAGTCTCAATCTTCGACAAACACATTCTACAAATAATTTATTTCCCATCTCAGCAAGCGACAATAAATTGCTGGATAGACCAGAGGGCCCGGACACCGACTCAATGCGTCGGCTAGTCTCAACAGGAAACCTTTCTAACGCTGGTGTATATCTAAGTCCGATACAAGAGGAGTATTTCATCAACTTTTTCTGGCAAACATATCACACTTCATTATTCCCAATACTGGATGAAACTCAATTCAAGCAGCATTACCAGTCTCTATGGGTTTCTGGTGGCAAAGATCGAAAGCCATCAGCCCTCGTGGATATCATCATTGCTATGTGCATGCAGCATGGTATTTCGGCCCTTCCGTCAGACACCCAAGGGTTTCTGGTAGAAGGAAAAGATGCCTTGGTTGCCGGTCGGTGGCACTTCTGGCGTGGGCAGACACTGCTCACATACGAACTGGAAAGCCCCTCTCTTTCAACTCTGCAATGCCATCTACTTTGCTCTGTCTATCTGTGTGGTGGATCTTTCCACAATATGTTAGACAATTCAATCGGTCAAGCCGTGCGCACCGCCTACGCTCTGGGTCTTCATTTGGACCCCTCGCCGAACATGTCTGAAAAAGACCGCGAGATGCGCAGATGTTTGTGGTGGGCAGTCTATCTGATGGATAGCAAAGTCGGAATGAAACTCGGCCGTCCCTTCATGCTGCGTGATTCTCATGTCATGCCATGTTTACCTAGCGACAGCTTCAACGCTGCAAGAATGTCGGGATCCGCTTTTGCGCCCATTGGCGACGATTCTACTTGGCTGAGTTACAACATTCAACAGACGCAGCTATATATCAAAGTACGAGCTGCCTACACGGGCTACTATGACCAGGAACTCCACTTGCGGGATGGCCACACGATCTGGGATGATCGTCATGCCCTCGAAGCTAGTGCGGAGGCTCTGTTCCCACATATCCAGATTTTGAAAGAATGGAGCAACAACGTACCAGATGCTCTCAAGTTAAAGCGTCACAATAGCGGCAGACCTCTTTCCACAGACGGCACACGACTATTACTCGAGCAGTTTGCTCCACTCTGGCTTCAGCGGCAACGTGTTCTTCTCGAACACTCATACCATCATCTCAGCATCAATCTATACCGACCACTAATTTCCTTCTCTTCCAAGCCATCACCAGGCTCTCCAGCGGAGGAAATCGCGATGCGTTGTGCTTCCCATGCTATTATGCTATCGAAGATTACGCAACAGGCTCTTGCGGACACCTCAATCCTTGATGGATGGCATGAGGCCTTCCACTGCCAATGGAACGCAGCTATGACCCTGATCGGCTTTGTCATAGTGTACCGGAATGCACCCTTGACTGCCGAAGCCAGGAGTGCAATCGACCTAGCAGTTGATGTATTTGATAACTTCGGGGCAAAATTCTCTGTTGCTGCAAATGCGGCCACTATTATGCGAGATCTTTGCGTCAAGGTTGACTTGCTGGTAAAGCATAATCAGTCCCAGCGCGATCCTTTGAATGGCCTCCAAACCATCTTTATGGACGATCCTATGAGCATCACGGAAGACCTATCACTTGATTCTTCTTCGATTTCATCAATGAGAGATTGGAACTCATACACAAATGATCTTGCACCGGATTTAACATTGTTTGACATGGCGGTTGATCTGGATTTCTGGAACAGTCTGGATGCCCTCTATCCCGAAGCTGACAATTTGTCTCAATATCGATCGGAAATTTGAATATCTAATTGTTCGTTGGAATACATAACTTAATGACCAATACTACACTGACAACTCATGACTATGAGGCTGAAGCCATGGATGACTCGGAGTTGCGGAGTTTCAAATAGATGACCACGTAGCTCTGAGAACAGAATGCGGGGCTCGGGTCATCTCTGATCAACTGCGTCTACTAACTGGCTCTACACTAATCATTCAATCTTGAAACAGCCACTGATCCCGGGCTGACGGAGTCGCGGAGGTGGAAAACGGTGGAGTTGCGGAGTTGCGGGGTTCGCCCGCCGAACTATGCGAGTCGAAGCAAGTCGGTGCAAGTCGACGAATATAAATACCAGAGGATCTGCCAGTCCCAGAATTATTATCAGCATCCATCCAGAACAATTCCAGTCTATTACCAAGTTCCACCACACTCCCCCAACAATCTTCCAAATGTCTCCCGCTCGCAAAGCCCTCATTGCCATCACCTCGGCCAAAGCCGCCTTGAATAAGGAAACAACCGGTCTCTTCATCACTGAAGCCCTGCACCCCTACAATGCTCTCGTAGCCGCCGGGTTCGAGGTCGATTTGGCCTCGGAAACCGGCTCATACACCGCCGACTGGCTCTCCCAGACACCAGACTTCCTCAACGGCGACGACCTGACCATCTGGAACGACGTCAACAGCGATTTCCGGAAGAAGCTGGACAGCATGCCCAAAGCTGCTGACCTTGACCCATCCAAGTACGGGCTCTTCTATGCCTCGGCTGGCCACGCCGCTCTGATTGATTACCCGACCGCGACTTCACTGCAAAAGATCGCTGAGCAAGTCTGGGCTAGCGGTGGTGTTGTTGCCTCTGTTTGTCATGGTCCGGCTATCTTTGCCAATATCATCGATCAGGAGACCGGAAAGCCTGTTATTCAAGGTCGTCGTCTGACTGGTTTCACTACTGAGGCGGAGAACACTATGGGCATCATGGGTGATTTAAGGAGTTGGAATGTTGAGCTCTGTGAAGAGCTTGCTGCTCGTCTTGGTGCCAAGTGTGAGTTTCTCTCTATGCATTGAGATATTTGGGATGTTTACTGACTTTGCTTGCTAGATGAGCGCTCGGCCGGTATTTGGGATGACTTCCATGTCGTCGATGGTCGTCTTGTTACTGGCCAGAACCCTGCTAGTGCCACTTCTACTGCTAAGGCTGCCATTGAGGTCTTTGAGACGCTTTAGATGAGCTATTATTATATTTTAGAAATTTGCTGAGGCGTTTAGTTACGCTATTTATGTTGTTGAATTTATGCTATATCGTTATGTGTTGCCGAACATTGCTTAATATGCCCGCTATCTTCATTGCTAGTTCTAAGAATAACTTCAGGGTAAATACAAAATACATTGTAGAATGCAAGTATGACATACTCACTCAATTGGATATATAAGACCAAGAGATCGCGGTGCAATATCTTCAATCTATCATGGGTACCTTGCAGTGTATAGATGCGGCCTTGACTCATACCAGAGTTCCCGCCCTCATCTCCGATCCGATAAATTGCCCGCCACCCCACCTCCTACATTCTTCACTGTACATCCTTCACACACAATGGCTTCAACGTCGCCTTTCAACCTGGCTACCTGTGCCCGCCCTAATATCCTTGCATTGCAGCCATATCGATGCGCCCGAGAGTACGTCGACCCGATATCGTACCAAGCCCAGCTAATGAGTCAGTGACTACAAAGATGACGGAACGAACGTACTGCTCGACGCCAATGAGAACGCCTTTGGGCCCGGTCTTGCGCTGAACAGCGAGGGTGCCTTGCAGGCCTCCCAGACTGGCGATGCGACAGGTGCCTCAAAGCCTGAGATCGACTTCCTGGGCTTGAACCGCTACCCCGATCCGTGAGTGCACCCGTCGCAAACGAACGCCAGGATCCATCTAATATGGCCAGTCACCAAATTGAACTCAAGCAGTTGTTCTGCAACCTCCGAAACACCCACCACCACACCTCCAAAACGCTCCTCCCCGAGCACATGTTCTGCGGCGTCGGATCCGACGAAGCCATTGACGCCCTCCTACGATGCTTCTGTGTCCCAGGCCAAGACAAGATCCTGACCTGTCCCCCAACCTACGGCATGTACAGCGTCAGTGCCCAAGTGAACGATGTGGAGATCGTCAAGGTCCCTCTGGACGCCTCGAACCACTTCCACCTCCAACCTGAGAAGATCAATGCCGCCCTCGCGGCCGACCCCTCCATCAAAGTAGCCTACATTTGCTCACCCGGCAACCCAACCGCCAACCTCATCCGCAAAGAAGACATCCGCAAGGTCCTGGAGCACCCCACCTGGAACGGCGTGGTGGTTGTCGACGAAGCCTACATCGACTTTGCCCCCGAGGGCTCCAGTCTTGCCGAATGGGTCACCGAATGGCCCAACCTCGTTGTCATGCAAACCCTCAGCAAAGCCTTTGGTCTGGCCGGTATCCGTCTCGGCGTGGCTTATTCCAGTCCCGAGATCGCCCGTCTTCTCAACAGCCTCAAGGCGCCCTATAACATCTCCAGCCCGACCAGTGCACTCGCATCGGCGGCCCTGACCGGGCCCAATATGGCCGTCATGCGCGGCTACCGGGAGCAGATCATTGCTCAGCGCGACCGTCTGCTGCGCGAGTTACCCTCTATCCCCGGTGTGGGTCAGTTCCTTGGTGGGTATGATGCCAATTTCTTGCTTGTGCAGATTTTAGATGCTTCCGGTCAACCGAGTAACACGACGGCGGTGGCGGCATATGAGGCCATGGCCGAGAAGCGTGGTGTTGTTGTCCGGTTCCGTGGCAAGGAGCTTGGGTGTGAGGGTTGTTTGCGTATTACGGTCGGTACTGAGGCGGAAGTTTCGAAGTTTTTGCAGGAGTTGCAAACTGTGCTTGGGGGGTTACGTGCTGGGGGTGCCATTGAGTCTGTTTGATCATTAACCTGATAAGCGCAGGATACCATAGGGGGAAATTGATTTGGGGGCGGTGATATACAGTCGAGATACAATAGATATACGAGTCCATTCACCTATCACATGTCTGCATCACTGACTGGCTTATCTAGGCAATAGTTCACGTGTAATCCCCCCCCCCCTTTATCTCCAGCACTGCCTAGGCTGCCTCTAACCCTTCTCTACTTTACGGAATAACTGGCCACTAAGTGAACTAACGTCGACTGCTCATAATCTATTACACTTTCCAGCCAAGGCCGATCCTTTCCGCTCCCAAAAAGGCTCAACTCCGGATTCCGTAGGACGAGCTCCTTTCACGGGGTCGGTGAGAGCCTATTTCTTTGTCCATTGTTATCCTTTGTCAACTAGATTCCCCCCGAAACCTGGAAATCTGACAGGGTGAGGCGTCAGGGATCCGAGGAAATGGGCGAGATTAGCGAGAACAATATCACTGGCGGCTGGTAGTTGGCTGGGAGTTGGCTGTTGACTGTTGGCTGGCTGTTTTGACTGGGTTTGGGGCTTATCTCTTGTCCATTTTCCCCCTCTTTGGCTCACTGGACTCTTGGATCTTCTCAAAACATATCCAACGATCATATCCAACGATCATATCCACTGTGATCGCCCATAGCTTCTCTTTGACCCGTTTCCCCCCACATAACTTATATCTACGGCACGTGCAGACCATGTAAAACATCACCTTACACCTGAACTCGCGTGTCTCTGCGAGCCCCCGGATTGCCATGGCCTCCTTGTGGGCGCGTGGCATGTATTCCGATCATCCACCGGCGATGCAGACCAGAGACCAGATCAATCCAACTCTGATGATGAGCTGGTGGGCGACGGGCTTTTCGCTGGCCATCATCATCGTCCGGTTGTGTGGTCGCTATATTCGGATTGAGCGCTTCTTTCCCGAAGATAAGGTCGTCATGATTAGTGTGATCCCGCTGGTGATTCGCATGGTGCTGGTCCATTTCGTGCTAGTGCTGGGGACCAACAATACCACGACGGGCAGCTTGACCGAGCAGGATATCAGAAATCGGGAGCTGGGGAGTAAGCTCGTGCTGGCGGCGCGCATATTTTACGCGATCTTGTGAGCTCATACCCTGCGATCTCGTGGATGGAGTGGACACAGCTAATTTCAGACCCAAATCAGCATCTGGACAGCCAAAGTCACAGTCTGCGAATTCCTCAAAAGAGTCACAGGTCTCGTCTGGCGCCGCTCAGTGGCCCTCTTCCTCCGCTTCATCAACTTCTTCCTGATCTCCACCCTGGTCGCAGTGGTCATCGCCACGCTAGCAGAATGCCAACCCTTCGACCACTACTGGCAGGTCGTTCCAGACCCAGGCCCAACCTGTCGAACAGGTTACGTGAACCTAATAACAATGGGAACCTGCGATGTCATCACCGACCTTCTTCTCATCGCCTTCCCCGTGCCAATCATCATGCTAGCCCAAATGCCCCTAAAGCGCAAACTAGCCCTAATCATCCTCTTCTGCCTCTCTCTCTTCCTAGTCGCCATCACCTGCTACCGCGTGCCCTCGGTCATCGGCCACAAAGGCTCCCAACAATACCGTTCCCTCCTAGCAAGTTTGGAAATCCTAGCCGCGACAGCTGTCTCAAACGCCGTCGTCATCGGCTCATTCGTCCGAGACCGGGGCGTCAAAAAATTAAAGTACAAGCGTGATCAAGGCTCCGCCTCGGTTTCAGAAAGCATGGACAAATCCTTCGTCAGAAGAAACACTGTCATGCAGAACCAATGGGGCAGCGACTCCGACCTCGCAACAGGATTATGCATCCGACTCGATCCAGACATGGTTATCAGCCCCACGACAACAGCCGACGGCTCCCTCATTCCGCGTCCCGCTCCACCAGTCGCACTGCCACCTCATATGCCGCTCGCAGTGGCACGCACTGGGTCGATTGACCCTTCTTGGTCGTTTACTACGACCCGTTCTGACGATGACCATGCTTCGGCTACGGATAGTCTCGATATCAAGATTAGTCCGCGGGAGTATTTGCGCACGAATACGTCGCCGAGGGAGTCGATAGCTCACCCGAGACGAGTTTCGTTCTCTGATGTGGGCGGGCTGTTGACCAGGGCGCTGCCTGGTGATTCTCTTGCTCGCTCCGAGAACTCGAGGGAGAACTCGAATCCTGCTTCTGCTCGTCCTGCGCCTCCTGCGGAGGCTTCCCAGCGTAGGAGTGGGAGTCGGGGTTTCCTGGAAGATTTGGGTATTGTTACGCCCTTTTCTTCGAGGGGCGCTGGTCTGGGTAGATCTCAGGCATTGCCTCATCCTCAGCCTCGGCCTTCCTTACACTCTCACTCTCAGTCTTACTCTCACAATCTGACTCGGACTCATACTAATACTCATACCCATACCCTCCCTGCATATCGCTCTTCGTCGGATATCACTCTCGATGAAGACGTCGAGTTACAGGATGTTGGTGGGCTACTCTCAACACAACATCAGAACCATGGCCGTGGCCATGATATTTGTTGATACCATGCTATCTATGAAACGACATAATGCCTTCCCTTGATGAATTTTGCTCGCTTTTGATTTCTGTTATGAAGGAGTGGAGGAGTTTCGGTACATACCCATCCATGCCCATGTTCGGTTTTGGCTTTTTCTGTTTCCACTACATGTGGTGTTTTTTTTTTTTGGCTTCTTTGGTTTGTTTGCTTTGTTTTGAACTGTGTGTATATCTTGGTCTCTGCTGTATTCCCCCTGCTGCGTCTGCGTCTGCGTTGCTTAGCGTGGCGTTGGATATCAATCTGGTATTGGTGTTACTTTCCTTTCTTTTACAACTGCAACACATGTACCCTCGACTTGATAGTCTTGGGTTGTTAATATCTGTACCACCTACATACATCGAGATTTGAGACATGCGATGAACTGAAATGAAATGAACATTCGTCAGATATTCTTCATTCTTTGATCACATGATGCTGGATAACCCTGACAGATCGAATACAACAGCTCTAGATCTAAATATGTGCTGTAACTTCACATCTCATTTATCTTGAGATTCACAACTCTTTCATGATAGATCAAATTTATCTAGACGACAAAAGGGGAACCTTATGCCTAACTATGTAAAACAGGTAACCCCCACCAACCGCAACCACCCAAAGCCAAAGCTAGAGATAGAGAAACGTTGCGCGCCTGTACGCCATGCTGCCCATAATACAAGGGGGATGTAGCTGGACCGAACTTTTTTTTCTTCTGAGTATCGAGTATCGAGTACTGTATCTTTGTGTAGGTGGGCATAAATTGGACCAAAGAAAAAAAAAGAAAAAGAAAAGGAAAGAAAAAAGAACTCCCTTGTGTCCACTTCTGGTACTGTCTCGATCCTATGTTGCTCTTTTCTTGCACGGCATGCATGGAGCGGCTCAGTTGGGTGGAAGTGGAAGTGGACCGGATGCGATATGGAGGTAGCTCCAGAGGAAACTGAGCTTGGAAGAAGCGAGTTCCTCGGACGCGAAACACCCCCCAAAGGAAAAAAAAAGAGTCAAGGGAAATGAAGAAAGGTACTTTTAAAAAAGAAAGGCCTGCATCGGTCCATATTAAATCGGTGCAGCTGTGTATCATTCTTCCAATCCCGTTTTACAGCCAATCCATTCTCATTCTCCATGAAAGAAGAGAGAAAAGGCTTAGATGACCCAGCGATAACTGGCATACCGACCGGCAGTCTCACTCTTGCGAATAATCTTAACAACCTGGCCACGGCGCAGACCAAGGTAGCGCGCGACAGGATCGGAAACCTGTATACGAGGCAATTGCGACTCCTTCAGACGGTAGCGCTCGAGCAGACGGGCCTTCTCCTCCGGGCTGAGCAGGACATGCTTGGGTACCAGCTCGTGGCGGGTGATGTTGACCAGCAGATCCTGCTCTTGGAAGTGCTCGCAGATGCGGCCGGGAACTCCGCTCAGCAGGCGCACGGCCGAGGGCGAGATCGGGGTTTGCGTGATGAAGATTCCGGTGTGGAAGTTGTTCTCGTCGACGAGGTGGTTGAAGGTGCGAACTTGCTTGGTTCCGACGCCTGAGGCGTCTGGGCAGAAATCAACGTAGATTGTGCCGCAGTCCGGTTGCGGGTTTGGGTTTGCTTTGCTGGGCAGCGGTGTGTACTTCATCTTCATGGTTTCTGTAGGACGGGCTTGGATTTTCATCTTGGTGCGGCTGTTGGGAGACGGTTTGTTAGTTTGCTCGGGGATTTTTTTTCAATTGGCGATTTCTCGCGCTTCGGCGAGGGCAGGATTTTCGCATACTCAGGGTAGCCCAGAGGGTCGGAATATTTTGAGCGGAATTCATTCAGATCGAGGGCCAGCTCGTCCTCGGAAACTTCGTAGCCCTTTGCGATGGATTAGCATGGGGGTCAGGACCAAGGGAATCAGAGCGTGCCTACCCGGTCCGCAAGCAATTCATAAACGGTCTTAAATGTGCGCCAGAGCCGGGTCATCTCCTGCTCGGCCTCGCCGGAGTGTGTATCGCCATCCATGACTGCGGTAATGCAACGAGGTGAAAATCGGGGGAAGCTGAGAAAGTGAAGTCGAAAAATCGGCGGGAACTTTCTGCCAACGACCGAAGCGGAGAAACTGACCGAACCAAATTAATTCCCCTTTTCTACTCCCCTTTTGGTGTATTCAAGTCTTTCCTTCTCTTCTTTTTCTTTGTCCTTTCATTCTTCGTTTCATTTGAGAATGTCTTCTACTGAGGAGCGGGTTAAGCCCACCAAGCCCGATGAGGCTGCCTACAAGGCCAGTCTGGCCGAGGCTGAGAAGGAGCACACTGCTGCTCAAGAGAAGTTGGTATGGGTTATCCTACATTCCTGGTTCTTGATCCTCACTTTTCGCATTGGAATTGAGAGCATTGCGATGATCTTCACCCCACCCCCGTTGTGCCCGTTGCCCCGTTGTTGTGTCCCGCCCTCTGACTGACCCGCGCAGAACCAAATCAAGGCCAAACTTGACAACGCTCAGCCCAGCAACAAGGACTCGCCTACCGCCAAGAAGCAGCAGGAACTCCGCGCTCAACTTTCCTCCATCCGCCAGAAGCAATCCGGCTTCAAGTCCAGTCGTTCCAGCACCCAGGAGAAGATTAACTCTCTGGACTCGAACCTCAAGGCCCGCATTGCGGAGCAGAACAACTCCCGCGGCCGTCTTTCATTCAAGAACGTCGATGAGGTTGACCGCGAGATTGCCCGCCTTGAGAAGCAGGTTGACTCCGGCACCCTCCGTCTGGTCGACGAGCGCAAGGCCCTGAGCGATGTCTCGAACCTGCGCAAACAGCGCAAGAGCTTCGCCGGTCTGGACGAGGCCCAGAAGGGTATTGATGAGCTCAAGGCTCAGATCGCCGAATTGCGCAAGACCCTCGACAACCCCGAGGCCAAGGCCCTGAGTGACCAGTATAACGAGATCCAGAAGGAGCTCGACACCATCAAGGCCGAGCAGGACAGTGTTTTCAAGAACCTGAACTCCCTGCGCGATGAGCGCACCAAGCTGCGCAACGACCAGCAGGAGAAGTACACTGCCATCCGCACTATTAAGGACACCTTTTACAAGGCTCGCCGTGCTTACAAGGAGTACGAGGATGAGGCCTGGCGCGTGCGCCGTGAGCGTCAGAAGACTGAGCGCGAGGCCTTTGAGCGCGAGAAGCGCAAGAAGGTCGCTGACAAGAAGCTCGAGGAGGCCTCGCAGCTCGCTTACCACGATGAGATCCTGACCGCTCAGGGTCTTATCCGTCATTTCGACCCTGCTTATAACTTTGCCGCTCTCGGTCTGGACGAGAAGAAGGACCTCGGCAACAACTTCCGCGCCGGAGTTGGCCGGACTGTTGAGGCTGCTGAGATTAAGGGTATGAAGGTCGTGCGTAAGGACGACGAGGAGGACTACTTCGTTGGTACCGGTGGTAAGAAGGGCAAGAAGGGAGGCAAGAAGGGTGCTGCCCCTGCTGCTGAGAGCACCAAGTTCAACATGAACGTTGGTATCATCGAGGAGTTCTCCAAGGTCAAGATCGACCCTCCCATGAACCAATCTGATGTCCCTGCTGCTGTGGAGAAGCTGGCCGCCAAGATTTCCGAGTGGAAGAAGAACCAGGCCAGCAAGACCGAGGAGGTGAGTTTTCAATCTGAAAATGACTAATATGAAATGCTAACCAATTGTAGAACATCAAGAAGGCCCAGGAGGAGATCACCCGTCTCGAGGAGGAGGAGGCCAACATCTCCCAGTCCAACGGCCGGGCCACCGATGCTGCCAAGAAGCCCGCCCAAGAGAACGGTGCTCCGACAGCGGAAGCCGAGCTTGCCCAGGAGCAGGATGGCGCCGCCGACGCCGCCGACGAACTTAAGAAGGTCTCGATCGAGGAGAAGGCATAGAGAGGGGAGTTTTCCCATATATGCGTCTACGTACAGTCTAGCGTTTGCCTAGCATTTCTTTTTTCTCATTTTGGCTCTTGCATATGCATTGTGTTTATAAATGGTCTACAAAAGTCATAATCGATTTTTCTCATGAAACAAGACTCAAACCAAAATAAAACACGCCCTCGACCTTTAGGCAACCTTGGAAATGTCCGGCCAGCTTGGAAGTGACTAAGCGTGCCGACCCCCGGAACTGCGCCACTTCGCAACGAACTTCTTCTACTTTCTCCTCTCGAGTCACTCGAATTCTCTCATATTACACCTTACATCTCCTTCAGATCCAGTTCTAAACCACTCAGACAAGCAACCCCCACTAAATCCGGACCCATTCCCACGTCCGCACCTGCACCCCAGATCAAAGATACCGTCCAGATCGGCGCTAAACCCTCCACCTCTATAAACGCGAACTCCACACCCACCCAAAAATGTCCTACAATAAACCTGTACGTCGCAAGCCCGGCTGACCCCCAAATATCTCTTGAAAGAGCCCCCAATTGACCCCATTCAACACAGACAAGTCCCCCACCCTCCTACGCAGGGCCCTACAACCACGCCTCTCCCCCACCGCAAGGCCCCAGCCCAGGCGCCGCGCAAGACTACTACGGCGGCGGCGGCGGACCCCAGCAGCAGGGCTATTACCCGCAACAGCAACAGCAGCAACAGGGGTACGGATACCCGCAGCAACAGCAGCAACAGCAGGGGTATTACAACCAGGGGCAGCAGCCGATGTATTACCCGCCGCAGCAGCAGCAGGGTTATCCGCCTCAGCAGGGTTACTATGCTAATGATCGCGGTAACCGGGGTGGTGGTAGCGGTGCCGGGGGAATTTGTGCCGGCATCATGGCTGCCTTTGCTTGCTGTTGCTGTTTGGATATCTTGTTCTAAGGGAGAGAGCGGGTTATCTTGATGTTGATTTGATGTTGGTGTTGGTATTAGTATTGGTTTTCCATGGTGTATATACTCTTACTCTTGCTCCCATTCTTGCTCTTGCTCTGGCTCCTGTTTCTTGAGCTTGAGGGGGAATGGACTTCCCTAGATTGAGGTTGGGTTTGGATTTTCTTTGTTCTTCAGTCTTTGGCTTTTGGTTTTGTGTTCTATATATCCTTGGCTTTGGGCTATCGGTGGCGCCAGACAGGATACGGTGTTTTGGGCTTGGTTTTCTCCTATTCTTTATTGTACTATTCAATTTTATGGTCATTCTTTTCTCACAGGCTGTCAAATTTCTCCATTTTCCGTTGTGGGATTCGTTCCACGGTAGCGCATCCAGAGCTTCCGTTTGCGGTATGCAGCTATCAAGACCAACCTATCAAGACAACCAGATGCTAAAAGTCAATGCGAAAAAAAAAAAAAAAGAAACAATATATTATCTCATCAAACATTACAGTAAGTCCATAAACATAAGGGTATCAAAACAAACCAAGCACACACCCCAATCAAGACCTACGACTATACTCACTCCCACCCCCATAAGCCAACGGATCAACATGGCTCACACCCCTCCTAGATCGTCGCGGGGGCCTCGGCGAAAGATCCGAAGGAACAGAACTCTCCTCCTCGAGCACCTCAACAACATCCCCACCCCCAGAAGTGGAAGTAGCCAGTGACTCCTCAACAACAATGCGATCATGCCTAGATGAAGGCCTGCGCCGATAACTGTCGCGGAAATTTTCCCGCTCCTCCATAACTTCGATAGTATGATCACTCTGACGACGTCTAGAGGGTCGCCGAGCTCGCACCTCCACAATCTCCTCTTCGTCCATTGAGAGGGAGGAGGAGACTGTTGGTGCAATGGTGCCGCTGGTGCCGCGCGCTATTCCGCCTGGGTTCACGGCTAGGAAGAGCGCGTACATTAGCAGGATGAAGCCTGCTGTGCAGCCGAGGACTATGCCTACGACTGTTCCTGCTGCTGGGCTGTTGTGGAGGCGGCCGTAGGTTGATGGGATGGAGATTGTTGTGTAGCGTTTTTGGTGGGAGGTCAGGAGGTGGGATGGGAGGTCGTTTGGGTTGATTGTATATGTTGAATTGGAGGTCATTTTGTTTGTTTGGTTGGACTGGAGGGTTGGAGATTCGAGTGAGTGGTAAGTCGGTGTGAGATGGGCACTTGAAGGGATAAGGTCATAGATGTCGGTAGTGGGGGGATCCAGAAGGATAGAAAGAGTGAGTGATCTTGCGTCTGAAGTAGTTGTAAAAGGAAGAAAAGGAAACAGGAGAGAATCGAAATCGAAAGAGTGAAGAGGTTGGGGGGGCTGGGATCTGCGGAGTAGTGGAGCGATCTACGATACACTTTATACTGGACTTCATACTGGACTTCCATTGGCCCTTAATTCTGATTTCTGGAGTCGAAACTCATAACTTCACTACACTATTCCAATCTCTAATAAGCTCCCTTTCGTTGCGAATACTTCGGCTGCGCAGCCGCCTCAATCCCATCAAGCGCAGTCAATACAGGAGTAGTAGAAACCAACTCGAAACCCTCTACCTTGGCACCATTTTCTCCCTGGGCCCACAGACTCAAAGCAACATAGTTGCTCCCGTGGTAGTTCAAAATACCTTCAGGAACAGGATAACTAGTCTGCGGCCCAATATTGTTCACATACTTACCATACTGGTAGCCATTGACATACAGCTGGGCACGATAGGCAGCAGGCGGCGCGGTACTATTTCCGAAATTGAAGTAGAGGGGTACATCCCAGCCCTTCTCGATATTGAGATCGAAGCTCGTGCTGTAGAATTTGATACCGGGTGCTGAGAGGCCGCTGAAGGGACTGCCTGATTTCCAGTCTTTGGTTGGAGCAGAAGGCTGGTGGAAGCCTTGGCGTTCGGCGTAGAGGCCGCCCTCATTGAGAGGGCCACGGACCGTGTCGATGTAGTCCTCGCCGCCAAGGTTGCCGGTTAGTTTCCATGTAATCGCGTCGGCGGATTGGCCGGAGAGTTGGTAGTTGAGTATACCGCGAGGCAGTTTCATCTCTTCCGAGCCGACAGTCCAGTCTTCGTTGAGACCCATGTTGTCCACTACTACGGTGAACACGTAGGACTTGCCCTTTTTCAGAGTTGGGAGGGTGTATGTTGCGTTGTAGTCGCTGGAAACGGAATTTCCGGCCCAGGATCCGACATGTGTTGAGTTTAGCCAGACAGAGCTGCCAAACGCTGTACCGCCCTGAGTATGCACAAAGAAGGTCTTTTCATCTCCCGTGGCGGTAAAGTGACCTCTGTAAACGAGGGTTCCTGTGTGGAAACCGTAATCAGATGAGTAAAGGGAGGTCGGGGTCTGCAGTGGGTGGACATTGTTTGCAGTCTTGGCGAGGTCGGCAGCAACCCACTTGGAGTCATCATAGGAGTTTTGAATCTCAGGGAGAGTGTCAATTGCCTTCCACGTCAGGCTCTTCAGTGTCGGGAGCTTGATCTTGGGTGCACTGTATGCAACGCTGCTTGACCAGATGCCGTTCTTGTCGACCTTGACTTGAGCCTTCTTGCCATTGATAACCAGATTCTTGGCCTTGGATGGGGCACCAATCACCTCAATTGGCGTGGTGGCGTTGAAGTCAGCTGTGAGGTGGAGGTCGCTGCCATCCAGATAGGCAGTTCGCACGAGGTAGCCGGCCTTAACAATGACAGCTGAGGCGGCAGCCTTTTGGGTGCTATAGCCAGGGCTAGTACCTGAGGCTGGGACCTGAGGAGCCCAGTAGTTGTAGGCAGAGTTGCGGTCTGAATTATGTTAGTGGACTATAGCATGAATACGAGGCAAAAGATAACTTACCAATAAGCAAAATCTTCAAGTCACCCACTTTGACAATACGACGAGTGGTGGACACATCCCAGCCGATCACAACGGCCTTTCCAACTTGCTTGGTGGTAATTCCTGACGAGGAGCCCTCAACAACAGATGGCTTGGAGGTAGATACGACTGCCAGCTCGTGATGTTCACCAGGGCCTCCGTACAGTACAAGCACCTTGGAGGTACCAACCTTGTTCCAGGTGAACACTTCAGCAGAAGAGTAGAGAATGTTGGTACCCGCGACATCATAGTCAACAACATGGATCTTGGAATCACGACCGCTGAGAGTCAAGCTTCCGCCAAGCTGGGGAATTGTGACTGAGCCGGCGCTGGTAGAAACCTTGAGCTGGTAATCAACTGAAGCCTGGCTTGAGTAGTCATTGTGACGGACCACGAAGAAGGAAGAAGCTGTGCTGTTACCGCCGAGCAGGGGCGTCACGGCAATATCAGATGACGTGGTGTACTTGGAAGTTGTCAAGGCTCCTGGTGTTGTAAGCAGGTACGCCGGTGACACTTTGACAAAGTTTCCAATCAACTTGAGCTCGCTGTACTTCTCGCGGGTAATATTGCGAGACTCAGTGATGGGGGAGCCATAGTCATAGGAAGTATAGCCACCGGGGTGACCAAGATTACCCCAGTTGGTACCACCAAAGATCTATAGGCGTTACTTCATATTCAATGGCTGCAGGGGTTGGCAACATACCATGTACAGATTCAGGAAAGCAACCTTGAAACTGAGATTGTTCTTGTAAAACACTCGCTCAAACTCGTGGTTCAGAAGATCAGCACACTTCGTGAACCCGACGCCTCCCCAGGGATCAAATGCTCCACCTTGGAATTCAACCAGAGAGTAAGGGGTTGAAGGGCTTTGATCCATGTGCGTCTGATACCACCCAGTGGGCAGGTTACCAGATGGCCACGTAGAAGGGTTGGCACAGTCAAAGCCAAGAGGGTAGCTGTCATGACCGTAGATATCAACCGCACCCGCGCCACTGCCAGGTGCATTGTGATCACCAGCCCAGGCATCATTGCTAATCAGAGGTACGACGACACCAGCATTGCGTGCTTGATCTTCGACATACTGCATGTATGCTCCGTCTGGGAAATCATTGTATCCGCAGCAAGCACCGCTGTACTCGTTCTCGGGTTGATACAAAATGATTGGACCGCCATTGGTGATTTGGCCTTTGGCGATTGTTGCGGCAACTTTAGCAATGTAGCTAGACAGATGTCAGTATCACGAAGCCCAGCATCATAATTTATCACATACTTATCAGTTGACTTGAGGTAAGCCTCATCACTGGTTCGCAATGTTCCATTTACACGCTGAAGCCAACCAGGGAAACCACCGCCTGATGCTTCGGCGTTGATGTAGGGACCAGGGCGAGCAAGGAGATAGATACCAGCCTCTTTGGCGGCATCAAAGAAAGGCTCCAGGGCAAAGATTCCTTCAGCAGAATAGTGCCCGGGCTTGCCTTCCAACAAGCTCCAGTCAACATAGAAAGAAACACAGTTGAATCCCAAAGCCTTGACCTTTTCAAAGACATCAATCCACAGAGATGGGACAGGCAGACTGTATAAACCGAGTCAACAGGGATCCCTTGACAGAGCAATTCAATTGAAGCGTGTCTCACTCACCGGAACGGGTGGATTTCACCACTGAACAACATAATCCTCTCACCGTTGACGAATAAAGAATTCTCGTCCCATGTCACCTACCCCAAGCAGTCAGCACGGCAATTCAAACCCATTAGGAAACAGGGCCAAGCATACATATTTCTGAAGCAAAGCCCGCTTAGCAGGATCCGGATGCTCAGTAATTGTCAACCCATTCAATTGATAGCTTATAGCAGCACCAGCAGCCTGGGCCGCCAAGCAGGCAATGGCCCAAGTGGACGAGAGCTTCATGGTCCCTTGATTGACAATTCACGCGGGGTAAACAAAGCGTGAAGCAGAGAGAGGAATCCCCAATCCAGGGGCAGACAGACATTCATATATAGAAGCAGGCAGTCGGGGCATCATTGGCCGAGATCAATAACCGAGATCTGTCGACCATGCCATATACCAACGATTCTACGACCGATCGGTGCTGTTCTCCAGAGCTCTGTCCCCTTTCGTCATTTGCAGGGGTCTTAACATTGAGGGGTTGCAGCGTTGCATACTGGGATACTTGCATGTTGTGGAGAGGGACCAGCCTCACAGGGGCAACCGGACCGAAGATCCTTAAGCTTGTTGCAAGGGGAAAGAGGGGCACCGCCGCGATTTTTCCGTATATCGTATGGTTGGACTTTTGTCTGGGGGTTATGGTTGGTGAGGGTTGTGGGGAGTGAGGTTTGGTTAGTATACTGCCGCACGGATCTCCTGGTCAATATGGCCCTGCTCATTCTTCCGTCGACTTCGGATTTCGGACAGGAAAGGCTGCGGGGAAGAAGTATTTAACCGGTGCTCTATTGATGCACTAATTATTGCTGCCGATGATTCTCCGGATCTTACGTCCCTGCATTAGAGTGGAGAAAAAGGGTGTGTGTGTTTGTGAGAGAAAAGACAGGGAGAGAAAAAGTGAAGAAAAATCATGACATTGGCTTTTAGTACATTGCATGTATTCCAAGTTGCAGGGAAAGATAAATAAGAATCTATTAGACGGTGGTATTGAAACGGTCCTCCTCATCGCCGTCCTTGGTGTATGTCTCGCGTGTGTCCACCTGTTCCTGTTCATCTTCTCCCAACTGGACATTCTCGCTCTTCATAGCTTCATCCTCAGCTCCAGCGGTAGGGGTGCTGTTGCCAGTCTTCTTCTGGGTGGTGTTGATGAGAGGAGTGGTGTCATTGAAGATACGCAGCAACATGGCGCGGCGGTCTTCCTTGGGAAGCATGAGATTCAAAGAATGAAGAGAGCGCCACAGGGGCAGGACCATCCGTTCACTGTAATTCTGTTAGTCAATGCACAACTAGACATCAAAGGTTCAAAAAACTTACGTCAAACCGTCTTCCTCGCCGGTTGGCTCAATGCGCAGAATACTGCATCCCATTTCAATGTCCTTGACGCGCTCTCCAATCTCGCCAAGCTGCTTCCAAGCGTCATCGTTGACCTTGGGGAACATCTCCACAAGAAGACGACGTAGAGTCTCCTTCTTGGTTAGAGTGACGGTGCGCTCAGGGCCCAACCAAGGCTCGGCAATCTTAAGACCATCCGTTTGCATGCGCCACCTGCAGACGTTCTCGCGCTGTGCGTCCTGCTTAACGAACATCTTCACACCGCAGTGGACAAACTTCATGCCCTGGCCTTCATTGGAGACAAGGATATCACGGGCCAAAGCGCTGGTATAGTAAACGGTCCGGGTGGGAAGACCCTCGGCATTGCGGACCATGAAGCGATCACGGGGGAAACGCTCAGAAAGCTTGTAGAAGTCGTAGACAGGAACAAGCTCTTCGTGGTTGGGATCAAGGTACTTGAAAGGTTCCTCTTGGCGGGGTCCCTTCTTCTTCAACTGCTCGGGAGCAGCGGACGTAGGGGTGCTGTCGCCAGCATCGGGGATTCCAGTTCCCACGGAGGGCGCGGGACGGTGGACTGGACGGTCGCCAATGAGAACCTCGCTGCCATCATCAAGCTTGGTGCGCTTGGCGGGAAGCTCATCCTCAAGGTCATCCGCATCCCGCTTGGTGGCAGGGAGAGTAGTTTCCTCGTCAAGAGTAGCAGAGTAAGGCAGCTGGTGAGTGGCCTCGGCAACACTAGCGTTCTTTGCGGCTTCCTCCTCAGCCTCGGGATCGGGAGCGACCAGGTCATCCAGAGCGTCAAGCTTCTCCAGAGGCTTGCCATCCTCACCCTTCTTGTCCAGCTCAGCGGCCAGAGCAGCAACGGAAGCCTTGGGGATAGCGTTGGTGTTCTCGGGCTTGGCGCGGATCTCTGAGGTCTTCTCGAGGACAGTGATGAAGAAACCACCAGTGTCCTGTTGGTGAGGGTAGACACGCATGCAACGGTCGAGGGGCAAATCGGCACCCTCGCCGGTGGGAGCGAACATGCCCTCGGCAAGTCTGGCAAGACCGTTGATGCCCTCTTGGTCGCGGTGCTCCTCAACCTCTTTCCAGCTCTGCCAGAGACGACCCTCACGGTCCATCACCTTCCAATTGCGCAAGCCAGAAGCTCTCTTGAGGCCGGGTAGTTCGGCGCTGCAATCGATAATCTTGACGTTGGCGGCGCCACCGCAGCGCTCAATGGCGCTGGCAACAACAGCCTCGTTCTCCACGGGGTTCAGACTGCAAGTGGAGTAGACAACACGTCCACCTACCTTCAGCATCTGCAGAGCACGAACCAAAATGCGGGCCTGGATAGAGTAGAGTCCCAAAGCATTGCCAGGGATCCATTCCTTCCAGACACCGTAGTTCTTACGAGCAGTACCATCACCAGAGCAAGGAACGTCGGCCAAAATGCGGTCAAACTTCAGATATCTGTTCTGCATCTTTCCCTCGGCGTTGGTAGTGGGAGGCAACTTGATGGAGGGGAACATGGTGGCATCGTGGTTCGTCACAATCAGGTTAGGCGAGCTCAAGCGCTTCATCTGGTGAATCAGCATGTGGGCACGCTTGTAATCGCTGTCGTTGGCAATCAACAGGCCAGTGCTACGGCCGTCATCATTCAGTCCCTCAGGGCCGAGGGGCTCAGGTCCAACATCGCCCTTCTTGACCTGCTCAGCAACCTGCGCAGTGGAGTCTTCTTCGCCTGCGTGAAGAAGCTCCATGAGCTGCGCAGACTTGCTGCCCGGTGCGGCGCACATGTCCAGCACGGTCATTCCAGGTCTAGCATCAATGAGAAGAGGAGGGATCATGCTGACAATCTCCTGACGACTGATATTTCCGACATCAGTCTCGGCAACAAGGAACTTCTGGAACGAGGCGAAAGGAGGGAATCGTCGAATGATGTTCTTGGGGGTGGTCATGGACCAGGCGAGCTGATCCGGGTACCACGAGACCGGGGTGGGAGGCTCAACGAATTGATCCTCATACTTGATGGAGGTGATCTCGGGAATGTGGTGGTCTTTCAGGCGTTGCTGGACAGCCAATGCGTGTCTGTATCGTGCGCAATTGTCAGTATTGCTTAATCCCCGCCAGGCGCAAAAAGGTTAGTGATGACCTACCCTCGGGACCCTGTGAAACGGAAGCTGTTGGGAAGGTCCTTCTTCATGGTGGCCCAGAAGATCTCTCTCTCCTCCTCCGGAAGGAATTCGGGCTCATTGTAATAGCGCTCGAACTTCTCGTTTTCTCTGCTGATATCCTGCCAGATAGAGCGCGTGCGGCCACTGGCACCGCCGCCGCCGCCACGACCTCTGCCGGACTGTATGTAAGGTCAGTCAAGTCCCCCAATTGTAGCATATAACAGAACATACCTTCTTGCCTCCTCTTTTGCCCATTGTTCAGATGTGATGGGATTTAAGACGTTTACTCTGATCGAAATTGCCGCCAAAAAAATCTCCCCGGTATCATGCTTAGTCATCACCGAACTGGGCAATCTAGAGCGGGATAAATTCAAATGTCGACAGTCAACTTACTTCATTTTGACATGTTTGCATTGGGGTTTAGATAGTCTTGGGATATATGTACCAGATATAGATCCCTTTATCGATTTTATTTCCTCATCAGTTCCTTGGTGCTGTAGAGTCCCTTCACTATGGGTGGTTATTCAGGCAAAACTACTAGTGAGCGATTTTGAGCAAGGATTAGGAAACACGATGTTTGATAGTGCACCCATCTGTTGTCAATACATACATGCTGTAATTACACTACTTTAGCAATTTATACAGCTATACAATTACATAGTTAGAGAAGGCCAAATTAGAACAAACAAAGGAGATAATTGGTGCGTTTGCAGCCTCGGCAACAAACTATATAGTCTACTATGGCAAACCATTAATTGCTATTTCACACACAGAATTTGGGATCTAACAGCCCAAGGCAAATGATTGATAGTACATTCAAACCAAAACTACCAAGATATCCACGACGGGATATTCAGTAGCCATCTTTCACAACGCGATCATACTCTAAACAAGATTAGGAGATCATGCGAGACATATCTCCACGAATGCGCTGGTAGTCGAGGATACCCTCGATGCTGCCGACGGCGCTCATGGCGAGGTCCTGATCCCACAGCTTGCGGGTGGCGAAGTCCATGACGTCCTTCTCGGTGATCTGGCTGACGGTACGCTCGATATCCTCGGCGCTGAGACGGCGGCCGGTGGTGATGATCTGGCGGCCGATGTCCTCGGCAACAGCGGTGGTGCCGTCGAGGGACAGGAGAATGGAAGCCTTGAGCTGGGCCTTGGCACGCTCAACCTCGGCGGATGTGACGTTGTTGCAAAGGCGAGACCACTCGCGGAGAGTGAAGTGAATCAGGTCATCGAGCTGAGTGAGGTTCTCGCTGACGAGGTAGATACCCCAGAGACTATATCAAGTTAGCGTCATACTGTTTGAGTGGATTTCAACTTGACTTACCCGGTGTCGCTGTAGCTGGTGGAGAAGCTCATGAAGCTGTTGGCGAGGTTGTGGTGGCTGACGTGGGAGCTGAGCTTGCTACCGAGGAAGGGAGACTGGCCCATGGCGCGGTCCCAGTTACCGACGATGGCCTGGGTGACGAGAGCGGTGAAGTAGTCATCGTCCTTCCAGCTGACACCCTCAACGGCGAGAGCGATGTGAGCGGAGGGGATGGTGTCGTCACGGAGACGGACCTCGGAACCAATGAACTCGGGGGTGCGCTTCTGCTCGGCAGTGAGGGCAAGGGCAGCGGAAGTAGGGGCCTTGCTGGGGAGAGCACCGAAGTGCTCCTCGGCGAGGCGGACGAGCTGCTCGTGGGGAATACCACCAGCACCGACCAGGACCATGCGGTCAGCAGTGTAGTTGGTCTTGATGTAGTCGGT